GTTTGGGGTGGATCCATCGTTTTAAAGTGGCGAAAGCGGTGGCTTCGTCTCGTGCCAGCCTTAATGCTCGACGTGTCCAGTGGGTGCCAAACGGTTCGTAGTACATATCGATGATCGCCCGTTTGGCTTCAGGTGCTAGCTCGGGTTCGGGGGTCACAGGAGACTTCCCCTTTTGTAAGATGGTCGGTATGTCGGACCGTAAGTGAGCTTCTTCGTCTTCGACTTCTTCCAATGAAACTGAGGGTTTCTGGTCTCGAGGTGGCAGTTGGTCACTGGGCCGGTCGAGAAGGCCCCTCGGCGGCATTTGGTCACCTTCCGTCGAGTTGGTAGAGGAGGGCTCGCTGCCCCGTGTTCGGCCCTGGCCAAGGGCACTTGTGCGCGACGTTGTAACCTCTACAGCGATCCGGTACTTATCCTCATTCCTAACGCCGGCGGTACTCTCGGAAACCCTGGGCAGACGCACACATATTGGCTCGCCAAGGGGGTCAGCATCGTTTGCGGATGAGACCACTACTAAATGTAGGTGGTCCCCTTGGTTCCCGGCCTCAGCTGCTTTTCCGCCACTGACGGGAGGAACAACCTGAAGGGAAGGCCCACCCGCTGGAGTCATTGGCCGATTCTCCCTGCTGGGGCGATGACCACCATGTCTGGCGTCCATCTTGTCCTGACCTGAGGCGCTCGCTGGGTTCTCCAGAACTTCCCCCGTTCGGTCAGGCGGGGGTGTCAGAGGTGGACCAGCCCCTAAGGGTTCATTGTCCGACGCAGACCACGTCGGACGGCGGAAATCCCCTCCTACGCCGTGGGCGTTTTGCGATTCTTCATCCTTAATTTCTTCTACGGGTAACGCGGTGAAAAAGTTGGTATATTGATCATATGGAGTACCTACATACGTAGTATAAGTCTGGCTAGAAGTACATGAGCGCGCACCAGATGAAACTAAGTCCTTTGCCAACGCCGTTGAATCACTTACTTCGATGCTGGCTCGTCTTTTGACGACTTATCATCCTTGACCTCCTCGACCTTCGTGTCCTTGCCCAATTCCTCCTTCTCTGCTTCTGCGAGTAATTGTCGGAGACGCTGTACGTTGGGTTTCTTGCGCGGTGGGAGTTTGACGGGAAGCCACTTCAATTTGTCCGTCGGACATTTGTGGTCCCGGCTCCACCCGGTATTCCCGCACTTGAAGCACCGCTTGTCGGATTGTAATTTGTCGATCTCCATTGGCTGCCCTGCTCCTCCATAAGTCGTTCCCATGGCATCCTTCTTGTCGCCACCTGACCTGCTTCCCTTCGATTGATTTTGATTGCCTCAACCCGAACCGCCTTGGTTCGAGGAGGTCTTACTGCCCAGTCCTTGGGCCACGTCGTATCGGTAATTGGCGTCGATCCTAAGGACTCGCACCTTCCATTGTGCATAGGTTGTGGGGCGCTCGTTGTCCCCATGCATAACCGTCTTTCGCACCGTCGGCCTTATCGCCGCTTCCATGGTCTCAAACATCTGCTTCTCATCTCCGAACTCTTCGCACTTGTGAGCCAGACGCTCAAACTTCGCAAAGAATTCTATCGCGGACTTGAAGTCGGACTGTCAGACCTTCTTCCATTCTGCCTTCCATATCATTAACTCGGCTACCTCACGGAACTGTACCGTGAGGTCGTGCGAAAATTCGTCCCACATTGGAAATCGCCAATGCCCCTGAGGGTCCCGATAACGGTAATACTGGTCCACCCACCACTGCTGCGCTTCACCCCGTAGGTACCCTTGTGCGAAGGTAATGCGATAGGGATTTTGGCCTTGGTCATTCATGGTGTAATACATGGGGAAGACCTGGAAATAGACCTCGCAATGATGAAGGAAGCGGGTTATGTCCGAGGAAACCCCCGTGAAGTATTCAGGCTGTGTTATCAGCTTGGGTTTTACGTCGTTCCAGGGGTTATTCGCCGCTCCTGGGGCCAGCTGCCACGGAGGGATAGGGTCCGGTGGTGGAGGCAGGGACCGGCGGGACTGGCGCATTCGGTGGTCGCGACAGCGAGCGTAAATGCGGGTTATTGCCCGGCGGTGGATACCCTTCCAGATACTTGGGTGGCGGCGCCGAAGACGGTGGCCTCAGCACCGTGGACTCCTTCCCCTTCTTGGAGGGTCCCACGCCGGGATCGTCGAAGGCGTTGTCGTCGGGATCATCGGGTCCCACGCCGGGATCGCGAAGGCGTCGTCGGATCATCGGGTCCACGCCTGCCCAGAACTCCTCCGTCTCGAGTGGGTTAGGCATCAGTTGCGGTCGCTTATATGCTTCACACCCCGGCTTTGTATCGTCGGGGTGTACCTGGTTCCATACGATGGCAGCTCGGTGCCACGTCTCAACCTCGAGTATATTCTTCATGAGGTATACATCCCCCATGTGCTTTGCGCTTCGATAATCTTCCCCAGCCTCCGTAAGGAGCCACTGGGAGTCCCGCTCCATGTCTTCCATCATTATTTCGTACAGCCCATGCCATGGGAGGATGCTAAAGATTGTGGGTGTCAGGGCCGCCGGGTCCATTAGGACCGTTCGAACCGCCCTCATCACCTCGACCTCGAGGGAACTGTTTGGCGGCCGACTCGGCATCCTTGGCCTTCTTCCTCTCTCGGGCGAGTCGGTCGATCTCTTGGTTTCTCTTCCACTGCCCAATGTCGGAGTCGGGGTCGCTGATCTCCGACTCATAGGCCTGCCAGGCTCTTCTTCGGGCTTCGAGGTCAGTTCTGGCTCGTTCGACCATTCCGGAGTATCGGAGGGCGGCGGCTCGTTGTCGGTTTTCGACCTCGATACGGGTAGCGTCGGGCTCGAGGGGGAGGTCGTAAAAGCCGTCGGGTCCGAGAAGGGCGGCGATTTCGGCACGTCTAGTGCGTGTGCCTGCCGCTCTTGCTCTGTCCATTCGGGCCTCGATTTCTGGGGCGAGCCGGGCATCTCGAGAGACGTCGAGCGACTCGATGAGCATGTGGTAGAGAAGCATCCATGGACGCTGGTTGCTAGGGACGGGGTCGGCGAATGCCCGACCTGCGACGGACGGTGTAAAAGGGGTGATGGGGGCGAGGTCCCCGGCGCCGGCAATTGCTCCAAGCTCCTCGGGATCGTAGTCCGGGAACTCCTCCCAGAGCTGCTGATCCGTCGGTTCATGCCTGGTGACGGCGGGAGTGGGCGTTGGGGCCTCTGCTGGGACGGGGACAGAGAGGCTCCGCGAGGTCGGGACTCGGGCCACAGGAGCTTCTTCCCTTGTATCGGCGTAGACCCAGCTGGTGCTGGGATGCCAACCGACGGGAGGCCCTCTGTCCGCTGGCCAATGAAGAATGGGTCTTGTTCCATCTGTACGGGCGGTAGTTGCGGCGGAGGCCCCAAGCCCAAGCTCTCCGGAATCTGTGTCATAGTCATCTTCTTTTGACTCCATATACCTCCTTCGCTCGCTTCCCCAGTCGGCGTCTGTCCACCTCGTCGAGGATCTACCAGACCAGTTGTCTCCGGTATAGGTTGCATCTTCCTCCTCATTCGGGTAGAGGTCACTGAGGAGGTCTTCGAGTCGGATTCTTTCGAGCTCTGTGAGCTCGTCCCCTTCGAACTCAGTGTCAGAGCCTTCTTCGCCCTCGACCAGATTCCTGGTGCCTTGTCTTCTGCCTCCATGGGTACTTGACTCACCTTCGACTGGAGACTGGTCGAAGAGGCCTGGTAAGGGCGAGTCTCCTCGGTCGAGGAGTACGCCCTGGGTATCTGTGATGTCGACAGAGTCGACTGACTCATCGGTAGCGCTTCTGTAGGAGTCGGTGCTTGACTCTGAGGATCGCGAGCTGGGTCATGACGATCCGTAGAGGGACTCTCCATACAGGGATTCTTCCGGTTGGGTAGGTACTGGGGGTAGGGTTTGTTGAGAGGCCGCAGGGGATATCGATCACCTGCGGGGGATACGTGGGGATGCTGGGCACGTAGTGGAAAGGCAGCTGAGGTCGCACCCTTCTCTGTTGACGGCAACAGCGAAGTAGATGATACAAGGAGATGGACAAGAAAAAGAGTATAAAAGTTACGAAGACGACGGGAATGGTGTCGGACCAGGGCATCCGTTCATGCATCTATTCTTCGCAGGGTTCGACTAATCATGCAACGACAGGTGGTTTACCAGAAGTTGAATGGCGAGGGCGGTGACCGCGATAAGGAGAACGATAATCAGATTGAGGTCGGCTTCGTAGTCGGAGTCGGTCATCAACAGGATTCCGTCGTTTTCTGGGATGCTTGTTACTGTCAGCAATACAACTGCCAGCAGGGAAGCGAGTCGGAAGAGAATAGTGAAAGGTTTCAGTTTCGATCGAGGTAAGGGCGGTAAAATTCAATGTACAACCCTACAAGGTAGGCTGCAAGTAGCGGGGCCAGAATGTAGAGTTGACACAGAACGATGGTAATGGCTACCCGGATTAGCACTGAGGCTATCGGATCTTGGGCCAAGGGTGGCAGTACCCAGAGGGCGACTGCAGCGAGTATAAGGATAATGTAAATGGTGGGCACTTTTCCGTCGGTCCACTCGCCGTATGCTAACAGTCACAAAACTGTCCTTTCGAGTGTAAGGCGATGACCTCTCTGGTCAAGCTGAGGGATACAACAAGTAGAGCGTTGGGCAACGTTCGTTCTCAGACGTGACGCTGGGCAACATGTGTCGAGCTTCGGCTAAATGTTAGCCACTAACTCCAATCGACTTAGATCATGCTAGGATCACCACTCGCACTTCAGTGGTAGATACTCTAGCAAGTCAAAGGCGAATTATGAAGTCGATGGGACAGATAGTCACGAAGAACGGAGTTCGATGTTAGGTAGATTAAACCTTAGCCGAAGCTGGGGTTTAGGCCAGCTGAGGCTCTACTTAAATACACGTTGGTAGGCTAATAATAGTACTGTGGGAAACCATCCGTTGTGATCGCATATGTGTAATCTGGCTGAGTAAAACGAAGAAAAATGAATAAACCGTAACACCGTGGATCCAAGACGAATTATCACCAAAGTTAAACTCCATGTGCTTGCACACCTTCCTGAGGATATCTGCCGATTTGGTCCAGCTGTGATCTTTGTGACAGAGATTTTCGAGTGCTTCAATGCTGTCTTCCGTATGTGCAGTGTACTGTCAAACCATCTGGCCCCCAGTCGTGATATCGCTATTACACTTGCAGATATGGAGCGATTCAAGCATCTGGTCAGTGGTGGCTATTGGAAGGATACGAATGGACATTATGTTCAGGCAGGACCACGCGTTCAAAATTTCCTCAAAAGAAATCCGGAGTTACAACGTCACCTTGGCTGGGCTGATGAATCTCTTCTTCATGCTGGTAACTACTTCTTACCATCACCACAGCATGTTTTGAGTATCTCACCAATGCAACCAGGTACTGTCAAACGTGCGCCACGCAAGAAACGGTGCCCATCAACCTGGGCTTCAAGTACAGAAGGGCTGACAATTCATGGACCCCTTCCCCCAAATATGGCAAACTTGTGCTCAGCTGAAATGACCTGGGACCAATGCTTGTTTGTGATTTCACGAACCAGGCATATTTGTCATGTAGGCGCATGGGTTTTCTTCAAGCATTTGGTGCGTAAGCTTGATTTTCTCTTCATGGAGCTACCTGATGGAACTTGGCGAAGGGCACAATCTTAACAGGAAGAATCTCAAAGATCCTTGCCAGAACAGGCTCAGATCCAACAGTGTCCAACAGCGCTGTCATCTTCCTTGACCACTTTAACGTGTCGGAGCATAGGGACGTACGATTGAACATGCCTCTCCTCCTAAAATCCAACCGACTTATCCTGGTGGAACCCCATGTGCGCATTCTTATGGTTTGACCACCTCACTCTCATAGTTATCCATAGGACATCCTCTTTGACTTCAACGCTCAGCATGATTGCATGTTTGCCCACTGTGAAATCAAGGAGTCCGATGTCTATGTACGACAGGAACGGCTGGAGACAGAAGTCAGAGCCAAGCATCTGGCACATAACGACGACATACGCTATCTGCTCAACATGCATGCTCTTCATAATGCCCATCTCATCCGCGAGACTCTTCCCCGTACCCTGGTTGCTCCAATCCCTTATAAACCACCCGCCGTCAGAGCCCAGTTCCATCGTGACGTGGCAGCTAGCCTCCAGGTTTCAGGGCCAGAAAAGAGAGCAATCACGCAGGCCAAAGCCAAGGAGACACGAGACCGAAAGAAGAGAGAGAAAGCAGCGGCTCAGGTAGCCACAGTACAAGGCTCAGCCAGTTCCACCATTGTCAATATCTCAGATGAAGCCGTGGATGTTAATATATGAACTCTCTTCTATTGGCATATGAATTCTGTACAGGCAATTAATGAGCAATACGTGGGTCTTTCAGGCGCCTTTCAAGCTCTGCTACTGCTTTTGATAATCGTTCCCGGCATGCTTGTCGTCGCTGAACAATCCGTCGGCACTCCATAGCCCTCATTCGAAGCTTCTCAATCTGTACGCGGACTTTCGCAAGAGTGTGATGAGCATACACTTCATCTGTATGGGCACGTGCGAGTGCATCATCGACCATGAGGTACAAATCGAGTTGTTTATGGTGCCAGTCGATGCCTCGAGTATGGGCAGGCGCTTGTAAGAACGACAACCTGGCAGGTGAGACCTGAACACACCTGTGAGTCCTAAGAACACATGAGAAAGTGAGGGGGGACGCACCAACTCTGAATCACTGTCAGACTCCATCGCTGAACCCTCTTCACCAGCCTCCGATTTCACACGAGGGATATGGAATGCATTCTGAAGCATGTTGATGAGATCAGAATCGGACAGACGGTGGACAGCCTGCTCCTGGTGGTGGACCTGGAGAAGAAAGGGCGTCAAGGCTAAAAACTGAGAAAAGGATAAGTAACATACCTCAGAGTCAATGGGCGACACATCACCAATGCGCCTGTTTATCCCAGCAGTGCCCTCTTCACCTCGATCATCTTGGCCGTGGTGCTGAGGCCTGGGGCTACTGCGCAAAGCGTCCCCCAAAAGTGCGTAAAGAGCTTGGGTTGAAACATCACTTGGGGATGTCTCAACTTGTGTCTCGAAGGTGCCTGTCGCCGCGAAACCTGTGTAGGTGTCCATTGTGTTGTGGTCTTAATACAAGCTGTTGGAATTTCTTCCCAGTGCAGTCAACAAGGAAAAACATGGAGAACAGTATGGGGAGAGGACTGTCTCATATCGCATGTATGTTGAAGGAATATGGAAGCGACGAGAAAAGGATATCGCTGGCACATCGTAAGGAACAGATCAATTGGTGGTTGTTACGATACACGAGGTACGTCTACTTTCGGCATGCCGGAGACATGCCGTCGGCAATATCCTGATCACGTCCAGAAAAGTTGGTGGTGTATAGGCCTAAAGCTTAACGCGTAACACGTAACGAGTCTAGATTAGATGGTAGATGAGATCATTTCCTGATCGATGCATGTAACCTGATTCGGGACGAAACCCATGTGGGTCAACGGATATGGGTCCGGGTTGGCTTCACAGCACTCCTACTAAAGATTCTGATTCTTGCATTGAGAAAAGCACACAGGAGTCAGACTTTCCATGCGGATGTGCTAGCTCTAGTTCTTTTGATGCTCTGGAACTAATGATGAACTGCCTTTTGTTCGGTTTTTCGGTCTTTTATGTATGCTAGCTGTGCCCTTAGTAAAACAGTATGAATTGGTCGACTCCTCTAGCCTTAGATCTACAGCTTCAGCTTTCTTATGTAAAATATTTGCTACCACTGAAACAATCATTTATGTTGCCGTCAATTCGAACGCCTCGCGTGCCACAAGCTGATTATGGGTTTTGTGATTTTGAAGCCTTCAAGGTGTGATTGGCCCGATAGCCCCCATCAACAGCGCATTTATCAGCTAGACTCCAAAAGGACTCAATTCAGTGGTGAATAGCGCAACCTACAAAATAATTCTTTGAAATCTTTCAATTGCGAATTCCTTCACGTGTTGTTGATGTGTCAGGCCATGTGACCGTGACCCACTAAAACAGTCCCGGACCGGCATGGCCGGTCACAGAGGTCAGGCTTTTTCGTCAAGCACAAGTTCAGAGTTCTGCCAGACACAAACCATGCTAGTAGTGCAGCCAAAAGGATGTACTTGATACTAGCTTTCATATCTTTTTCTTTTGGAGCAACTGGAACATGACCTTCCTAGTATTTTTGGCCAAGATTTTTTTTCCGGGGAATGATCTAAATCAAGTAGTAAGTACGCAATCAGGAACACTGCTCCTTTCGATTACTCGAGAAGGTTGATTTCTTTGATGACTTTTATCAGTACTATATGATAACTTTGTATTAGGTACCACATGCATGGTGTCCCCGGAATCCATGGGATACTATAACCAGCGACTGAAAATTCGCACGCATATGGTTTCATCACATCTGTGGATGATGATCTTGATATTGCGGGGACCTAACAAAATCGAATAGCTGCTTAGTCCCATCAGCGGCGAGCACCCTGCATGAACTCCAAGTTATTTTGTTTATGTCAATTCCGGAGTTATGAAGAGATAAGCATGTTTCAGTCTTCAGTGAGTATTTATTAAAACTGAATAATGGTATGTAGAATACAAAGGCCTATCACCAGTATCTCCTAACCCGCAATTATTCACTTTACAGTCAATGGCCCCAAAATCGGAGTCGAACACCCTTCCCGCCATTGCTATCGTGAGGAATTACATCGTCTATTCATACGGCATGCTAATAAAATTCAGGTTGGGATTTCTACTGAGCTTCCTAGTGGCCAAGTGCTGCCTGAAAACTTGGGTCATTCCGCATTTTTCCAGTTTCTCTTGGACAAGCGCCAGTCCTACGAAACGATCCCCCTTGAAAGATTTGATATCGACACGTAAGTATCTCTATTCATAATCATTCAACTATTGTTCTGAACAATGCTCCTATTAGTTGGTATGGGAAGAAAACTAGCAACGTTGTCACGAAAAAGGGATCCTTTTTGAAGTCTATCGCCCTCTTCGATCCTTTGGAATTTGGCATTTCCTCTAGAGATGTTGCGGCAATGGCGGTATCCACGAGAAAACTTATTGAACATAGCTTTCTCGCATTATTGGACTCTGGAATCCATTACCGTGGACAGAACGTCGGATGCTTCATGTCTTCCACCATGGAAACCACGTACACAACCCACCTGGTACGCCAAGTTCCACCCTGACAGAGTCTGTGAAAATATTCTGACCGTTATGCAGGTGAACGAGGAGTTGGCCGGGTCACTTGCCGGGTACCCGTACTCTGCCGCAAACAAAGTTTCCTATCATCTAGATCTTCGAGGACCTACCATTCCAACAACTACAGCATGTAGCTCCACCGCATCTGCCTTATATCTCGCTGTTCAGGCTCTCAGAGCCGGGGATTGCGAGGCCGCCGTAGTCGGAGGTTGTCAGCTCAATTACACGTACATTAATTTATCTCTGCTTTATTGGTGACAACATCGCTGAATCATTGACAGTGTAGAGGATTGGATCCAGTATAGCGATGGAAAAGTCTTGTCCCCAGACGGAGAGTGCAAACCATTTGATGCTTCCGCAGACGGGTAAGGAGATCTGAGATGGAAACCCCTTCTGATTTGTTGACACCATCAACCTTTAGGTTTTCTCGTGGCGAGGGTGTTGCCGTTATAGTCGTCAAATTTCTGGACCAGGCTATCTCTGATGGTGATCACATCTATGCTTCTGTAAGTTTACTCCGTAAAGACCAGCATCAATAAAATCTGACAACCTTCTCCAGATTCTGGGCGTCGGTATTAACTCAACTGGATCCGCGGGTCCCGTCAGTGCTCCTGTTGCTGATGCTCAGGCTGACGCTATGCGGAGGGCATTTGCCGGAACTGGTCGCAAACCTTCGGAGGTCGACTTTGTCGAGCTACATGCTACAGGTATGGCATCATCTATTTTTTTCCATTCGTATATTCATCATTATGATTAGGAACCGCTGTAGGCGATCCTACAGAAGCCAACTGGGTTGGAAAGGCGTTCCAGCGAGACGATACTTTACCTGTCGGAAGTGTCAAAGGCAATATCGGGTTGATGCATTTCTATTGCAGCACGTGTATTGAAAATTATGACCCCTACTCTTTTCCAGTCATCTAGAGATTACATCTTTCTTTGCATCAGTATCAAAGGTCTGTTCAATGTTTGAGACGAGGATTATCCCACCAACTGTCGGTATCCGCACTCTCAATCCGGCCATTGACTCTTTGAGTAGGGATGTGCACCGTATCCGTACTACGGTGGGTACGTACGGTGGATACGGATACGGGCCCGTACCGTGGCCACCTTCGACGACCCAAAATACGGCCGTATTCATACGGTTAAAATACGGTCATCGAGGGAGTGGCTAGGGATAGTCTAATACCATTGAAGTGAGTATGGATGATCTTAATGAAGTATATAACACTCATGTCTTGACTCCAGATATTCGTCGTCGCTGTAAAACTGTCCGTATACGGACAACGGTACGGACACGGTACGGATTTGAAGTCAACCGTACCGTACCGTGAACAAGAATTTTGATACGGTCTACGGCCGTATTGTTACGGCCGTATCCGTAACGGTACGGTGCACATCCCTACCATTGAGTGGAAGAAATACAGACTCGAAGTCCCAACCAGCGTCTCTCATCTCCGCACTCGTTCTCCCTCCGGTCGTCCTTTAGTCTCCATCAATAGTTCTGGAATTGGCGGTGCGAATGGTCACGCATTACTAGAAGCACCTCCATCAGTCGGTCTTCCGACGAACTCTTCGATAGATGATGGTCCCACCCTACTGGTTACTGGGGGATTATCGCCGCGATCCGCCTCAGCTAATACTGACTCCTTGGCTGCACTCATCAAGAAGTATCCAAGTCAAGCTCGGGCAATTTCGACAATTCATGGAAGACAGGCTCGCCAAATGACCTGGCGTACTTATGGGATATACAATCCCAAAGACTCCGTATTGTCCTTCTCTCCTCCGGCTCTATGTCCTCGTCAATCGAGCCGTTCTCCTATCATTTTTGTGTTCTCGGGACAAGGACCGCAGCACATCAACAGTACGTTGACTGTTTATTGCTAGTTCTGGAGCTAATTACTCGATAGTGGGTCGTGAACTCTTCAAGGCTTTCCCCGTTTTCCGGGACAGTGTCTTTCGAATGGATGCTATTTACAAGAGTGTGGTAGGCCACTCCTTGGTCCTTCACACCGGTCTCTTTACAGATGAAGCTGAGAATTCTTCACTCAAAAACGGAACTTGGCCTATCTCTATTATTATCCCTTCGCTAGCCATCTTGCAGATGGCACTCGTAGACTTACTTCGAAGTGTTGGGATTGTTCCTGACGCCGTATTTGGACATTCGGCTGGCGAGACTCCCATGCTCTACGGTGCAGGTCTGGCAAGCCAAGAGATGGCCCTCAAACTCGCCATTGCCAGGGGAAGGGCCTTCACACTTGCTGAAGATGTCGACGGTTGTATGGCTGCTATGAGCTGCAGCTCCGCTCAAGCAGGGAAAATTATTCAGTCTGCTAAGCAAGATTCGTCTGCCACCTCTGTGCTCGAGATCGCGTGTTTCAACGGACCCGATGCCGTTACTATTAGCGGTCATAGGCTCCTAGTTGAACATGCCATCGATATAGCTCGAAGCAAGGGTATCTTTGCTACGAAGCTGCGTAGCTCAGTGCCTGTTCATTCTACCCTTATGGACATATGCCATGACGAATTTCAGGACCTTGTTTCGCAGGTGTTTGAGGAGCATTCGATAGCGGCACCGTCTTTACCAGTTTATTCAACCGTCACTGGTAATCGACAGAGTGAAGCTTTTACGTCCCAGTATTTCTGGGCGAATGCCAGACAACCTGTGTTGTTCTCCTCGGCAGCAGCGTGCATGAGGAAGGACCATCCAGATGCCATATATGTGGAGATCGGACCACATCCTGTACTTGCCACCTATCTGGAGGATCCGCAAGTCAAAGCAGTTCTATGCCCCTTGATTCGGCCACGCTCTTCCACTCCCAGATCTCCCTCGGAGGCGTACACTTTCCTGGATTCTCTAGGACGAATTAATGTTTTAGCACCCAAACACTCTGAAGTCGACTTCAGACGACTCAATATGTATCACGGCTCCTTGAAAATTGTTCCTGCCATCGTCTATCCGTTCCAACGGAAGGAAATACCCTATTACCGAGGTTTATCGAACCAAAACACTTCTCAAAGTCGCATACGTGCTACGCGGAATGGACCTTTAGGACAGAAGGATATGAACATCAGTGCTTCAAGTCATCCGAGCTTAATCGATCGTGTCATATGTGGTGAACCGGTCATGCCTGCTGCTGGGTACATCGAAATGGTGAGTCACCGAAAATTGACATCCTTAACAACACGCTAAGCAAACCGCATCCTAGGCGTTCGCAGCAGGTGGTCGAGTCTTATGGAATGTCGCTTTCGAAGCAATTATGCCGCTTTCCAAGAACGCACGGCCGGTAAAGTTCGAGCTTGACAGCTGCCGATGGACTGTTGTGTCTACTGTGAATGGCTCAACGACTTCAGTAAATTTGCCTTCTACTCCCCTTCTTAATTGTGGCTGACGAAAATTTCGACAGGTAACGCAAACTCATGCTCAAGGACATATGTCAAAGGCCAACATATTACGACCGCCTGACCTGGATATCAGCACCTTTCAGTCTCAAAATACGCAACTGAGTGTAGATAGTACGTCATTTTCATGCGAGTCTTTCAAGTCGATGTTGAGGAGAGAAATTTCCTAGATCTTTATAAAGAGTTATCGTACTTCGCACAGTATGGGACCCTGTATCAACGAGTGAATGCCTGTTGGATGAACGAGCGAGAGGGTCTATTCCGGATCAGGGGTGCCGACGAAGAGATGATGTATGTCGCAGGTTATAGAGCCCTTGTCCTTAACAAATGCTGATCTTTTGCTATTCCAGTTCCGAAGGATACGTTCTTCATCCGGCAATTTTAGACTCCTGTATACATTCTGCAGTGCACCATCGGATCACGGAGAACATGGATCCCAACTCGTATTTTCTTCCGTCTCGAGTGGAAGTGGTGACTGTATACGACAAACCGGAAGCGGACGTCCTCCAGAACGATCTGTATGCCAAAATCATTAGACAGAAATGGATGCCAGGTTCGTGATCTTACAGGTTTGATGGCAATAAAAAGGATTGACAGTGCGAACAGACGCCATTGTCTTTGATGTCAGCATTGTGGGGGAACATGGCCAACACATCCTCAAATTATCAGGCCTTCAAGTTGAACGACATCACCTATCACCTGTGAAACCAATATCTCGAAGCTTCGACATGGTCCACCAGCCATATGGACTACCGAATCTGCCGTTACATTATCCTTCGGAGGCGAAGGGACCAAAACCTCATTCTCCAGAACGCGACTCTTCTCACCAAACACCTAACGGTGACACTAGTCCACTGGATCTCATCCTTGCTCAGACTACCGAACGGCTACATCGCGCTATAGACCTGATCGCTGACTATGGTATCCGAGTCCTCAGGATCTTAGATCTGACTGCGGAAGACTCTATTTGTGGAACGCTCGCGTCGCAAGTTTTGCACCTGATGAATGAGAAGCAGGTGTTCCTCGAGTACTCCAGCGTTAGACCACTGCAAACGCCATTCAACAGTTCGGACGGATGTTCCTATCACAATGTCAGAATTGAATGGGATAGAGCTAGGACAGACCAACACGACTCCTCTGTTTTCTACGACATAATTCTTGGCGTCGACGCCAACATAACCCCTTCCCACATCGACATCCTGTACGATCTTCTGGTTCCCGGGGGTAAAGTCATTATAAGCGTCGTGGACAAGGCACAGAAACCCCTCCTCAAGTTGGAGGATTTATGGCGGACGTCAATACAAGAACACTTTCATTCTTCCAAAGTAACGACAGGCGACTCTATCCTGATCGAAGCGCAGAAGATCGTCTTACAGCTTCCCGACGTCCGTCGTGGCAATTACAATAATCTGGCACCTTCGATACTATCATTTTCCTTGGGCGGAGAGTTAGCTATTCGTGGCGACATTATCCGGCTTCAAAGTTCAAACGCACCTGTAATCTGGATTGAGTCCACCATGAATATTTCAGGCGCCGCCGCTCGCGGTTTCTGTCGATCACTGAGGAGGGAGATTCTGGGGACAAGAATTTGTCTTGTGCTTTTTAACGAGATATGGTCGGCACCAGAGCGCGGAAGATATATCCATTGGCTGTCGCACATGAAAGGCCTCGAGTACGAGTCGGAATTCGTCGTTGAGAGTGACGGCCGACTCTTTCTTCCTAGAGTGGTTCCTTCTCCATCGTTCAAAGTTCCAGAAACTTCATCCGTTGAACTTGCCTCCAAGTATTGGGTCGTGAAGGATTCAGGTCAAATCACCGAATCCCCTCGTCCGCTTGTTCCACCAAACCACGTTCTTCTATCCATTGAGCTCGAATCTGCACCTATCGGTGGCCTACGGGGCGTGTATGGAGAAATCGTCGAGACATGTAGTACGGAACATCGTATCAAGACCCATGTTGCAGGTATTATCTCCGGGCCGCAATCCAACTTCACTGTTGTCCATACTGGGCAACTTCTTCCCATCCCTCAACAGTGGAAGGACCGACTGGACGCGCTTGTCCCAATTCTCATTATCACTTGCTGCATCGGTTTCGGGTCACTGAAAGACCATCCTCGAGTTCGGGAGCGTCGAGTAGTTCTCGCACTCAGGAACGGTGAAAAATCGGATCTCGGGCCCCGCCTTGTTCGCACGTTAGAATTCTTTGGTGTCTCTACAGTCCTTGCATTTGGCGAAGCTCCCCAACTCCTGGGCGTGGTAAAATCAGGCGACTTTGTCCTCTCGGATTATGATGAACACTGGGAAAGTGTGCGAAGCATCTGCGATTTTCTTGGCGCATCATTATACTTTTGGGATGACCCCGTGAGTGGAACAAGAGAAGAAGTCGGAAGGAATCCGTGGGTCGTTTCTGATGCCTTCAAAGATGACTTTGAATTTCCATCACTGTTGCTGGTCCCACCTCGGACTCCTCTCAATATCGTTGAGACTATGGAGCAGAAACTCGATCCATGTCTCCTACGTCCAGACGTATTTTATTTGCTACAAGGCGGAATCGGATCTCTTGGATTACAGATTGCTCTTTGGATGTATGAGGTTTGTTTTTCTTGTGCCTTGGCTGGCACGACAAAGGCTGATCCTCCGTCTTTAGAAAGGTGCCCGAAAGATCGTACTGACATCTCGTAGTGGAGGACGGGCGTTATCCAAGAAAAACCCTGCAGCTTCTCGAATTCTGTCCTATCTTCAAGAACAGCCTAATTTAGTATTGCATCTTGAATGTTGTGATGCCAGCTCCGTTTCAGACACACAGAGGCTACTGTCCAGGCTTCCAGGACGTATCGGTGGATGTATTCTGCTCTCCGCCGTTTGGGCAGATGGAGCGTACATGAAACATACTCAAGACACATACTATCACGTCTTTCCGGCCAAGATTGAAGCATTTAGAACCCTGGAACAAACTCTTCAGATCAGAAAGCTTGACTTTCTAGTAACACTATCGTCTGTGATCATCTTTGGCAATTCGGGACAAACCAATTACTCTAGGTTAATTGGCTTTTATCTCGAGGATAGACAGATGCTCATTACTGTGCTTCTAGCGCCAATACTGCAGTCGACTTTATGACGAAAGATTACCCTAATGCGTTTGCATTGGTAGCTCCGGCTATCGTTGACAGCGACACCGTCATCGACCCGGACACCTTGCTTCCTAACCCGTCTTTGACTCAATTGGTGCCATGGGCGATGTCCAGCCGACGTGAGTCGTTATGAGCTTCTTCGTAATAAGGTGACAATGATAGAATCATCTAACAGAATTGTGCGATTGCCTGGAGGACGGCCTAAAGAGGTTGCATAGTCAAGCATTTTGGCTCTACATCCCGGATCTCTCTTGGACAGACGTACAGACGTTATGTGGGTCATCTCCCATATACAACCATCTCCTACCGCCACCAGCCACCTCTTCTGAGGATACAATGACAAGCTATAACGTTTCGGTCGAAAAACTTGTTTGTCACTGTCTTAACATGTCAAGCGAAGAGATCTCCCCTGATGTTCCGCTCTCCGCTTACGGACTGGATTCAGTCTCCGCGAGTCGGCTCTCTCTTGCACTCCGATCTCTTTTAACCATTACACAACTGCAGCTCCTTGGTGATGTTAGCATTGGAGACATTTGCGCCCTAATTGAGAAGAAGAATGGCCACCGGCCTGGAGAGAATGGGAGGTTGCAAGCACAGGGAGACTCCATCTCCCCAAGGCTCTCCATCAGTCCAGACTCCCATATAGAGGCCATGCATGCGATGGTGCAAACCTATGCTGGGAACTTCCCTCCAGTTTCGAAAAAGCGTACAACCTTACCCATTGGTAAGGTTGTACTTGTCACCGGCACAACGGGTGGCTTAGGATGTCATATCCTGGCGAGCTTGATATCCGATCCCAGTGTACTACATATCTACGCTGTGAACCGTCTGGGAGACGTGCCTGTTGACGAAAGACAACGACAGGCATTCCTGGATCGTGACCTATATGTCGACATGGGGAAGGTGACTATGATGGAGGTGGATTTATCTGTGGATATTCGGATGTTTGACAAGGTGTGCATATCATTATGTTGACACTGAACCGTTAGTAATTGCTTAATCTATAGCTCATTGACTCAATAACGCATATTATTCACATTGGTGCGATACTATCTCGATACTTGTTATCTTGCTCTCTGACGATATCTAAGCGTGGCTCGTGGACTTCAATATGGGTCTGTCTTCGTACAAGGATAACATTCAGGGACTACGAAATCTGATTGACTTCGCCCTCGCCTCCCAAGCACGGCTCGTGTACGCAAGTTCCATTGGAGTCTTTCAAAGTATGTCCTCAATGCATCGATTTGGATAATACAAGTAATATTATTTCCTAGACGCTACAGAGGATCACTCTCTTGCTGAGACCCACATTGATGCGGAATTTGCACAAGGAAATGGATACGGCGAGTCGAAATGGGTTTTAGAGGAACTCCTACGTTTAGCTCCCGGTTTACGGTATCTCGTCGCTCGCATTGGCCAGCTTACGGGTGATTTGAATGGTACCTGGAAAGTCAGCGAATGGTTCCCTTCAGTTGTTCAAAGCGCTCCTTTCCTTGGATGCCTTCCCAATGACGATAAGGTGAGTGGTTTCCATGATTTTAACCGGAAGACACTGTTGATGATAGTATTAAGCCTGTATCCTGGCTTCCGGTAAATGTAGCTGCTCAAGCAATTATTGACCGTATCGACATTTCTTCCTCCATCGTCCATATCGTACACCCGAAACCAGTCCAATGGCCCCAACTAGCTCATATCGTTTCTAACGAGTTGAACATCGAATTGGTGCCTTACGCCGAGTGGTTCAAGTTGCTGGAAAAGTCCACTTTGGATGCAGCAGCGCTGCCAGCTATGCGACTTGTCTCGTACTATAAATACAACGGTGAGACGTTGCTGTGGAAGAATAGCGAGGCATTTGGGTTACCGAAAGTTTCGGCGGAGTTGGTGAAGACAGCAGACTTCCCGCAATTAGATGTTAATGAAGTAAAGAAGTGGCTGGCTTATTGGCGCAGGGTAGGCATGATATAATGCGGTGTACAATCACGGACGAGAGTAGAATGATGTAAGTATGTAAGGTTGGTAGCGGTTTATATCAGTTCTGGGGAATTTTGCAAGAATTGTATGATTTACAATACGTTTCGGTGCGCCCTGGGTACATGTTTCAAAGCGGGCTGTTCCTGGATTTATCCTCCTGGACTGGTCAAATACCAGCGCTGTCAGCACCCAGCGTGTCATCTCTGTATGATAGAATAGGTGAGAACACCAGAAAGCGCCAGTATCCAGGCCTAGACTCATTCTTGATTGGCCCGGATATGGTGAATTACGACGTTGAACACTTCGGTGGATCACAATCTTCGAACAGCTCGAAGGTCACCAACAGATTCAGTCACATAATCTGGAACGATGCTCGAGGCATTCGGGCCAGTGATGTCGCTTTCTACAGTGATACCTACACCAGACGAAGTGAGCGACATGGATACGCAAAAAGAAGCCAAAATTACGCGCCTGTCAAGACGAGAAGTGTGGATATCCCACCATTCTGACCGAACAGGATATCAGTATTGAGTCTGTCACCGACCATGATGGTACGTTTGGGATCGTAGCTGATCCTGTGGCCATTTCAGTACACTCAAAGATCAGGTAAAGAACCAGGCAGGTACTTCGCTCTGATGCAATCTAACATAGTAGTCGATGGTTTCCCGATACACAGTGGATCTTTTCCCAGAGCATAGCGGAGCGGTGCACTTAAAGCTCCTCCTCCAGGCAATACACCATAGGCGTTTGGATAGGTGCTGTCCTCATTTGTCACAAGAAACTGGCAGCCGGGGTTTCGAGTGAGATACTGAAATGCTTTCGATAGCTTAGTGTAGGTAATGTTGCTGTCATAACAGCACAAAACTGCCGCAACATCTGGGTCGAGAACGAAATCCGCCAGAGAAAATGGGGCCAACGTGCAATCAGTGGGATCCTTTCAGAAAGTCAGACGTTAAAAGAGGTACTAAATAGATCGTACCGTTCCACCGAGATATTGAATACCTTCTTCCTTGAGTTCCTCCTCTAATCCCGACATTCCGATCACATACACCTTCTTCTCTTTCGGAAACTTGACGACGGAAGACAAGTATACCGCAGACGCATAGGCAGATCCGTAAATTTCATCCTGCATAGCTGTTTAATAAAGGAGGGAGGGAGTAATCATGGCAAATCGCTGCTCACCACATGAGCCTCTATCCCGAGCTTGTCAAACTTTGTCTTGTATTCTCTTCTCGACTTTGTGGCATTGTTGGTGACAAAAACGATGGTCTTCCCTAGTGTATTGTGAGACTTTGAAGACCTGCGAAAGGCGTGACTTCGCACTTCGATGTCGTAGGAGGCGCAAAACATCGACAGCACCGTCGATCAGCTGATCATCATGCCATAACACACCATCGCAGTCGAACATCCAGGTATCGTAGTTGTCTATAAGCGACGTGTACTGCTCTGGGTCAGATAGGCGAATCATCGTGAAAAGAGTAAGGGACCGGCATCTACCGGGCTGATCGAGACCGCGACGGACCGTAGCACCCAGCAAGACCGGTCGTAGTCCGCGAATCGTCCTTGACTTGACTTGTGTCTTCTTCGATTCAGGACTCTTTGTCATTGCCAGCTCCCTTGTAACAGTTTCATACAAATAATTGTCGAGAAATTGTCTCCTAAAAAGACTTTTTGACGACAATTCAGACCCTGCTCCAAGCATCCCCAAGCATTTGGCTGTCCGGCCAAGATGCTGAGTGATTTTCGCTATAAAAGATTCAAACGATTAGCGTGATTACACACGGATAAATAGAGGAAATTTACCACTGGAAGTTTACGTTCAACATAATCTCCTTGATCCATCCCTTCAGTACCATGGATACGCTGGTTTCCTCCGCCATTGACTTCGCACCTGCAACAAGATCAGAATAATGATATATACGATGAAAATAACCCACATCAAGACTTGATTCGCTTCCTCTTCTTTGTGACCACCACATCGTCATCCGTTCGTGGTCTCTTCGCCTTCTCCTTAGACTGACCCTCGCTACCTTCCTGAAGTCGGACCGTATTCCATATCGCTCTCTCGACAGCCCCGCTGCCTACTGTATCCTCCGATGCGGCATCCTGTTCTTTGTTGCTATTGACACTGCCAGCGATATCACCAAGGGCGTCGAAGAGCTCCTTGTAGGTCTTCATCGTGTATTTGATCCCTTTTCGTCCTCCGGCAGGGGCAAGGACATCGACGGTTGCCTCGTCAGAGAAGAAGGGTATATGCTCGGGATATACGAGACTCAAGATCAAGGATGCGGTTGCGGGGCCCACACCTTTAAGCTCGCACAAGATGTCCATGCTTTCTTTGACACAGTCCCAGCCACCCAACTGTAGTTCTGGTAGAGCAAGAGCCCGTTGACTGCAATCCCTGACCTGGGCATCCGTATTTTTCCTGATCATGGCCCGCAACATGGGTCGATTCTGGCCAAAAGCGAGTTTGTAATCCATGATTGTCTGCAGCTCCGGTAGGGTGATACTAGGCGGTGAACGTGACAAGACTTGACCAGTAAATTTCGTCACGGCAGATAGAAGAGCCTGCTGGGAGGGAGAAAAGTCGGCCTGGCGTGGTAGGGACCGCAGCTGAGCCGGGGTACAGGAACGAAGTGCCTGCGACATGGTGGTGGCGCACTATGAACCGGGCCGCGTTCCGGTTCCTTGATACCCCGGGTTGGGGTTCGGATAAATTTGCTCTTCCCTGACTCGTTCATATAACTAGTCTCTCTGTTCTGTGCTTAAGCTCAGCAGAAGAACCCTCCTCGCAAGCAAACTTGTACACTCAGTATTCTTTCACTTCAAATATCCTGCTCCTAACTTGCTAGAACTGCTGGACCATGGCATTCATCGAGGCGTCAGAGCTGCTAAATGTCTGTGTGCTGCACTGTTTCTGCGAAACACTGAACTGCAAAATTTCCTCTAGGTATCCTCCCCGGGTCTTGCATATATCGTGCTAGGTGGCTTCGTTGTTGCTGTTCGTTCTCCTCGGCACCTTCATCTATATTCATCACTGACTTAGATATCCAGTTCTCAATGGTTTCCCTCCTGGTGAAAGAAAAGGTCAAAGGCATTCATTCCGCGTTTTTCATGTATCTGAAACCGCCCTGTTTTCATAGTTATTCATCAATGAAGTGGTCTTGGGCACAGCTGTAGGCATCATCATGGGTCCACACGTTGCAGGCATCTTCGACCCTCGCTCTTGGGGTAATTCGACGCAAACTGTCACGCTCGAAGTCATGCGCATCGTTCTCGCTACTGGACTCTTTGCCATCGGAGTAGAGCTTCCTGGACCGTATATGGCTCAACACTTCAAAGGACTTTTCGTTATGGTGGTTCCTACCATGGCTATTGGATGGGTTATAGTTGCCGGTACGTACATTCATTATATCAGATGAAAATCATACAAGTCCCAAAACAACGGAACCCATACTTTGCGTCCTTTTGGAGGAAGGCGCGAGTAAACATTTCTTTTTCTACAGTTACCAGACACATTTTCATCCCCAAGGGGTCTTGATTGCCATCGGACGATATGTCTCCATGTAACTGATTCTTTTACAGGAATACTTCGAGCCCTGTTCTCCGAACTCAACTTTGTCTCCTGTCTTGCTATAGCAGCATGTCTTACTCCCACGGATCCCATCATATGCGCTGCCATAGTTGGTACGTACTCTTATCTGTAAAGATAGGGACGCTCTCATCCTTGTGGTAGGTGGTAGGTTTGCCGTAAAACACGTCCCACTTAACCTCCGTCAAATTTTGTCGGCGGAGTCTGCAGCAAATGACGGCCTCGGTAGGTCGCACTTACCACATCGCAGTCATTATACGCCTTGACTCGTTTTTTCTCAGCTTACCCATTTCTATCGGTGTCTATATATCTAACGGTAGAAACTTCTCGCCGAGTCGCCATTGGCAAGTGGTTCGTTGTTGGCTGGTTATGTATGCATTGATACTTTGATTTCTCCCACTGTACTCACTCATTCATCATAGATGAAGTCATCCTCGGTGTCGTCTTGGGAGCTGTTCTCGGTCGTACTTTTGCCTGGCTAATGAGCATCTCCCTTCGGAAGGGTTTCATTGACCGTCAATCCTACGTCGCACAATACCTCGCAATGGCGTTCTTCACCATTGGTATTGCTAGCACTCTCGGAAGCGACGATTTACTTGCCGCATTCGCTGCAGGTCCCGTCCCACTCCCCTATTTTTTGCACTTTCAGTCTGCTGACGTCTCCTTCACATAGGCAATGCCATATCGTGGGACGGCCATTTTAATACCCAAACTGAAGACGAGATATTCGCATCGGTAATTGATCTCGTACTGAATTGCGCGTGCTTCGTGTATATAGGCGCATGGCTCCCCTTCACCGCTTTCAATTCCCCCGAATTGGGTATCACACCATGGCGACTAGTCGTTCTTTTCATAGCTATCCTAGCGCTCCGCCGCATCCCGTCAGTCCTACTTTTGTACAAGTGGATCCCAGAAATCAAGACGTGGCGTGAGGCACTGTTTTCAGGGCACTTTGGTATGTATGTATATTAGCTTTCGGTTGCATTTCTTGATCGTTTTTAGGTCCGGTGCGTTCCTTAGACTTTCGAAATGAACACTACGTTGACTATTTTACGGTGCTAGATGGGCGTGGGGGCGGTGTTTATATCGACTCTGGCCCTGACTGAACTCCCGGAGCCGCACTATCCGCCACAAAACCAACAGGAACTCCTTGCCGCTACCTTACAGCCAATTGTGTCGTTTGTCGTCTTAGGATCGATCATTATACGTACGAATTCCTCTCGTGTTTCTTCCAATCGAAAGTTGAACGTCCCTTTTTGTAGATGGCCTTTCGATCCCGTTCTTTTCCTTCGGCCGGACCTTGTCGCGCACGCTTTCCATGAATACGGATGCTTCGGCATTGATGCATATGATCGATCCCAATAATAAGATCCTGGTGAGTGCACCAGTCTGGTGCTTTGTCACTGTGACTCAACGGTGCTTAGTATCCTGAGGCGGTTGAACGTGGGGTGCCGATGAATGAGACGGGGCCGTCGAATGACAGGACCATTAATTTCGCTGTCGCCCAATAACACTGGCTGTGCCGTACTCGAACCAACCCTTTTGAGTACCTGATGCTACACAGATTAGAATCAACCATAGAAACGGGTAGAAGATACATCCGTACACAAATTGTTATGTCCTTATTCAAAATCGAATAACCCACTTATAGAATCGCGAGCATGTCATTGGTTATATTGTACAATATGTAAGTACCATCAAAAAGCTGAGTCATTGCCGTTTATCATCCCTGCTTAGCACAATAAACTTCATATTGCTTGGGGGTAAACGTTTTCTAACGGCTAGGATTAGAGTGTTAATTAACTATATAGCTGATCTTCACCTGTGAAAACGCATGCATCTGCGATATTTCGTTCTTCAACAGCTCATTGACTACGCCTAGTTCAAAACCCTGCAAGCGTAGTGATAGGGCTAGGCAAACTTACTCCACCGATGCCTCGCCAATGTCGACTTTCCCTCAAATGCCTGTGAGATTGAATACATGGATACACGAAAAACGAACAAAGCGACTGATAATACGGACCTCGCTGACGAGGATGATAGCGTAGTTCTCCCCGCACCCACTCGACTGATCTTCGATTTTCAGATATGTCACTGATATAGCATTTCTGATGGCATTCTCCAGATCCTTCGTGTTGACTGGCATCGCAGAAAAATTGTAAGAAAGGGGTCGTGGTGGTCAAAAAGATGATCTGATAACAAGATGCGGCCCGATCTCCGGTTAGTCATCAAGTGTCGATGACGTAATTCAACGTGATCGTGTTGTTGAACGACCATGGACGTGGTAAGGGCCAAGGTGGCAGCTACGCCGACCCCGGCGAGCGTCGAGGAGAGTCGCGAAAATCGCCTTCAGCGGCTCAAATCGCGCTTTCGTGACCGTGGTGGGCGAGTTGCTTGTTCTTTCTATCTACTCTCAAGAGCGCTGAAATAATTTCATAGGATTTTCCAGCCGACGGGTGAAAATAAGCTAATAGGTCTTTTGCTTGCACATCGGACGGCGCAGCAGAGACGGTCGAGGTCGAGGAGTCTCTCACCGGTGAAGACGAAGAAAGTGGTGAAGGGGAAGAAAGCGAAGAAACAGGCTGAGGATGAACCGGTTGCAGGTGCGTTCTCTGCCTTTGCTTGGAGGCACTGATGCCGACACCAAGCAGGTCCATCGACTGTCAAAGGAAAATCAAAGACGAGGGCCAAACCGAAATCGAAACCGAAAACCGAGACCCAGGCTAAACGTCGAGGACGACCACCCAAGGCGTCCGTCGATGGTACGTTATCACTTAAATATTTGACAGACTAGGCTGCAATGTACCTCATAGAACCCCCACATGCGAAGTCGAAGGCAAAGACGTCCAGGACTCGTAAATCCACTGCTGCCCCCCCAGATGATGACAGCGAAGATGTACCGCTTTCGAAAGCCCCATCGAGGAAACCGCATACAGTCAGGCACCCACCCATGACGCCTATTCAAGAGGCTGATGAAGATGAGGACGCAGAAGCAGAAGCAGAACCTGTCATAGCCGTACCCAAAGGGAAGAAGAAAGGTAAGCCTGTCTTTTCGGTCGCCGGAATGTCACTGAGTTTCGTAGCCCTGTCTACAGCTTCTAACAAATCTCGGACACCCTCCAAGGCGCGCGCAGCCTCGAAGATGAAGTCAAAAGCTGTGGACGTTGACGCTGACACGCTTGATGACCCGCCGCCAAAGGGTTCTAGAGCGGGGCTCTCGAAATCAAAGTCGAAGGCTAAGGTCAAAGCTAAGGCAGCAGAAGAGCCTGAGGTTTCAATTAAACCATCCACAGACCCATCAAAGGAAAGTCTGGTCAGCGTTACAGCCTCAAAATTGAAAGGCAAGGCCAAAACTGTGGGGAATGTTGACGAGGCGATAGGTGCAACTGAAGATCTGGGCGAGTTGTCAACATCACAGGCGGCGAAAACCAGTAACAAGTCTTCAAAGCCAAAGGCCAAGGATAAAGCTGTGGAAGACGTAGAAGTTCCTGTTCGTAAGTCAGCTAAAGCTTCGACGAAGGTCCGGAAAGCAAAGGGTGACGATGACGCCCAACCTGTTTCTGCCACATCATCGTCGAAGCTGAAGAGTGATGATCATGCTCGTGAGGAGAAGCCACCACCTAAAACGAAGCGGCCGCGTGCAGACGAGGACGGTGAAGTAGGTGGTGTCGGGAAGAAGCCGAGAGTTAAGGAGCCGCAAGTCTCGACTAAGAAACGCAAGGCCAAAGAGATTCTAGAGGAAGTTAACGTTGTCGCGAAGTCGACAAAACGGATCAAGACGTCAAAATCTCTAGTCGTTCAAGACGATGACGAACCTGTCAAGGCGGCCCCCAAAAAACGGTATGTGATTGAAACTCGGAAGCTTTCAAAGGGCTCATCTTCATGCTAGGATGAAAACCAGCACTTCCAAGCTAAAGGAGAACGTCAAGAGAGCACCTAAGAAACCGACCGTTAAAAATGTATGAGTTCGCTCATTAGCAATCTTCCCCCCCTTACGCTTTTTTAGGGTCCGCGAAAAAGTGTTATTGCGCGGCTGCATGAACCCGTACCCGTCGAAGATGAAGACGAACCGGATCCCATTGATTTTCTCTCATGATGATCTATCATTGATTTATCTGTCCTTATCGCTTTGTAATACAGACACTAATACAAACACATCACCTGTAAATACTGTACAATTATACTAAAACAAACTGCATAGAGAATGATGTCGTCTTGTTAGCTCGTGTCTCAGCTTTTCACACCGGGACTTGTAGAGCAGAGATAGGCCTGAGGATGGGTTTAGCGTCGAAAAGAGCGCGCGGACCATTATGACCGTGAACAAAGTTGGTTGGAATTAGCTGCACCCAGGAAGTTGTTGATGGGGGTGGCTCAACGACTTTGTTGTCCTTGTGGTTACGTATACATGGAAACCAAACCTCCAATAGATCCTGCGTGAGGAATTTATTTTTGGTTCTGAGCTGGAAGACCGTAAAGACCGACCCTTTGTGAACCAAAGACGGCAACGTATGAAACTGATGCTTCAAAGAGTTAGGGTGAACAAATTGACTACAAGAGTATGGGAGGATAGAACATACCGAGAGAGATCAGTAGATTCGGTAAGCCACTCCAAGCGCCCCAATCCAATCCCGTGAGGAACATGACGTTGATTCTAGCAATATTGATCGAGGACGGCTGGTAAAATCGGTGAAAAAGACCTACACTACGCCTACAAGACTAAACACGGTGAATATGGCAAGCCGAACGCAAGAAGATAGCACGCCATTGCGCTTATCGCGAGGTAAAATACGCCAGTATTGTTGCACTAAGAAGCCGATGACGATATTGAGTGTGAGCGTTGGAAGCATGATTGTGCATGTGAAGATAGTCGCTGCTTTGTCACTATAGGATTCCAAAGTTAGAGGAACTGTCAATTCTAGCCAAACAGCTTGAGCCTACAGAATACGATAGTCGATGGTACAAAACATCTTGCTTTCAGAGAGAATTACTGATCGGGGGTGACGAATACCGTGCTGGTGGGAAGAAAGATCATCAAATTTTGAAATGACAAGTATGCCGAAAAAGATGCTTACGACTAGGGCAAGGCTAAAAATGATGGTGGGGAATAGATAAGGCAGAGATATCAGCTAGTATTTAGCATTAGAATGACCGCTTTGACAACATGACGCGGTTTGTAGCTGAGTGACTGAAACATACCAAGATGCTGAAAGTCGCCCCTTCGATTCCCCTGCTCCTCAGCTCAAAAAATAGCTAGATCATGAATAAGTGGGTACAAGAAAGACATGCAGTAGAGTTATGACGCACAAAAATGACAAAGGCCAATGTCGCTCCGGCTGTCCTGGCGAAGGCACACAATTTCAGGTCTACGAGCACATATCATACGTATGCACTCACAAAGTCGGAGCCGCGCTCACAGCCGATGCTTGCATCAGACAAACACCCGCATCCGGGCTGGACTTCCCCAACTGACCCGTGATAAATCTGAAACACAAGACAGATCATTGAAGTTGAGCATCATGCAAGGAGATGAGGTCCGTACAAGAGGGAAAAGGAAAGGCAAGCTACTATCCAACTGAAGTTCAGGTTGAACCACGTCAGACATCGGGAAACCTTGGTCGAGCAGAGAACAGTCAATAGGATGAGTGACGATCCTGTCCAACCAAAGGTGTGCATGACAATGAAGATCGTTATTAATGCATTGGATGGTTCTGGCAACACGGTCGGTGGTAGCCCGCATATTTGAGCTTAAACTCAACTGACCTCTTGCCATCCTCGGGTTCCGAAGAAAAAGAAATGTCAAGGGAAAACCTATCCACAGCCTTCACAAGAGAAGCAGGCAAAAGGAAAAGAGAGAGACGAAATGATATCAAAGAAGGCATGGTTGTAACTTGTTATAAAGGAAACTGAGTCAGGATCCAAGCATTCAAAAGGGCATCAAGCTTGATTCTTCTACCGCGCTAGAGACGTAATTGAATGTGCTCAAACTTCTGTGGCTAGCCAGTTTATACTAGACGCGCAGTACACGGAAAGCTAAACCTGATGTAGTGATCAATAGACCCAGAAGTAGACACTTTTAGAGTTTCCGGTGACGAGAGCAAAAGTTGGAAACGCAGGGCCTTGAACCAGGCATCAAACCCTGTATACACAGGACTCGGAACCGGCCGTTGGTGATGATGACCGAATCTTATTGAAACAACTCTTCTCGTTGCGCCACCTGGTAGACCGGAGATCAAGATCAAACACTGCCGGAGACAAAGAATCATAATATACACTTTTTGTGTATTTAGAGGCGGGCAAAGATGTTTCGATCTTCAAGACGCGCCGGGGAGGTTGGTAGACCAGACCATGCCCACAGTGAAAGGGGCCTTTGATAACAAGACGAACACCTGTATAGTGTACAGAATAGATAATTGGCGCATTGGTTGTGCAGTTTACTGTATGACCGAGGTAGACGGATCTAATAGAGTGTAGTTGGGGCATGATAATTATGGACGTGAAATCTCACCAGACGATTTCTGTATCGTGAGAACGAAATGACATGCTGATGCAAGCAAGCCATCACCCAGTGATTTGACAGATTAACTGCCAAAGTAAGTGCCTAGAGAGTTGCATAGATCGTTGGAGTCAAGGGGACGTTCCGTCGCGCCAGCAGGAGTGGCCGAAGCGTCCGTCTTGATTCCTACTTTCCTTCTCTCAAAATAGGCTGAGACGATGTTTCACGCAGTAGTCATCTAATAAATACCTACAACCGCCTGTACTAATGTCAGATACTACTTAAGCTGGTAGAAGATCAAAGGTCTCACAGCAAGATATGCGGTATTCGGGTGATAATAATAAGCTTGTAAGCAAGTATTTCACCTGAGAAGCCGTCCTTAAAGATGGTGAAGCAATACAAAAAGAAGACGCGTAGTCATGCCCAAATCTAGGAATCCCTTCGGACACTCCCAATACCCCCATGATTTACAGAGCGCTTGATACCACTCTCCCAAACAGCCAGGGCTCTATCCCATTGATTCCAATACCATGGTTCACCTCCTGGCTGGATTCTGGCGCGAAACGACCGAAACAAAACATTCTCAAGTTCGTCCATTCGCCACGAAACCCATAGCACCACTGTTCCGAGAGCATCCACATCCAAGATATGCCCCTGTGGAATAGGCAATGGAAGAGAAGGTGGAACGACCTTGCGCCGCATACACTGTCTTCCACTGAGACGTCCCGCTTGATGCTGCGGTTCGAAAACGGAGACAAAAAGCGTTTCCGAAGACACAGTGAAGATGCCTTCGGAGCGGACTCCCAGGAGATATGCATGGGCAGCAGAAGGTGCCATGAACATGATGGTAAAGAATTTTCCAGAAAGGTAACGAACTGTTAATTCCTGGCAGTCTTCGCCCCGTGCCCTGGGCTGGAAAACTATACTAGGCGCCCCCTGGTCATTTGGCACCAGTCGAACAGTTACACCTATTTCTTCGACCTTCTGCTTGAGATATGTCTCGAGCCGTCTTCGTGTATAGGCTTCAAAGATGCCTTCCCCAAGCCACTTGACTCCGCCGCCCGGTACAGATCTCCGCTCTGAGTTGACAGGTCTTGGGTCGGGCTTGATAAATACATCTAGACGCTTTGAATAATGCAGTATCCATGCGTGGTAAACAATTCGAGGGAATGAAAGGAACAGGTCGAAGGGTGCAGCAAGAAGGATAGGAAGAAGGGAACGCGTGTCTAGCGGTTTGGCAGATTTAGCTCGGAGTGTTGCAGACAGTTTGAGCTGGCCTGGTACAGCAGGTACTGAGGCATCTTCTGTATAGAGATCGACACTGACGATAGGTAGAGGAGGTGCGTGCGGGGTGTAGGCTTTACCTGGAGGATGACTAGGTTTCCGTATACGTATTGTATAGAACCCGGACCGGTCGTTGAATGGGGACACATGGAAGTTCCGTGGGAAGGTCCATTGATGATCAAATCTGTTGTCATAGGCATGAATTCCAGTAAGTTTGAGAATAACAAGACCGACTAACCGGTTACCGCAAGAATCCTCATTCTTTCCCACTTCTAAAACATGAACGTGGCTTTCACCGAACGTATTATGAATCTGCACATTGGAACATGAGCGAAAGTTCGACGAATCAAGGCGCAGCGCTCACTTCAAGTACAGTCAGCCAGAAGACCCCTGCCTTGTAGCAAAAATAAACGGTCAGAGGGTTGATGCCTTCAAATCCCAAGTAACTCGGCATCGTCATCATCCAGACATCGTCAAGCAAATCCTCGCTGTATTCATGCGTGGTGAGCAAAGCGTTCAATTTGTCTCGTATCGACTCAGACCCTACTTGAGGCGACAGATACGGCTCCGCCCTCAGTCCGGTGAGCCTTCCCCACAGTCCACCGTAGCGAAACACCAGGCCATAACCTAGGTCTAGCTTTCCTGACTCTAGGGCCTTCAGAGATACCAACAGAGATACAGTAGGATAGCTGAAGGCGTGCTTGGATAATGCAGGAAGGAAACGTGCATGTGTCACTTGATTCTTGAGGACATATCCAAGCCTCGCAGCATCAGAGGCTGCATTTCTTGGCTTGAAGTAAACGGAAACAAGGGCAAAAGGTAGAGCAAGGTATGCTAGGGCTGCGAGACATACAGCGAGCATGGACGTAAAGAGAGAGAAGGTGATGACCAAATTGAGATCGCCGTCGCCGTCCCAATCATTTAATGGCCGGTTACACCGTCCGAGGCGTTTTTGAGCCCGTTCGTTCGTGGCGGGACGACGAGAACATCCAGCTGCGGCCTAGGTAGATGCCGTTATACCGGATGATGCCCTGCTTGAGTAACAATCCTCATCAGAGCTGGTACAGAACGTATTGCGCGCCTAATTGTCCTTTCCGCGATGTTTCCACCGACGGCGAGTACATATTTTGTCAGACGAAGTGCCTCGGATTGCGCAGTACGTCACTGCTGCTGCTAAAATTTGAAGCCGAAATTCGCCTTCCGCAATGATGATGTTCACCGAAGACGGAATCCGTAAAATATCCACCAACGACGGTCGAGGGTCATCTTATATGCGCCTATATGTGCTCCTTGCCACTATCCAATATTTTGAGCAAGACGATTCCAGCGTTGACCGATGTGGTAAGAAAGAGAGGACCAGTGGCTGGGTACCGTCTGTCATTGCTCACGACCGTGACTACGGTCGTTCGCTCGTCATCTCTCCCTTGTACTTGTATCATGACCATCACTTTCCAATAGTTTCTTGCTCTCGGTATCTCTTTTATTGCTCTATTTAAGCCAGACTGTTGGCGCTGCCATCATTTGGGACGACCATTACATCGCCGTCTTGTATTGAGTCGACTTTGCTCTTGCCTTTTCCTCTTTTTTTTCGACACTGAAGGCATTGCTTCAAGTTTTATTCCGCCGCCGAGGGTGTCCTTGACGCCGACGCTGACAGGAGTCCCCCTGGAAAAGAGAGCCATTTCCTTGCCAATATCAGGCAGCAGATTACCAGGCTGTACGACCAACAACAATGACCAGAAAGGAGGAACGGCGAATGGAGCATAGATGTTCGACGTCGTCCTCGCTGCTAGACGGCGTTGCGGAGCTCGCGGGTGACGAGTCATCATCATCACACTCAATGTCACCCACCATGACCGACTCTGTACCACCCATGTCGGCCTCTACCTCTGCCACACCACCACCGGACAGTGCTACATCATCCAAGATGTCGACGCCTCCGCCGTCATCGACACCCAAGTCCAAAAAACCACCGCCATCAGCGCCCCAGTTGATTGGACACCTGCCTGTCGCTCGCGATGAGGCACTAAGTTCGTTTACAGAGATGGCTGACAATTGGTATCAGTACAAGTCCCTGGGGCGTTCTAGGGAGCTTTTGGAGAGCATGACTTGTGATTGTACTTATGAACATGGTTCGTTTTCCTCGTAGTGTAGATTTTTATTGGTTTCACCTCTCACCGGTCGCATCCAGGCGAGGACAGCCCAGAGGATGCCTGTGGGCAGGGCTCCGATTGCATCAATCGTCTTACGCAGGTCGAATGTCTCCTGGACGATTGTCGATGTCAGTCGTACTGCCGGAATCAACGGTGGGTGCGCCTTCCGGGGGTTCCAGCATCCAGCGACTCATCTCTTCGCTTTACAGCTTTCAAAACAAAGAATATGCGTCAATTGAGATAGTAAAGACGGAGATGAAGGGCTACGGGCTTAGAGCTGAGGAGGATTTGCCAAAGTGCGTTTTCTGCCTTTGTTTCTGCTGAAGTGTTCAATAAAGACGACAGAGACACATTCATCTACGAGTACATCGGCGACGTTGTTAACAACCAGTCGTTTAAGAAACGTATGAGGGATTATGCGTCCGAGGGTATTGAGCATTTTTATTTCATGATGCTGCAGAAGGACGAGGTGAGCATGACAGCTATCCCATTCTCAATGCCCTGCTTCACATCTCGTTCATAGTTCATCGATGCCACTAAAAATGGTGGTATTGGACGATTCGCCAATCATAGTTGTAATCCAAACTGCTACGTCGCTAAATGGACTATTGGCAACACCGTACGCATGGGTATCTTTGCGAAGCGTTATATCAAGAAATACGAGGAGCTAACGTTCAATTACAATGTCGATCGTTACGGGCAAGCCATACTATTTTCCGAATTCCACGTCGGTCTCATTTGCCTGTAGGCATCAAGCACAGACGTGCTACTGCGGAGAACCGCAATGCGTTGGATATATTGGAGGAAAGACTCAGACAGACGTGTCGGCTATGGATGACTTATATCTTGACGGTGAGATTGGTACTTGTAGCTGTAATGCAATCACTAATTCGCACTTCAGCTCTTGGTATCACTGACGAGTCCGAGCTTATGGAGTATAAGGGCACCAAAAAGAGAAAGGGCAAGAAACTCGACGATCCTGACTTCCTCGTATGTTCGCTTTCCATGCCGGACGGGCGCCTGATGCGAAACCACTTTTTCAGCCGCAAATGAAATCTATCACGTTGAAGGATGTTCCGAAAGTGGTCCAGGCTGTACGACAGACGACGAGTCCGAAGGTTTTATATAAACTTCTCACGCGTATGAAGGCCAGTCCTCTGCTTTGTTGTCCTTTGGCGTAGTGCTGATGTGCAGTAGATTACCGAAGACCAAGCTGCGCTGAGGCAGATTATGCGTCTGCGCGGTTTTAGTCTTATGAAGAACATCTTGGAAGACTACTCGGAAGCGACGGATCTGATCTGTTTGGTATGAAGGCTCAGCCTGTTCTTTGACATTAATTCAACCATCCCTTTCTTAGACTTTGGAGTGCATGTCAACATGGCCATTAGTGTTTCGCAACAAGGTGGAGGATTCCCAGGTCAATGTGTCTGTGAAAGCCTATGCCGAATCAGAGAACGAGACCGTAAAGGAACTAGCGTCGAAGGTATGGATCGATCCATGATCGTTGGATAATACTCAGTTGGCGTCTTCATCTAGCTCATCGCGCACTGGGATACATTAACATTAGGTTATCGGATACCCAAACGTGCAAAAGCGGTTCGTGGTGTATGCGTTGCCTAGCATGTCTACAGTGCTTGACCTTACAAACAGGATATCGAAAAGGACCGTCCGGCGCCACGAGCTCCTGTTTACCTATCCGATAATGAATCGTCCTACAAACGCCACAAGCCTCCCCCGAAACGCAAGCGAATCGAACGAGTCGAGCGCATTCCCTCTAATCATAACTTCACTTCACCACCGACGGTTTGGCAAGGTTTTTATATGGTTGATGATCCAAATAATCCAAATGCCCTTACCCGGCCGCTGTCCCCTGACATAATAGCGCGTCAGGAAGCAATGGAAAAGATGGAGGGAGTGTTCACAAAAGAGAAAGTCGATGCGATTATTACTGCTGCTGCTGAGGCACAACGGGTTGCTGCAGAGGAGGCTGTACGTGCTGCCGCCGAGGCGGAGGAGAAAGCCAAGGCGGCGGCGGCAGCGAAGGAGGCACGAGCAGCGAAGAAGAGGCAACATCACAGCTCACATCATAGCCCCCAGAAAAAAGCGGAGACTTTTGAACAGAAAGAGGCTAACAAGGAGAAGAGACTATTGAAGCTCGTTGGCGCTGTAGTTGTGAAATGCATGTCGAAGTATGCCAAATCGATGGAGCATGATGTGTTCAAGAAGCATGCGAAGGAGGTCGGTGCCTGTCTTCCTTCCTATACCCTTACCGTTATTTATCATACCTGCATTCAGCTCACGCATATCATTACTGAGAAGGAGAAGAAGTCGCGAAGCTACCGCGATGGGAAATTGGATGCTCTTTCGGATGAGAAAGTTGCGAAGATTAAGAAGTTCGCAAAGGAGTATATTGGCAAGGTTTTGAGGAAGTCAGAGAAGCGAAAACGGATTGATGCTGTCATAGAGGCGACGCCCTCCGGGTCGGCTGACACGCCTGATTCAGCAGGAGGGGGCGATTTTGTGGATATACCGATGACGATGGAAGATGCGATGGACATCGCAGATTATGGGAGCGATGACGATGACGATGACGGACCGAGTGTTGCGCCTCTGGGGGATGGGGGCGAGGACGGTAAGAGTCCAATGGAGGTAGATCCGCCAGAAACTTCGGATCCTCGGTTACGTGCCTCGTGACCTGATACTCACATTTTGTTCCCTCATCCCTACGGCATTAAATTTATGGATTTGTTAAGTACCTTGGAATAACGAGCGTGCTACTTTTACCGAGGTATGTGTGTTAGTTGATTATCCTATTGCTTATTCACAGTATGTCCTTGTAAGGATCGCCATGACACGCTCAGTCGTAAATGTCTGGTATGTTTCCCAGCGGACGTAGTGGCGAATTCCCTTCGTACCTGATCTAATCTGATTTTTATGTAACATAATCTAGCTTGGGTGTCTTCCTCCTCCACAAATCTTACTTCTTGGGTCATTTCAAAGTTTTTTCAAGGACCCGGGATATTGTTTCTTTCATTTCTTCGGTGGAAGATCGACATGACTCAGCGCCGCTTTCTGTGCCCCCTTCAGTGATGCACAATACCGACGACATGAGACCTCGATTTTCTGCACTCAGTTCATTACAAACTACTACTGCGTGGAATACTGCAAGCAGTACGGATCTTGCCGTTCGGGACTTCTACATAAGCCCCTGGCCCTATCGCTCTCTCAGGATTTTTTCTTCACGAATGACATCTCCGCAGTTAGGCGACAAGTGCGGTCGTCGTGAGTGTTTCATTCACCTAGAGTGCTTCCGAAAAGTCGCGAAACGACATGTGCTGAAAATGGGTAGCCTTTGACTCTCCGTCCTGGGAGGACTATTGCGACGACTGTGCCTCAATCCTTCTTGCAATGGAGAAATCGACAATTATCTGTTCTCGTATACATCCTTCCAACTGTTTCCCCTTGATGCAATATCAGGTCTTTGGTCCTTGCCAGCATTCCAAGGGTAATGTGCAGAAAAAGCCTGAAATTTGGCCACACCTAGAACGGCTAGACAGGTTCCGTCGACATATAATTCAACCGCCTAGAACCTGGGGCGTAGACATCGACGAATTGCCGTTTCACAGTGAGGAGGGGTGGTCGTTCTGCTCTGAAATGTTTCATCGCGCGCAATGATGCCCGTTGAAAGGAGCTATGTCTCAATGCTCTTAATGCATGTTGCTGGCTGTTGACCTTAGCAGAAGCTCGACTGCTTCCGTTCCGGCACTGCAGGTCGGGAGCGTTTTAATGCCACGGGAGTCCAGGTGTTATTTTCTCTCGGTGCTTATTCAATATATTATGGACGAACTTGAAGAATGTCCTTGATGTCTCTTCTTGTTGCTGTTGCCTTGACCAAGAAATGATAGGTGTCACCGATCTTGGGAAACATAATCACTAATCGCTGTTTCCAAGGGCCTGATCCACCAGGATTGTCACATAGAATAATTAACAGTTGATCGCACGGATCCTTGCTCTCTTCGTCAATGGAATAACCTGTTGTCGTTTGCCTCCAGCGCCTTTGGCGCGAAGGCGGATGCTTTCAACCTGCTATGTCCGCCTTGACACACTCGCAGCAAGTGGCGGCTTCATCCCATGAGGTTTATTTTCTTCTTCTCGTCAAAGAGCATGGTGTACAAGTCGTGGCTTGACACCACCAGCCTTCAGGTTTCCAAAATACCTCCATCGATGTCATCATCTCCATATTCTTCAGGCCGCCGCGTACTGCAACCATCACTGGCCTGTCATGCATTCTTGCTTCTTGCTGCTTCCAGGCCTCTCAAGAGAGACCGTAACTCGACGGTTTGTTTGTTGCCGGTTCTCAGATGCTCGCCAGATGTCCCTGCTATTGGAGTCGTTACACGACGACGATCATTGCACCGGGAACTGGATAGTCCGAATCTGGTTTCCTAAGTCCTTGGGCGCTCACTGAAACTCAAAGTACCTTCTCCATAAGGAGCACTCAGAAATCTGTGGGCAAGTCTTTCGCTATTGACGGGTTTCCGAATGGTACGAAGCACCAATAACGATGTCCAAGTTTTCCGTTTATGGCCGAATGGGATACTGTCTTGGCCTACAAGTCGCTTGATCCCTTGGAGCAGATATTTTTGGGCATCATGAATCATGATGGGAACCAACCGTACGACTCTTTCTATGTCAAGTTTGCATCGAAAAACTATAGCCACCAGCCGGTTATATGATTAGTCCGCTTTTCAACCATCGTTGTTGGCGCTGGTAAGCCAGTCCCTTCATCGGTTTCTTGCATTCTTTTAATTGATTTACGTAGTTGCAAGGCACCAACACATGTGGTTGACAGCATTCAGTGGTGGCGGTACATTTGTGTTTGTCTTGGCCGACGAAAATGTTCTTGTTAACCTGATCGGAAATTTCCTTTATCCCGATCCTTTATACCCTCTTATTCCTCATTCCTCATTCCCCCTTCCTTCACGTCGTTTCCTCTTAATCCTCCTTTTCGATCTCCATTTCTTCTTAATTGCCACCATGTATGCAGCAAGATTTTTTATATTCGTCCCCGCATTCGTTATTGCCTTTGTGGAGGCCCTACCAATTCATAACCACTGGCGACACCACCGTGCACCGTCAGCCTGTTCATCGACAGGAATTTCTTCCAGGCCTGCTGCCTCTCTGACTGCCACTGCGGTGTTGTTGAACAATGCCATCGAATCCAGCACCGAATTTTCTAGTAGCTCAGCAGCCACCTCTTCCTCTTCCTCGGCCCCTTCATCAACTGCTTCGTCTTCCTCCAAGTCCAATGGCTCTCTATCATCCCTTTTCCCTGTGTCCTCAATCATTGACTCTTGGACGACCTTCACGTTGAGTAACGACGCCCTTCCTTTGTCGGACAGCACTCTGCAGCCGCACAACGAGATCACCGCCCTCCCGCACGACTATGTGTCTGCTCCCGATGGTGTGGAGTCAATGAAGGCCTTCTACCCCCAGGGATCCTACACGTTCAAACATAATCCTCAAGGCGGCTTCTCCTTTTACGCTCCAGGACCGGACAGTCTCGATTTGACCACTGCAAAAGAGGCCACGTTCGGGTACTCTGTTTTCTTTGAGGACGGGTTCGAATTCAATAAGGGTGGGAAGCTCCTTGGGTTATGTGAGTACTATTCTCTTATCGGAGGCCTTGGTTCCTGACCTAGACTCCTCATCATAGATGGAGGCAATGATGAGGATACTGCTCAGAGCTGTTCCGGTGGCCGCCGTTCAGACGAGTGTTTTTCTACTCGCTTGATGTTCCGTACGGACGGTGCTGGGGAGATCTATACATACCTTCCCCCCAGCTTTGACGTCAATAGCAACTTTTGCAATGATGAAGGATCGGAGTGTAATCCGACCTATGGGGCTTCCATCGACCGTGGTGCTTTCTCTTTCAAAACAGGAGAGAGGACGACGGTGAGCCAGCGCGTACGCCTTAATGACGTCGGCCAGGAGAATGGAGAGTTAGAGCTCTTTGTCGGCGGCAAGAGCGTCATTAGCGCTAGCGGCCTCGTTCTCAGGAATAGCGAAGAAGGGAAGATCAGGGGTATGATGTTCCAGACGTTCTTTGGTGGTATGCCTTGATTTCTCTCCTATACCTTGCTTTCCGGTGGCTTAAACGGCGTTGCAGGATCCACCTCAGATTGGGCATCTCCTCAAGATCAAAGCGCATACTTTTCAGACTTCTCGGTTGCCATTACCGAGAGCCTTTAAGATGAAACGGAAATCCACAGATTATCGATGAATTTACTCATCACCGACGTTCACTAAACAACTCACTCATTAATTCAACAAACGCTGGAACGATGTTGAACACACGCCCTCATTATTAAACGCATTACGCTTTACACGCATGTCTCATTGCTTCTGTCACTTCATGTATTACTATATCTCTTTCACGGCTTGATATTTACCAAATTTGCTTACGACTACCCGTACTGGACCAGCTAGATATACCAATAGGGAGTCCCAATGACTTCCCGCCGAGGTTTCTGGGTTTACGCTGGAGTTTCTTCTTTTCACTGTTATCAAATAAATGCAATAGATATAGTCTTATAATCGGATTGACGGTTCTAGAAACACGCTGGACGAATGGAGATCTATTTCTCTGATCTTATCTTATCGGAGCCCAAATTTTTTGTCCTTTCTCTTTTCCCACGTGCGCAGTCCCGTCAACGATGAGCGCGTCTGGGACAAAACGCAAACGTGAAGAATCTCCAGAAAGACTTTCATTTACTGTCTCCAGCACTCCTGCTAAGCCTGGGACTAATGGGCCTGTGCTAGGTGCGAGAAATGTTCATGAAACATTTGCCGGTATTGATGACATTCTAGTAAACTTTCCTGGTATCGATGCTCCTGCATCAACCCCGTTCAAGTGCTATGCTCGAAAAAAATCCAAGTCGAAGACCAAGGAAAAGGGGAAAAGTGACCCAAAGTCCAGCACGGATGCGATGATTATCATTGGAGAAACGCCGAGTGTAGAGTTTGTCTCCAATGAAGAAGAGAATAAGCATATTGCGGACTCTGGCTGTCGGTGCGTGGCCAGGTGCTCATCTTATGATAATTAAGTACTAATGGTGAACATTAGTTATCTGCTGGCGGTACATAACCCCCGAACATCCTCGCTGACCCTTTTGCCTACTCCGGCACCCTTGCATTCGTTGGCACGCACCGTCAAAGCGCTGAAATCTGTTCCGGCAAGTTCTATACCAACCCAGTTGGCCTACCGTGAAGCAAGAAATGCACTTGGCGAGTCATTTGGAACGAAAAAATCACAGGCGGCTATCCGCGCACAGGAGCGTAACAAGGTCGACATCAGTGCTATGAAGGGCGTGATGGGGTATGTGCAGGATGCCATTGATGTGGGTGCAGTGGGGTTGCCTACTCTACGTATGTTTTCATTACCATTGCTGGGCGGTATGAATCATTAATGCACTTGGGTAGAGGAAGCTAAAGAAGCGGCAGATATGAGTCGCCCGATCCCGCCGTATAATGCTACAACGAGCGAGCCAGCGGAGGTGTATAATTTGCATGATATTATCCCGGAGAACGAATGGAAGGCGATACCAACTGAGATATTAAACAAGTCTACAAGCGAGAAAGACAAAGTTGCGCTGTTGCCCGCGCGTAACTCGGATTGGGTGTATTCAAATCTGAAACGTCTAGATTTGTCGGAGAAGGGGACGAAGAAGAAACTGTGGGTGTTTTCTGCTCTGTTCTCTTTCGTAAACGCTGATGGCACCTTTTTGTTGCAGGAAAATAATATACTATATCTCGGCCATGCTTGCTTTCCGACGCACGGCTGGGCATAAAGAGGTCGAGAAGGCCAAACTCGAGGAGCGTCTGTCAACCATTCCTCCTGTTATCTTGGATAGCCTCTTGGCCCGGTTTACGGAGTTTTCTAGGGAATCTACTGTGTGCGTAAATATAGCTATTGGTGCCACCGCGTAACTGATTTCCCTACGTTAGCCATCGAGTGACCAAGACTTCGGAGACCAGGCTCCTCACGCATCTTTTTGTGTTATGTCTCAAGGTCGATGATTATGCTTCGGATCCCAGTATCATTGCGCATGACCTGTCCATTCCCCCTGCTCAGTAAGCCTTCCTCTGAAGTCGTTTCAGCGGCCCTTACTCATACGTTACCACTATTACAGAGTAAACCAGCTGTTCCGGAGTTTAGGTAACTCGCGAGTGCTTCGTATCAGACTGGAACTCATGCTTTGAACAATAGGTTGTCAGATGAAGAAACTTGGCGAGAGAGATCGTGCGAGATACGGGACTGTCCAACGATACTGCTAACACGAAAATGGCCGTCTTGACGGCTCCGGTGCAATTCCCGAAGCCGCCGAGGAGGAAAGGGAGGAGTTAGGTGTTCTATTCATGTCCAGACTCGGGGTGTATACTACTGATTATACGGTGACTAAGTATTAATCCTCTTCAAGCTCGGCTACGCCCGTAATATTACTTCGAAATAAATCCACTTTGAGATATAAAAATAGTTCCTTGGATATGAATTCAATTGACTTGATCGCCGGTCACTGAACAAATTTTTTTAAAGTTGTGTCAAAGTTAGAACAGCACTTGCGGAGGTGACTCCTACCTCATGGGAGTCTGTGTAAGTGAAGGACTCCGAGTACGTGGCGGGCGAAATCTGTCCGTCGTAAGAATGTGTTAGTCAAAGCGAGAAGGGAGGGGGGAGCCAACGGACGGGAAAAACGCGATTTGACGTTTGAGACGATCTTCTTGTGTCGTTTGTGGTGGCAGGTCGTTGGCTGGACACAGTATAGAAGACAGATTGAACACCATTCACGGTGGAAGGCATCATCCATGATATGCATGGGATGGGAAGGAGGTTTGTCATTGGGGCATCCACATCGAATGAAATAGTGCGAGTCACTGTGGGGGCAGGAGGGGCACTTGAACGGTAATGAGGACGGCGAAGTAGAAGAGGGCATTGTTGGGGTATGGGACCTGGAACAGCTCCCAACAGCCTTTAAGTAAGTCCAGCGGGATCTCGAACGGTGTTCATTGTTTTGGATGTACGTTAACGGTTCTCGGAGCTGCAAAATGTAGTTCTGAGTATTTCAACGCGCCATCACGTCGGGGTTCATGGATTATGGCTAAAACATATTGTTCGGGGACCTTGTCGTACGGCGCGTGCGTGGCGCGTGTTGGCAACGACTTATTTGTTTAAGTAGGTTGAGTTTACTTTTTGCGAAGGGTTATTTCGAGTTGGCCGTGATTTAATGATGGATGGATAGAGCCTGGGATCCCGGATCTTGCAATCGGTAGCACTTGTAAGACGGTGAGACTTTCTTGGCTTGCGGTGCTAATTTAATGAACTTGTTGCATGAGAGCGAACCTCACAGTGGCCAGAGAACGCCGTGTGGCGCGCTACCGACTTTGGGGTGCACCTTGAAGGCCTATAAGTTGAAATTATTTATAAAAGCACCATGGCGGTTGGTCAATGGTCACTCGTCTGCTATTGAATGAAATTGTGGCGCCGTGAATTTCCTTTTCTGTGAAGTAGGTAGGTTTGCAGACGGCACCGACCATTTGCCACGAGTCCACCGTGGTAATTGGTCATAGTGGGTCCTCGTGGGTGCTCAGGTTCATCATCGTTTCCTTGACAATTTGTGTTTACCGAGCTTTATCGTTGTCAACGCACTTACATATAATAGCACGCAGTCCTGGTCATTAAACTTGGGTCCTCTTGGCTCTCATTGGCTTGAGCTGGTTATGTGAGCTCATAAAGTACGGGACCGTGGAACGGACATATGACTAGATAAGATTCGCATGAAAGTTACATGGAAGGCTCCAATGCATTCTATGGTATCGAAGAGAAGCGAAGGAGCGGGGAGAGGTTTAATAATTGGTGGCGTGGTCGAGAAACGGTCCAGAGGCGGGTATCGGAAAAAGAAAGGTGTAGAGATGTGTACGCGTCAATAGATCGCTATGTAAAAGGTAGGGTATCATTGTGGGACTCGACGTGAAGGAAAGATCGCAGATAGGGCGGATATTAGATGTCGAAAAAGGTCCATCATGTAGGATAAGAGTGGGTGTTTGTGAGCTTTATCTAGAAAAAAGGTGAGTAGGCGGCTGTCGAGGGGAGGTATCTTGACAGACGTACATAGCTCGATGTTGAGCTGCTCGTAGTCATACGCGGGGCCCGTGTGCGATGAGTGGTCCCCGCAATACACTTGGCAATCGCAGCACCATAGTTTGTGGTAGGCATCGCTTTCACCGCGACGAGACATAGGAGACCAGGGCGGTTGGTCATTGGGGTGGCCGCACCGAACAGGATAGTGCTCGCTTGAGCTATGGGGACAATGATCGCACCGTTCTGGCATCAAGAGAAATGGTCGCTGGGTAAGACGTGAGGCGTTTGAGAACACGAGAAAAGGCATGGAGGTAGGAGCCAAAGGAAGTGACTGTCTGTGGGGTAATACTTATACAATGCGTAGTCGCCGAGAAAGTCATTGGACAATCCTCATTGGATGACGAGGGTCACTGATTTGATAGGAATCCAGAAATAGCGGTGGAAATTTTGGAGAGCTTTCCGACCGGTGAGCATTCGGGCTTCGTAAAAAACGTATGACCGCCGGTCGCGGGCTGATACTGCTGACGCGCTTGAGATGTCGTGGAAATGAAAAACATGAGATTTGTGAATAAGTCGAACGAAATAATGGACAGGGATGCACACTTTGAGCGTCCAGACTAGGGGTGAGGTGTCCAGCGAAGTTTACTCAATGGCATGCTCTTCTCAAAATGTAGTGCTAGGAAAAGGCTGTATCCCAGTTCCTGACTCGGTGCGAGGAATCGGGCCGTTCCTGAGGGCCGACGTCGTTAAACGATTGAAAACCGAAGACATATTGAAAGGGCTGCTCACCCGTGTGGTGATAACCTATGGACACGGATACCGAATCGTATCACCGGCGCATCGGGTCGTCCAAAAAGAGTAGTGTCGGGCCCAGAGATCGTAACTGCTCCCGATACCGCCATCTATACCCAAGGAGGTGAGCCGACGCCACTGACAATCCACGAATCGTAGCAGCAAGAAGAAAACGACACTCCGGAAGCTTGCAAAAGGAAAAGTCAAAGCGAACAAGTCGACTGGCTGCGCAGAATTTTCCGTTTTCAAGTACAACTTCAAGCATGCTTACAGTAAGATTACAATGTTCCAGTAGATTTCGTCCATGAGGGTAGGATGCTTGCCGGCAGCGTTATTTAACGACTCCGATTGGACCTGGTTAGATAGTTCGATTGCGTATATAATTGCAGTATCCGAAATTCAGCCTCGTCGGGCCCTCGACCTATGGCAATGTCGTTCCCGCAATTGGCCAGTTGTACTTCGGATGGAGACGGGATGCCACCTCGGATAATTCGAACCTGTTGTATCTCGTAAGTCGGGCGTCTTGGCTGTTCAGGTTTGAGGAGCCTGGAAATGGACCTTCTTCCAAGATTTTTTTGAGGGATTTCCATGCAAATTTTCGGGAAGGACAAGAGACACGGAACACGTTGATGCCGTACGACTATATTATGCTCAAGACAATATATGACGGTGTAAGATCAGAAAGAGACCTGTTACCGCTGGGCGACGCCACATGGAACGGACGGCAGAAACTGTTAAAATGCGGCAGGAGAGCGACGAAAATGAAAATGCCAGAGTAGCAATTTGCGGTCCGCAAAGCCCGGGAAGCGCCTGTTATTAGCCATTTTTTTTGAACTTCCAAGGATAAGTTGACAACTCCATATCTATGTAATGATGACGGGCAGATTGAAGGACACAAAGCACAGAAATGGAGACAAGGAGACAGGATAGAGAAAAGAAACAAGACAACCAGTACGGAGATATCAAGACCAGGGACTCGATGAACGCGGGACAGGATTGCTGACGTCGAACAAGAAGATGGTTCTAGTTGATGAAACATTTTGGAATTAGATGGCAAAGGGCAGGGCCGTCACACTATGTGTCACGTCACGGTGAATTCCATCTTCGATCCCTTCTACGACGACCCTCTCGACCCTTACGCGACAATCCGGACGACGACAGGCAGCGGATCTGTATGGTTCAGCGTATCGCACCGTGTGCTACTTGTCGCTATACATCGTGACAGGCTCCTTGTTACGGTATCCGGATCAGTAGCCTTGGACATCAACTCAGGCCTAACACTGACGCCGCATATCAGCAACCTGTAGCTCGTATATTGCTTGCTAGGCCATTTTCGGGTACCCAGGCCAGGAAGTCAGGGTAGACACGCAGTAGCGACGCTGGTGACGACGAACGTATGGCATCGAGCAGCTCGTCGAACATTAACGGGGGCGCCAAGTCGTCGCGGTTTTCAACGCTCAAGGTCTTCAAATTGCACAAGAAGGAAAAGGAATCCTTGCTTCCGCCGCCACCACCACCAAAGGACCCGTACTATCTCAATAACCGGTCCTTAGCTTCACTATCTCCAGACTCTTGTCTCTGCCAAGCTCCCCTCTTACGCCTCCCTTCCAGTACCCGTTTGCACCAAGGAAGCAATCCACTTTTCCGCATCCCTAATAGCTCCACCATGTCACTCATATCTTCATCGGCCTCTGCAATGTCGTATACGCCTGAGCAGGGTCAGCATTTAACCTCCAAAAAGTCGGGCTTTTTCAGGTTCAAACGGAGTCCAAAGTCGCCGTCAGTGAAGAGTTCCGTGAAGGATGAGACTTCAACACTCCAGTCGTTTGATTCGAATGATGAAGGCATCTCTATGCCATGGAACTTTCAGGTGCGTCGCTTTGCGGTGGTTCGAGTACGATTTCTCATGCCTGATTTACAGCATAATGTCCATGTGGATGAGGCGTACGTCCGCCCTTTGCTTTGCATTTTTCCTGTTAATGTTGCTATCTATTACTAGGTATTCTGGTCTTCCGCCTTCGTGGGCAGCAAAGCTAGTTGATGCAGGATACTCGGAAGAAGAAATGGCCGCAATACAGGAAGCACGTCGGGCAGGTACACGGTCTCCGGCATCACAGTACTTGTTTTCGGACCGGCCTCGATCACCAGGGAACGATACTTCATCTACGCGCAACACGTCTGTCGTAACACGACCTACCCCCAGGACTACCTCGCTTCCTCGTCAGTACTCGGACGCTTCTCTGAGTAAGAAAAATCACCAAAGAGCTTCGCCAACAAATGGCTCTATATCATCCAATCACACGACGCCGAGCAAAAGTCCACCTGCGCCCGTAAATATCTGCGCAAAGAAACCGGTGCCGGGTTCGTCACGAAGACGAAACGATTCGGGAGCGTCTTCGACATCATTATCAATATCAATAAGCTCTGAACCGCACCTTTGTGATGTCCACGAGTCGAGTCCACTAGATGTAGCGTCACCGGCAGGGGCTGATTCCGGCACACCTTCTACCCCACCTAGACGAGTGTTTCACGTTACAAACGGCTCAGCATCTATGCAATCTCCTCCCCCTTCCTATTCCAAGTCCCTGCTCACCGATAATGGATATCCAGTTGACAAAAAGGATCGTACACTGTTTGAGTCTTCATCCCACTCAACGCCGCCCTCATCATTCCCTGCACCTCCATTAGATTCCGAACCTCCTCGCCATAGATCACAACACAGCGTCGAAAGTGTGGCTTCACGCGACGCATCAGTGTCTTCCCACATCAGATCAAATTCGTCACAGTCCTCGGTCAAGGAGAAACGGCGGTCGAAACGATTCACCACATTACCGCCTCGATTATCATTGCATGCTCACGAGGTTTCTGATCTTTCTTCATGGACAGAAGAACTGATATCTGCCATACCGTCTGCCCTATCGAGCTCGGATAGCGGGCCTGTTTCCGGCTCATCTGCGTTTGCTACAGCTGGGACGGAGCGTTCAACCGCAGAATCCTTCTTGTCCGGGTCATCACCGTGGCGTAGTTCACCAAGCGGTGAAACTGGTATGCTAAGCGCAAGAAGTGACGTAGGATCGTCGAGTGCATCGTCTCAAATATCTACCGGCCGACCAACTCCTTCAAAGAGAACGCCACCACTTTCTGCATCCTCGTCGAGTAGGCCATCGCCTCCTTCCCGTCCCATCCCACCCGTTGTCATCAATGGTGATCCTGATGAAGATGAACCATCACCATCACTGCCTCCGCATACCGTCATCACCTCATCCCCTGGTCCATCTTATGATGGAGAGCCACTTTCTCCTGCGTCTGTACAATCGTGGGGTGAATTATCGGGTATTATCAGCAGGGACGGTAAGTTAAGCCCAGATCCAAGGTTCTACGCGCCTGCATTGAGTGAAAGTCATTCCCCTACGCTACTTTTGATGCCTGGAACCACTGCCACGAAGAAGGTTGATGAGAAGGTACGGAGCGTATGGTTAGATGATGACGAAGAGGGGCGGAACTTCTTGAGTGCTGAAGACGGTGACCGGGAGAAAGATTCGAACCGCTTTTCAAGCCAGAGCAGTGCATCGACGATGTCTACTGCTACTGTCACGGTGTCAACAGTCCTTAGAGGGCGGGCAGTGGCTAACGTGATAGAGAAGACTAAGCCCGCTCCACTACCAAATGTAGGGGTAAGCGAGAAGAGGGAAGATAACAAGGGTCTTCTACCTTCGCCTACGGCAGCCGACTTCATGGGTACCCGCTCACGATCTCCAGTGGGCAGACATCCTGGGTCACCTCTTAGCTCTCATTTCGGAAGTGAAGAAGGGTCTGGGTCCGGGTCGTCGAGTTCACAATCTCAAGAGAACCAGACGCCAACGACAGATGCTGATCCTGCGCTGTACTGGGACGAACCATCTCCAGATCCGAATAAGACGTTATTCGAGCCCGATCCGCGTGTAGGTGCTCTCGAGATCGGATACGTTTGGTGGTGTGCATAAGGAGGAGTTGGCAGAAGAAGAAGACGACGACGACGAGGACGACGATGGTAGTAACGAGCTTGATGACTCTGATGAGGAGGAGGCCGAAGTCGAGCATGTCAACATAACATCGACGCGGCCCACCATTATTATCAGCAGTGCAAGAGCTTCTCTGGCTCCGGTGACGTCGCTTGCGTCTGCTGGTATGACACCGGTTTCGCCTGCTCAGCGGTATCGTGGGTGGTTGTCCGAGGTCGTACGCCCATTGGAGGAGTTCATCGACGAGCCTGTCGATCCTAGGGAAGTTTATCTTGACCTGCAAGAGATTGCGGAAGGCGAGAGTGGCTCAGTGTATGCGGCCACCCTTGCGGATGATAAAGCACACAGACTAAAGCTACCGCCCCTTATCAAAGCGCAGGATAACGATAACGCACAGAACGGCATCAAAACGCTCGTGGCCATCAAGAGCGTGGCGATTCTCCCATCTGGATCGGAGAAGCTTGTTGATCTGGAGCGCGAGCTGAAGCTGCTGAAAGGTCTGATGCATCCCAATGTCCTGGGTCTGGACGCGTTGTATGTGGATCTTCAGGAAGATTCTTTGTGGATACGGATGGAGCTAATGGAGAGGAGTTTGGCGGATGTGATTGGGCTGGTAACTGAAGGCTTGATGCTACAGGAGAGGATGATGGCGCGTTTTGCGAGTGATGTGAGTGATTATATCCTTTGAGTGTCAGAAGCGGACCGCTGATATCGTGCTTTTAGGTGTTGGAGGCGCTTGTGTATCTTCAATCACATGGTATCGCTCACCGGGATGTTCGGTCGGATAATCTCCTCCTCAACAGTCACGGAATACTCAAACTGAGTGAGTAGAAATTGCCAACAGTTTGTATTCGCTAACACTACACGGATAGCCGATTTTTCCAATGCCACCCAAACTTCTGCCAAGTCATCAACGTGCTCTGATCCTGTCGGAGTGTTGTACTGGCAAGCTCCGGAAGTGCGAAGGTGCGTCCTTTGTCTCCGGTGAAATATCTCTCCACATATCTTATTATTCTACATTTTTAGTGGATCTTATGATCCCCTCAAAGTTGATGTATGGTCATTGGGAGCAACGGTATGGGAGATGGCTGAGGCCGAACCTCCGTTCTTCCAGACGTCAGAAGCTGAGGATCGCTGGCCACCGTTAACACATCCAGAGGTGTATTCCCCAGCGTTTCGGGAATTCCTACGTGCATGTTCTGACCCTCCTGCGACGCGGCCTTCTCCTGCAGTGCTTGCTATGGTATGCGTTTTCACGCTGACTTGAACTTGTTCTTATATCGTCTTTCAGAATCCCTTCATTAACAACTCGTGCGGTCGCCCTGTCATCATACAGATCTTGTCCCAATGCATGGCTATTGAAAAGATAATACAGGAACGGGAACTATCACCTCAACCATAGCATATACCCCCTACCCCCTTGGTTATACACTAATATCTTATTCATCTCATAAACCATTTATGTTTCCTGCTACGCTTTCTACTGCATTTTTTAGCTTTAAGGACTCTCTCGCTACCATATCATTTTCGTCTTCGCTACATTCTGCAATGAAGGTCGATGTCTCCGCCACGAATCCTACATGATCGGTAATTAGGATGTGCATTGTTGTTATATAGGGCTATTCTTACCAAGAAGTTTTCCGCCGTGTGTCTGCCACAATGTTTTTGAGCACACCAGGGCATACAACCGCACTTGAACATCCTCTGAACGGGTATGCATCAGAAGATCGAGATTGATTGACTTGAGCAAGACGTCATCCGTTGCATTGTCCGTGAGTGCGCATAACGTGTCTTGAAGGAGTTGCTTCCCTTCTGGAAGGTTCAGCTTCAAGCAGACAGGAACTTGAGATATCAGATGCGGAGATATATGCCGAATTTTGTTATCCCGCCAAAAGACTATGCAGTGATAGTTAAGTCAATGGTCAACAAGTATTAGGAGCATCTTACCTCCGTCATCGTAGTTCATGCTCTTCGTGAGGGTCTCCAGCACGGCCGACCATAATGCGCTGTTGTGACTTGAGGAGGTGAAACTCTTCAGGAGATCGATGTACGGTTGTAGGAGGAACGACATGTATGGACACATCAACCCCTGAAAGGTACACTGTGAGTGGGAGCATTGACGTACAAACACATTATGTATACCTTAAAGTAATCCAAAAGACTAGAATAGACATGACAGAACGTGACCTTTCTCGTCGCGTCGTCTAAAAAACCAGTTATACCAAGGCCTTGTCCGTAGACCAAAGACATACCAGGAGCAGTCACGAAGGCCCAATCGTAAAGACGTCGGAAGAGAGGCCTAAAAGTATTTTCGTTGATCTTGACGATCAGCTCGAGGAAGGCGGGTATTACTGGTGTTCGAGACTATAACAAGGTTAGAGCAAGAAACGGACGAACGGAACAGCGTACGAGATCACTGTAACTCAAGGCGCCAAATGCCTCTAAAAACGTCTTAAAAAGGGTTCTCAGATTGTCCTGGATAACCCCTTTGCTGGCGACACGAAGGGATTTCTTCACGATATCGAAGAAAGCATCGTACTGGTCCTAAATGGTGTATATATTAAAGCAAAGAAAGGATAGTTGACAACCTTTTCTTACAATGGATGGATTTGGTAACAACGACGCCCATATCTGGGTGAGAGTCGGGACGAGGACCTTCTCTGGGCCTTTCTTAGTCATAGTCTTGACAAATGATGTTAATGGCGCGGTTCGCGCTCCTTTGGGAGTGACGATGAAAAGCTTGATGACTTGAGTAAGTTCCCCGCTTCCCCAGAACGGAGGAATCGATGATAAAAGCCCATGCAACACTTCAGTCGTAATGATCATCAAATCTGTAATGAACTCGTTAGTGTTGCTGATATATAAGGCTAGCAAGCACCTACCCTCTGCTCCATCACGAAGAGCACCTACGCAAAGATCGACGATCTCACGGAAGAAAGGAATAATCCTGGGTCCTAATTTCGCACTACAGCAACGTCAAAAAGAAGGCGGAAAATAAATGAGGAAGAACATACGCCAGAGGCGACAAGGCAGCCATCGCATAGATCGTGTTCCTATTTCCACGGATATCAGAGACCAACACAGGAAGAACTTGTGTAATTGCAGCCTCTTCTCCAGAACAAATGTGGGCGCCAATAGACTGTAAAGCCTTGAGACCCGAGACCGCAATAGGTCCAGTAGGGAAAGAAACGAGGAGGTCTTTCGTGCGCTCAATGATCTTCACAATGGCATCGGTAGATTTTCGACGAACGCTGTCCGATACCAGGGGTACCCGCTCGGCGATGAGATCTAGAGCACCGACCTGTACCTGTAAAATAGGTCAAATGACGCATTCAGATCAACCGTAAACGATTACCGCTTGTTCGGAAGACTCGAGCATGACTATCGCAGAATTCAAGAAGTCAACAGCAGACATGACTTTGAGCGCTTGCGCCAACGACAGACGCGAAGTTTTGTTCACATCTTCCATTCGAGTATCGGATCCCTGACCACTTGGAAGAGTTGCCATAAGCACCAGAAGAGATACAAATGTGCTGATGCTAGCGCTTGATCCAGGTGTTGACTTCGCAGCGAAACCGACGAAAGCAAGTATAGCTTGAGCCCTTCTTCTGAAAGTTGTTGAGGAAGAAACAGAGTGTTCTTCATGGCTAAGACTATATAATCAGTGTAATCCCGAATACAACACGGAATGTCCACGAACAAATTATCGTCAAGGAAGGACGGTTCAAGATTCTCTGGATCTTTCGCTCTAGAAGCAAGTCGGTGGCTTTCCTCAAGCATCTCGGTGAGGATCTGACACAATGTGAGCCAAAGAAAGGTCTAGACAGAAAATCGAACAAACGTACAGATAGCTGCAAGGCTCCGGGGTAGTGATGTAGGAGCGACAGCGGCAATGCGAAAGTACTGCGGGCATCATCCGGACTTTGACGGATAGCGCGGTTGGCGGCCTTTTCGATGAGGAGAAGACAAACCGGCGCCAAATAATCAGTAGGGCCAAGAACATCCACCAAATGAATGAAGAAGCTAAGAAGGATTTAATTAAACCTACGGCAATGGAAAAAAAAAAGAGATGACGAACTTGGTGCGACGATGCCGCGGTATGTGATTGGCAGCGTCAGTGAACACCCGCAAGAATTCACGAGAACCCAGATGAAGGTCCATTCGAGAAGAATGTGAACGCTTCAAGGAAGAGACCATGACCTGGCACTATGCTGTCGATTGTCTGACAAGATTCTTTCAGTGAATTGCGACATGAAAGTCAGGGGAAACCTCATTACCTTTTGTACAACAGTAAAGCTGTACGTATCGTCGCGATGGAACACATTTGACCCCATAAATGTGAAAACAGGCATGATATTGTGGAGCACAGAGTCGGGGGTAAGTCTGGCCAATGTAGCCATAAGTAACAACGCCTGCTGGAACGTCTGAGGATTTTGTGCGGCTATAAAAATGATAAGACTGAAGCATAGAGAGGAGAAAACCCAAATGACTGACTGCGAATGAGGTCCACCAAGACTTCCAAACGAATAGCACTTGGTGCCACATTTGGAGCTTCCTATATGCAAAAATTAGGAATTACATATCTGACAGTACGTCAGTACCTACCGTGACTTTATCGGCAGCATTGTCGATCGCGGACATCATAGATTGTTCGATGAAAGAAATGTCAACATTATCTGACGACGAAGACTGTATGATGCTGCTCAAGGCCTGAACCATTGCAGCAATGACATCGAAAGAACCGGGCAGGGAAGTCGTAGCCAGTACTTCAGCTAAAATACTCAACTGAGGAAGAGTCTCTTGAGAAGGCCTGTGGAAGATACATCAGTTCCACGGCGCACAAAGTAGCTTCGGTGATCGAGCTTACTCAGTTACCAGTCGGGGACGTTTGCTAGCCCTTGGACTGTTCCCGGAGTCAGGCTGAAAGCGTATTGAGCAGCTGCACAATCAACGCCGGCTCGTTTAAGATTTTTGTTAGAAGCGCGGTACAAATGGCATGCTGAAGAGAGTTTAGATGGGAGATTGATGGAGATATATCCGAGCTCACCACATCGGAGTCCTCTGTGCTGAGACTGAGGAGAAGACCACAAACTTCAATTTTCCGCTCCATTGTCAGGTTCGCAAACAAGCCTCGCTCTAAACCTTCCGTCAGCCTGGTCCTTGAGGACGATAAGGTGCCTAGAATATATGACGTCATTATAACGGAATGAGAAAAGTTGGAAGTCTTTTTCCGCGCACCAGTTCCCAGGAAGCAACGTAAACAATGACAGTATGTCTTCCACATTTCATTACTGTCTGCATTCAATTTTTTAGCAGACGATGCGTCGAAGGCGGAAACTAGCAGGGACGTAAACTCTTCTAAAATTGATCCATATATGTCCCTGGCCCGGGCGTCCTCGGCAACCAGCTTTATAGATGGAAGGAGAATCGCAGCTTTATCCTCATCAGAAATATTGCCAATAGATCTCAGCAGGCAAAGCTGAGAATGCGGGGACGGAGACACGTTAATGTGTGACGCAAGATAGCAGAGGATACGATATTTGTATCTGCAAAATTCATCAAAAATCCCAGTCTCTGACAAGACGATGAATACCCACTGTGCTTGTTTCCGTTTGTCTGAGTTTGATCGTTGGAGATATTCTAGATGGAAAATAGATAGGAACGCCGGGTCATGAAGCAGATGCTCTTCATGCTCGGCTATAGCTGCGAGATACCGTTTAAGATCGTCCTGGTCAAGATATTGCAGGTTCACTGTGGCATTCAGATCACTCAAAGATAGGTCATCTTCAGAACTTGAAAGCCACTTACCTGTACTTGCTCCATAGATAGTATCAAATGCGTACACTCTGGCGTACTTCTTCTCGGACGCCTCCGCCAATAGGCTTATGCATTGTAATGCCGCTTTCCTAATTTCAAGGTTGGGACTTTGAAGAGAAACAAGCAACGATGGGACGATGGTCTGGAAGTCGACGCTCTCGTCTCCAGACGTGTGCGCCTTCAGTAGAGCAATGGTATGTCCGAAAGCAACTACAGCGAGATCTTCATCATCACAATTCGCCCAGACACCAGTCAAAAAAGCCAGCGCCTCGTCTGCGATATTCATGAACAAAGTTCGAAGCATGTGCATTGCTACGTTTGAGCTTGACGAATTTGCCAGCCCGTAAATCGAGCGCATCAAGGTGACGTAGCGATGGTCGCGGTCATCCGACGTTCCCTAGACGACGGTGGATCAGATTAATCTTCGGAGGTCGAACCACAAGGACTCACCTGCATAGGCCTGGTGGAAAGCCAGTTGACCAATATACCCTCAGGACTCGCGACACCAGCGGATATCGTGATAATGGACATCTGGAGCCAATAAGCCGTATTTTTGCTGTTGGGCTTCAGTACAACGCTCTTTCCGATACGGTCGTCATCCAGGTACTGGGAACAAGGGTTAGCACTTGTTAGTCACTCTACTATCAAGCTCACCTCCGGAGGATCTTCGGAACCGCTCGAGGGATCCTCGACCTTTGAGAGCTGCTCCAGATCAAGGGCCCGAAGCGCCTTGTGGGCAGCATCGATCTGATGGCTACCAGAAAGACGACGAAGCAGCGAACGTGCAATCATGTAAGCCAATATTCGTACGTAGGCATTGGAATCGTTAAATTTGGCCATCAGCTCGTCCAGATGATGTGAGAAGTTGTTAGAAGATAGAATGTTTTCTAATAGAAAATGTTAGCAGATACAAGGAAGGGTAGACAGAAGACTGACCAGCCATTCTTGCGGCGACTTGTATATTGAAGGTCGCTAGCTTATCGACGCCATCGGCAGTATCTTTGGCTTTAGTCGATGTCCATAAATTAACACATCCGTTCAACAACTCGTAGTATCCAGCACCAGACTTTGGCAAGTTTTCCTCGAGGATATCCCACAGCAGCTCCACGGTAAGCTGCCGAGGTTTCGAGAATAGCATCAAAGGAAAAATGATTTTGTGGAAAGTTTTCTCCAACGTGTCTATCTCTACTTTCTGGTAGAAATGTCTAATCAAGAAACTTAGATGAGTCTTGAGGACCGGACGCTTCGGCTTTGTACTTGAGAGCAAGGTTGATAGTTGATTTATGTACGTTTCCGAATCCTTGATCAGTGCAGGGAGAATGACCTCAGGTTGTTCATATAGAGCCTCCAGCACACGATGATCTGAATCTTGGGTACGAGCAACCAACGCAGAAGAAAGCAAGGCCTTGACTATGTCATTAATAGATGTATATGCGATACATCAGGATTCGTGTCGTACCTTTTGCTCTGATGTTACTGGTCCCGAAAGATATCTCTTGATAAGGTCTTTCATCCGCAATGAGACGTATCTTAGCGTCTGCACTGGTAGAGGCTAAGATCGTATCACTGTTGTCATCTTTCGATGATGTGCCCGTGGTCGTGCTGTATGATTGGTTCTGCAATGTCCAACAAGTTCAGATGTGGCTCTCCCAATTCGAGAGAGAACATGACTTACCATAGAAAGAGACATTACAAGGTTGTCCAACGATGGCTTTAGCTCCTCGTCATCTTGAGTCATCTCCTCTGAGACGCTGTGTAGAATGGCCGAGTGACGTTGATGAACGTGGGACAACAAGCGTCGGGCAACGAGAACTGTATTTGATGACTCTGTCTCGGAAATGGCCAGCTTGATGAGGTGTTCGGATAGTCGTCCTATGGTGATATCTGGCGTATTCGGAGACATAATAATCGTCTCGAGTAAACTGAGTGCCCCATCTTCGTTCAGTCGCTGAGTTAGACCACCCAATAAAGGACCGAGAAGTTTTTCTGTGCCGGCCCAGCCCAATGCTTCGCCTACTTCGGAGGAAATATTCCTATCAAGATTCATGAAATCCCCGCACTGGTGTCAAAGAACGAAAACCCTACGGGAGGCAAAGTATTATGTTGACAATACTGTCTGGGAGATCTTCCATTCCATCTTGACCCTCACACACCGAGACTAAGGCACTTACGAATTGCTTGGAAGACACACGAGTTGCACAGGAGGACATGGCCACCACAATGGCCTTTTGAGCAGCTGCGGTGAAGCTGCACTTGTGGGACAGGGTCGATAGCAAGATATAGCTGCCCAGAATAGCATCTTTACTTGAGAGTTCGGAGAGATTTTGCAAGGGCTCAAGAAGAGCAGGTAGAAGATAAGCCAGAGTTCCGTCATCTAGTGCTTTGCTGCGTATCATGTAGTCGTGCAGAGCAGCAGCATTGAAAGCCAAGAGCGACCGATGGGAGTATCCTCCTTTAATCGCGGCTGGAAGGAGGTTGGCAATGAAACGAGACACGTCTGAATTTTTAAGCATCTCTTTCACAAGCGCCATTCTGGGAACGCTCTGAGCAGCTTTCTTGAATGGAATGAGGAAGCTCCATGTAGAATTGGGTCTGACGAAAAGTAAATACAACGTTCTCTGTACGGGGACACACATACCGGATGTGAAGAATGGTTACCATCTTGGCGAAATGAGGCGATTCGTGATAGGGCAGAAATAATGAGAGAACGGACTCGACATTGAATTCGTTGATCCTGCGAGCACGTTCATTTACAGCTTTACTTCGACTGACCGACAACGCACCTAAATCTCCTGACAAGCCATTCTATTACCTTGCCTGTTGGCGCCTCCATCAGATACGGCCCCAGCTGTACCATGAATGCACCAATCGTTTCATCCAGTTTGGCAAGAGCCTCGGCGGGCAAAAGGGTTCGGTCAGTTTCCTTTGACGCGTCTGAAAACAAGGGCCCTTCGAATTTTGATAGTGCTGGAGTGATGGATACGAGCTGAAGAAATCCATTGGTACCCAATGCATGAATAGATTCTAGGTCGTGTAGGTCGGCCTCTCCACCGGTGAAGAGGTAGGATTCGGCTGCTTTTCGTCGCGACCGATCGACAAGGAGGGCACTGTTTAGCGATGCACCCTGTGCCAATTGCCTGGCGAGACTGGAAGTCATGGTCGTCCCTTGAGCCGATGACCTCACGAAATTTTTTGGTAAACAGTTGTTGACGTGTGTTAGCCACCACTCCGGCTTGCGGTCCGGTAGCCGCACAGAACTACAGAATGCCAGAGATCTAAGATTCTTTTTTTTTTTTGAGAATACTCCTTCTTGAATCTTCTTCCACTCCCCCAACACACCAACACCTCCACTTGGTACCTCAGACACTATATCCCGTAGGAATTCGGCTACATCTGTATGTTTCCTACTTGGCAGACACCAGGGTCACCGTTCGGTCCTTCTTCCAGTCCGCGTTGGCGCTTCTTCTACAGTACCGTAGCATATTTTTTGAGCCCTTGCAGGAATCGCATATCCAGATGTGTTACCTCAACCACACGTCTCTCTGTGCCGCAACCTGGTCCAAGCTGCTACTATGCTCAAGTCCGTTAACATTGGTACTGGAGATTGAGGCCCTTCCTGTAGATTCTCCTTCATAGCATATTACTTCATATTGGATGATCCCGCTCATTATATCGATCGTCAAGCATTCAGCCGGTCATCTTACCGATTTTTTTGCATATTTTGCTTTCGGCCTCTTAGTCACATCCCTCAGCCATGCGTTGGTTCGCCAACGCCCTATTCTCAGGTCCTTGTGAATCCCTAGAATAGCCTCATATCATAATATTCCTTTGGCTCTGTTACACTTTTGCTTCAAGATCACAAAACGTGGATCTAATTTGCGCAATTGGGTCGGTGCCTCTCCGCAGCCTTCAGATTATCAGCGCCTATTCCATGAGGAAAGATATCGCGTACTGTTTGCACGCTGGAGAAGTGTGCGCTTCGGCAGGGATGTTCTCAAAATAAATTTCCCTGAAGGCCCATCATAAACAGCCCCTAGGGACAGATTATATCAAAAACGACAGGAATGAAAGCAGAACATTTATCTAGCTCGGGCCTACGATGCACTAACTATGATAGGTACTATAAAGCTTTCGTCAGAGAAGGTTTCTCGCGATGTTACCAAACACTTACCCAACAACCCAGGTCTTGTCAAGGGCGGTGCAGTTCCCCGCCGAATTCATAGGCATAGTCGGAGGGTAGCAATCGGAGCGGGCCAATGACGCATCAATGTTCTGTTATCGTTGTCAGACGATATCGTCATTCATCGATGAACTACTTACAATGTCCTCCCATGAAGACCGCAGGGGATGCTCCACCGTATTGCTGAAAAAGTATACGCATGTCCCATACAGACGTTCCGAAAACGTTGTCCACACTGCCAAACAAGGCAGGTAAAATCAAAAAATTAGATAAATACAAGAAAATCGTAGAAATAGCAAGCAGACTTCATTTGTGCGTGTCATTCAGTAGAAATATACGAATTTAATGATCCATGGGTGCTGCAGTGTGTCGTAAAGATAATACTTGAAATAGAGCACCTGGCTGATGAAGGACTGTTGAGTGCCGCCAGATTTACATGTTCAGGCTGTCTCACACCGAACAGCCGGTCACACCTTCGTTCTTGCCATCATTGTCGTTCAAGAGACAAGAAAAGACAAGACAGCTTTGAAGAACGATTCTGCATTCAGTCAAGCAGGCGACCGCTGTGATTTTGCCAGTTTCGACGTCGACAGCTCTCGGCCTCCTGCTACATAACACCATAGCCCGCTCGCACCATTTCACTGCGACCAAGACACCTGCAACCGGATATCCTGGCTTTATTTCGTCGGTATTCACGGTTAGGAATGGGCTAGTGGGGGTTCGGGCGTTGTAGACTGGGAAACTTTGGAGAGGGCGCAGTGGCTGGTATGCTAAGCATGCATCTTCGAGGGAAGTTATCCGCTCTCATTTCAGAATGACTTATTGCTGTTTACAAGTGAGAAAACATCTCTACAGTCTCCCACACTACCCTAATTATGCTCCGCCGCTGCCTCTCATTACCGCTAGCACAGACCCCGCTCATGACGTCCTACCACTGACCTATTGGCCTCATACCTGTTACGTTACCTCTATACACCTCGTACATCCTCGACGAATCTATTTATGATACATTACGCTCACGAATGAAGGCACCATGCTGTTTTCACGATTTTCTTGCATTTTTTTATTTTTTTATTTTACTTGCCTTGTTTGGCAACCGCGGACAAAGTTTTTCGGAACGTCTGTACTTTAAGATCTACAAGTCAGGTGGAAAGCTTCAGCACAGAAAGAAGGGTTTGGCCGGTGATACATGCCTTGCTTGCCCCAGGATCAAGAGTAAACGTATTCCGAACGCTACCTCTTCCCGAGAGGATCTGACACAAGATTTATTAAACTTTTCTTGGATTAGATCATCTTCAACCTGAGTGGGACTGACCTGGACAGCGGCCTTGATCTTGTCGCAATCCTCACCAATGGGCGGGAGGTCTTCCCCATTCCGGCTACATGTAGTGGTACCTGATCATTTCCGTATTACGGTTGCAATTCCAACAAGTAGACTGCTCACAAGGTTCGCCAGCTAACATCAACAGGTGACAATACGTCCAGTGCGACTGGTTTCTCCAGCGAACAAGTCTCTGTGACAACCTCCACTTTGGTATTGCCAACGGAGACGTAGTTCGTTGTAGAGTTCTGGGATGTATGAGAGGACAAGCGTTTGGTGTAAAAGAGATTGCTTACCTGAACATCTATGCATCGCCCAGAGACAGTAGGTGAAGCGACTGCCCAGCAGCAAGACCGTGAGAATCAACGAAAAGAAAGGCGCCATTGGTGATGAGGTTGAAAACCCTTCAGACGCTCTGCCTTTATACTTGCATCATCCAACATTATCATTCAAGAAACGTCCAAAATAAAAGTGCCCCATTTGCTACTGAATAACCCCTACAGAGAGATAATAACGAATTCGTCCCAAAATGATAAGCCCGCACGGCTTCTCGATGCGCGGCGCCATTGGAAGCGGATATTTAATAGTCCATACGCAAACCCAGTAAAGAACCATGTATCTGCGAGAAGTTAAGAGTTAATGAGGACCCCAAGGCACAAAGGTACGATTCCCGCCCACCTAGGTCTCCGACTTGGCCTTCAAGCCCTTCGCCATGGCTCCCACACCGTTGATCAACTTCTGCCCCACAAAGAAACGTACGAGATAGGACAAAACACCATTGAAGACCTCGATGCTTTCATATTTGACCTTCCCTCCTGGCTCCACGGTGCATGACTGCCAGCGTTCTGCGTCGAGCAGCCACCGAGGCAGACCAGAAATTCTCCATGCCACGCGGTGATTTTCGTGATCTAAAGCCGTACAAATGACGAATGCAGACGACCTGCTGTAGAATGGTACGTCTTCAAGGCTTGGGGTAAGGTGGACAGGATAGATGTGCACATATTTGCCCTCGGCGAGGGTTTGGTCTGGGAGAACGTTACGAGAGCTATCAGTGATGTTTTGATCGCGACTAGATTGGAATAAGACTGTAGCCAATCCTCATTGAGAAGGAGCTACATACACAAAGGGATTCCTAGAGAAAGTTAACCAGACGTTATTTCGTGTCAAAAGAACCTGTCGTACCACTCTTTATACCCTTTGAAATCTAGCAAATTGTTCCAAACTATTTCTATTGGCGCGTCAATGATAGCAGAACCCGACACCGCAAATACACCATTGGAGGAACTAGGGGGCAGTTGATTAGCCATCAAGGAGTAGCTTGTACTCGTGTTGGTGGTGGTGGTTATTGGTAGGGAAGTGGTTCGTGACCGGGATTCGGGGCGAAATTCCGAAGCGCGCTCACGTGATTTATGTTCTTTCGCTACTAGTACTGCAGTCTGCAATGGGCAATATTTCGAGAGCGTAATAGAATGCTAAAGTTTGTGCGTAGCAACAGGAGTATATAATATCATAGATATGGACAGTGATACACGTGTCTTCGCGTGCGATGATTCAGCGTGATTAAAATATTGTTTTCATTCGCTTGACCGCAATACCTTCACGTGAATTGGCATTTTTACTTCTTCGCCCACGAAAGCCTGGAGTGTCCCCGCAATATAACCCTTCACATCATCAGGGGTACTCGTCAACTCAAAGTCTCGAATTAAAAGAGAGATCATGATCTTGAACTCTAGAAGAGCTGAACGGAGCGAGTAAGATCAGGAAATTTTTCGAAGACAAAGAAATTTTTACCAAGACGCCAGCCAATACAACTACGCGGGCCGTCCAGGAAGGACGCAATATTCCCGTATGGACCATACGGCAACTGATCTGCCGAAGGCACTCCGCCAGGGAGAAGCCATTGTTCGGGCCTGAACTCTTCAGCGTCCTTTCCCCACACGATGGGGTCGGTATTTTGAACCACACTTGGGATGTGGAAGACCTGGCCATTATTCAAGTACGGCATTTGGGAGATAAGGAATATACTGAACCTGTCCAGCCTTAATGACAATAGAAGACACGGCCTTACCATCAACAGTAGTCAGCGGTTGGCTCAAAGGAATCACATCGTCTTCCAGAGCAATGCGATCGGTTCGCGGTGCAGCCGGATGAACGCGCAACCTAAATGTGATGCGTGAGAACCAAGATCTTCAACGGGGTACTAGTACTACACGCACCCTTCACGACAGACGGCATCGAGGTACGGTAGGCTTTGAATATGGTCGTAGCTGAAGTCGCTCAGGTCACGTATTTCTTGCCGCAGTTTCCGTTGAACCATGGGGTGGCGAGCCAGTTCCCAAAGAGTGAAGCTTACAGTACAAGACGTCGTTTCATGCCCCACCATTCTGGTAAGCCGTATGAGCAAGGCTAAATGTCAAAATCAATGCAAAGGCATAGCATACATGAATGTCGAGATCTAATATCACATTCAGTACGAGGAATTCGGAATAGAAGCTGGGGTCCTACATTCTCCAATAGGGTGGTATGCGAGAGACGTTCATCGTGCTTGGATTTCTTCTGGTCCTTGACTAGAATCGAGAGAATGTCCTTTCCATCACCGCTCTCTAGTTGAGCTTTGTTCTGCCGGAGAAGCTCTCCCGCAAGTTTGATGGCCACTCTCTTGGCGACACCGTCGGTTTGCAAAGCCGGGATGGGGAGCTTTGTGATCCAAGGGAAAGCACACATCATGATAGGTGCCAGGAACCCCGTCATGGTTCTTCCAAGCAAGACATCCTTGTGCCAAGACTCAGCAATGTCCTTTGCCTCTTGAGACTCCCCACAGCCAAAATCGTGACCGAACGCAATACGGCCAATGATGTCAAGTCTGCTCGACCATCAGAAGTGAGGCACAAAACGATCACGCGAACGCCGGAAACTGACGTGCAAGCAGATACGAAAGGAGCGATATCCATGGTGGTCTCTGTCCCTTGCGATTTGACATGATTTGCGACTCGCCCCACGAACTATTTGTAGAAGACAGTCAGTATGGATGGAATATGGCTAATACAGGATATACCTTCTGGGTGCATTCGACGACATCATCGGACATCCCTTTCACGGCACCGAGTCTGTAAAACAACGGATAAACTCAAAACTGTAAGATAACGGCATTTCAAACTCACGTAAATGCAGGTGCAATAAGCCTGCGCTGGTGCTTATGTTCGTCACCTTGAGCATAGACGACACCTTTTCCAATAAGCTTATCTGTGAGCGGCAGGAACGCTGGCGCTTTCGCTGGCAAGGGATCTATGAGCGAAGCAATTTAGCTTCATAGAGGAGAACCACAAACGGTATCGGTAAGCGTTTGCAAGTATATGGTGTGATGCAAGATTATCTGCAGCGACAATCTGACGACTTTGAGAATATTTCTAGAGCCAATAGTCGGCATCAAGACCTACCACATCGCGTTGAAAGAAAGAGGCCTTGATCCTGAACAAGGGGCCGAGATCTGCGACCCATTTCAAGTACACCTTGTAGGCTTCATGCTGCCATACAATGTATTCGTGACCCCAAAGCCAATGAGCTTCAGATGTTGGCTATCAGAGAACTTAGTCCCAGCCGGAATTGCCGGTATTGAAAGAGGATACACACAGCACACCGGACGTTGCTTGTGGGATCCTTCCTGCGTTGAATGTAACGAAGGACCAGCAATGAAAGCAAAGTTAAAGAGATGGGAATAAGAATTCCTAGAGACGACATAGTGGAACCGTAGAGAGAGAGAGTCAACAAGTAGAAACAGAACGAAGAACCAATTCTTATTTAATTCAGATCTATTCATATCAGCTTATCAATTTGAGAGATTGTTGGGCTTTTGGGCGTCTTTGAGGAAGCTGTGCCGGTTAGGCCGAGCGCCTAATAGTAGAAAGACACGCAATCTTAGAAACTTTTTACCTGTTGATTGGACAATATCCCTGAGTTTCTACGGAGCCTAGGTCCCTGGTCGACATACGAGAAAAGAACCAGCTGCATGATTACCAGAGCCTGAGTTTGCATGAGGGCTAGTCCCTTAACTGTCGGATCAGTTTTTGCTGTAACAACTGCACAGATCTTTGGAATTCAAGTCTTCCTCGGTTTGCAGGAAGCCACCCTGACGCACGAGATCGCAGCCCTTTTTGACAAACAGACGTATCAGAACTTCCAATGCAAATCTGATTTTAGGAATAAGGGATAGGACTCAGGGTTATGTTACAGGTGAGTTGCAGCGCCATATAAGCTGCAAAAAAAAAAAGAAGTCAGTGGAACAGTGTTAGAAAGAGGGGGGGAGGTCAATAGGTCGGCGCCGGGCGGATGTTGCAAGAACTTGAAGCAGCGCATTGTGTCACGTTAGGTCACATTCTTGGTCTGCCATAATTCGGAAACTCGGTCCGTTTCGACCTCAGATTCCAACCCCCATCTCAGGGCCACTTCACCCTTTCTTCCCCTCGGGCCTTCTCATCGAGTTCAACATATGCAACTCGGGTTTTCTGCGCTGGAAACGGAGAAACACAGTGCCCTTTTTTTTGCATTTCTGATCTTAGAATCTGTTCATTTAGATTTGTTAATGAATGCGGCGTCAAGATTTCAAGGTTCCTTTATCGCTGCCGGACAGACCAAGAGGCCAGACATACCACGCCCCACGCCTTCGGGATATGAACTTCATTACCTCGGTTCTCTTTTTTCCCCGTCTTTTCTTCCGCATCATATATAGCATCCTAGTCTCGAGATCTCTTAAATTCTCGCTGATCTTCGTCACATTTCATGGTCGACTGGAAATCCTCTGCAGAGCTGTTGAAGGATGCCGGTTTGTCACTGACTTCGTTTCTGTGTCGGTGAATTTACCTAACTCAATTTCGCCGCAGACGCATTTTCCAAAATAATACATTTCTTGTTGGGCGTTTATATGTACGCCACCTTTTCATTTCCCTACCCTGACAATCACTAACAGACACGTACGTCACAGCTGGGAATGGGCTAATACTGTGAATTTCGAATATGCTATCGTCACTGGTAGGCAGAGGTTCAGATGGCCATTGGTCTGTGTTCACATCATTTTTCCTGGCCCGAAGACTAATCGCTTCGCAGGTATTTTATTTCTACGGGCGTTATGCGATGTTTGGTGGATTAATTGGTTTGTAAGCTGGAAACGCATGCGTTCTATTTGCGATACCCACCTACACTCCAGCGTTATCGCACTCAATGAGACAACCACGTACGTGATTCAAGAAACCGCAATATCATTAAAATGACCATCTCCCTCTTTTTGTAGTCGCATGAATTGCAGTGTTTTGTACACATTCCTGCAGTTCTTAGGTAACACCGCTCTGGGCGCCGCAAGTATCAACCTTTCCATCCGAACGTCAGTGTGAACCTTCTTCCTTACATGGTCGAATTCTGACAATCACACAGGATCGCTATATACTCCCAAAAATTATCCATCGTGATACCAATATCCGTGATTATCCTTGGGCATTGGGTCATAATACTCTGGTCGGTTACGAATGTCAAAGCGACCTGGATTGACGGGTCCGGGTGCGCCATCACAAGCAGTAACCCGAAGCTCTTCGTGGCCATGTATGTTTACAGTATGGGATTCGACTTCATTGTCATGTGCTTGATGGCATACAAACTCGGCTTCGTTAAACGAAACCAGCATAGGAGCCAAATCGTGCAACTGATGTTCATAGATGGTCTGGGATACTTTCTTACCGCGTGAGTTCATTTCGTTAATGGCTTCGGAAGCGAGCCGTTCACGTATTTGATAAATGCAGATTTTTGGTCAATCTCGTAGCCGTGGTAAGCATCGATGCCCCGCTGACATCGACTCTAGACTCATTTTCTCCCTCCAGGTTTTTTCCGTGCTCAACCTCAATTCCATCCTGTCCATCATTGCTGATGCCCCTGCAAGTACTCTTGCAACTGTAAGTCTGATCTTTCCATTTTATACGCCACACCATACGAAAATTTCCAGATTGTCTCATGCCGTGTTGTGCGGCGTTTGTATCAATTCCAGCGGAAAGGCGTGGATATCTATAGGTTCGTTTCCTCCGGCATACCCGCGCGCATTCACGTTCATTCCCACGAAATAGCCATAATACGTCTAGCGGCCTTAGGTCCGGTCGGCAGAATAACGTCTCGACGTCTCACAGGACGGCTAACGAAGTCCATGTCCAGGTGTGTGGTTCATTGCAAATAGAGATCTTTTCTCATGTTGCCTGTTTGTGCTAGATGAACACGTTTGTGCGATCGGATGTGAGTTACGATCCGCCTGCACAGCCGAAGGCAGATGAAGATGCAAATACTAGTTCGGAAGACATTAAGCACCAGCTATAGGACAGTCTCCCTGGTTGCCAATTATCCACTTGGAACGTGGATTCGAGTCCATATTACTAACTCTTTCTGTACGGCGTGGTGGGTTGGGATGGAAATTTTAATGGAAAGCGCATTGCATAAAACTTAAATTGCGCATTCCGAGGTTACGATGTTTCTATGGACTTTTTATACTTGTCGGATATTATTGCCGCTGTGTTTTGTTGGCCGATCATTATAATTTTCTACGTAAAACTCACTAGCCAAGCGAATATGCGACTCCTTACCTTGCACTTGAAGTTGCGAGAGTATTAGACTGCAACCAGTCCGTATTAGTAGACAGTAAACGTTTGAATCCGCAGAGCTTTCGTCCAGATGAGTAAGTAGGTAGCAGAAGCTGCACGTGAGAAAGCAGGCTTGGGAACCAGAACACAAAAGCAAGTCAATGCTCTGCAACGTTCAGCATTATCTCGTCGTTTGCTCCAAGTTCGTCGTGAATTCGTCGCACTTTGACCCGGGCCGGATCGGCCGAAACGAGCGTGTCGTTGAGCAACACATGGCGATGTTCACCGCAAAGTACAAACGCCCATTGGCAAGCGAACCACCATTCAACTCGCTCATTATCGACCCATGTCTTGACTGATTCTGGGCTGATTCGAGCCTGTTTTTGGAGCAATCAGGTTACAAATTACCCCAAGTTCGATCCTTCTTGGTCGCCTTTGAGTGAAGCCGAGAAAAAACAAGCTAAAGCCCGATTACCGATATGCATCTGTAGTATATAGGTGCGGCACTACTTATATGCCCTCCTAGTAGCGATGGACTCTTGTATCGGCAGTGAGATTGAGTGATGGTTCACCAGTCGTCCTGAAGCGGGTTAAGTTAGATTCGCCTGAATTCGAAATAGCAGTCTTATTCTCGTCGCCGCCTCTCTCCCTTGACCCCAGAAACCATTACGTACCTGTTATTCAAGCTCTGAAATATGGAGAATTCGGAATCCTTGTCCTACCGCTATTGCGGAAATTTGATGATCCTCCGTTCGATACCGTGAGGGAAGTAATTGAATGCTTCAGACAACTATTCGAGGTGAGCACACCGGTGCATTTCTGATACTTCAATGCATTGATTCATGTGACAATAGGGTGTCCAATTCATGCATCAGAACTTTGTTGTACACCGGTCAGTCCGTCCCTTATTGCAACGGCTTAACTCAACATTCGTACTTCATTAGTGACTGTACAAAACTAAACATCATGATGGACCCGACAAAGTTGTATCCAAAGGGGTATATTCCTGAACGACCTTATATGAAAGTCGACGGCAGTGACCTGGTTTCGCCAAGTTGTACTCGCACCGCGTGTTGGCCGCGATACTATCTCATCGACTTTGGACACTCTTGCCAATACGATCCCGCGGACGGTATACCTCATGAATGGGTCCTCCGGGAGGAGACAAAACAGCGCCTGAGCATCGCAACCCTGACAAATTGGAGTGTAATCCGTTCCCTACTGATATATGTTATCTTGGAAATTTACTCAGGGAGTACTTCTTAGACGTAAGTGCTTGAAACTGCGCCATTCTAATGCTAAAAATCCGCCTTTAGACGAAGAGCTACTTCCATCCCGCTGGAATTGGTCTCGACTTTTTACGGCCGTTAGTTGAGGACATGGTAAAGGAGAATCCTTCTGAACGTCCTACCATCGATGATGTGGTGATGCGGTTCGACGCGATAGTGAAATCTCTTTCGCGATGGCGTCTCCAAGCATTGACCCAGCTAGGAAATCAACCGCTCTTCTTTCCTTTCGCTTATGTTGGTCGCCGCTTGAAATTTGCTCTTATGCTAAAGTCTCCTTTACCTAAGATTGTCGCATCCCCTTCTCGTGTTTTATCTGCTACACGGAACTTTTACACAGCGAATCGAGAGCGAGTTGCTACTCCTGCTGCATGATCGTAGGTTATCTCTCTTACTTGCGGACATATGATGGCTGGTCCCAAGAGTACCTCGTTGACGAATAGCTATGAACGGCCGTATTAGACGCGTTGAATAATACTGCATATCCAACCAATAAAACATCACTCAAAAGCCAAAACCTAAATCATCCGAATCCGAATCGGCATCCGAATCTGAGTCATCCGTGTCCATCTCTAGATGAACCCGAAGACCATCCTTGGACAACAAGTTCAGCCTATCCTCGTCGCCACCTGTCAGAGACCACTCCAGCTGTCCTTGTAGTACGACATTCAAGGAACGAAGACACGGATTGACCACCTTCACTCTAGATGAGATCATCTCAACGAACTTGCGGTCAAAAAACGTCGCATGATAATGGGCAATACTGGGCACAAAGCTGCATGCCTCAATAGACAGTGAACGCAGGTAAGGAATGACACGGTGCCGTCCGTGATCATCGGTCTCCGCTAGAGAGGATACAACAGCACGGAGCACATCATCATCCGCCAAAGCCGTCCATGCTCTAATCTGAATGTTCAACTCGGAGAGCGTCCGCGACAATTCCAGAATGTCGATGAGATTACTATTCATACGGGCGTGGGCAATCGTGAGCTTCGTAAGTGCACAGTCGGAGTTGTAAATTAACACCTTGAGCGACTCGAGTGCACCAGGCGGGCAAAAGACGTTCATTTCCGTATCAAGATTGTAATTCGCCGTTCCCGTCGTCAATTCCATTTCTTTCAGAGAAGGCAACTCGAGGCTTCGAAGGAAAGAGCAGTCGCACGCAGACAGTGTGTGTACGCCAGGATTTCGCACACGGGGATCCAACACAAAGAATGGATCTGTGTAGCGTCGGAAATCAGATGAGAGGTACTCGAACGATCGAAGCTGGGGAAAATCACGGAGAACGGAAAGCAAGTGACGGGTCAGTTCATGACCCTTGTATGGGCGTGTATCAGAGAAAGAGATTATCTGAGAAAAAGGGAGATTGGAGTTCACACTTCTGGAGAGACCGATGAATTTGACGGTCTTGAGAGAAGGAGCCTGCGCAAAGGCTATTTCAGTCCAAGGATCGCGCATGAGGATGGAGGTCTCATCGCCGAGTGTAAGATGGAGGGATTCGAGAAGAGGTATGTGTCCCTGAATGGGGGATAGCATGTCATAGAAACGCTCTGGCATGTCGAAATATATGTGCCGCCATCGGTAAGACTGCTTCATCAATAGCTGAAAACACTTCAAGTCACTGTACATCTCATCCAAATCAGACTCAGAGCGAGTCTCGTAGAAGAACTGGATAGAAAGTGGATACTGCCGCGATCGATTCAATGCAGTGTCCAGCAGTTGTCTTGGGCCCTTTTTTCTCGGGCTTTCCCATGAGAATGACAGGACCATGGTAGACCACAACTGTGGGCAGGCTTGGGTTACAATGTATCTCCATGCCGCACATACTTGGCCGAGTCTCCAAGGCCCATTGTTGATATCTAAGACCCAAAAACTGCCAGGAAAACTGTCGCCAAGGCGCGTGACATACGGTCGAGGAGGGTCGCGTGTATGAAGGGAATATTTCGATGAGAATATCTGAAGGAAGAGTTCGAATAGGGGAATACGTAGCACGGTAATCTGCGGTGATTTGTTTCACGTACGTCTTCTGGCGTTCAAGATAAGCAAGGGCGCCTGTGGAAAATATTGATATCAGACTCTATTTCCCTAGCTGCTTCTTCCACGTTTCGCTATAGAGTCACCTGATAGGTTCACGCAGAGGCCTTGGGAAGATATTTCCCCTGTGAGTGGAAATCGTAGAGAGTTCCGACGAAAAGTCCTTCAGCCAATCGTATTTGGAGGACAAGGATGCCAAAAAATCGCTGCAACACACCCTGAGTATGAGAAATCTTGTTATATTTATAAGTAACACTCACGGCGAATGATTTACTTCGTTCATATTTCAATGCTGGTAGAGGTAAGAAGAGGAGTATATTGATGTCTATTTGGCCTGCAAAGTGGATGGACCGCGGGCGGATCACAAATGATCCGCCTACCATGTCTACGGATCAACCCGACTTCACCATGAAAGGCTATCACGACTTTCTCGTCGTGTGCCGGAGAGAGACAGGAATAAATGGGCCCTTGCTAGGGGATGTACTTTCTCCGTCAGGTTGGATCCCTATATCGGCACTCCCACCTCTAAAAACGAGCCTTCCCATCGTTCGCAAGAAATGGCGGTGTATTCGAGGCTCGGAAGCTACCTTGCTCCAGACTTGGTACCTACAGCCACCAAGTTCTTTCTATCTAACATCGTGTACGTATACTATGCCGTTCCTTTTCGTATAACGGAATCATACAAGCCAAGTGCAATTGCTTGAGTAAAAAATGCATAAACATCATTGTAAGTGGGGCTAAAGCAACCTGAAGGGAACGGTGGTCCAAGCGATGAGGCCGGCCTGTAAGGGATGCGAGAGCAATGAATATCATGAATCCTACCGACGTCGGAACATAGCTCCATAAGTCCCGCCCAGTCTCAGCATCAGTCACGTCCAAACGATATTATTCCAGCCCTTTCATACGAACAATAATCTCCCGCCACTTGACCAACTTCCTCGTATCAGGCATGAACTCATCTCCCAACCACCCCCTCAGCCATTTCACCAGTTTCTTCCACGGACTCTCCGGCTCCAACCCACATGCCTCTGCCCAAAAGACCAATGCCATTGCCACCGTATCCCTCGTGGGTTTGATACCCAATTCCTTCATCCATCCCAACACATATGGAATCTCCTCCTCTTTACCCGCCAAACCAAGCAGCAGCAAATAATCATAGCAGTTCTGCGAGGTCACGCTCACGTTCACCATCCTTGTTCCAGGCCCAGCTTCAAGGATCAACCTTCCGCTTCCCCAGTCTCGCAGGGGGGATCAGAGTGAGCTAGCGAAGGGTTCATGTTGAATACTGCCCAGCGAAACATACGCCCAGCCTTCTCGACAGGACGCTTCCATACTCCTGGGCGATACGCCTTCGGTTTCTGATCATCCAAGGAGGTCAACAAACGACCTTACAACGTCTTCCCTCGTCTGCGGCTCCCTCGGTCTCCAACGCAACTGCGCTAGCGCCCCGCGTATGTTATCATCCATCCTCAGCGAAAGTCGTATACACTGCAGCAGGAGCGAAAACGTTCTCCCATCTGGGTACACGCCGTACATCCCAGCCATATGATCCCATAAAAGAAAGACAACATCTGGCCGCTTGATGTGGTACAGAGACAGGATGAAGCTATTCATCGTAACGACAGACACGTTGATGGGCTGCTGGATGCGGTATGAGGCCCTGGAGAGGGACAGTCCACCCTCGAGCTGCTTTGTTCCGAGGAATGCAAATGCCTTGTTGGGCTGCCCGAGGTGGGTCAGCACTTGAAGACCAACTGAGAGGACTTTGGTATCTTGTATTAACCCAGAGTGGACGAGTTTCGATAGACATCGCTTTGCGCTCTGTAGGTCCCCTCGCTGGAAGAGCGTCCTGCAGGAGAACAGTGTAGGTGGGAATAGACGGGCGTATGCGGCGCTCCCCTTTACCTTTGCGGATATAGTGAGAGAATGCCTTTGGCTGGAATGTGCCGACGCTCCGGTCGCGCTAGGGATGCAAACGTAGCGTTCCACTGCCGATCTGTCATCTGTGGCCTGAATCCAAGAGGCTTATGATTAACGGTGCGCGCCTGAGGTGCACTTTTGGGGGTCATGCTACGGAGGAACTCGAACGCGGAAAAGTCATCCCTCTGTCGAGTGTTAGACGACAGAAAGAACTTTTTGACTTCTGCCTGGTATCGCGTTGGATCCTCGATAGCACCGTGCTTGGCAAATATCCGGATATAAGCCTCGAGATGGTCGGTATCAGGGATCCTCCCTTCCCGCAGCATACGTTCCCGTAGGTACTTGGTCAGCTCAAGGGTAATCCAACGGTCATTGAGCAAGACGAGGTACGTTGATCGCCATAGCTTGATATCCCGTGATTCCATCGCTTGCAGGATCCGGAGAACCATCTTAGCATGCTCTGGAGAACGAACGCGATTGGTCGACAGCGCGTGCAACAGGAGATTGAAATGAGCAGACGGCGGAGTCACCCGTATGAGGAGAAATTGGTCGATAACACGTTGGATAGGCTGGCAAAGATTAAACCTAGCAAGGTGGAGGGTGACGAGAATCAAAAGCCCTGGCTTGTACTTGTACGAGAGGGATTCTATGTGGGACCAGGCGAGCTCGAGCAGAACGCCAGCGGCATGATGCGATGTTCGCACTTTGAACGCGACAAGGGAAAGCAATAACCACTCTGGTAAGCGCTTCCCCCGTTCGTCCTGCTCTCGTGTCGCATACCCTTCATCCCGGAGAATCGATGCTGCTTGCTCGATGTCGGACTTGACCATGATGTGTTTAAGGCGGGAATACTCCTCAAACGTGATATTCTGTTTTAAAAGCCCAACGTGTAAATCGAGACGCCTGTGGGCGCTGGCAGCGGAGAGGATGCGCCAGACAGGGTAGTGTGTCGCGTTGAAGAGGTTCCTGACGTAATACTGGCCGACGACCGGACGCGACGAGGTAGCGTCAACGATAGGACGTATTATAGGCAAGTCATTGGTTGTTATACGGCGCGTTTGTTGCCATCGAAAAGATAATTGTACAGGTCTGCAAGTGACCTATGAGTGCAAAGAAAACGCAGGTAAACGGGACTTGACCTGGACACCCAATCTGTACAAAGAGCTGTTGGCGGAGAGATTCTGCGCCTTCTTTCTGTCGCCGAAAGCCAAGGGAGCTGCCAATGGTTCTCAGCATTGTGCTGGGAAATCGTGGCCGACACGGAGCGCGTTTGTTGCCATGCTCTTCGTACTAACAAAGAATTTCGCATGCGCTTTTCGCATCTGAGAGGAGGTGTGAATACCAGAAAATCGCGACAAAAATATACCCTACCTCGCGACGCGAAAAATACGAAGTCAAGCTGGAATCAGCCGTCCAAAATTGCATTCGCCACAAAACACAAATAATGCCAAATACGGAGCCACTAGCGGACTTGAAAATATTTTCTCAGCAGCTCTTTCACTCCACGACGACAAAATGCCTCGCATCCTGTTCGTTAGCGGTTTTCATCCCTACTACTCGTGCTAGAGACTTGGCTTACGAATTCGAACGGTATGGATGACACCTTGGTGCAGAAAACAGTGCTTATTTTCTCGATTTGTTCGCAGATTTGGTCCTTTGGTTCGATGCGACGTTCCTGCGCCCCGCAACCCCCACGCAAGCTCCAACCCGTGAGTATACATCTGAGTTTTTGCCCATTCCCTTCGCAGTCGATTGGTGCCGCCGGGTGTCAATACGAGTCGATACGAGTCGTCGAAATTTTACTCGCGAATTTTTTTGGCGTCGATACTCTGCTTGCCGCAATGATTTCCTCGAACCAAATGTCGCTCAACATACCCTCGAACACCTCGCAGTTACGCCTTTGTCGAGTTTCGTCAGCAACGTGATGCAGAGGATGCTTACTATGATATGTTTGTGTTTTCGCGTTTGCTTTTGTTTCAGCACTGACATGTTTGTTACAGGCACGGAAGATACTTTGAGGGTTCCCGTCTGAGCATTCAGGTATAATTCTTTCTCTTTATCTGCAATCTCATCCACTGACTGTGACACCAGTGGGCCAAGAACCCACCGTCTTCCGTGTGGCGCTTCGAGAGACGGACTTCGCCTCCTCATCGCCGCGACCGCTCCCGCAGCCCTCGCCGACGTGACGATAGGGACGAAAGAGCTGAAAGGATGGACAGGGACAGAGGAGACAGAGATAGAGACAGAGATCGGCGCAGGAGGAGCAGGAGCCCAGACCGAAGGCCGCGCAGTCCAAGCCCCGAACGTAGGCGTGATGATAGGGCAAGGACTCCACCGCCACTCGAACCAAAATATGTCGAACCCAAACTCGACGACCGTGACCGTGACCGTGCGCAGACCCCGTCATATGATCACTAAAAATGACCAGTACTCGCTTGATCTTTCGCTTACTCTTATGTACTGGCTTGAACTTTTTTGTAGCCCCAGATTTTCGTAGTTTGTCTATTTCTTTTTGCAATGAAAAAGTTGCCCTTGTCTTGATGGCGTATTCATCTGCAATTTTATAATACAACATGCAACTTCTGGGTGGAAATTTCAGCGTTTCAGTGTTTATGATTATCGTATGTCCAGCCGTCTTGCCAACGGAACAATAAATAAATTGTGTCATGCTATTCAAAAATGTAACTCCGAGTGTCTCCCAAATTTCATAGAAGTGCCTCAGGTAAGGGAAAACCTAGGTATACTGCACAGTTTTCCTTGCACCACGACTGCGTCTACGATATAGTTCTCAAGAGCTGCACAAGACGCAAAGCAGAATAAATAGCCTACAGGTCTGACCTGGAGAACGGATGCCATCATGCAGTAGGAGGAACGACTCGCCGTCGATTCGTCGTGTAAAAGTCCCGTGTAGCAGATAAAACACGAGAAGGGGAAGCGACCGTCTTAGGTAAAGGAGACCTCAACATCAGAGAGAATTTCAAGCGCCGGCCAACATAGGCGAAAGGAAAGGAGAGTGTAGGGTACCTGCTCTTTCTTCGCTATATGATGCATGCCAAACATTCTTCGGGAGAATTATGGGCAGGCCGGTCCTCAATCCACTGGTCGAGCGTCTTGCCTTGAACATATTCCATGATGAGAACCTGAGCATCTTCTCCTCCCGGCATCGTGATCTAAAAGCGGAAATTTTAGTGGCAGCGAGAAGGAAGGGAAGGGATCTATCTGACCTTGTGTTTCCCAAAATAATATGGCACTGTCTTTCCCTGCAGAGACTCTAGCTCCTGATACGCCTCGTCCTCCGTGCCCCAAAGAGCCCATGGTCTGACATAGTCGTACACCTCCAGAGACCAGTCGAGGTCGGGAAGGGGGATGAGGGATGGCTGAATGATCTTCATGATGACTTTGCCGAGCTTCTTTTTACAAACGCTTAGAGTATGGACGTCCGCGATCCAAACTTGGGAGTACTGATTGTCGTGCTGGAACGGGAGTGGGGCATCCACTAGTATGAGATTATATATTCCCCCATTGTGGGCATACGGAGGTAGCGGACGGTAATGGCCGTCCTCGGGGGCAGGGTGCGAGGCTAATTCGACGACACACGTCCAACCTCTCCGCAGGAGGTCCAATGCTGCCGCTTTGCGACGCGCTACAAGTATCTCGTAGTATTTCCTGAGGGAATCAGTGTCTCTGAGATCTATTTCATCAGTGCAAGGCTCTGCAGCCATTGCTGTCGAAGTCAAGATACAGTGAAACAGTATGAATTAGTCGAATACAAGCTCTGCAGCAGCACCGAGGCTTATGTAAGATATCGTCTCAAATAAGGAAATTCCGCAGTTAACCTATTTAAGATGTCGCGTCGGCCCGAGGTAGAGACAAATGACAAGAGAACGAGCAGTCATCATGCTGAGCATATTCCTGGCGGGTGAGACGGCGGTTCGCTGAGTGGCGGCCCATTCCTTTCGTCTATCAAGAATGTGCTTCATTTTACTGTTTGTTGCATTATAAATCCTTCGTTTAGGGCCACTCAAATACGCGCTCCGATATCCTGAGAGGAACTCAAATAACGATTCGGTTACACTCTTACTGGCAAGCGAAAAACAAAATGCAAAAAAACCGATGCTCGATCAGTATCGGACCCACGAGTTAGGCTTCTCCAAACTCGTCCTCAATCCAATCGGCGATCTCGTCATCGTGCTGGGTACAACAATCCCGAAGAGGTGCAGTGGCCATAATAGGATTGTCGAAGCACTCTCGTACTTGATCTGGGTCGACTTTGCAGCTCGCCTTAGTGAAATCGAACACCACTGGTTCTTCAGAGGGGGTGATGATGATGTTTCCTGGACGCATATCGCTGTGTCCGACGCCTAGCTTGTTGATGGCGTGCACGCCGAGTAGGACTTTCTTGAACTGGTGTCCGATGTTTAGAGGGAAAGAATGAAAGAATATATAGTACTCACCATCCGTTTCATCTGCTCTACATATGCCTCGTTGTCCTCTCCCAAATCTTCGGGGGTATTATGGGCTGGTCGGTCCTCGAGCCACTGGTCGAGTGTCTTGCCTTCGACATATTCCATTATCAGTACCTGAGCATCTTCTCCTGACGGCATCGTGATCTACGAAACAATCGTCAATAGCCCGACACAACTGGCGAGAACTAACCTTGTGTTTCCTGAAGTAATATGGAACTGTTTTTCCCTGTAGCGGCTCTAGTTCCCGATAAGCCGCGTCCTCAGTGCGCCAGAGAGTCCATGGTCTGACATAGTCGTACACCTCCAGATACCAGTCGAGGTCGGGAAGGGGAAGAAGGGAGGGCTGAATGATCTTCATGATGACTTTGCCGAGCTTCTTTTTACACATACCCAAGGTATGGACGTCCGCGATCCAAACTTGGGAATACTGATCATCGTGCTGGAACGGGAGTGGAGCATCCACTAGGATGAGCTTGTATGTGCCGCCATTATGCGCATACTGTGGCAGCGGACGGTAAGGACCGTCAGGGGGCGCAGGGTGGGGCGGTAATTCGACGATATAAGTCCACCCTATCCGCAGGGGGTCCATTGCTGCCGCTTTGCGACGCCGTACAAGTACAGTTGTGGACAATCAAAGATGACAATTTGATTTCCGGCTAAACCAGATTTTCTGGGGCAAAAATAAGTTCAGATTCAGAAAGCCAGAGGCCGAAAACGTCCAAAAAACACCCTCCGAAGTTTTTCCCATGACATTTTTGCGGCGCCAAAATTTGGACCAAAAAATCGAATTGTGTGTACCCCTTTTGGCCTCGCCGGCAGACATCACTCAGTCATTCGACTCTATCGGCAATATCCACGGCTGGAAACCACATGGTGCTGATTCTGCTACCTTTCAGACATCCCTATATGCTCATCAGCCAATGATAAATTGAATCTCCGAAGATCCCATTTACTCGGCAAGCATCTTCCGTGAGGCAGCGATATTAATTACACCAGTCCTGTGCCCGGGCCCTTCACTTGAACGCTGCTGAGTGTTACAGGTCACTCAGGTAGCACTTATATTGATGGATAACAGAAGATCTGGATTGCTTTGGAGTACATCTCTAGATAAATGCTATTAAGAGTTTGTGACTTCTGGTTGCTAAGTTCTTCCTCACTCTTAGTCCCTCGGATCTGGGCCAGGCAAATACCTGGTCCTTCAATTCTCAGACACCAACTCGGCAGCATGATTTCCGAGCCCATTTATATTATGACCCGCCTATTTTGAAGCTTTGAAGGCTTGCCCCTGCCTTTCATGACGGCCGGTTTGTGGGCAAATGGCTCGATAAAATTTAATGATCTTGACGCCATCGGATGTGGATTTTGAAAAGGAGTCGATTGCGCTATCTCCGAAGTTTTTCCCACGACTTTTTGGGGGTACGCCAAATTTTTGGGATAATTTTCGGTCAAAACTCACATTCTGCAAAATCGGCTCGTGCAAATATCTTTATTAAGTCTATATCTTCACTTTTATGCGAAAAACCCGGCTGTTTACCTGACCAGGGTCCTTCTAAAAATGGGTCAGATTTTTTGTCGTCTTTGATTGTCCACAACTGTAGCTCACGATAATCCTTGAGGGCGTTAATGCTGCTGAGATTGATTTGATCAGGGCAGGACTCTGCAGCCATTGCTGTCGACAGTAAAACAGTATGAATTGGTCGACTCCAGTGTTGCAACACCAAAGCTTATGTAAGATGACATCCTCAAAAAGGACATGCCGGGCACCTACGACGGTAGTCCTGTTCAAAGAAATCTAGGTGAGAACGCGATTGCGGTAAACTGAGGGTTACCTGGGAGATTGGAGCCAGCCGCGAAAAATTTGAAGGTGAGCAGACTAGGCGAAATGTACCTAAGGCAGGTGAAGAGAATCGCAGGAAATAATAAAGGAAAGTCCTTGTACAGAAAAGGCCATACACCAATGTCATTACCCTCTGTGGAAGCCGACATTGACAGTGCGTGCTTACGCCCAAATTTATAATCTGTACAAGTCATTGCCGTCTTAGCACATGTTGAGACCACCACGTAATTTGCCTTCAGAATTCGAGCTCATTGGCGGGCGATCCACTATGTCTTGCTCGATAGCTACCAATGCAAGAATGCGAGATTTCCTCGCATTCGTGCTGAGGAGGTCTCTGGAAAATTGGAGCAACACCCAAATCGAAAAGAGGTAACCCTCGTGCATTCAATGAATAAGACCAGAGCTGATGGTTCTTATGCGCACATCTATTCGTTGTGTAACGATTTCAAGCGTTCATTTAAACAAGATCATCAGCTTGATTCTATGCGACGCCAGTCGCAGCCGGTATAAGCCCCTCTTCATCTCCACCTACAGTCCACTAAGTAAACCAGCTCCAAGCAATCGATGAACCACACACCTTCATAAAACTTTTGCAAGAATGTCTTCTTCGTCCTCTCCTGCGGCTTCAAAAGAATACCCATAACCTGATCCGGGAGCTTCCAGCAGTTCATCGTCTCTTGATACTCCTGCCTGCTCTTCAAGAGTAGTACCTCGACGGCGCGGGGATCAGTGACGTGTCGATGGCGTTCAAAGCGCTGACGGATGCAATAGCGTATGTATGCAGGTGAGACGTTGAGGGCGTAGAGGGAGATGATTTCCGGGGCCTAAGTGGAGGTTATTGCTAGGGTAAAAACGGATGGCAAAGGAACGTACACCACGGCACCAGTCACGGTAGAGTTGGATAACACGCTGTCTTGCCTCTACGGGGCTCTGCGAGCGAATAGAGGGTCGTGCGAGGCGTGCTGGAATCGTGAATGACATGGTTGCAGGCAGAGTTCGATGACGCCGGTCAGCACCGGTGCTCCTTTGGGACGGATTGGGTCATATATTCCCACGATGAGAATTTCGTCCGGAAATATGGCAGATTCACGTCTAAAATAAGTCCTCGTTTGTGATGAAAAGAGATTCCCTCCAAGACTTCTCTCGTTTGGGGGTTTTGATTTCTTGGTCGGATTCGGGCCGGAAACGAGGCAAAGAACGAATCAAAGTCCGACAGTTTGAAGTCCCGCAATCACTCTTTAATCGACCCTCATCTTATCCTCATCTTACATTGACGACCATGGTTCGTGGAACAGGTATGGAATTTATTCGTCCCTTTTTCTGTGGTACTTGATATCATTTTCTTCACCTTCAGGAAAATTCAAGCAGAAGCGAGGCGGTGGCAGGAACTTTAGGTGCGCTAGCCTGTCCATTCTAGTGCATTCACGCCACTAATGGTCCACAGCAAAGACATGATTCTAGATGAGAATGGCACTGCTGTATCTGCCGCACGGTATGTACTCCCATCCGTCGCCACACATTTCCAATATCTGAACGATCGATCACCTTAGCGCTCGTAAAGAAGAGGAAGACGAGTCTTCAGAAGAGGAAGAGGAGGAGGAGGAGGAGGAGGAGGAGGAGGAAGAGGAGGAAGAAGAAGGCGATGAGGAGGAAGACAAACCAGAGCTGAGCCGCGCTGAGCGCAAAGAACTCAAGAGGAAGCAAGCCGCCGAGAAACAGAAACAGAAAGCTGAAGCGGAGGAGGAAGAAGACGAGGACCTCATCAACCCCAACCACGTTACCAAGAAACTCAACATTTCCGACCTTGGTGCGCCGAGGGAGCTCAGCCGTCGTGAAAGGGAAGCCAAAGAGAAGAAGGATGCCCAGGATCGGTATTGGAAGGTGCGTTTAACTTATCTTTTCAGGTATTCATTTGTGAACCAAATTTCGTTTGGCAGCTACATCTCCAGGGAAAGACTGATCAAGCAAAGGCTGATTTGTCTCGTCTTGCAAAGATTAGAGCGGATCGCGAAGCTGCTCAGGCCAAGAGGAAGGCTGAGGCTGAAGGTTCCTGGCTCAGTATATTTTCCTTGTATGTTGCTTACTGTCTGACTTCACAGCGAAGGCACAAGAGCTGGCTGCCAAGCAGAAGGCCGCTGCCGGAAGACGATAAACGAGTTCTACATCAGTTTTATTGTTTTTTGGTATTGCGAATGCGTTGCTATAACCCGAGGCCGAGACTCTACAATCTGCAGTTGTGTGAAGTGCGCCATAAGCAACATGTGTGCTGCGCTGAACATGTGGTTTCAACAAGAATCATCATTGATTACTGCTTAAAGCATCGTAAGGAATTGAACCTGTATGATGTCTCGTGTCCCTGCTGGAACACTATGATGTCTCTTCACAGTCGACTATTCGGTGATTGCATGGTCTCTCGTTTCTGAAGCTAGACTGCTTCGACGTTCAAGGGAACACCCTGAATTGACGTCAACATTCATTCTCCATTGACACTAGCAGACAAACAGATTCCGTGGGGTATCACGAAACAAATATGACTGACCACATAGGTAATTTCGGTCATGCGCAATAATAAAATCTAATATGAAGACGAGAAGGCTTCAAAAGAATGGAATCTATCCACAAATAGAAGGGTATAGGAGATCCGTAGGGTCATGAGGAATCCAACTGTTCGCAAGACCAGCTTGGTAGCTCCAATCATCCGCGGATTCAGCTTTCCTGTATATCGACATCAATGGGTGAACTGCTAAAGAATATAAGGGAATAAACTAACCAGGTCCACAGTATCCAGCCGGCAGCCTTCTGGTATGATATCACCTACAGCCATGTCAGTCTTACTCTCACCGCCAAGTCCCGCACTCAGTGACGTACCTGGGCCTCCCAGTATTTCCTTAAAAAGTCCTTATATTCTTGGCTAAAGGACGACGCCGATCCTGTTTTGCTCTGGCAGTCACCCACCCAAGAGCTATTAGGATAGGTGCCGTCGTAGCGCGCACCAACCCCACGTCCTGTAATGTAATTCAGTCTGACAGGTAAACAATGAAGTAGATGCGGAAGACTTTCCATTCAAGTATTTCGCACAATCAGTAGGAGCAGACGTCCACTCCCCAACGATGGTCCAGAGATGGAAAGAAGACAATGACGATCCCTCCTGGCATGCCGCAGTAATATGTTCGTCGTCGGTCCGTGCGACCTCCTAGATACATACAATGAACACAAAACTCTACTTTGCGATTGGGGAGACTCAAGCAGACCTCGTTGGAGAACATCTGGTAGATATGCGTGTCCATGGCTACACCGTCGTAATTATCCTCAGGTCGCATGAAGTCTTCCCAATAGCTGAGATCTTGAAAAGCGTTGTGGATTAAAACAACGGCGTCTGTCTGTTTCGATCTATCGAGTTGGGAAGGAATGGTAAGATGGAGTGTTATTGATAAAACGACGCATCACCTTACCGAACGGCACCATAACTATCATACCAGTACTGATGGGGTATGTGAATTCAGCGTAGCGGCGAAGAATTGATGCTCACTTGTTTTACGACTTGCAGTACATCATCGCCCAAGAACCCAGCTGGTCTTAATCCAATTAATTCATAGTAATGATGTGGTAGATACAAGGAACTCAACTCGTTCAATGGTTCAATGACGGCAGCATTATCTCCAAACAGGGAAGCCATGTTGTAGAGAATACCATTGCTCCGTTCGATATTTGAGCGATTTGAATGCCACCCACTAGCCGATATTCCCGCTCAATAAAGGCGCTCCAAAGATAACGGGAGTAAGCTTACGGATACGACATCCTTTGACCAGAATTATCGAATCTATACATATATGAAAATGAGAAACGAGTAACGCCGATGAAGGCAGGAACGGACCCGTTCTGACTCCCAGGAACTCCTATAGCCGAACATGCGATTAACACGATTCATTAAACTTTTCGAGACGTACCATGCAGGTCCACGATGACTTTAAGGCCATATGCTGCAGCCCAGCCCATTGCCTTTTGCAAATACTCAGCTTGACCTTGTATGTACGGTTCATCGTGCGTAACGTCAAACGCCCAATAACCGATAGGTATACGAACATGATTCAAACTACCAGTCGAATGAATATCAGAAAGAAGGCAAACGATTGATAGCACGAACCCCGCTGCAGCAATGTCAGCAAAATCGGATTCAGTAATCCAGGTGCTCCAGTGTTTCGTCAACGTTTCTCTCGCGGTATCGGCATCCTGGTATTCACAAAATGTCCACTCGTCAACGATGGTCGATATACCTAGAGTGAGGATTCAGAGCAAGGATCATGCGACACCGAATAGGGAGCAAATCACCTGTGTTTTCGAACAAAGATGGAGTAATCCAAGGCTAGAGACATCGCTGTTACTAAAGCACCTTGGGAGAGAAAACCATAAAATGCACTTCAAGAACAAGCCATCCACCGAGGTTGACGCCTCGTACTTTGTCTGCACCATAATTGAACGTCGGTGAGAAAGCGAAAACGGATTCCAGAAGAGAAAATCCAAAGGTAGCAACGGTCAGCATCCGTAGAAGTAAAAGAGAGATATCCATGTTGAGAGAGCAGAAGGAAGGGGGGAAAGTCCAGATGCCTCGAGTAAGCCATCACTTTTAACCAGCATGAAATGACCGAATGAGCCGGCCAAGAAGTAATAACACCTTCGCAGCTCCCCACGCACGTTATCCGCATGTCAGTTACATTTCAAGCAGACGATCACGTTTCAAGGACTATGGTGAAACTGCGTATCGTCCTAAACAACCATATGCCTGTGGGGGAGATAGGAAATTTAGAAAACTGAAAGAAAGCGTGATAGCAACTGGAAAAGCAAGATATAGTCTAATACCAGCTTCTTAGACTATACTTCTGCGAAGCTGCACCGAAGAAAAAGGAAAATCATAGACCACGAGGGAGACATGCCCAGGTAGGAGCTATGGGGCGGAAGCCACACATAACTCATGACTTTGCCTGGGCACGCAAGCGAGCGCCGGGGAACCTACATCCCGAAGACCAAGGAAGGGTATGAATGACTCGGAGAATAACTGAGCCATTCGTATGTGGAACCACTCGGTATCGAGAGGTGTAGGCCATGAACAACGCAGGTTCGTGGCCCGGTCTGTCAAAGGGATGACCTGAGACCTGAGGACCACGAAAACTGTAAGGAAGACAAGAGTCAAGCATTTGAGACGAGGACATACTGTACCTTTATTTGAAAGATAGAAGTCAGTGGACGACAGCAAAGTTCGGAATTGCTACGGTCATGGTAAGCGGGCTGTGACGTCAAGAAGATTCAATTCTGTTGAGCAAAAAGCCATACCACTTGAAAGATTCGAACTTTCGACCTCAAGATCAATACGCCGTCAAACACCAGGGTATATGAGACTTGCGCTCTAACCGACTGAGCCAAAGAAGCATCGATTTGTATTTCTTTTAGCCATCCCTCCCTCTGAGCCAGTGATCCAGTTTACTGGTGAACCGGCAACTCCGTATGAAGACCACAAGAACATGAGCAATGACGACCTCGTAAAAGATTTAGTAGAATAAAATTCAAATTTGAAAGCAGGACAATTGTAGTCTCGTAAGAATACACCTTGCGCTACGGGCATGCGTGACGCGTCGATGCTGTACAGATTTGATTAGTAAAGAGAATCGAAACTCGTGAGGAGAGGCAGGCATATTGATACTTACATTAGTAACATAGTAGTATTTCGGTGTGAGAATTTGTGAGAGGTCTTCATGGCAGTAGGCCCAAGACAAAAAACATTGAGCACGAAGAGATTCTCAGTGAAATACGAACACCAAATCGGGTGGTCGGCTTTTGCCGGACTACAGGTTCAACTCTCCCACGAGCATCGTTTCATCCTGACCTCGCGCTGAGAAACTACTTTTCTTTTCTTGGATATCAAAAGATCAACAACTTCGACTTGCGATTTGGAACATTTTTTAGATCCGGCCTACTCTTCCACCATGAACATCGAGCAACCCATTGAATTCTGGGCCGCCTGCTATCTGATGAACTCACTTCGTACGACGTAGGAGAACTCAGCCCGAGATTTCATCCGCATAGCCATCTTCGACAGTTCACTTTCACCTTGGCGTACGAAATGTCTTTAACATCTACTCTCGCCCTTCCTTTGAAACAGCCTTCTATCCTTCTTGGGCGACCTTGCTGTCTCTGCCGTCCAGGCCCGTCCTAGGTAGGGCTTGGAAGCCATTCAACTTGAGCTTGGCGAGTCTCCGAGTAATTTATACATGGCCACAAACCTTCCTCACCTCGGGCTAGGTTCTATTCTATTCCATGTATGGTGCTCTTTTCGCTGACGCAACAAGGGCAAGCCTGGCCGTTCGAAAAAAAACATAAAGGGCTACGAAATGGCCATCGTTCTCCAGACAAACTCATCTACCTACTCATCTACCACAGTTTCTCATCTCACTAGCCACTATGCGTTTCTCTGTTGCTGCTCTCATTCCTCTCGCTGCCCTCGTGGCTCCCGCCCTCTGCGGCACCGTCAACGCCCGCCAAGCCGGTGTTCAAGCCAGGGACTGGAATGACCACAAGAAATACAACGACAAAGACTTTGATCACAAGAAGCACGATGACAAAGAGTGCACTTGGGAGCCTGTCTTTGTGAACAAGAACGACTGGCATGGATGGAGGCCGGGCAAGCACACTCCCATCGATACCAAGAAGTGTGACAAGGATACCTTCGAGATCGGTAAGCGCGCTTCCCCCCACCTTTGCGGTTGTTTTCGCTTACATTCATCCATTCAGACTGCAAGAAGTTCTGTGTGGACCACGACAAGTGTAACTCTTGCCAGGGTACGTCTGAATTTTCGACTTCACCTTGAGTGCGGCGTCTGAGCAGTTTGTAGTTTATTCGCTCGAGGAAGCCGCAGAGGAGTTCATTTGCGAGCTTTTCGAGGAGATTATCGACATCCTTACCTGGGAGGAAGACTGTGATGAGGACGACAAGGATGGCAAGAAGTACTACGACAGTTCTTGCTGGAACGCCCACTACTAAGTAGTGGTGATGTTGGACTTTCATTCCAGGACCTGTGGTTGATGTAAAATAGCTATACCGCATGGACTTAAGGGACTAGGACTTAAATATATACACCGTTGTATTTTCAGTATGCTCCTGGAATGAGTGGATAAATTTTTGGTTTAACAGACAAATCGCCCAAAAAATGAGGGCAGTTAAACCTCGGCGCTTCTTTTTTGATATTATATATGCAAGCCGTCCGTAAAAGCATAGTATTTTTAACAAGGCAGCTTATCGGAAGCCAGTTTCGCGATCACTGCGGCCGCATTGAAGTTCATCATCAAACATAGGCCGGAACATTTACTATATGCTGGGTATCAAAACCGCTTCTAATTCCCCTGCGATCGAAGTGTTTTTAAGGGCCTCTGCTAGCATGGACTACTTCTGCTTTCTGTCATGGATGCATTGTCCGTGTCATTTATATCCCTCTGTATCAGAAAGTTTCCCTCATGACATCAAGCAGCCAGAGTTTTCCTACGTTTATAGTATGGTTATACTCAGGAATTCAACGAGACTATGAATGGTAACGGAGTCCGTCATGAGCAACAATCATGACAGTCACGTACCAACCAACATACTTAACAAGAGACGTGGCAGGGACATATCCAAGCCTAATCTCTTTGGAAACCTGTAGTCACGGCGACTCAAGGAAACAACGTTGGAGCACTGAACCTAGGTTATTTAGAGGACTAAACGCAGCCCAGAGTGGAGAGGAGAGCGATAGCATTATAAAAAGCTAGGAATACAAACCAGGGTTAAAATCATTGACATTTAAAACCAAAAGAACTATGCCTGCCCATCCCCGGCCTTTATAAGATCCAGATTTGATACATCAACCTCCGAGAAGGGTCGATCCTTCACTTTTCGCGTCTCCTTCTCTCTCTTCACCAACCAGCGATAGAGGAGCTTCATGCAATCTTTAGCCTGCATTACCGTTAGCACCTAACCTCTATGTGCATCAAGAACGAGCACTTACCACGATGAAGATGCCAAACCCGATCGAGTTACGCCACCAGACGGGATCGAGCTCTGCCCAAGGACTGACGCCTCCCCAAAAGGCGCGCAAAACTAGGCCCCAGGGGACCACAGGCTTGCCCTGAGCATTGGTCTTGAGCCATGCCACAGGGAACGGAACTTGGCTCTGCCATGGCGGACGCACGCCAAGAAACCTGCGCATGTATAACGAATGTTTTGATAACATTAAAAGCAACGAGCCCATCCTGTTCGCGATAGTCGGCAGAAGTAAGGCACCCCCGATTCTACGACCGATGCGGCTGGGAGACTTGATCTCAATGGTAATATCAGCCAGTTGCTGACCGACGACGTTGCCATTGTCTGGGAGAACAGGAACGACGGCGGGAGGGTTAGGCTCTTGTGCCTGTCCCTCGGCTGGTGCTGGTGCTGGTTCTGGTGGCTGTTCGCCTTCCCGGTCCCGCTGCTCGTCATCAGCGTTGAACACAAATCGGAGGTTATCCTCGTATTCTGTTGGGTCTGTCGTGCCAAGGATGTGGTACGACAACCGCTCGAAGCAAGCGCGATATATAGCGTTGGTAATTGGGAGAATGACACAAGCGAATGCGTATGGAGATGGCGGCCATAAGGACGACTCGATGCGTATGTTACTCGTGTAATTGCTATGGTGGGTCAGAACAAAGATACCTCGAGGCATGAGAGAAAAGCATGCGATGATGGTGGGCATGATTGGGGAAACGTGAGCGTAGCGGGAGACGACGAGGCTGATGGGAATGAGAGGCAGCTGGATGTATGCCATTATTGGCCAGTTGGTAGGGTCGTCGGTGAGTACAAAGTCGTACATCCTGCGAATGGTCAGACAAGTAAGGATTTTGAGGGTCATCCACATACTCTTGTCCAAAGAACTGCTGGATCGCATGAGCACCGTATCCGGTGAGCAGAACATATATCCCTGCTGGTCTCAGTACAGATTTACAGAGAAAGAAGGTATATGTACTCACCAGCCTGCATAGATACCAAAAATCCAGCGAAACCCGTCCAGAGACATACCCTCCCCAATGTCGGTAGCTGACGACTGCACCACGAAAGAATTCTGAGTAATCTCGGATTCCGGCTCTCAATCTCGTACGGCGTCCTGCACTGAGGACATATCATAGCTCTCTCCCCAGCCTCTGCAGACGTCGCCTGTGCCGTCTGTATCCATTTCAGCAGACACGCTTCATGAGCAACCAGCGCGCATTTGCAAGGGTGTATCCAGACCCGTGGCGGAGTTTCCGGTTCTGCTACGGCAGTTCAGATAATGCAATGAATAAGTAATGAGAAGTTCGCACTGTCGAAGAGTTCTTCTTCTCTGCAAATATAACAGAGCTTCACACGAAGGTCCTGAATGGAGGGAACATAGTCGCTCATCGTGGTATTGGTGCAGGTGGGGAATGACCTTTTTCGGCAATGAACGACATGTTTGATTTTGAAATTCAGAATTCGCCTCCGAGTAACCGAGATTATCAGCCAGCGGTCCTGGTTCTGTTTAACGTTTGTATGTTTTTCGATCACCGCATGCCCTGTTGACTCTGAAATTTTCGACCCAGGATCTCCTACGGCTGGGCAGAGCGACGCGTCACTGACGCCACACTGATTCTCAGATGTCGTAAAAGCTTATTATGTATGCCGACTGTCCCCCTCAAATGGATCCGAATAGCCGCCGGGCCCAAACGTTGCAACGTTGAACGTTCAGTTCGAAGACAAGAAAATAAAACATCTGGAGCAAGGTCTGGTCCTTGCATATGCAATATCATGGATTCCCTCATTCATAAATTCGTGAGCAGACATGTCCCCCTCGGAACCGCCTAGATACACTCCAAAATTCGACATTATAAACGAGGCTCCTGTGCTCTTCGGGCGAAGGTTACTGTCAGTTGATAACCGGAATGTAACGTTACGAGTATAAATTCTAAGCATTGGCGGCATCTGTGCGGGTTAATCTTCGCTGACCAATATGAGTTGTGTTAACATGTCTCCCCAGGTCTACTTATCTGATGGCTCAGGCGGCGTTATATAACAATGGCTCAAACTTTAAATAATGATTTCATGTCCTCTGGGGTCAGGTCGTGCGAGCGTCTCGACGAAACACATTCAATCTTCCACATATTGGCATACAATTTGAAGATAAGTATGAGTCCATCATCGTATGATTGCTTCCAGCTTGCCCATTGCAGATTTATCTATCTTGACTGAAGTACTAGCAAGAACCTCTGAAGTCAGAACATTAGCCCCAGATCCGCTTGGTCTAATATTCATCCGCCAAGGACCACTGCCACCACCTCCCCGAATGATCCTCATAAACCGCTCGTCACTCTTCCAGTCATTCCTGAGTACAGTACGTACCCACGAAATGGCGTCTGTCCAAGCGAGTCTGGTTTGTTTGGATCCGCACCGCTCTCAAGAAGGAGCTCTATCAGATGGCGAGAAACAGAGCGTATATGACCAATAGATGCATGCGCCATTGCATATCGATCGTCAACATGTACGCCTGCTTTTTGCGCGATCTTCAGGAGTGTGTCACGCACATTGCTTTCAGCAGAGTGCTTCCCCATAACATGGAATGATGCCACTGATGTAACGGGACTAATCTCCCGAGGATATCGACCGGATGCATCAGCTTCGGCTTGTACGTGCCCAGTAAGATGATCGACGTCACTGGAACGTAGAGTCATGAACAACTGTGCTCCTTCATTGTCATAACTGAACCATGTCCGGGTGACAAGATGGAGAGGGGTACATCCATGTTTGTCCGCAGCGTGAACATCTGCTCCTTTGGTAAGAAGAAAGCGTGTGCTCCGAAGGCTTGCATCGGCAAATTGGAACTGTGTAAGAGGGCATCCGGCAGCGTAGTGGAGAGGGGTTCTACCAAGTAGATCACGCTGCATTACATCGAAACCGTACGAAGCAATCATGTACTCGACGAGGCGATGACAGGAGAGGTCTGCTGCAATGTGCAGGGCGTTCATTGTATCAACCGCTTCACCATTCTCATCTCTGTATTTAATCCATGAGACGTCATCGGTATATCCAAGATGCTATGTTCTCACCTCTGGTTTAGAGGAGACATCCTCATGGAAAACATTTGCAGATACATTCCCAGTAGCGTTGCTAGTTCCGCCACTCGGTCTGTATGGTGCAGATGCCAGAGATACTCTGTCCCTCGAATGTATTTGATCAGAGCAGCACAGGGGATCTGACCAACATGTTTTTCGAATAACTGTGCACATTTGAGACACGTCTTGAAAACAGACAAATGTCCATTTGGTATAGACTCGAAGATGAAGTATCTAGTTTCAAGAGATAATTCTTCGTTCCGACGGGCTGTAGTGAGAAACTCTTTCACCGAGGCATGGACAAAGTGTACGAACTTGCGCCCATCAGCCTCAGTAATTTGGACAAGGTTAGCGCAATCAGAGATCAGAGCCATGGGGTCGGTAACGACGTTTTCAGGGTCCCATTCATCATCCATGTCATCAACAGCTATGCACTGTTGGAGTAACTCGAGAGAGATCAAAGTTCGAGTGCACACGAGCCATTGCAAAGCACGTTTGGCCCGCATCCTCCTTCGCTCGTCAAGCGTGGACATTGAGGTAAGACTACGGACGTAGGTAGCGTCTAGACCACGAGGAAGTTGAGTAAGGGATGATCTTATATCGTGATCAGTCTGTTGTTCGCAGAGATGAAGAATTTGAAAGTCCACCCATAAAAACCTGTAGAACCAAACCCGTTAAATAATGCGGCAGCGCACAGAAATTTCCGGAAAGACATACATCCCATCCGCTCTTTCCACCAGAGTATCAACAATTGCCTGACGAAGATCGGGGTTGGAGATTCGAACGACGGGCTCGTCTTCGGCTGGAGAGTATACCCGCCTGTGGACATACTCTCGTAAATCAGATAGGATTCCACCTGAATCTGAGATATCAAAGGAAGGAATCGCCCTGAGCATTCTATCCATCTGCGATGTCCAACGGCTCAGTATCAGAATATGAAGACGAGAGGAGCTGTGGAGCCGTTTCAGTGAAGCGAGAACCGTAACTTGTGCACCCCCGTTAGCACATTCATCCAGGGCATCAATCACGACATAGGTCCGAGAGAAATCTTCACATGCCATTTTGATTAGCTTCTCCAGCCCCATGACTGTCGTGAGTGAGATTTTGTTGTCCTCCAGTTGCTGAATACGAGAAGCGGGAATTCGTGATACGATCTGGTAAAGAATGGTCCCGAGTATTTTAAGAGGCTCCGTTTTTGCAGTTTGATCGTGTTGACAATAAAAGTACGCTACTGCAGCAGCATTGTCAGTGCTTTGTCGCAGCAGATCTTGGATCACAATTGACCTGAGAGGCATCAACATATTTCAACAAACTTATAGATATCGCTCACGTTAAAACGGTCTTCCCGATGCCGGCTACATAAGTCTGAAATCAGCATGAAACCCATAGATTATCGGGCGCACAATACGTTTTCCGTAAAACCATAAAAAGCCCGCCCGTCCTGACTTCCATTCCTGATATTGAGGCAAGTTGAGAAGCCACTGCCCCGACGAAGAATTTTCATGTAGCTTCAGACAGCATTCTTCATGTTTATCCTCGCAGCTGGCATGCGAGATTTTCTTGAGGAATGCCCGTCGATGAGATTCTTCAAATCATGATGAGCAAAAACCACTGAGTGAATGCGGCCAATTAGATTCTTACCTGCTTCCTTGTGTTCTTCCTTGACTGCTTCTGTGTCCCAGCGTTTCTCCCTTTGACTGAGTAACCACAGTCTATTCTCTTGCCTTGCAATCATCTGCTGCATCTGCTCTCTTCCTAATTGGGCAGCTCGGCGTTCGTAGTATGTCTCTACGCGATCGTCATGTTGAACCTCGGACTCCAAGATGAGCCTAGTAGCGTCAAGCTCTGTGACGATATCATCAAGCTGAGCAGAGCTCCAGGGACTCATTGACTTGAGAAAGATGCGAAAGGAACCTTGGATTGTCAGCATCTGTGCACAAAAGTGACAAGTAGCGAGAGCTGCACTTACTCAGCTGTTTCCTTGACACTTGGTCGCGAAATATACAATCAACTTTAAAACAAAACTTCAAAATGGAACCATATGCGTCAGCCAGTGCCTTACGAACAGATAAGAGGACGAATGGAGTTTTCAGAAAAGGTTGACACACTTCTTGAACCCTTGAAGAGTTTTTGTACAGATCGACGGCATATGCCTGGTAGAAGTGAAGACGACGAGATACATCTTTGAGAACGGTGGTAATTTTATTGAAATAGGCTGAGTAATTGCAAACAACCTGCTCATGAAAAGTTTAAGAACAATGATCAACTCAATCACACCCAGAAACCCACCGTAAAAATAAACTTGATACATCCCCAGACGGCTCCGGCAATCTCAGGATTTAATGAGACTCCCTGGTCCTATAGTGTCAAAGAACTGCAACAAAGGCCTGATTACACTGGCAGCCCAATCCATGGAACGATGTAACCGATTTGTCTCGACATAAGTCCGCACAACCTTGAGAACTTCGTCGGGATGGGAAGGCGTAAACGTAGGTCTTACAGAAACGAGATATTTTTGCAGTGCTTGGTCGAAAGCTTTGTTAGGTACAGACATAGAGAGGCCGAGGGTGCAAGAGATGCAAACGATGTCAATAACCGCCAGCACAGCAATAAGGATGGCCTCGCAACATACAGCATTTGTTTGCCACGTGGCCCTCGAATAAGGTTAATATAGTGTGGGACTTCTGGTCTCTTTTAGGTACACTTTTATCGTCGCAGCGCAGTAAATTGAAGCAAGCAATCGAGAGCGACAGAGACAAGGAAACCGCATTATCGAGTACCATCTAGCTCTGATCATTGCTGATCATGATGGTCTGAAGTGAGAGACCGTGGGAAAGATTGCTCGTTTACAACCGATAGCTCCTGTTACGACCATGCCCACGAACAAATACGGCGTCAGCGACGAGCTGACCTGTTATGAAATCTTCTGGAGAGACACATACCACTTTCTCAATGAGAGAGGCTACCAATTACGGCCAAGATACCATCCGGACTGGGTGCCATCTTGGAAACCAGGCAAGGAAGTACACGCAGAGGACTGGCAGTGTATTCATGTACGTCCTAATCACTCAAAATTCGTGTAACAGTTCGTACTCGCTTTATCTTCAGGGCAGGGGGGCCGTGAATGACGCCTTTTCCCTCAAGAAACAGGAGAAAGTGGTCCTCAAAGTAATAGAATCCAACGAGCTGCCAATTCTTCGAATATTGAACGCACCTAACGTGAGAGCTCTGCCGAATAATCGTACTGTGCCTATCTTGGAAACGTTACACCTCAAAGACGACCCGGACAAAAGACTCATAATCGTCATGCCGTTCCTTCGCTGGTTCTTCGACCCACCTTTTGAGACACTTCACCAAGTCTTGGATGCATCTCGACAGCTCCTCTCGGTGTCGTATATTTATATCGCAGCCTTACTGGACTCTTATAATGTCGTTTTCAGGGCCTTGCTTTCATTCACGAACATCACATCGCTCACAGGCTCGTTTTTCTCATCCGGTTCATCTTAAAGCAGCGTGCTGACGTTTGCTTTACCAGAGATGCCTGCTATCTCAACATCGTCATGGACTCATCTCTTCTTATACCGAAAGGATTCCATCTGACGAACCCTTGGATAGCAGCCGATGCAAAGTCAAGCTATGAATCCCGCAGCCGCTCTTCGGTCCATCCTATAAACTATTATTACATCGACTTTGAGCTATCCGTCATTGTAAACGACGACAACCCTCTTGCGTATGGCCGCGTCGGACTGGACCCATCAGTTCCCGAGTGGGCGACACCAGACGAACCGTACGACCCTTACAAACTAGATATCTACCAACTCGGAAACGTGTTTCGCAAAGAATTCACCGAGGTCAGCTTCCCCCCTCTTTTACCTAACTGCTTTAACCATTTATCCAACAGACGTATATCGGTCTCGAATTTCTTCTTCCCCTAGTGGAGAGTATGACACGAACTTTACCGAGCGAACGACCGACTGCGTCTGAAGCACTGGCGACCCTCGAGGCTCTTTCTGGGACTCCCTCTCGACGTATCTGTTTTCGCACATACGGGTCAGGAATGAGGACGAAGCTCAAACTTCTTGACCTCTTCGATAAATATAAAAGTAAACTTTTGCCTGTTCGGACGCCATGACAACCTTTGGATATGCCTTGTGTTCTTCTCGTCGCCGTGATAGGTACTAGTATGTACTAATGGCTAGTAGAGTCGTTGAATCACATTTTGTAACCTATCCTGAATATTCATCATCAACTAGAAAGAACCCAGGTTCCCTTTGCGTTCAGAGTGATAAAGAGGCGCCCGATGTGACATATGTCACACTATGGCCTGATACGGCTTTGATGGAAAAAACGCAATGGTCCATATGCGATGCGCTACCTAGGTTACATTCACAAAATAGGCTGGAGGTCCATTGCAAGGTGTTACAGCACTCTTTCAACGAAATGATCCATTTGACAGATTCGAAATAGGGTTATGAACACCGTTGAAAGGTACTCCGCCTTTGAATACGCTGCATTCCGTAGATATGACTTTCCAAGTGAGACATCGTACTTGATGTTTATGAAAGACAAATGAGACGGAGATAAGTGAAGCAGCGGTAGGTGGTCAATAGGTTTAAGGCCAAAGGACATCCCAGACACAAATAAATAAACGAATAACTCAATTGGAATGATTCTTGATGTACAACATGATTATTCGAATAATAGCTAGCAAGACACACAAACTACAAGTCCATCCTTGATATGTCTATCACTCGGCCTTCAATTGCACTGACCCCTGTTGAAGGAATCGATTAGCAATCTCATATCGTAAGAGCAACACACCTGATGAGACCCTATATCATCATCTTTGTCCATCTCGGCGGTTTCGTAGCCTTGAGCAACTTCTTCAGCTCGATAAAGTCCGGGTCGTCTTCAGCAGGCAAAGGAAAAAAGTTTCTTGGATCCATGCAGGCAACCGCAAGAAAGAGATTGACCTCAGCACCTGGTTGTACTGGCTTCACAACACCGCAGACCTGAGTACGAAGGTTTGTGTGTTTCTGGAAGAGGCGCCGTACGGTATCAAACATGGTGTCGACTCGTTCGAAAGCGGTCTTGTCGGTGCCCCAGCCTTTCTTTACGCCATACGCGAGGAGAGCAGGACCATCTAAGGAATAACCACAGACACGACGGTCTTCGATAGGCGGCATGAGGAGCTAAGGAAAGCGTACAAGTGCCAGAAGTGGCTGTGTGGGCAGTAGAACTCGCATTTCAATCGCCGCCTGAAATCACAGCAGGACCCGGCAAATGCCGCAACTTCCCACGTTTAGTTCAAAGCATAACTGGCTTCGACTGTACGGGCAGGATTATAATACTCACTACTTATAACGCGGGAGTGGTTGTGTTTCTCAAAACAAAGGTTGTAAGGCGTAACAATGAGGCAGGCTTCCTTCTTTTCTTCCATTACAAGCTAACTGAAAGCCAACAGTTCTAAAGTTTCTTCAAAGAATTGAAAACGAGTGCTTCTGTCTTCTCTGGCGCCGATGCCAGAACGGGGAAGGCCTCTGCATTAGTGAAAGAACTCTGCAAGTGCTCTTTCTCCTCGCAAGCAGCAATTACTATGTCAGTCTTCAGATACCAAGGGCATGCGGCGTGTGCTTGGATCGAGTGGTGGAGACGTCGGAGAGAATAGAGGTGCAGGATCGACGGTGCACCACTATCAACTGCACACCAAAACGGTGAGAGTAAGGCACTGTTGTACGAAGAAAAGCTTGCGGCTAGTTAGGCTGTTGGAAGCACCATATAATGTTCGGTCAGGCGACAATTTGGAAGAGAGAAGTTACCTTTGTGCAGTGGTCGTTCACTTGAAATCTCCCCACACGAATATTTACATTTCTGTCTATGGCAGAGCTTGAGGATAGCAACCTGTATCGCAACAGAAGGCTCTTTGGCCGCCCTTGGATCACCAATCTATGCGACCTGCTGATTTACGGTTTTGAAGGAGCCCCGACATTTGCCAGTGTTACCCGAATTTGGAATATCATTTGCGCCACACGATCACGTGCATTACTTTCATTGTTCTACGCGACTTGAAATAAAGTCTCGTGGGTTCAAAATATGCGTTGTCAGAAATTCAGGCCCGATGAGTGCTATCTCGACGAGGGATCCGATGCTATCTATCGCGTTCTTATGGCCAGTAAGCCACATTTTTTCTTTCAGACGTCCATTTAAAATAAATCTCTGTATCCAGACGGCGATGTCCTTTCTCGTGTCCGTTCCAAGCTTCCCCGCACTGGCGTGGCTCGTGACGTCGCAGCTGCTAGGAAGGCAGCAGAATTTTCGGAAGAGGAAGAAGCGCAACGGGAAGAAATAGCAAAGGCCCGCCGAAACATGCAAATCCAGTGTGGTCGTTACGCCCTCGAGATTCTGTCTGGCGCCGACTTTCGAACGCACTGCATTGGTGCTCTCGTTGCGGGAGGACGCATTCAACCACTCTACTATGACCGCTCCGCCATCATTGTGTGTAAACCGGTTGCTATCTTTGAACAGGAGGGTACTGACGTTACGGACGTGTTCGTGGCAATGCTCATCGGATTGGGTCGCCTTTCTCTCAAGCAGCGAGGCATTCAGGAACAATTCTACGACGACAAGATGCTCATCGAGAATTACATGAATAGAAGTCGTGATCCCAATGCCGTCTTTGTTGGGATAACGCTTAGGTTGGTTAAAGGTGATGAAAAGGTCGAGGTGACCCTTGGCTGGATTATATCACGCCATCCTAGCATCGTCGGTCGAGACACTTGCGTAGTCGAGGCCACATCGGAGCATGAGGGGTGGACGGGTAAACAACTGATTGTCAAGATCAGTTGGCCGGACATCCGCCGAACATCTGAAACAGATTTTGTGGGAAAAGCTCGAGAGAAGGCTCGAAATATGACGCAAGGCAAAAGGCCAGAATGGGCCCTAAATCACTTGCCGGACATTCTCCTCTCCCAAGACTTCGGCTATGACATAAAGTCTACTCAGACGAACCTGGTAGATTTCTTCGCAAAGACCATGTTTGTAGACAAGAAATTTGAGTACGAGGGACGTGTGTGTCGAATCGCTGTCCAAGAGAAACTGTATTCCTTCGACGAACTGCAGACGCCTCAAGAGTATGCTCAGGTCTTCTTCGATATTTTGCAGAGTACGTACATTATTCTTCTTTTCTGAGTGATTTCTGACTGCCGCTGTAGTTCACAAATGACTCTATGATCACCCGGGAATTATCCACCGGGATACTAGCAAAAGCAACATTATGTGGCGCCGGACCATCGATGGTCATCTACGCGGGGTCCTTAACGATTTCGATTTTTCTTCCTTCCGAGATGACACCCCTTCCTTGCTTCAGCGTGTCGGCACTCGACCTTACATGGCGTATGAACTCTTCGAAGATGAGTATGTCGAGGATCCACCGCCTACTAAACACCTTTATCGCCACGATGTGGAATCCATCTTCTACGTCATCCTTCTACTTTGTTGTCGTTACCAACTCGACACTACACAGGAATCTTCTGAATGTGCGATTCCAGTACGCACAAAAGTCGATTCCAAATTTGACGAATGGTTTGAACCTGATCCTCATGACATGTTGCAGGCAAGAAAATTAGCTGTTTTCATGGGACTCGGACATGTCAACATCAGTCCGAAGGTGCATAGCGGCTTCGCTGACTTTCAGCCTTGGATCAACGGTCTTCATGAGCAGTTCATAGAGGGACTTCTCGCAAAGCAACATCATTCTTGCCTACAATATCGAGACAAACAAGGATTAGCTGCGGAGCCCTTTGACGATGAAACTCTACAGGACTGTGTTTCTTACCCGGTCATCGTCGATATCTGTAGTAAATTTGCTGGTTCCGCTCTTTTAGTACACAATGACCAGCTCGAAGCTAGCGCCTAGTGCTAAGTAGTATCTAGTAGTATTTGCTCTCATGCTTGTAGCTTTAATCTATTATTTTTGCCATTAAATATGTTATAGGTGATGGAAAATGAAAACAATCCTGCTTAGCATGTGATGTAACCAGACTGCACCACCACCGTCGTAGCCCGGCGAGCTAACTTCATAGAACTCGTGTACTCGTAAATGTAGATAACCATCGTCGGCGTTATCAAACTGAAACTAGCCTTTCTCTAAGATTCCACCAAGTTAAGCCCTGACAGCCAACACACAGCGTCCCTGCGCTGCATAACCTCTAGGTTCTAGCTACTTATAGTATAGTCTCATTACGTAGTCCCTTACGGCACATAAAAATACGTATCCAGTCCGTCGAAACACCAAATACGAGCCCACCTAAAGCAAACAAGGAAAGAACCACCACCGAACCTCCTCCGCATACCTTACCCATTGCTCCCCAAATAGCATATTCATCTGCCGATCCTCTGCCTTAGCACGACTTATCCCCACAGACAACGTCCATGACCACCATAAACCCCACAGAAGATACATCACCACCCTTCCCCACCCCGTCCCAAATGCACATTCCACCGCCCAGCTGCCGCGCGTAAAATGTGCAATGCTGATTCCCAGTACGAGGAGCATTGACCCCGCGTAGGCTGGGTGGCGTACGAGGGCGTAAGAGCGCGACGTGATGAGTTTGTGCTCGGGGTGAATCGTCAGGTCGAACGTGAAGAGTTCGCCGAGCGCGTAGAAGCAGTCAATCCGGATGAAGGCTCCGCAGAGGATGGAGGCGGAGCCAATGAGGAAGAGCGGAGTTGGGGGGAGTTGAAGTGAGGGTAGCGTAGAGGCAGGGCAGATGAACGTCGATGTATAGGGCGTACTCGCTGGGATTAAGGAAGAGAGGTAGAGAAGTGTCTCGAACGCAGCAAAAGTCCATAGTACGACAGAGTGGATCTAAGAGAAAGTTAGAAAAGCTTAACCAAGAATGAAACTTTTTCGTACCCAGAATATGAAAGGTGCTATTTGGAGAATGAAATGCGCTTCCGTGTGGTAGCGGCCTTTTTTTGGCGTAGGGTTCGGGCAAGTCAGAGCAGCTTGGTGCACAATGGCCTGGATGATAGTAAATGAAGCCCGAATGAAAGACATAGCCAGAAGAGCGATGCGAGATGCTAGCCAGATAGAGCCCATCTCGTACACTATATATACTCATCTTGCCTTAGCGCGAGGCCAAACGCAAAGAGCCACTGAGCGTTCCGTGACGAGTAAAAGAATCATCTTTGAGGTTCGCGACACCTCAAAAGAACGGTCATCTCACTTGGTTCTAGTCGTCGAAGGTCCGCGGTAAACCAGTCAAGAATGCGGGAAGGGTTCGTGGTAGGGAAGTCGAGTTTACCTGCCCTTGAGAGGGAAGTCACTGCTAATATAAGTCAACTAGCCAACGGGTTGACGTCAAAAGATCAAAGACCGCAATATGTGCAAATTATTCTTCTCCTATCGATGTTCACGAAGAGACGCGACGTGCCTGCATTGTAATACCCGAGGTATCAGGCCGAGGATTCGTAAGAACGAAAGATTGGTCTAACCATGGTTCTATCACATAAAATTACATTGCAGTCTTTATTCAATCTACATAAAGCATCAGTTACACATTTAAAGGTCCTCTACGGCAGAACGAAACTCACAGCGGAGCTCTTCACGAATATCCAACAGCCCAGATAATCCCGCCGTCCATCAACAAGTACACCACCCCCAAGCTCTCGTCAATCTCGATACTGCCCCTCCTATTCCCGTGCCAACTACCTATTCCTCGTCCCTCAATGAGCCGATCTACAAGATTAATCTCCAGAGGCAGATGAAGATCGTGTATCGAGCAGCTCTTATCTCCTGCAAGCCTCAAAAGCTTAACACGGTCCCCCGCAGTTCCGTCCATGTAATGAACCAACACGTGCCTGCCCGACGCAGCAGGAATTGCTTCCATCATCTCGCACCGCGGGAAAGAGAACTCGAACTCCGTTCGCTCGTTCTGCGGAGACTGGAAGGAGTATCGAACGCGATAGCCGGGAAGGACGGAAGTATGCGATACGGACCGCCCGGTCGAAGGGCAGTTATGTATGTTCGATGTATACTGTGGTAGTGGAGGTTGTGCTACCGGTGCTCGCAAGAATATGTTGCTGGCTGATAGGTCGGACGACAGTGTATATTCGTGGACGGTGTACGTGTTCCGAGCGTGCTTGATGACGTTGAGTGTGTTTCCGGAAATATAACCGTCAAGGTGAGTTTTGATGGACGGTTCTGGTAAAGATGCTTCGGGGACGGCGTTTATGATGAACTTGCTCTCTGGAGCAGATTGAAGATTCTTGATTCCAAAGCCTGCGCGAAGCTTTTGCGTATGCCACGCCAGCGCGACTAGGTATCGATCATTGATGGCAAGGGTAATGTACGAATGGGAAAAGGATTCCCCGAGGGTTATTTCTGTACGGAAAGTCTGTTCAAATTTAACCGAGGTCCGTTCAGCGTAATTCACGCAGATTCCTGTGACGTATGCAGTTCTATTTATTCATCAGTTATCACAGAACAGGAAAGCTAAAGGAGAAAGCTCACAACATGCTGTCATAGGAAGACACATATGCCAACACCATTCGGCCCGGTACGGTGTAAGAGGGATACGATACTGAGTGCAATTTCCCCACATCTCTCACAACACCGACACAGCTCCCAATCTTCGTATCCCAGCAGCTGATAACCTCTCTTGCAGCCGAACCCGTTACCACCAGGTGCGTTCCAGGAATAACAGCGAGAAAACACTCGTCCGTGCTGGTCGGTTTGTAGTGTTTCGTTTCCGTTCGTCTCCAGTACTGGGCTTTGGGTCTAGGCAACGACCAGTTCTTCCACAGAAAGATAGCGCGGTACGCAATGTTTCTGAGGGCACTGCAAGTAAGCAAGGACAAATCGTCTCGAGGAGGACATGGTATGGGTAATATCTTGCGCGTCGCGTGAAGAATATGACTCCACAGTTCCCGGGAGTTGAGGAACTTGGAGGCAGACTGCAAAAGACCTCATGAGCTGACCGACAATAACAGTACAATGATGACCTACATGAAGCAGTGGCAACGCCTCACGCAGATCCATATGCCATAGTATCTCGAAATGAATATCTGTAGGGAGTTCCAGGAAAGACAGCGCTGGTGCTACCGCCATGGTTGTGCGACGTGGCCAGAGGTAGATGTTGAAAGAAGAGGCTGGAGCTAGAAATAACCACGGTACCAATGGTTGTCGCACGGTCAAATTAGTAAAACGTAAAACGCGATAAGTTCTTCCGGCATTTCACGACATACGGACGCGTGGCGCTAGTGTGCACATGGCACTGATGGCTGTGTTGTGCATTTCAGCTGTCAGAATTCTGGCGCTACAATGGGCCCGGGGAGCATACGCAGCGGTTTGTGCATCTTAAAGCAGTCCTTCACATCCTACACAAAGGTTTTTGGTGCCGCTAGAGGAAGTGCCATACGCTGCAGGTAAAGATGAGTACATACCCACGGGGATCGTGTTTAATTTCGCGCACCATTCGAACTATACACGTTCCAGACAGTTGAAGACACCATCAGACGTCCAGAATACCTCATACCAGTATTAGTAGTACTTATCGAGTTATCGATGGAGCTGATAGACTGATATAAACAGCTTGACTCCACTTACCCCCGGCGAAAAAGATGGGCGGCACGGCGTAAATGACACGCCACTTCAAAGGACAGAATAGGAAATAGTAGTTTTGCGGCAGGAAAGTAACTTGCGGAGACAATTGGGGCATTACTACGCCATCGCATTTCTGTCCATCACCATCACCGCCGTTCTCGAGGCTTGAGTGAGCCTGGAATGTTTCTTTGAGCCGATTGAGCAAGATCACGCGAATGTTACGGTATGAGACAAAGGAGAAGAAAGAACCAGGTCGAGGGCAGGTCGAGTCTGTTGTGGTTAGAAGCAAACCAACAAAATATCGTCGGCTTCAGTGACCGATCATGTTGGCGGTCCGAACCTGCCGTGGTCATGGGCCTGTAAGTCGAAGATGTCGGAGTATCCAAATTTACCGTGAAGATTGAATGTTGATGTACGCTTGATGTATGCCAAAGATAGTACAGGATGAGTTCTTCATTGGTCATCGCAGCTCAGCGTCCTAGCCCGTATTCTGGCTGTGGTGTACTGAACACTGCGACAAATTGTAGTTCAGCTCATATCCAAACGCAGTAAAAAGTATATATGCACTTGAACCTTTGTTAGAGGACAATAATCACGCTTCTCGCTCAACATGAAGTAATACAGGCCTTTCCGAAGTATTCGTGTCTTCTATCACCATATCGACTACCCCTAAGTCCTTCATCTCCTAGTCAAGCCTTGTCAAGTTCCGTGCTAGTCGAAGTGAAGGGGTACAATTCTGTTTCTTCCCTGTCGAATGGTACATTTGGGGTGGCTACCTTTGCGGGGGATAACTTGCTTTGCTAGGGACTAGCAATAGCTTGAAGTTATAGCTATTACGCATGAAAAGAAACACCAGAGGAGATGGTATCTACGAAAATCGTTGACTTCTCGGGAGATGATGGGAGAGCGTTATGCACAGTTACGAGTACCGCGAGTATCTATAAATTATTATAAGTAACTCTGTTCAGTAAAGTACAGGAGCTATTAAAGTAATCACATCACTAGCATCGGTGTGTCCTTGGATGCCATCAAACTTGGTCACCTGTTGCTAGATATTGCTACTTCCTCGGGAAGAGCTTCTCTAGTACGGTGCCGTCTGGCCCAATGCAGTAGATGGGACCGTGACATCACTTTAGACCAAGCACTTTTCGCCGGTTCATCATTTCCCCGAACGGATCGCACATCGGGAGCCGTGCCAGACCCATAAGTGTCCGTTCCGAGCTCTACACAATTTCGTTCGATGAAAGCCTTGAGATCTGCGATGTACCGGGATGTCAAGCCGTAACCGCGCCAATCATATGTAGGATCAAGAACATCTATCTCTTGAAGACTCTGCAAACATCGAGGCCAAACAGGGTCATTACAGCGTAGGAGTGCAAGTTGATGAAGTGCAGGAATGTTATCCTGAGTAATTAGAACAGCGCAAGCTGTGTGAAGCGACCCTGGTTCATGGAGGTATTCCAAAGATCTCTGGCGTATCTGAGGATCCAATTTCCCGGACGACAGCCCAGCAACAAAGGCGCCTATAATCCTTGATAGGCCCCAGGTAGTGGTGGGGATGGAGACCGTGCTAGAGTTCTTAGTGAACAAGTCGAAGAGCTGCTTGTCGACAAAATGAGCAAAAGCCGCATTCATGGTGGATGAATGCTCAAATAGAAAAATGATGAGTTCAGCTGCTTCTGTGATGGTAGCGTATGGAGCGTCTGAAAACCACGTATCATCCTGGAAAGCAATGGACACAAATTTGGCCACCAACTCGGCAGGAAAGCTATCTTCGGGGGGGCGAGGGGATATGCAGTTGAGAACCCGAAAGAAAGCGATCAAGGTGATACACCGATCTTCAGCGAACATTGAATCGCTGCCAACGCCGCACTCGTCTGATAAAACCAACATGTAGAGCAGCCTCAGTATGGCGGAGCGATTATTGTCGAGAAGAATGGGGGACACATTGCCTGCAGACAAATGAATCATATAGTTTTCGACACCCATGTAAGCCATGATGCTCCATAGGATGGCACTGAAAAGTGTTCCCCGAGAGGAATCGAGTGCTTCCATCCTGTGTATCGAAGGGGAACCTGCCATATTCAAGAGAAAGCGAACTCGGGGATCGTTGGGTTCAGAGAGCTGGGATGTGGGATCACGATAGAATACACTATCCTGGACCATGAAACTAGCACCGCCTTGGAGCAAGATATCGCCGATAGACGCGAATAGGGATTCAGAGATGGCTACAAAAAGAGTCTCTGGACGGTCACCTGTGGGTATCATCGATATTGGTAATCCTTTATTTGGAAGGAAATGGGGAGGAAGTTTGTAATCGGCATGCCAGTAGATTGTCGGAAGTGCATGGAACAGAAGTTCATACACTTCCCGGTCCAAGGGTAGGATCTTGGAAAGAAGACAACCCCACACGATGGGCTGCAGACATAGGCTCTGGCTGACTGGCGGGGTTCGTAGATTAGCTACAATCAGGTCCTGGACATTTCGGCAGTCCATGTATGTTTCAGTAGCCAAAAGTTCCGCACGAAGGTCCGGCGCCAATTGGTCCTGCCTACTATATATTCCAATATAGGCATCCCAGAACTGAAAGCGAAGGTGTGCACGGATACAGCGGTCCATCTTGCTTGTATCGACAAGAGCATCACTTCGCTGGGCATCATCCAGAAGTTCTTTGAGCGTATAGGCACAGACACTCGGAAGCCCTTCTGCATAACGTTGTACGGAGTTCACAGATCGGATTGGCAAAGCACCAGTTGATTCTACAACAATCCTTTGAACGCTAGGGTCGGATGACACGGAGAACAGCCAGGACAAGGCGCGCGCGTCTGTTTCGTCGGCACTCAACTTAACAGCTTCACGCTCTGCTTCTCGAAGTGTACGAATCGGAGGCTTTTTGGGAACTGGTGAAGATCCAGACCAGTATCTGGAAATCGGGGAGATGACTGAAGTGAAGATGCCGTTATGGGCAATGTGGGAATACAAGGGGAAAATGTACTGTGACAACGGCGTCTTGTAAGGGCACGAGGGGTATATGATGGGCAGGAAGTTGGTGACGAAGTATGCAGCGAAGGAGATGAACGTGACAGCCCCAACAACGGATGCAATTGGCACTTGCAGCGGGACTAGAAAAACAACTAGACCCACTAGAAAGACGCAAAGCGATGCACTCATCAGGACCGGTAGTAGCCCAATAATAAAAGCCACACGCCACTGCTGCAGTCCCATGTATCGGAAATGACGTACACGGCATCTATCTCGAGGCGTGCCCGACCGAACTGTCATGTATTGATGGATCCATTGTTTTGTCAGGACAGCGAAGAGCGCGGTAGTCAGACTGAATGAAAGACTCGTGAACCACAGTCCATTGACCAACGAATCGGAAGTTGTAGGACGAAATTCTGAGAATGGAGTCAGGCTTGAACGAGGAACGTCGTTCACGAGGGAACCATTGGCTGCGGACGCGTTGGACATCGATGAGCTCGAATAGCAGCGACGACGTGACTTGACCATAGTCGACTTGAAGGCTCTGGGACGTCTGTGCGACAAACGTGGTGACCACGGCAGAGAAAAGACCAGCCTATTCGTTCATTAACGAAGGGAAATTAGATTTATTAGTATTCGTACTCACGAAAACTAGCAGAACATCCAATCCGTCCCTCCAACCCTCCACCATCTCGATGTCAAACCCTGCGCACTCTTCAAGGTACGTCCTCCATACCCTGGCAGCAGGTCCCAGTTCTTCATACTGCTTGTCTTCAGGGAATTTCTGTTCGTAGTCGAATGGATCATTCTCTTGATTTTCGAATGAGTTTCGCGACGCTAAAGAAACAGTCAATAACACACACCTTTAACTAAATATTCGCGTGTCTTCACGCCCATCAGTCCTCTGCTAGATTTTCTTCTGCGGGACGAGTAGTAGGTCGAATTCTCGACCTCAGGCCCCTCATCATTGTCGAGTTGAGTTTCCCCTTCAGCAGGTTTCTTCTCGCTTGCATCGTCGGATACGGTAGAGGAAGGCATGGTCACGGAAGATGGTGTTAACAGGCAAGCAGTGCGAAAGGCGCTGGTACCGCATGTTGAAAGAAACTCCGGAGAAGTCGGTCCGGAGTTCCGTTGTTTTCTCTTCGAATTGCCCACGGGCCTAATGATGGCAAATGGACGCCCTCCTGCGTGAAGCAGCCTGCAGCCTGTGAGCTGGTATGGGTCCAATCTTCCCAAAGTGACCAATCCTAGATTTTGTATTCAAGATAACAAAATACATTTAAACGACAGAAGACGAATGAATAAGTATTTATATTCAAAGATAAGGCCACACTCTTGGCGACCCGGTTCTACATGCATGTCGAGAACTGAGAAGAGTATTCTCAAGAGTCTTGGTACCGAAAAGCACCTCTGATTCGGACGTATATCGTGTACTCTGTTTACGTCGGAGATGTTATACTATATGATAATTTATACAAGCGACAAAGGCTATGCTACAGATATTAGAATATTCACACCTTTCCCCCTTCTTCGCATCATCGTGGGACCTTGCAAAGTCTCGTCATGGCGTCCGACTGGGTAGAAACTTATTTCTATACTCATCGAAGAGATCAAACATCCTGAGGAGCGCTCTCTTGTTCGACCCGTATGACGAATAACAGATACGGCGGGGTCGGCACTCAAGAATTATAGACTCAAGTGTTGCAAGAGCTTCAGACGCAGTCGGACGCTCACTTGGTATCGTTCGCGTCATACTCTCTACCAAGGGAACGAGGACATCCAGGCCAAGGTATCTCTATGAGTTCGTTACATAGTTATCACGAGAAGGAAGTTTAAACCGACCGTAAGGATTGTCTCGCGGAACACGTTTCCAAGCTGATAGACATCAAGTTTGAAAGGATCGTACGGCTCGTCCGGTGTCGCCCATTCGGGGACTGATCGGTCTTGACCGACTTGACCATACGCCAGAGGGTTGTCGTCGCGTACGAGAACAGAGAGCTCAAAATCAATAAAGTAATAATCGATAGGAGGGACTGAGGAACGACTGCGTGATTTATAGGTGGACTTCATATCGGGAGCACCCCAGGGTACGATTAAATGATATCCTTTCGGTATGAGACGTGACGAATCCATCAGAAGGTTAAAGCAGCACGCATCTCTAATGAGGCAGATATAAATGTACATTTAAACGAGCCCAAAGAGGGGAGAACCAAAACACATACCTATGAGCAATGTGATGCTCATGCATGAACGCTAGGCCCTAAGACAATATTAAAGTCAAGAATATAGGATAGGAGACGATGGTACCGAGAGAAATTGCCGGAAGGCATCGAGGACCTGATGAAGAGTCTCAAAGGACGGACTGAAGAACCAGCACAAGAAAGGCATGACAATTATGAGTCGCTGTTCCGGGTCATCTTCAAGATGTATCTCGTCCAGGATAGGGACTGCACGATTGTTGGGCAGAGATCTTAGAGCTGGTGAGTTCAATATTCGAAGAACCGGCAGTTCGTCGGGATAGATTAGTTTGAGGACAACTTTCGATTTAGTCTTGAGGGAGAACGCATCGTTCACAACAGCCCTTGCCTAACAAAAAGTTCAGATTATTAAAAAAATCCAAAATATGAGCTTACTTTGAGGCACAACCAATCCTCCGCCTTGACTTCTCTGCCAGGTTTCCAAGATGGTATCCATTCTGGATGATATCTCGGGCGTAATTGGTAGCCCCGCTCAAGAAGAAAGTGATAGTGATCTCTCCAAATCACTTCGCGAGAACGGAGTTCTGCACTGACGCCGTACTTGTTGGTGGGCATGAGGTACCGTTGATGGTAGTAAGAAACCAACTTGAAATAGGGGCCCGGTCCGACAAGTCCGATTGCCCGTACTTGCGGTGCGTGAGGACCCCCCAAGAGGTTAGGGCAGAAATTCGGTCATTTTCGAAAATTTGTCCGGACTTTCGTTGATGTCCAGACCCCAAATTTGGTCCGGATTTTGCGCACAACCTACCCTTCGGACCAAATTTGTCCGGATTTTTGTCCCAACATTGCAAAAATTCTGCCTAACGCTGTAGCAAAAAGCAGGCAAAGTACACCTAATTTACTATCATATATTTGCCAATGAAAACGATGACGAAATCTTTAAAGAACCTCACAAAAGACAACCAACGTGCGCACGATAGGGTCCTGCCGACAAGCCGAACTGTGACTTGTCCGGATTTAGACCTGACCCACCCATTGTCCGGATGATTGTCTCGACCTATTGACCACCGTAGGTCATTTCGTCCGGATACCACCCTAACATTACAGCTCGAAACGGTAAAATTTGTCCAGATTTTCGCCCCGACCATTGGGGGAATAATCAGGGGTCCTGGAGCGTGCCATCACTGGACACCGGGCTTCAACTCGTACTAACAGCAGCGTCGTGCCCTATCATGTCTCAGAAGCTGCTATCATCGTATCTACGCACCATACATCAAAATTGCTATCTTAGCCTATATATCAACGCGGAATATATAATGGTGAAAAAGGAGTAAAAAGGAAAACGTTTCTGGGTTCAACGAAAGGTTTTTCCGACAACGTTATCGCGGATAAATATCCCCCGTACCCTTTAATAATAAATACCGTTCATTACCCAGAAGATTACACGTACACACCTCTCGATCCCATTAAAAGAAGAAATACTTGTTACTTCGCCAGAACGCCCACCTTCTGATTCTCCCAATCCGACCTCGCATCGTCCCATCGAATTCTGCCCCCATCGCCACTATCATGCTCGCGATCGATCCGGACCTGGACCTCGAGCTCTATACCACCCTTGGTCGTCACCGGACCTCCAGCTGTCTGATCATCCGATCGGCTAGTAGAGAACGCGTTGTTACGTCCGCTAGAGGGGTTCCTGGATTTCATGGAGCGCATACCCGCATCTGAATTGGTAGGTTAGGCGACAACCGTTGCGTAGAGTAAGTGAATAGTCACCTCGGGTTTTGATAAGAATATTTTGAGACATGATCCAGGTGAATGCAAATCCGAGGCTTGCACTGCGATTGGCGGGATGAGCGTGCATTTGTGTAGGATATGTGATATTGATACTTACGCAGCAGCTTGAGCGTCGAGCTTGGAAGCTCGATAAAGGACAAGGTTCAACGTATTCGACACTATGGTGGGCTAGGTAAGTACAATTGCGGTAGGATATGCATACCACTCACCTGTGAGTACCAAGATGTATCCCAATCCATCGACAATCATGGCCTTCACGAGACCGGTCATTCTATACACGAAGGTCAGACGAGAAGGACAATCCAAGAACCTAGGTCTCACGAGGATAGTCCGTTCGCACTGGCCTTAAAAAGGTAGTAGGTGGATATCCCTAGAGTTGCTATGTCGTATCTGAGAGGGCGAAATCAGCACCGGAAGGATCAAAGCCTCAAGTCAAAACGACGAACAACATAGCCCAAATGTAGAACGTCCAGTTGACCAACTTTGAAGGATCATTGCCGGAAGTGCAGCTGTCGAAAATTGCCTTGCTTAGATTCGAATTCGAAGAAGAGAAGGAACGACGCACTTTCCGTTAGTCTGGATCATGATACGACCGTACAGGTTCGTAAACCATTCCAATACCGTAATAAGCACAGTAAAGACGACGAGGAATATTTTGATGCGATGAGAACGTCGAGAAATGCTGTACGATCTAGTCGGGAAATCAGCGCGTGAGGTTGTAAGTTTCGATCTAGAACTCACCGAATCCCAAGGATAAACTGGCATATTGTAGGTCTGCAGGACTAGAATGGCGAAGTGAATTAGGCTCAAGGGAAGAACATGGTGGTCCTGACCTTTCATGACGACGGAAACCATGTAGAAATTCTTGCAAGCTTTTTTGCTAAACGAGTGCGAAAAGTACCCGACATTGCTGACAATCAATGTTATGATACTGATATAGCGAATGAGGACAAAAAGGACGAGACTAATAAAGGAGCATCTCATTAGACCCAGAGAAACAGATATCAGAATAACGTACTTGAGTCGAATCTGAGGCCCTTTATCTCGCCAGAACTTGTATTCTGCGGGAAGAGTGCGGACGTAACTAAAGCTCGGAAACGACAATTAGCTATAGGCGTGAATAAAAGAAGAAAATACTCACTCGTAGATACAAATCGCAATAGTCCCTAGACGCAAGATAGTCTCCAACGAAAGAGGGATGTTGGAAGTCATTGCGGTGATAGCTGAGGTGGCCAGCGGTCTCCATGAATTTAAATAGACATGTAAGGGGGGAACTGTTGTCAATACCCCTTTATCCCTAGGTCATCCGGGACGACGGCGGGACCTGAGGATCGACCAAGGAGGTCCGAGGCACATTGTTACCAGGAGAGAAAAAATGGTACTGAACTGGGTGGAAGGAAGTCGAAATTTCGTGTTCACGAGCTTATACTGACTCAGTTGATATGTATTCCCGGAATTTCTTGTCTTTCCCAGTGAGCCCGGGGTACAGAGGAGAAAGGGGCACGTGTGTGGGGAATTTGCCTCCCTGCGACAATTGTAATTTGAACATGGACTAAAGTCTAATTCGCTGGGCCCAAAACCTACTCACACCTCTACTTGGTTATCAGTCAAGCCGCGTCTACAATGTTATCGAAATAACGCACCAATGCCACCAGATTCTCATCACAACCTCCAGCATAATTGTTGCTCTGGGCATGCGCCGGAATATAGTCCTTCCGGTCGGAATACACTTCCTGTTGACCTGTTGAGATATCCCGCTCGTTGGCATTGAGGGGTGGAGGGTTCAACGGAAATGAGAGATAGGGAATATTAGATAGCAGGGAACGTTAGATAGCTTCTGTAGTAGAGGATGGCAGGGGGGGATACATTTACTGTAGGGTTTACACATTGCGTCTTGAAGGATAAAAAGACGTGACATTTGCTGAAGCTAGAACAACCAATCATCCGTGCAAGTAAAAGGAGGAAGCGATCCGAAATAACCACCTGTTAATGTTGCGGCGAGGATAACTGAAGTACTAAAGTCGCCGACGATCAAAGGCTAATATTGGTAGCATGTAGAAGCAAACAATAAATGCAGCACCCGAAATACGTACGTACATATGCTTTGCGCACATTCAGAACTGAATCTGCAATTGAAGTTCAGACATTCATTATCTGAACGTCGGCATCCTTATCCTTCTGGCTTGTCTCCCACCCCTTTGATACTCGGCGTTTGAGCATCGCCCCATCGAGCCTCTTCAGGTTGACACCCGCTGATTCTCCCTCAAAGACTGGTCGCAATTTCTTCTAGCGTATACCCGTAGGTCTCCACCATGAACTGGAAGCACTTATTAGCTATGCTAGCGCTCAAAAGAAGCTACTCACCAGGTAGGCAAGAACCCATTGAACACATAGGATAGGGATATAGACACAGTAATATTTCCAGCCCTATCACAGGTATCAGTCAAGGCTCTTGCAAAGTATACCGCCCGTGGAACTCACCATCGCATCCAGAGCAACCGAGTTGACGTACGCACTGTAACATCCCAAGGCCTGATTAACTGTATTCCACACCGCCATACCCTTTCCACGAATACTATACGTCAGGATTTCCGCAGGATAGGAATAAAACAAAGGAGTCGTGAACCCGCTCGGGATCTTCACGAGCCAGACCATCGCAACGGATGCAATACCAGCATGCCTGTTAGTCTCATTGCTCTTTTCAAACATTGCCCCGCAGGTTGTCATTCCGACGAGACAGACGATTATGTACGGCCATGTGTACAGAACCATTGGGCGGCGACGGCAGCGCTTGAGTGTTAAAACGCCTGCGACTTGAGCGACAAGGCTGGACCTAAAGAAGATCTCAGTTTTCAATGGCGCTTGGATTCGAGGAATCCATCTACATGCTCAAGCCAGAAGCGATTCCTGTAATGGTGGAATCCTTCGTGATTCCGACCAACTTGAGGACCACAGTATCTACCAACATAATCAGCAACCATAACATCGGCTTTGCTTTGATTATACTTACAGTAAAAGTCGAAGATCGCCGAGCTATTCATTTGAGGGAGGAAGGTCATGAGACCCGCAAGGAAGAGGCGGTGCTTGTTACCCTTCATCGCTAGTATATTACTGTCGTGAAAGAAATAAATGCAGATTGACATGCTGCTGGAGGTTTCACGGACCTCCATTTTTCCGCCCGAGCTGCCTTTTCGAGCTCAATAGACGCTTTCCTATGTTAGAGTTTCAGTAGCGCTTTTAAGTTGGAAACGTTGAATTTACATTTCTTCGAACTCGAGTTGGATCAGCTGCAAGAAAAATCACATCACTGGAAGGTCAATGAGAATTGGGGGACAGGTCAAACCTCATCTTTAGCATCCCCATTAGCGTGGTACTATTCTGAACATGAGAAACGAGTTCAACGGAACGGAGAAGGGATTACCCTTATAAGAAAATCTTTCGCGTCATCCTCTCGTCCTTGCGCAATCAAGAATCGCGGAGTCTCCGGAAGGAATTGAACTGCAGTTAGGATGTACGCAGCAGGAAGCAACTGAATCATATACGGGACACGCTATAAACAGAGTGAGAACGTCCATGAGATCAAACGTAGGAGAGTATATTACCCAAGACCAAGAACTTGAGATATGCGACGTTCCGAAAACCGTCCACGATGCCATGACAACACCGATTGTCCAGTTGACGGCTATGTCAAGGCTATAAGAGTTTTGACTAGCTGCGTCGAATAAAATAGGTACCAAAGGAGGGCAGCAATAACTGGCCGGTTTCTCGGATGTGTCTGCATGAATTCAGTTGCCATCGGAAGAATAATGCGAGCAGTAACTAACGATTTCCTGAAGAACGATCTGCCCGGTCATCATAAATGACGCCAGTCCTTAAACGATGATTAGCCGAAGTAATGCGAGACTGAACTCTAGACCTGCCGAAACCAATGATACCCTTGGAAATGACAAACAGCGCGAATCCGTTCACGGTCTCGAGGCCAGCAAGACATCCAAGGACGGTGCCAACACACATTGTGATGCCATAAACTAAGCCAGGATACCATCAAGAGAAAATAAGAAGAATGAGGATATGACTCACGACGTAGGCACCATCGGCGCCCCCACTTGTCGGCAATAACAGAGGCTACGGGGCCGGCACATATTCCGGTCATATAGGAAATCTAAGAAAAAAATCAGGATCGATAGATGGGGGAATAATTCTAGTTACCGCGTTTAGTATACCAATGCCGCTCGAAATTGGATATCCTAGATCTTCGTTCCATTCTGCACTTGTCCGTAAGTTACGAGCGATCCTTAGTTGTATGCGTGCGCACTATCAAGAGCCTGAAGGCCGGAAAGGATAGTTCCATCATCTATGGCATTGAAATTACAGGCCAGGGCAGATCGTATGAAAGGACTTACATCCATTCAAGATTTGTCCGACGAAAATGATGGAGATGAAGCTGATTTTCCAGCCAAATTGAAGGAAAGCAACTCTATGGGGAAACAAACGCACAAGTACAGAATCAACATGCCCCGGTTTTCGTGCCACTTCAATCTGTCGTAGGCATTGGTCCTTGTAACGATCCGTTGGGCACCGCCTAAGAAAGAGAAGAGACCCACAGCTCTGTCCATCTCGGAGGTTGTGTGCTCATCAGATTAGTAACGACACGTATCTGACACGAGTGGAGAGAGGAGGGGTGAAGGACGGTGACCTGGGATTTGTCTCCCACGCGATATGCAGCTGTTGCCGAAGGACTGAAGGAGTTAATTGTGAAGGCAGACGGAACACGGGATAAGTGCGATATTGCATGATGAATCTGATATGGAGGGGTATTATGTCTGATGTCGAACTTCGATTAGACTGCACATGCTCGAATATCCTTTATTTCGCAAGGAAATAGAACTCTTGTAGCGAAGAACAGCGTAAAGGCAATCCCACGGATGTACATTGGATCAGGCACGGGAGGGGTATATGAATGGTGATAACCTGAGAGCCTGTACTGCGCGCGCCTTCTCTTCGCCCAAGTCACGGCAATCAGAAGCAGAGGAAGCATAGCTCACCGAGGTAGCAATGTGCTTAGTGACTGTGCATTTGCAAGGAAGCGTCGCGTCTTCATGGCGTTTCCCCCTTCGAGAAGTCACTACTGAGGCCGTAATAAGCTATGACATGGAGTTCCGAGTTGTACTGTGAAGCTGTGAGCATGAAACTTATATTTGCATACAAAGTTAGATCCAAACTGTGTCTTGCATTGAGAATGAGAAGGATTTAATGACATAGAGCGTTATTGTAAGTATCTAGAGACATATTTCTGTAAGAATGTGAGCGGAATAATCAGGGATAAACCAAAAATCTGGAAAGATTTACTCACAAGTAAATTTATCAAGGCTGGCCGCCACATGGAGATTACACAGTTGAATATAACCCTTGGAGAGACTTCTATTGACAATATTAGCAGTATTTCAAGTAGCATGATTGTGCTAGTATGAAGAAAACTAGTTAGACTGTTGCAGAGCATGCGCAGAGGATTTCAAACTGAAGGATGGAATCTGAAGGTTGGAATGAAAGGCTGGCCGGCCCGGGGGCGACCTCTCGTGGGCAACCAGGTTCTTTTCCCACGCTCCATTCTTGTTAAAATTTTTTACTGCTGCAAACGCGTCTCTCTTAATATTCCCCTGGGCATACGACAGAAGATGCGGCAGAAAGTCTGCCATATTTAATTTCAGATTTCTCTAACTACCTACGAATTTGGACGCCTGGCGATGAGAAGGTTGGGACAGAGCAGGGCAAGGGAAGACTGGTTCTATCCGACGCTCGTGTCATGTTGAATGGGTTGCTATGTATAACGAGCAGCAGGGAGCGCGACGACAGCCTTGGCACGTCTAAGCGTATGGAGCCGTATTCAACGTGGTTCGTTCGAAACCAGAACCTTTCATTGTCTAATTTCCTAGCAGATCCTATTTGCGTGCATCGATTGTACGGAAGACACGCGTCACTGCCATTGGGAACAGGGACGCCATGATCTCAGGATCCCTCAAAAATCGGCGACAGGGTCCTGCTAGGGCTGGGACGACATTAACGATCTGAATGTCGCAAATACTACTTCAACACATCCTCCACTCTCCAGTTTCCTGAATGGTGTTCGTGAGTGTTCGCGCCAGCCGCCAATGGGCTTCGAAACAAGTTATTAACGTGATTCGCAGAGCGATTTCGATGTAACATTGTCTCGGCCGTTCAGTGTTGGAAGGGCAGTGACCGAAAGTGGAAAGTCACAGTCGTGCCCTTGTGACTAGTCATCGACTAGTCAGTAAGTCATTTTTTGCCCGGACTTTCAGGGCGCGACTATTAGTATTACTAAGCGTCTGATGTCGTCACACGACAGAGGCGCTCGACGCGCGGCCTTGTTTCTTTATGCTAATAGTAACTCCTTTGTTAAATTTCTTCTGCCATCTTCACGGCCTTTCACACCAAAAAAAGTAAAATTTCAGCCGAGTTTTTGTTTGTCAGAAACTAATTCCAAAACTAAGAAACACCCATATATAGGTATCCCGCTTCATCCCGCCTTAGGGCGGGAGAGGGCGCATACCTATATATGGTATCTCACCAGTTTCTTATTTAGTTTTGGACAATTAGAAATTCGGCTGAAATTTCATTTTTTTGGTGTGTCATCAAGTTTGCTGGTGAAAATGGATACTGTCGTTGTCAAAACATTACTATCGCGGAGTATGAATTCGCTGGGGCGAGACCGGACTTGGACCGGAGCTTTTAAGGTCACGCAAAGGCCGTGGGAAAGGTTCAGGGCAAAAAATGCCTTGCCTTTCGGTGACTAATGACTTGTCCGTGACTTTGCGACTAGTCGCTGACCGGCACAACACTGCGGCCGTTGCCTTCGTCATGTCTCAAAGCATCACGTTTGCAAACTGAGTAGTATCAATTATACCATGTCTCCCGAAACGACTGGCACAGTAGACTTCACGGTGGGCCCCAACAGCTACAAGACGTGGTACAAGGTACTCGGCGACCTCAACTGTGGAAAGGTCCCTCTCGTTACTCTCCATGGAGGGCCAGGATTCACCCACGAATAGTACGTATCATTTCACTGCGACATCAACGCATGCCTGACTGTTCTGAAGCATGCTGTAGGCTTCTCCTAGGCGTTTCTCTCTCCCAAGCCTGACAACGTCATTAGGGTCCACAAGGAAATAACAGAGACTACTGGGTTGGTATCTGTCGTGACACAGACTCCACAGACTCCGCATATATTGACTATATGCGCTCAGGATCCCAGTCGTACTCTATGACCAGCTAGGCAATGGTCAATCAACACACCTTAACGACGCCCCGAAGGAGTTCTGGACTCCTGAGTTGTTCATGGACGAGCTCGACAACCTTCTCGCTAAACTGGGCATCACCGACCATTTTGATCTCCTAGGTCAATCATGGGGAGGTGCGCACAGTTTGATTCTAACGCACATCACCTGTTTATTTTTTATCTTTGCAGGTATGCTCGCTGGCCAATACGCCGCCACGCGCTCGCCAAGGGATCTGCGCCGCCTGATTATCCTCAACGCCCCAGCGTCGATGGAGCTCTACCAAGAAGGGATCGATTCCCTGCTCGACAGGTTCCCTCCAGAGTTTGTGGCCATGCTGAGGAAGCACGAGCAAGAGGGTACGACCCAATCGAAGGAGTACCAAGAAGGGACGATGATCTTTATGAAGAAGCATGTATTCACCCTGGACCAGTGGCCTACGGACCTCATAACGTCTTACAAGGCGTACATGGTGAATCCGACAGTGTACAATGCCATGTGAGCGGGCTTTTCATTTCATTTCATCTTCATCTGACTGGAAGACAGGCAAGGACCATCGGAATTCCACGTCACTGGTAACCTGAAGACATGGTCGATCGTTGATATCTTACACAAGATCTCGTATCCGACGCTGTACATCAGCAGCCCGCAGGACGAGGTACAGGAAGTTGCCGTTACGCCGTGGCTCTTGAAAGTTCCGAATATCAAGCGGGTTGCGCTTGTGAATAGTACACATACGGGTATGTATGAGGAGAAGGACAGGTGTGTCGTTTGATTTTTGATCACGAAGACGGGACTGACGTTCATTTTTATAGGTATCTTCGCGTTTTGAGGGACTTCCTGGAGTAAGCAGTATAATTAACCATGTGTAAAGGCGGGTATGATGACATTTGTTATCCACTGTCGAGTTTCAACGGTCAAAGCGTCACCACAACGTAGTACACACTTTATCAGGTGTCGGATCAAGACCAGCATCTCGGGAAGACCACTTGTTGCGAGCGTTAGCGAGCATACATTGACTATACACGAGGCCCATGCTATCTCCAGTGATTTTCGGATGTCTTTGGCGACGTCTCTAATTGAATCCAATACGTGACAACTGCCCAACGGGATCCTCAAATTTTGAATTTATATCGGAGCTAGACTACACGTGATCGAGTTCTTTACTGAGACTCAGGCTGGCAGTTGCCTAGATTCTTACCACCATCACTGTATACTGCATACACTAGATGTCGGATAACAATTCTACAGGTTACTTCCACCGGGTTGACTTCTATGAGTGACCCGTCAACGATGGCAGCATCAATACGATTTTTATCGATTACCTGTGGGGAGTCCTCCATGCCGAAGATCCTTATTCATATCATGCTGCCGAGATGTTTTCATCCGCAGCTATGGAGTTGATTGATCTTGTCTGGTCACCGTCTTGTTGGAATATCCTCATTTGGCCGTAAGTAGGAGGCCTGGAACCCCTTTTTTATCTTCATCTAATACGTACGTATACAGGTTCACCCGCCCGCATATTACGAGAGTCTTGTGCACCATGGACACCATCCTGGACTGTGAGCAACGCCTCGGCGATACCTGTTACGAACTTATTCGCGACATCTCCCGAGAAATTGACTCTGGTAGTGTGGTTTTCGGTGCTAGTCTGCGGAAAGCGGTGAATTTGAGGATCGGATTCGAGACGTGGAAGATGGAGAGTGTGATGTATAGACAGCACAAGGTTGGTAGCGTCGTGTTTTTTTCCCTTTGTGCTAACGCTTTGTACTATAACAGGACTTCAATCCGGCAGGCTTGTGTACCATTTACACCCGCTTCTATCTGGGCTCTGCGGTGTTATGCTTGACCATTGGACTTTTGATGCTCGTAGCCTCGCTTTTCTTCGCGGTCTCTTTGGAAGGCCAGATTCGTGGTTTCTCTTCGGCGTTTCTTCTGGGCTTTCTGGCGCAAAAAGGTATGTGCGCGCCTGCTTACGGATGTTTCAGGCCTGAGTTCATGCTCGTTCAGGATGCCAGACAGGAGTGTACATGTCTGACATCGCCAGACATGTTAACATGGTGCGTGCGGAAATCTTCACCTCTGTATGGGCTTGGAGGGATATGTGTGGGTTTCTCAACCTCATTATTGAGTCGGAAGGTTCGCAACTGTCTGATGTCTCGCACGCAAAGAGGTTCTTGGAGTCTTTCCAAACTTCGGTATGTCATCCCTTTTTGGTGAAATTTATGCTGTCATCGTGAATTCGTTCTGCTAGTTCATGAGTGGAGGCGTAGAGTTATGGAAGACGAGGTCCAAGGTCCAAGCCCTATCGAAGTTTGGGGATAAAGTTCAGGCCATGAAGGATCGAGATGCGCGCGAAGACTCAGGCTCGTCGGTGGCATGTCATTGGTATCGAAATAGTGCCCTGGACGTTTTCCGGCCATTCCTGACTCGCCTGTACACGAAAGTCTCTGGTTCGGCACCTCGTTGATTCTCTTTGAATATCCCCGACACTCTGATATTGTGATGATTGGCATCTATCCCTTTGGAAGGGTCTGCAGTAACGATAGGACTGTACAAGAGCACCAGTGACGCAATAGACATTGTATCTGTTCCTGCCTCCGCCGATTCGACTAAGTAATTCTTGGACGTGGAGGAGAAATGGAGGTTGGTTTGGGCGCATTGCTTGCTAGTATCTCTCTTCGAATATTTCTATTTCATGTAATTGCACCACTGTATTTAGTTACAGTTACGAGTACTGGAACCAGTATTACTCTGTATTACTATCTATTCACCAGGCTAATTAGTAATATTTAATATTTAATACCCGAGGTGAATTCTGCACGTGATCAAACTTGAGCTCTGATTTTAAATTTTACTACCACCACCACCGTTACTGCATCGACTCATTCACGCCTTCCTATCACGATGACTATTTGGCAGACTTTTATCAGATACCCAACAAGGGCGGCAGCATCATCGACACACGCTGGATCGAATACTTGTGGTACATCCTCCATTCCTCGAAAGAACGTTGTTTCTATCATGCTGCCGAACTTTTTGAATCCGCAGCTACCGAATTGATTCATCTCGTCTGGTCACCCTCCTTTCGGGATATCCTCATCTGGCCGTAAGTAACTGATTTGGAAGTTGGAACGGTCCGTTTACCACGTGTACTACAGCTTCACCCGCCCTCATATTACAAGAGTCTTGTGCACTGTCGATACTATCCTGGATTGCGAGCAGCGTCTTGGCGATACCTGCTACGAGCTTATTCGCGAAATTTCCCGAGAAATCGACTCTGGAAGTGGCGTGATTTTCAGTGCTAGTCTGCGGAATCGGTGCAAGGCAGCGAATTTGACTATCGAGTGGGAGACGTGGAAACTAGAGAGGATAATATGTAGGCAACACGAGGTAAGTGGAGACACATCCTATCTTCAGTCGTTGTGCTTATGCGTCATACAGGACTTCGACCCGCAGAACATTCGTCGGGCCTTGCATCATCTCTCAACGTGCTTGGGGGTGTTAAGCCTCGCCCTCTTCATTGTGACGATCGTGGCCTGTCTTTGCTTTCCCATCTCTGAGGAATTATCTATTCGGGGCATTTGTCTTGCCTATCTCACCGGCCATCTGCTATATGAGGGTATGTGCCTGCTCGTTCAGATTTTTATGGGCGCTTATGACTCTCGGTCCTCAGTAACGGGCGCATCTGGACACTTGTTCAACACCAATTGCGCTCTTTACAAGCTATACTCTACGGTCTTGAGGTCTGTATGGGCTTGGAGGGACATGCGCGGGTTTCTCACCCTCGTTGCTGACTCGTCGGAGGGTTCACAACTGTCTGACGTCTCGCGTGTTCGTGCAAAGAGGTTTTTGGACAACTTCCAAGTTTCGGTATGTTATCCTTTTTTCGTGAGATTTCTGTAGTAAGTTTAGTTCTAGTTCATGAGCGGAGACGTAGAACTATGGAAGATGCGGTCAAAGGTCCAGACTCTATCGGAATTCGCGGACAAAGTTCAGGCCATGAAAGATCAGGATGCGCACCAAGACTCCACAGGCTCATCGACAGGACACCCTTGGTACCGCAACAGTGCTCTGGACCTTTTCCGACTTGGACGTAATACCCTCGCTGGCTTTTATACGAAAGTTTCTGGCTCGGTATCTCATAATAGCGACAAGAAAATACGCTAAGTAAAACGGGCCACGATCTTTGGTGGATATCGGTGGTTACCCGACTAAACGTGGTTGAACGGCGTCGGGAACAGTCAGGTCTATTACTCTGCCTCAGACTCACGCTGCTTCTGGCTGCCTTCTTTGATATAATTACATACTGTAATATGGATAGTAGGGAACCCGAAGGAGCGAGTATTGGCGTTCATTATGAGAGGTTCTCGTGGGACCGACTGTTGTGCTCTTGTGCCAATCCAGTAGCACAAACAGAAAAGAACAAGCCAGTAGCGATAAACTTGTAACACCTGTCGAGACACCGCACAGCAATAGATAATTCCTTTCACTACTTGAATCTCGTGCAAATAAGGAATCTTTAAAGAATTGAAGAAGAGGCGAGCAAAAAAGACGATCCTAGGGGAGACGGGAACGATATCTGCCCGGCGTGCACCTGTTCATACTTGGCAAAGGAATTTGGTTCTCCGACGGGAATGTGTACAGTAACGCGTGCCTCCTCTTTCGCACCAGTGCAATTACAAGGCCGTCAGCATGTTCTTGTCATTACCGCAAATTCTTCTTCTAAAGGCCCGTCGTGTGGATGCAAGTCACCGCAATAGTAGAGTCGAGAAATACGCGGAAAGATGTTCTAAGCGCGAGTTAGCGGCACATCGTGGTCGATGAAAGGTACGTTGTCGACAAAGTCACGACCATCCCAATCGCGCGCTATGAAGTTTTTATCGGGCCAATCGGGCAACCCCTGCAGGAACCGCCGAAGACCCGTTAGTAATGAACGTCCTCCCAAAAACTTACAGATCGTTAGTTCAATCAAAACCAATGGAAGGAAATATAACATACCGAAGTTCGAAAGCCTCTATGAACCGTTTCGCATGCGACACACTGGTCAGTGGTGAAGCGTCGGACTCGGCTATGAGGGCCAGCAGCCCTGCCATGTCTCTCACAGCCCAAATCAGCTTGAATGCGTCCATATTCATGGTGTCAACCCGGGAGACAATTTTGCTCGCATACGAACTTGTATTGCTTGCTAGGCGAAACTGAGCTCCGACGTGACTATTTGTGTTAGAAAACACATACTTATCATCGCCAGCAAAGGGCAGAATGAAAGAACAAGATACATCAAGTTGATGATTCTAGAATCAGAAGCTATACCGAAAAAGGACCAGACGAATCCCAAAAGTGCACACGCAAGAGCCAATGTCAACAAGCCCCGAAAGAGATAGTCGACAAACCTAGCGTGATTTTTGAAGTTGAGATTCTAAAGGAATCAGAAGAGATGAGCGTCGCATGATTGAAGTAAAGACGGTTCGGCTGACTCGGTGCTGTCTAATGACCACCTTTTGCAGTGACCACATCTTGTGCTCCAAGATGGGCCCAGAAATTTTGCATCGACGACGAAGATCGGCACTGAATGTTACACTGTCCGAGTCGCAGGCCTGGATTTCCTGAAGAATGTCGTTGATGAGCGTGGGGCAGACGCTTTGAAGATACCCTTGGCATTCGAGGATCTCGTAAATAGCATGAAGTGTTTTTGTTCGAGTATGCGCCTTGATGATACTGCAGCCGTGTCAGGTAAAGAAAAGAGACATACTCCTGCACTCACAATTTGAAGGGTAAGCACTCGTCTTCGGGACGGGACTGCATGAGGAGATTACACAACTCTCTAGACGTCTCATCCAGCTCCGTGAAAGCATGATACGAAGGAGGAACTGCGCGGTGAAGGACTGCCCATAGGCTATAGATCCACTCCGTGCCGGCTATGATATCGTTCTCGACAGGTAGTTGATAAAAGTCTGCCCAGTGGGGAGGTGTACCTATGACAGGGCTAGCGACTGCATTCTTATGGTCGCTGGGAATAGTAGAACCTCTTGGATTGTCATTTTTGAGTGCCATTAGCGAACGATGTCGAATTCGAAAGTACAGGAATGGAGGTGGTGCATATATCGAGCTATCCCAACTGAACATATATAAATCAGATCCTCAAGAAGCCCACGCAACAAATATTTTTTCACGTACAAAGAATCTCTTTTCGAGGAGTATTATACTCTCCCAGGAGGTACCAGTCCGTCGTTGACAAAAGTGCCCAGCAAGCAAGCCTTTGATGTCGACAGTGAAGGCGCCGCCCAAGTACAGCTCCCCTGTATCACTTCTATTTCCAGCGCCTTGAACAGGAAGGCCGAAACGCTATTAGCCAACGAAATTCGAGAGTCAGCACGGTATGCACGGTAGTGGTGGTAATGAAGCAAGATAATCACGTGAGTAGGCGACGGGGTCGCGTTTGATCGCTGAATAGTCGCTGAACTTAGACTTGGAACCACTCTTTCAAAATTTTACCCTCATCTGACCTCTATGCAGGATCGTCCGTCTGCATATCACGGGAATCCTCTACACTGTCGACACCATTCTTGTGGCTACGCCTCCCGAGAAATTGACTCGCTCTACAGCGGCGTTATGTCTCTCGCTTATCTTTTTCGTGCTATTGATCTCGATTATCTTTTCTGCCTCTCTGGGATTTACTTCGCTCTCATCTTGGGTTTTCTGGCGTACCAGGGTATGTTCACATCCAGAGTAGTACTGTTTTCTGGTCAGTGACGAACTCCCTTCCCAGCGAAGAGCGAAATCCTAAGATACATCCTCGAACGGTGCGATCAAGCGAGGAATGAACGTCCAATGACTTCACCGTTGTCAACTGGCTTTCGGACACTGTTCTGTGATGTATTCTCAGCTTCCCCGAATATCCGTGCCCAACTCCCTACAGTATGAACATATTCTTAGGTATGGCAATGTGTTACCATGTATGCGGGCTGTGGATGTCCACGATGGGTGATATGTATTGGCATTTCCTCTTCTGGTTTATCTCGCGTCTTTCAAGTGCGTCGATTTCCCTTCACCGTGAAACTTGGCCGAGTCGATGGAGAATCTCCAGGACCACGGGGAAGAAATACGGAAACCACTACACCAATTTGGCGACTATGCTCACACAGTCCGCAGTGCTTTACTCCGTGTTCTCGATGCTGTCACAGTGCATCATTCCTTTCTCTTTGAAACACCCGATTCAGAATGCATTCATTCTGGTCTTCTCAGAGAAACAGGTAAGCGCTTAACCGTGTTTCTCCCGTGTTCATTTCACTGTAATTGCTTTGCTTTCCAGACTGTTTCCATTGATGATGTGAGTTTTTCGGGTTGCATTAGGCCAGGCTTGGTCCGCAGACGCTGTCTCCACTCTATTTTTCTTGCCGAGCCCGAGGGTGTCGGGCTAATACGTATGGGGACAGCACTTCCACCTTCAATAGACGAAAAAGCGATGCGAGAAGAACTTTGTCTCTCTGGGAATAATACTACCTCGGGGAACACCTAAAATTGTACGTCTGTTTTAGCGCTTGTAATTGCCGCTGGGCGCTTCTCTTTTTCTTCTCTTACTATCTTCCTCTCATGTTGTTGATATTATTGTATTCACAGCCGCCGCTTATGCCATTACCAATATGCATGTCCAAGTCACCGCAAGTATGCATAGGGATTTAGCCGGTACTTGGATATGCCGTACTGGATACACGAGTCTGAAAATGGTCCCTGGCGCTACGTACGATATTAACTAGACGCCCACTCACTGCTTCTCCTGAACACTGACAGATCACTCACTTAGAAGACCCTCGGGAATTCGTTCGGAGTCCAACCGGAGTTGAGAGAAGGCATGGTCGTCAACGACAAAGACATAGAGATGTCGTAACGTAAAATTCGGCATGAGAGAGATACGAAAGAAGGAGGGAACTCAGATAGCTACGTAACGGATTCTGGTGGGTACTCAGTCTCATGGAATTCACCATCCAATGATACAAGATTACTATCGACAGGTCGAAGACTTTCATATTTCGCTATCCATCTTCCTCTTGATGCATTACTCGTCAGTACACTGTTTAGAACACGAGGCAGGACAAGAGAGCTTACGTACAGAAAGAGGAATCTCCCATGCATTCAACATTCAGATCTCTGGCAGGACACCAGTAGGCTCTGACTCTTTACCAACTGTCATAAATTTTAATGACCCATAACACGATAGGGACAACCATTACACGCACAAACGCGACGCATGACTGCTTGAGATGGCGGAGACTTCGAGGCAGAAGTTTCAGAAGCACCTTCAACTGAAGAGTCAAGCGTCGGACTAGAGATGTACTGGGGACATACCATCACGGAGAAGCGGCATCGAAGCGGTAAGTACAGCAAAAATTATCATAATCAGCAGGAACTCATGGAGAAGGATCCGGAGAGTCATTCTGTGGGACAGATGGTTTCTGTTCAGGACTCGTCGAGGCGTCTTGATATATACATATCGCATTGAAATGGCCTGGTAAACATCTCCGCATGATATTCCTGTGTTACACGGGTAGAACTGTGTTCCGGGGCCCCTAAAACAGCCGGTTTTCAAGTACGCGCATCCTTGGTGCATCTAGTGCTTCAGCGTGAACACAGGTTCCGGATCCCTTGATTCATGGCTGTAATCACACCTCTAGATGTCAAGTGTTAAATTAAGACCGACTCGGAGCAAGTCTTTCAGTGAGTAACGGAAGCCGCGGTCGCTATACTAACGATTTCGCTACTAACCGGTCGTCTTCGCAGGTCGCACTGGCGTACCCAGGTTTCCAGCGGCGCTGATCATCAAGTTATCGCTGTGTTTCTCAACTACAATGGCTGGAACATATGAAACCTAATACACATTTCTACAGCCTTTCAAATAGAATCGACTAGCACAGACCTTGCTATTCCCAGTCCATCCCTTGGCATGAACGTACGTTATCCTTTCTATCTTGTTGCTACGGTCCTTGCTCTCACACCGGAATAGATCGCACTTAAGATGCCAATCCAAGTCTTCCCAGCCCTTCTCATTCTTGCCGCCATAGTCATTTTACTAGGACGGTTTATTGGTTTTCAGTGTCATTGAAATTACCCCACTGAATTTTGTCTCGTATTATGGCAATCCTCCCTCCCTATATGTTGCTGCATTTCCCCCAGCTAACCATCAACCTTTTAGACTTGAAACCCACCACCAATGGCAAGGAGGCTTACACTCTCGAGCCTTCCTCCGATCATGTAGCGTTGCGCTTTGATGACCACAACTACGAGTTTACATCTGACCGTGATTGGGAGTCGATTTTTCCATCCGACGGCGATACCTCCAATGAATACCATGTATCGATGTATCGACAACTCGCCTGCCTCGACACGATACGCCGGGCGCATTTGTTTTTATACGCGCTCAGGTCAAACAGTTCGGAGACGCCTTCCTCTTCTGAAGGAGGCTCAGTTCTGCTTTCGGTTATTTGAGGCAGATCATTCTGTGCACGGCGGATATGACGTTGGAACCCAGTGTGCCGTTGCATGGTATGGATAATGCATTTCAGATAGATTCAACTGGCCTGGGAGAGTTTCACAGATGCCTATGATTGGACGAGGATTCGCGAAATAGAAATCGCACTGTCCAGTAGCCTCGGCACGGTTTAGTACTGTCTGTCCAGTATCGGGATTTCAGCAGCCGGATTACTTATGTGTTATTCACCACTCAAGCGCTAGTCCTATAGAGTCGAAGTCTGTAGATCATCAAAGCAGTAATACTACGAATTCTGTACAGGCATGATGCAATTATAAACAATGGCATGGCGACTAACCCAACGCTATCAAATTAGCATATTACTTGTCCATATAAAATTGTTTGGCGCACGTTGTTCGACGAGTGAGAGCCTCTCCGACAATATTCATAATCCTCGTCTAACTACTGTGTTCAGCACGCAGAACATTGTACAGATGAGTAGTGGACGCACTTGATCAAGCATTGAACAATCCGATGAAAGGATCTGGCCGAGGAAGCTGGGATATATCCCTATACTGACAACCTTGAAGGAGATTTGACGCCTTCCAGCAGCATGCAATGATGAAGATGCTCAGTAAGGCATCCAGTAAGAGGAGAGCGAAGAGAAGCAGCAAGATACTTTGGCTCGTAAGCAGGAACAATTCGTCTAGCTGTCTCTCCTTCATCTGCTGAATCCAAGAGAGCGTATTGTTCTTGCGGGGAGGACATGGGAAGGGATTGCTGTATTGTCAAAGCGCGCATTGCTAATATCATAAAATTGCACGGTCCGTTGGATTGGTTCATCAACTAGCTGTAAGGTATTCTGGATTCAAACGAAACACGGGAACACAGAATAGTACTTAATTAAATATATCAGAGATGAGCTGTATACAATCTCTTGGCGCCTGGACAGAGGGAAGAGACCAGAACATCAGATGCAAATCAAATCAAAGTCGACGATGGGCCTTACAATCTGCAACACGTATCAGTCCGGTTCCTCCCAAGCGTGAGTCAGAGGAACACCATCCCAATCATCACGGTTCTGTTTCACAAAATTTCGGACTTTTGTCCAGTCTTGGCAACGGTATTGGGTAGCGGCTGAAGAGTTAATGGGCGGCAAGGAATTATCTGCTCGACAGAGCAGTCCCTGTCGTATGTAATTCAGACAGTGGTTGTCGTGATACATGTCTCGGTCTTCGGGATGAGCAACTAGGCCGAGTCGCGCTGCGACGTGTGCGTATCTGAGAGCGTTCAGGCAATGGAGCTGATGGTACATCGACAAGGCGAAGGGCCGGCCCTTCGGACCAAGTCGAATAAAGCCTTCATCTGGGGGCAACAGTAGGACTGCCCAGGCGTCATTATCGTTCAACGGGTAATGCGTGTCCGGATGCTTTATCTCCATGGTCGCTGCGCCGTACTTTCCGGGAAGCTCTTGGGGCACACTGCCTCCGACAAACGCTAAAGACGTATCGTTCACTTAGCAGAAGCCATAGAACCTTTGCGTCACTTACCGAAGTGAGGATATTCTGCTGCTAAGAACTTGGATATCATGTAAGAAAACTTCATCACGGCAATAGTTTTGATAGCGACGCTTGCAAAGAGAAAAACAATGATAAGGGTCAAGTAGCTTTTCTTCTGCATTATGGTGAAGATACTACAGGGAGAGATTACTTCAGCGCGCGCACTACTTGAACAGTGCTTTTGTACTCACCGAAGTCTTCTCCTCCAGCACAGTACGTTGATCTGTTACGGGTGGTACGATAACTACAGCTTGGGTGATAGGCGGGAGTCTGAGACCGCTCGATTGATTGACGGGAATAATAAACAATAGTATAGGCTAAGCGCTGGGATATTCGTAACCTGTCCAAGAGCACTGCATTATAAGCATCTGGCGACCCTTCATCAACCTACAGGCGCTTTTCGCAACTGGGTAGACTGACCCCTAGAATTTGTTAACTCTAGTTCGCATCGTACACGGGGTGTGGGCTGACCCCGGTTGTGACACAACAGGAACCTGTTGACAATTTGGCCTTGAACACGGCATGAGACTGTATTCACATTGGTAGACGTGCAACAAGCGGGATGGACGTATTCCAAGCACAAACATGCTCGGGACTCCACGAAGTTCCTCAAGATACGGAAATACCTATAAGAAGCATTAGCTTCCTAGCCAAAAATCAAAGGATATACTCACCCTCTCCTCGTACAGCCTTCGCTGCACACGATTTGCCGGATACACTTAGTCATAGGAGCTCTCAGAAGCTACGACAGCACGGCACGACAGCTATACCCTGTACCTCATTCGAATGACTCCTACCATCGGCCAGTCAATCGAAGGAAGAGAAGGATTTTACATGAAGAAAGTGCTCGAGGTCGAGAACTCAAGTTGTCTTGATGCTCCCTCACTCGAAATAATAGGCATAAACGATAAGCAATCGACAGACTAAGCAAGCATCTAGAGAGATGAGACAATCAGGGCCCGGTGATAGGGAGAGATCGACGGTCCAACATATAAGTAATGAATGCGCGAAAAAAAGAACGAAGATGATGTCCCGCATCTTCAACGACAAATGCTGTGCATCAGAAGGCTGTGGTATGTCACTAGTTTTCAGAGCATTCTCGGATGGTCGTGTCCCAACGACAATGACTCGTATCACAGTCGCGCTCGTCTTCTGTACTACCGATGCATGTAATGTGGTTCTATTCAGGGAATGAGACAGTGAAAGGACCTGAAATGGGGAACAAACCCATATTGAGTAGTGCTGTATGCCGAAGGCCACCGTTGCGTTCCCTCAGGCCATTCGTCACATACGAGAATCCACTGTATATGGACAGGGCGTCAGGCGGTAGTACCAGCGTACGAGTGACCTTGCTATCTATGCTGCGCCGCAGCATAACGCCCTGCTCTCGAAAAATTTATCTGGCTCCGCTCAAATCTCCTCGTCGTCATTCGTGTCCTCTGGAATCACAGAGACGTGGAGCGTGAGAAGGAAAGACCAACCTTCGGAAGCTCGGACCGGTTCGCCGCAGAAAACTACTTACTAGGATGTCACATTGATGTGCAAGGATCAGGCCTCAGGCCTCAGGTTTTGGACATGAGTCACTGCTTTACACGAGGCTTGTAATGGTGTACGTTCTTGTCTGTACACTGTCACAACACGCAAATGATCACAAGGTCCTGTCACTACCTTCTGGAAATGTTGGACTTTCCCTTCGCAGTGAGCAAAATTTCGAGACTCGAGAGACGAAACGCCAAGGAGCGCTAACTCTATCAAACACGTAGCAAAACAAGTCTGTACGAGGCCGAACAAACTACTTACAGCATCGCTGAATGAGGGATACCGCATGCGATATTGTCAAGACACGCCGGTACGGTACCACTGATGGCATTGTAAACATTGTCCTCTCCTGGTTCCTCTGCTTCTTGTTCGGTCAACTCCTCATCGACATCCTGCAGGCGCCACCCGAGGCAACCCTTCCGCTATTAGCCACGCTTCTCCGTTTAACGCATACGATCGTTTCAACCGTGCACCGTGCTGGCGTCTTCCCCTTAGACGCCACCCTCTTTTCCATCGTACTCTTTTTCCTTGGCCAAAGACATACAGGTCGAGAACCATCTTCCAACGAGGCTTCGAACATGGCCACTTAGCTGGAAGTGACCTACCTATCATTCCGAAAGCTTTAGCTCCCCCCTACTGTCTCTTTCTTCACATTGGGTCTCGCCTAATCAAACCTCGAATCCGAGAAGAAGTACTCATGCGGCAGCTGTGCCCCGGAAAGCCTGGTTGAATTGAACGGTACTATTCGTTGATAAAACGGTTAAACGCGCGTCTACGCGTCCTAGTTTCTCTCATGTCACGGAATTTTCGTCCACCCGTATTTTTTCAAAAAGGAGACGATGGACTCTTCTACTCTGTTTGATATTGAATGATACAACATTGGTTCAAGTCGGATGTGCTATCACCGGTGATATAGCACTTTGCGTTTATAGGTCTCATGAACCAGGGTGAGAAGCTTTCATATGGTTAGAAACTCAGAATAGGTGCTGTTTACTATGCTGTGATTGCCTGTGAGAGCTGATGAGTCCGCTAAGGAAGTACTACAGTTCGGTCGTTTCCAAGGACCATAAAAGTACCCCAGCGCTTCAAATCTCATGAAGGTGCACATGTTGCTTGGACCTTGTTCTCTCGATGGGTCCCACATAGTAGAATATCAAGGAACAGGAACCTCTTTCGCTTCTGTGTGAGTATCTAGTATGGCATATGCACGAACCGACTAATCCTCATTGCAGAGGCGCGCAGGGACAATACATCCTTGTACTAAAAATAGCGAAAATGGTCGCAGTGACCAAGTGAATTATCATCAAACGTTGTACTAATGATCCTGAGATCACGGTACATACTACAGGCATACGACACCATAATATCAACAACATGAGTAGAAGATAGTAAGGGGGAAAAATGTGAAGCACCCACAAGCGCTAAAAGAGACGCGCAATTCTAATTCATTCCCCGAAGCGTCATCATTCCTAGTGTCAACTAGATCCTTCTCGACAGCATTACCCATTCGTCTATTCATGGTGGAATCGCTGTCCCCATTCCTATCAGCTGATACGTATGGATCCGCAAAATCGAATCTCTTTGGATGCCTGACAACACTTTCGGCGTCGGTGAGGAGAGCAGCGTCTATGGACCAAGCCGGGCCACTGATGCAATCCGTAAGTGATCGACCGAGCCATGAGTGTGGGAGAGCAAAGACAGTGAGATGAACGCGAGAGAAACACGATTAAGCACATGAGACTGAGCGCTAAGTTTCGCGGCAAAGGGAAATCGATGTCCTAAAAGATGCGAGTCAAACCAGAACAGGAATATTAAACTTAACCGATATCGCCCATCGTGGATATCCAGACTTCTTCTACGAAACCGCCGAACCAATATCCGCATCTGAATTTTAACAGAAAGTATTCATTGCAGAATGAGATCAGGCACTTATGACACTAGAACCTTATCGCAGGGTCCAAGAGAGGGGACCAGCACTATGGCGTGTTAGCTAAAGGCAGACCGCCACTATCATCGCAGCCTGAGTAACTGAGCCGAACGGGTATATCTTAACCTAACACCCACCATTAGTTTACTTAGTATAGTTTCGGCATTGCAAAATGTGAAAGAGTCTGATGTCGTAGAGGTTTGTAAGCTTTTCCCGACTCGTCTCCTTAGCGTAATCGATATGTCCCAGCTATCAACTATGGACATAAACCGGGAAAATTTCACACTCTCCGGGTCTTGAGTTAGTTCCATCGAAGGATAGATCCACACCGACCAGTGGAACAGTGGTCCTATTTTTTCGACAAGGGTACTGATCGTACGTGAAGAGACGCATTGTGCTCGAAGTCGAGGTAAGGTCTCGAGGGAGCATATCCAGAGCTGGCAGGGTAGCTAGGAGCTCTTGCACGCGCTCGTCCACCAACTGACTCCAAAAACCTTTGATAAATGTATAGGATAGCATCGAGTTCAACATCGGGGTAGAAAGGCTCACCGACTGTACCAAACACATTTAGAGGACCGGCGGAAGGCTCCTGCAGTCTCAAATCCGAGCCCATCGTGTATGCTTGTCGGGTCATACTCAGATGGTGGTACATAATTTCGGCGCAAACCTGGTACACCTGCTTACGAGAAGCTATGTCTTCTTCGTGTCTGGTTGTACATTCTTCCTTGCTTGAGTTCAGTCGCCGTGAGATCTTCAAAAATTTCGTCTTCATGTAGAGCTTCCGAAAAAGTCCGCTAAGATAAAAGGTAAATATCTTCTAGAGGTGTCAGTATCAGATTGACTCACAAGTTCAAACATCACCTGGAAGCTTGGGAGAGTCGAAACTGTCTTGACGGAAATGAATGACATCGTGGCAGAAAAAAATAGCTTGCCAATGGGAGCGTGTGAAACGTCGCACGTCATATCAGGTAGCGGCCCGGGTAGACCCGATGACTCCGAAGAATCTTGGATTCAACCAAAATGCACTGTTCGCCGAGACCTTCAACGCTACATAATTACCAAGTCTACAGACCGCCCTTGTACCGACTAGACTGGTGAGCCATCTCACGCACCTCTTAACCACAGTATCTTTCATCTATTTCTCTGCTGGAACGGCGCTATGATAAAACAGCATGTAGAACACAGAGGCGTTCCCTCAGCATAGTACTCAGCCTACCAGGATGAACAATTTCAGAACCATATGAGTCACACAGGGTGTGGCCAGGCAATGATCAGGACAGTGTGTGCGTGAAGGTGCATCAATGTGTTTCTCTCCTCCGACTCCGAACTTTACTCATGTTATTGGAGCATCCTATGTCCTCCAAGATGAACTGTTTCAAGGATCCAAGATGTGCAAGCTTGCAAGTATCAGGTCCCGATACGCCATCGTAACTTGTGCGTAATCGCATCATTTCTCCAAGGAATTTCAAGCAGCTGAGGAATACAGGATTGAATTAGTACCTAGTTTCTACAGAAACATCGTATTAAAACCTGTAAGGCTTCAGGCAGCCGCTTCAAGGAATTCTTTGAGGGCGTGAAGGTATCTAACATTTTCCAGTTAGTTCTTGTGTGCTTGACTCTCTGAAAGAGACACATGCCGGTCTTTTTCTTCATACAGTCCTAGATGTGTACTGTTGGAGAGCTCCAACCACTTGATTTTAGGAACCCTTAAGAACCACGGCATGACGGCGATATCTTGTACTTCATCGTTGGGCGCGCTGATGATTAACGTGGGATACATGATCTTGTGAAGAACATCGACAATGGACCACGTCTTCAGAGTTCCGGTTACATTAAACTCCGACGGTCCCAGCCTTGAGAATCTCATTAATCGTGACAAGTCAATTGAACGAAGACTTACATTGTGTGGTAAACGGTAGGATTTTTTCCAAACGATTCAAATGATGCCATGACATCTTCAGGCCACGGATCCAGCGTACAAACGTGTTTCTTCATGAACACCATCATTCCATCCTCATACTCCTTTGAATTAGTTGTACCCTCTTTTTCATGTTTCCGCAGCATGGCTACAAAATCCTTTGGGAACTCTTCTAAAAGGGCATTGGTCCCTATCTCGTAGAGTTCCATCGATGCTGGCGAATTGAGGATCACCAAGCGACGCAAGCCCTTGGGTGAACGAGTAGCTGCGTATTGCCCAGCCAGCATTCCTAGCCCGGATGAGTTTTCGACCCGTGCATGAGTTTTCGATATCTGACACACCTCCCCATGATTGACCGACTAAGTCGAAGCACTCAGAGATGCCTAGATGGTTAAGAAGATTCTCGAGCTCGTCCATGAAAAACTCTGGTGTCCAGAATTCTTTGGGGGCATCACGTAAATGCGTCGACTTTCCGTTCCCAATCTGATCATACGCTACGATGGGTATTCTGAGGCCCCGATTCAGCCAAACTGCAAAGGTGAGCATGAAAAAGACGAACCCAGCAGATTCCGTCAAATCCTTATGGACGCTGTAGGTATTAGTCCTGTCAGATATTAGAGTATTCGTCCGAAGGTAATTCAACCTACAGCATACTGTTCGTCACATTCGATTTCAGCAAGACGACTACAGAAGCGACTTAGGAACTTACTACTCGTGTGTAAAGCCTGGTCCTCCATGAAGAGTGACGAGAGGCGGTTTTCCAGATTCAAGGTCGCCGATGATCTTATACCACGTCTGATACGTCTCATTGCCTACTTTGAAATCCGCTAGGCCAGTAGTTTCGAGGGACATGATATACTGTGGGTAGTCTTGAAATATCCTGGTCAGTGGTCCATTTTATAGTAGTGTCCTCCCGATCCTGATTGGATATAGATGGTTCATAATATAATGAGTGCATCCTGCCACAGCCGCTGAACCATTGCTAAGAACCAGAACAGTTCGCCTGTGTTTCAGATAACTCAGTCCAGGTACACATATTGCATGGATCTTGTTCTCGTGATGAGCCGACGTAGGGAACCGGGCACGAAAGGTAGTTTCGATAACATATCTTATAATAGACATGAGTGACCAATGACAGATACGAAGTGTCCCTGGCGCCTATCTATAATAACAAAAGCTAACTCATTGCTGTTCCTTCCATGTGAACGCTGACACAGTGGGAAGAACAACCTCTACTCTTTATGTAAGTTACAGTATATCTTGTATGGCATATGCAAGTGCCGGCTGATCCCCAGTGCAGACGCTCAGGGGCCATACGTTATATGAACATGTACATAACTAGACATAGAAAGAAGGTTACAGCGGCTAACTGAGTTATGTACCATTGAACATAGTACTACTGATTTCGTCAAGACGGTGAAGGTCCGTGGGATTCTCTGCGACAAAAAGACACACTGCGGGCGTATTGAAAAGATGGACACAACAATATCACAACGTGGAAGAAAGATAGTAAGAAAAAAAGCGTGAGACGCCTAGCGGCAATTTTCAAGCTCACGAAAACAGGCGCACAATTTATGCATTCCCCGATGCATCATCATTCTCATCGTGAACTGGTTTCTTCTCATTTGTATCGCCTTTTTGCCTATTCAAGGTAATCAAGGTAGAATCGCTGTCTCCATTCGTATCGGTAGACGTGCATGGATCAACAAATTGAATCTTTGGATGGCCGCCATGCATCTCAGCATCCTCAGACGTCAGTGACGGCGAGGAGAACAGAGATGTGGCAGTGTCTGAGGACCAAGCCTGGCCTGATGCAACCCGAAAGATTATCATCAATGTTGAAACAATCTAGAGAGTAAAGCATTGAAAATGGTGAGATAAACACGGGAGAAACACGGTTGAGCGCTTGCCTGTGCCTCGGAGAAGACCTGGATGAATACATTCTGAATCGGGTGTTTCAAGGAGAAGGGAATGATGCTCAGCATCGAGAACACGGCGTAAAGCATTGTGGACTCTATAAGCATAGTCACCAAATTGGTATAGTGATTTCCGTATTGCTTCCCCATGATCCTCGAGATTCTCCATCGATACATCATTAGGCGCGAAACAATAGCTAGGGTCATGACGATGTTGATCGCCAAAGACACATAGAGGAAAGGGGTCGTAAAGTTAACGCTCTTGAAGACCCAGAGTGAATAGTTAGGGTTACAGACTTGAATAAGCCACATGAGACTGAGCGCTAGAGATGCATATATATAAGTCTAAGTTTCACGATGAAGGGAAATTGGCGATACTGAAAGATGCGAGATAAGCCAGGACAGGAAAAGCAAGTATCACCCATCGTGGATATCCAGAGTCTGCGTATATAATGACACATCGCCATACCTAAAACACGCTCATACTGTGAGATTTGGGCATGGATATTTGGGGAAGTTATCAATACGTACCACAACAGCGTCTGAAAGCCAGTTGGCAATGATGAAGAATACATTGCCCATGGCGTTCACAGGCAGCCAAAAATAGTCGTACTCGAATGCGGCTAGAATGTGAGATTTAGGTTCAGTAACTAGTCGAATGGTGCAGAAATAGTATTAGCTTACAGGGACCACCAGGATAGAGATGGTAATCTATGAATGCCAATTCGTTGATTTTAGCACCGGCCGCCGCGTACAGCGTAGCACAGATAAATAGCAGAGACACGTAGATGATCCAAAACAGGTTTTTCTTGTAGTTGCTAGAGTTCATGGAACGAAGGAGTAGACTGAAGCATTGTACAGCAAGGGTGAGTGCCGCTCCATAAGCTACTGCGGTGATGAAGATCCCTGCGAACCAGGATCGCTCACTGAAAAGGACGTTGGGGGATTCGCTCGGAGTCCAGCTGGGGTCGAGAGAAGGCATGGTGTCGATCACAAACTATAGATACTTGCATAGACATAATTTATATGAGCCTGAAGCATCTAGGCAGCGAAGACGCGAAGTACCGAGAGTGAGCCGCAACTTAACCGAATGAATGCTAGGGCATCACTGTGCCTGAAGGTGTAATATTACTTCCGGCTGATCAATCACTGCTCACGCGCCAAGTACCGTGCTGTGTAACATCGAGATCTCGAGATGCTCAGTACTGCACCTAATAGTAATATATATATCCTTCTCGCTAGTTTGTATGCCTTATCGGTAGTAATCGTCCGGGGTCAGCTGTGCACGGAAAGCCCTAACTCCTTGTAAAAGCATGTTGCCGACCTCATGTCCCATCATGTCCTTAAGGAACTAGTTCGAAGCAGATATTTGAATTGCTATTTCAAGTTTGACCAGTCTCTTTGAGCTAAAAGACGAGATAGGTACACTGAATGTCCTATGGCAGCCAACTGGGAGTGCTGACCAGGTCAGACCATTGTGATCCTCACCATAGGGATGCGCACCGTCCGTAACCGAACCGTATACCGTAAAGTTCTACTGTCGGTGTCGGTCCGTACAATTACGGCTGTATTGGTCCTGGTGAGTTTACCACTCAAATATATGCTGGTTCAGTGCTCAATATGTAATATATTAGCATAATAACCAAGCTGATATGCTCTGATCAAACCTCGACCTAGAAATCAATATGTTAGAGTGCTGGGAAAAGCGGTGAGAGACTCAACTATGGCGTCATAGGGTCCTGCAAGTGTGAATTCGAGCCGGAATGCTTTGAAAACTAGAACATTAATTAATACAAAGGTCAGCCACCTTTCCTTGTATTGGAACGTAGATATGGAGCTCACAGAGATGCTTGAAAGTCTGAAAGCACTGCCACACGAATTACGGCCGTCGACGGCCGTACAGTACGGTATTTCCTGAAGAGCTCATGGCTTCGGTGCGTATACCGTACATGGAAGCCCTTAGCCGTCCAACCGTACAATACGGTTACGGTGCACATCCCTACCTCACCATCAGCATATTTGATCACAAAAATAATAGGAAGGCTACAGGCATGAGCTTACAGCTACGATGATCTAGTACTAAGCGAGCTGCATTGTGTACTACAAGAGTGGAACCAACAAATTTACTACAGATATTGACGAGGACCGAGTAAGAAACACAGCCCTGTAGAGTTTCATCGTCAAAGGGCTCCCGAGCTAATCCTTCCTCTTCTCGATCTTGGCGTGAATCATGTCCCATAGCGAAAAGAAACCCCCGCTTAAACTGAAGGTAAAGACCGGTGATCCAAGGCTGAAAATCGGCGAAGCCGCTATTTACTTTTGGACTAACGTGGGCATTCAACACCCCGAAAACACTAAATTTTCTTGTCTCCAATATGTTATGAGGATCAGGTTCAAACTATTCGTCGAACTTGGAATCGACCTTTGTGCGTACTGGAATCGCACATTCGGAAGATTCCTGTGTAATGTCGAGCTGGTAATGACAACAAAGTAGAAGGATGACATAGAAAATGGATTCCACATCGTGGCGATAAAGGTGTTTAGTAGGCGGTGGATCCTCGACATACTCGTTTTCGAAGAGTAAATACACCATGTAAGGTCGAGTGCTGACACGCTGAAGCAAGGAAGCAGTGTCATCTCGGAAGGAGGAGAAATCGAAATCGTTAAGGACCCCGCGTAGATGACCATCGATGGTCCGGCGCCACATAATGTTGCTTTTGCTAGTATCCCGGTGGATAATTCCCGGGTGATCATAGAGTCATTTGTGAACTACAGCGGCAGTCAGAAATCATTCAGAAAAGAAGAATAATGTACGTACTCTGCAAAATATCGAAGAAGACCTGAGCATACTCTTGAGGCGTCTGCAGTTCGTCGAAGGAATACAGTTTCTCTTGGACAGCGATTCGACACACACGTCCCTCGTACTCAAATTTCTTGTCTGCAAACATGGTCTTTGCGAAGAAATCTACCAGGTTCGTCTGAGTAGACTTTATGTCATAGCCGAAGTCTTGGGAGAGGAGAATGTCCGGCAAGTGATTTAGGGCCCATTCTGGCCTTTTGCCTTGCGTCATATTTCGAGCCTTCTCTCGAGCTTTTCCCACAAAATCTGTTTCAGATGTTCGGCAGATGTCCGGCCAACTGATCTTGACAATCAGTTGTTTACCCTTCCACTCCTCATGCTCCGACGTTGCCTCGACTACGCAAGTGTCTCGACCGATGATGCTAGGATGACGCGATATAATACAGCCAAGGGTGACCTCGACCTTTTCATCCCCTTTAACCAACCTGAGCATTACTCCAACGACTCAGACGGCGTTGGGATCACCACATCTATTCATGTAATTCTCGATGATCACCTTGTCGTTGTAAAATTGCTCTTGGATGCCTCGCTGCTTGAGAGAAAGGCGACCCAATCCGATGAGCATTGCCACGAACGCGTCCGTAACGTCAGCACCCTCCTGTTCAAAGATAACAACCGGTTTGCACACAATGATGACGGAGCGATCATAGTAGAGTAGTTGAATGCGTCCCCCCGCAATGAGCGCACCGATACATTGCGTTCGAAAGTCGGCGCCAGACAGAATTTCGAGGGCGTAACGACCACACTGGAGTTGCATGTTTTGGCGGGCCTTTGTTATTTCTTCCCGTTGCGCTTCTTCCTCTTCCGAAAATGCTGCTGCCTTCCTGGCAGCCGCAACGTCGCGGGCCACACCAGTACGGGGAAGTTTGGAACGGACACGAGAATTGTCGTCACCGTCTGACCCTGAGCTGGAGCCGGAGGACCAGTAGGGGTGTAAGATGCCCGCAGGGTCCCAGTGCAAAGTAGGTTTGCGTCGCACTTTTACTCGGGGATCCTTGCCATCTGGATACCGAGATATATTTTAAATGAACGTCTGAAAGAAGATATGAGGCTTACTAGCCATAAGAACGCGATAGATAGCATCGGATCCCTCGTCGAGATAGCACTCATCGGGCCTGAATTTCTGACAACGCATATTTTGAACCCACGAGACTTTATTCTCAGGGCCATTATCCTGGATAGCATTCCGAGTCCTATGAATATAGGTATCGGTTATTATGCCAGTTTGAATTATCGTGGGAAAATCTATTCGAGGTATCAAACCTTATCGGGTTTTGCCGACTCGCCTACCTGGCCTTACCGTGGGAATATTTCTATTCAATGCCGTCTTTATCCGCTTGCCTGACCCGTTACTTTCCGTTTTGCTTCCACTGTTTCACATACTCGCTTTCTTCCTCTTCCCCCCGGTTTCTTTCTTTCTTTCTTCTCATTCGACTTTCTTTTTTTGCTTTCTTTTTCCGTCTTTCTCTCTTATATTCTCGTCGTTTCTTTCTATTCTTCCTCATCGCCCCATAAGTCAGCTCATTCGTCATCTCTACTTCGTCTATTTCCACGTAGCTTACTCTGTCATTCCAATATCTCTTTCTTTCTCTCCTTCGAAATGTGCCTCCGCCTCCGCCTCTTCCCCTTCTGCTTTGTACCTTACCGTCTCTCTCCTGTGCTTGCCTCCCATCTCTATCTCTTCCTCTTCGTACTCGAACCCGATTCGTCGTTTCATCTTCGGCGTGCGTTGTGGGTCCTTGTCGCTCGCAACACTCTTGTTCTTCGCAGTGTTCTGAAATAATGTTAATTTGTGTGTTTATTTGTTCATTGCTCGTGGCTTACCGTAGTGTGGTCGCAATATCATTTTCATCCTTATGTGGTCTCCTCAGCACTTCACAAATACGATGGAGTATCGCGCTTCCACTATGTCGCCTATCCTGAACATATGTGGCCTCGGTTGGCTGGTATTGTTTATTATGGAGCGCGACACTTCACCGCGCGATTTGTAGATGCAGAGAACCAAGTATGGTTTAACGACGGCATTGTATTAGGTAGACATTCGCTACATGAAGGTCATATTGACGACGTCAACATGATGCGAGACAAGACGGGCAAAGACCGTGACATGTTCATATACAGGCAGGCCAATATATGAAAACTGGTGTGCCCGATGGAAAGAAAATTCATAGGACTCGGACATGCCACGCAGATGCGTTGGCCCTCACCCCACTAGTCAAGCAAGTTTCCTGAACTAAGTATCGAACGAAGAACGCTCCAGCTATCAGGGATATCTTGAGAACCACTGTCGACAGGTTTCGCATCAGGGTCCAATCCACAGTCCTTTTCAGTGGCACCTAGAACATCGAACGCACAATCAAACATCAGCCCAGACTTGGGATTGCATTGTTCGACATAGGTCTTGACGTGTGCTCTGAATGTAGCATCGTTTTTGATGGTCGCAATAAGAGATTGCATCTCGTTATTAGTGTGCCACTCGTGAGGAAGATGATGAATTTGGGTGAAAAAATCATCTGCAGGCATGAACACGCGGCTGCTGATATCGGCTCGAATGTATGGATCGTATCTTGCCATAGGATGAACTGGATTGGCTTTGGGATGAGCCTGTGGGGTGTCAGACTCATTGTTGCTGAGCAAAGTGTTGTGCACAGAAGAGCACGACTGGTCGGATACTAAAGATTCCTGCGACAGTGTTTTCTTCCCTGTGGCGGACGGTGTAAGAGAGTGATGATTCGAATTCCTGCTGGCACCGGGAGACATAGTAGTGTTGGGATAGTCGGGCGAGGTGGAGGGAGAGCACGAAGGCAAGAAAGAATGTTTAAGTCGCGTAGAACAATAAATTTATGACTGCGAAGTAATACACGTGATCGTGTGGCGCAACATATTTGGGCACAACCGGCAAATGCCGAGGCTACCTGAACCAAAAAAAGTCATAAACCATTAGGTCGCTTAGACTGGTGATCCAAGGGCGATGAGAGAGTCGGTTACGAGTCCTCAGGTCGCTATTCTCAGGCTCTCGATAAACCGAAATGTGGATATGTGTGTGGGGAGATTTCAAGTGAACGACCACCGCAAAGGTAACTTCTCTCTCCCAAATTCCCGTCAGTCGCTGAGGCGACTTCCCCGGAATCTTCACCTGACTGAACATTCCATGAAGCTTCCTACGGCTTGATTAGCCGCCCTCTTCGTACAACAGCGTCTTCGTTCAGAGTTCTCCGGTGCAGCTGATTATAGCGGTACATCGTTTCTCTCTGACGTCTGGACCACAAAGTTGATCCCAGCACGCGCCGCACGCTCTTTATATGCAGAATTATGGTGCAGAGGCCTTCTCCGTTCCACCGTCGGCAGGAGAAGACAGAAGCACCCGTTTTCATTTCTGAGGCGCTGTCCAGGGACGCCTCGTTTCTTGCCATTGCGGAAGGGAAAACCCGACGTTTTCACAGCTAAGGCCGATGCCCTGGGCCTTGTTAGGTGGTACTGACGATTCGTATGCAATAGAACTGGTGTCAACGTTCCCAGCAGCTCGCAAGGATCGACCAGGTACTGGTTGAATCGAAGAATGCCGTAGATGATTTGCAAGATACTCATGGCATCCGAATGATTGAAAATTCTTGCGTGCAAGGTCAGAACAGAAGTAATGGATTTTCGACGATACACGCACTGCCTGAGAAGGGCATTTTCGTATGAGGTCCTCCTGAAGATGTCGATGAATTCGGTAGCCAGGGATAGAATCGACTTGTCAGCAAGATAAGGATCGGAAGGAATGGTCATAACAAGTCATCCAATTGCGCAGTCGGACGCCGGCCGCGAGTGACGTGGGTTGGTAAACGATAGAAGTCGGCCCAGCGGGAGTGCACAATCTATAAAAACCAAGTAAACGTGAAGTGTCGCAACTCGGTATTAATCACTCATAGATGGGTATTCCTTGTGGTGATAGACCAAGGCGAGAGCAGTCCTTACAGTTGTGAGGTGAGCGTTCTTCAAGCAAACACACCAGCAGAGCTACCTTACGATTTTCCCAAAATATTCTACCTGTGTGCGAATGTCCGAGAATCCTCGCAATATACGATCCTGATGGAATTGGGCGTCAGGGTACTGAAGGAAGAAGATACGAATAACGACCACATATTGAGCTTCTTCCGTCGGAAGTTGAGTAAACGATTGGTGGGTTCTCATATGGATTCGCTTACGTTCGATTCATCTCCGAGGAGATACGTAAACTGCTTGCCTAGTCATGAAAAACGACTTGGTAGATGTCTTACTTGCCAGTCGAAAAAAATTGATAATACATTTCGTTTGAGCCATACATATCAATTTCAAGCCTATGTAGTTCAACGCGTCGTAGGAAGAGAAAGAGAAAAGGACACCACGCTAGTAGAGGCAAAATTACGTTCGAGGAAGAATAGCAGCAAGTCATACACCGAACCAGTCACCGAGCATCCATTTCTCGTGCAGAATCCTCCGCGATCTGTGTGACAGACAGGAATTGGCTGGAATTCGTCGTTGAGAGGCCATCTCCTGAAGCAGTAGAGACAGGAATAGGTGCAGCAGTGCTGGCTTCCGGTTTCACAATGGAGAGATGTCGAAGGTTCTGCCGAGATAGGTCCGTCTGGATGTTCCCGTCGTCACCACGAGAGATCATTCTCGAAACCTTCATGCAGATGCTCGTCGCTGCTACACTGGAGAGTCGAGAAATGTGAGGAAAGACGCCTTGAGCACGCGTCGATGGTGCCTGATAAGCGATACAGTGGCCTTGGAGCAGAACATTGTCAGGGTCGTTCCAATGGTGTGCGCAAAAGTTTTTGTCGGTCCAGCTGGGCAACTCCTGCAAATACGACCGAAGCCTTGATAATTCTTCACGTCCTCCTAGGAACTTGATAGGGTAGTTGCTGAAATGAACGATAGAAAGAACAGAAACATGACACACCGATGCTTGGAAAGCTTTTAGGAACCGCTCGGCACGCAACATATCAAGTAACGATGGATTCTCAGACTCGGATATGCAGGTCAGTAGCTCTGCCAGGTCTCTCACAGCCCAAATCAGTTGGAAGGCGCTGATGTTCAAGTTGTTGACGTCTTGGGCAAAATCGCGCGCGCACGGATGTATATGAATTGCTGAGCGAGATGAGCAGTAGTCGGTCACCGTTGGTATCGGAAAGATACTTACTTATAATAACTGTGTGGGCGCAAATTATCCCAATCCATTGTAAACAGGAAGCATATAAAGACTCGTCGGGTTTCCAGAGGTAAAGCAGAGCAAGGACCAAGGCACCTATCATACACCCTCCGTTGAAGACGTAAGTGATAGTTTTGACGATATTCTTAGGGTTGGAATCCTGAGTGATGGCGAAGGATGAGTTTCGTGTGGCTGCAGGAAAAGCTCTGGACCAACTTTGTATTGTCTGATAACTACCGCTTGCAGCATCGACATCTTGTGTTCCAATTCCGGTCCAGCGGTCTTGCATCGACGGCGAAGATTAGCACTGTATTCCACTGTGTCCGAGCATCTGTTCTTGATTTCTTGAAGAATGTCGTTGATAAGCCCAGGGCAGGTACTTTCAAGGTATCCCCAGTATTCGAGGATGTCGTAAATAACATAGAGTGTTTTTGTTTGGACGTGCGATTTGGTAAGACTTCAAGCACATCAGCCAAGCAAAAGAAGGAGGCTGGATATTGGGCTCACAACTGGACGAAGCCCAAATTGCACATGTGATGCAATTTGAGATGCTGGCCTACTTTCGTAGACGTCGATTCAAAGCACTTGGAAGCACGGTACGAAGGAGGATTTGTACGGTGTAAGACTGCCCATAAAGAACCGATCCAGTCTGTGCCATCTATGATACGATTTTCGACGGGTTGCTGATAGAAGCCTGGCCAGCGGAGAGGTGGATGGAAAGCGGGAGAATGCTAAGATTTTTGGGCGGATCAGAGCATCCCAAATTGGCGCTATCGAGAGTCATGGTAGAAGGTGCTTGTCGGCAAGTTACAGGACTCAAGCAATCAGCTTGAAGAGGGCAAGTGTATCGCCTATCCCGCTCGGGCTCTGACAAGGAGCTGTCCTAGTGAGTTTTAGTATTCACGAATGATTCTCAAGACCGCCATGAAGCGAATAAATTTCTATTCACCAGATATCCTCCTGATAGCGTTATACTCTCCTCAGAGCCAGACCGTTGATGATAGCGACTGGTGACCAAGTCTTTGACGCCAAGATGCCTATACTTTATGCAGCTGTGTATCGACACCTCGAATAGAAGGAAATCCTAAGCACCGCTATTCAACGCGATACTGAGGTGAGCTCTGAGGTGGTAGTGAAGCAAGAGAATCACGTGTCAGCGACCCATGTCCTGCTCAGTTCCTGCTCCCGTCCTGCTCCCGATTCCTCTACGACAATACAACAACAGCAGACTAATCCGATACCAATAAGGCCAGCGCCAATGCGTATTCCAGTATCCTTTTCTCCGGTGCTCAACACAGTTTTGGAGCCAGACGTGGTCCAAGATGGCTAGAACCAGACCTTCAAGCTCACGCTCGACCCCGAATCAGCAAAGACCGGTGACTGCGTTGCAGCTATTGACGACACTGCCACGCTACTTACCTCGAAACTTAAAGGTAACTCGATGTCTACTACTTTGGATGTTACTGATCAGGGAACTAGAGGCACTGCTCGTTGATTTGCATCTCATTTTAACCGCGTTTGATGCTCATGTTTACTAATGATGAAGCGCAGTATAACCTTGAGGACGACCCATCTCACGACGACGAAGACTCTCTGCAATTTGACGACAACAAAGCTATCATACGTTGGTGCAATGCTGCAAAACGTGTTCGTCAGTGTGGAGGCGGCGAGAGTTTTACAGAGGCGGACATTTCTGTGTCTTATTCTTCTGTTTTTCATCGCCTCGTTTCTCATGTATCATTAGCTGCTAATACGAGCATACCACCGTTCACCACTGACGACAACCGAACAGAAGGAAGCAGAGGCTGTGCTGTTGATGCAAGAGAACGGCTGACATCCTGGCCATTACGCCGTCAATGCATCAAGTCTTCAATGCCATGAGGGAAAGAAGTTTCACATCCTCTGCGACAGCTATCGCCCTTTTCGCATACTGCTTTCCTCGTTGTCCAATTAGGACGGAAGGACCGACAACCAGCAAACAATAGAGCGTCAGATGGCCTCCATCCTGAGACCCCATCTCTAGGTTGGCACAAGTCAACGTACCTATTACCTCCATCTTTACAGTTGGGTGCGTCGTAATTCTTGCCTGTCGACGACTAGCTGATTGTGACGGAACCATGCCAGTTTCAACGGAATTTTTCGATTGGAGAACCTCAGAAAAGCTTCTCTTTCAAAACCGTTGTAGAGACGTCTCTTGTAATTTTGTAAGTGATTCTTTAACACTGCACCGCGAGACTTGACCTCCAACAAGACTAGTACGATGATGTTTTGGTCCATGCACTTGAATGGGAGGAGTTGACGATTAATGGTATTCGGTTTTGCCAGTTTCACTGTGCGCATGTCTTGCGTGCTGGACTTTCGGGATGTGTATGTCGGAGTAGAGATAGAATCTAGGACGAAAGGTGTTCCCTTAAAATTGCGTTGACTTGAGTCCCTTACGACTGACGCGTCTGTGGCGTGGGAAAACGGCCTTCCACTCAGCTTATTAAGGGCATGAGTGAACGACTAGTCCTTGCGCTCCTGCATCGAAATGACCACGACAAGTCAAAGATGAAGCTGAGGGTCGTTATCGTTTTTATTTTGCCATTTATTAGCGTCTTCGTTTCGCTTTACTCAGTTCTTACCTTTACACGCCTCGGAGCTCCTGCAGGGTCATCCTATCGCGGCTCTTCCGTACCCCAACAGTCTCCTTGTCCAGTGTAAGTCCTTTCCAAAACTAGCACTTTAAGTCGGCCAACTTGAATTAAGTTTTACGCCTAGATGAAAAAAGTGTCTTCGAAGAAACCTGGGCTCTCGCCAAGAAATACAGACCTCGGTCGAAACAACAACGAACCAACATGCACACAGATAATACGACTCCGCCATATCATTGATATATCTCCACATCGTCCAGTCGGTAGTTAAGCTCAAGTCCCTCATTCTGCAGACTCTTCAAGGCATTCTCAGCCGTCTCATCAAGATCACAGCTCCATCCTTGCCCCATCACCCATAGACCTAGCTTCGTGAGACATGGCGCCTCTGACGGTTGACGCAGTCGCGAAGCTACCATATCCACTAATGCAGGATTGATGAAAGAGATGTTAGTGTAATCAACGCTGTGCACGTAGACGCCAAAGTCTTGTAGAGATGGGACCACAAAGTGCTTAAGCGACCCATCTACCTCGCTCATTTGTGTCACAAGATATTGCATGATGGGGTCGTAATCATCCACCCACTCGTAGAACTCGATGACAAGTTGCTGTAAGCTAGGCGTGAGTTTGATGATGCTCGCAAGGTTATCGTCCAAGACCGTATCGACGAGATGCAATTGTGATAAGGAACATCATGACTGCAGCAACATCTGGTGTAGTGCACCCAGCGCGTCCACGGGACATTTTATCACTTCACTCGTGCTAAAGCCCCTAAGGGCCGATATGGTTGTTACCGTGACCTTCTTCAGTGATGGTAGTTTCATGCCGAGCATACAACTTGGCGAAGAGGTCGAGAGTTCTTCAATCGACGAGGATACGACGCATGGAAAGGAAGACAACGTGGATATCAGGTTGACAGCATAATCGGTGCATGAAAATGAAGAAAGTCTTGGGGCGGTTTTGACAACGTCAAGGTATTTGGGAGTCAATTGGTCTCCGGCGAATGGCCTTGCGTCGGAGAAGGATACGAGATTGGTAGGTGAGAAGTGAATACTAATGCCAGGGTGCATGCCATACATATGCAGGTGTTCCAGTTTGGGGGCAATCTCCAAGGCCCGGATGTCTGAGTCCTTGGGCTGCGGGTCGCGATGGCAAATGAAGTATATCTCTCTAAGTAAATCAATCTTTCCACGGATGGGAGAGAGTCGTGGAAGAAGGGATGGCGGGATCGTCATTCTGACGTCTCTCCATCGTGTCGAATGGGAGATCAGGAGATCGAAACATCGCTCTATTGCTTTCAAGTTGGCCCCTTCCACCTTGAGGTCATAGTAATAGAGCTGAAATTTGAGAGGATGGTTACGGGAACGTTCAAGGATGACATGGAGTATATCCATCGCGTCAGCCTTCATAACCTTTTTGTGGGAGGCCGGGATGTCCACGTTCAGGGTGGCCCATAGCTCCGGGGCAAAGTGTTTCAGTAACACGTCGCCACGAGCTGCACACTTGACCAAGAAACCACGGCCCGTCCGGGGTTGTGAAAACGTCCAATGCGTGACGATGATGTCTTTTCATGATTGACATATTGTCTTTCCAGGACCACGAGCGACATAAAATCTCCGCCAGAACCTCCGAGGGGATGCGACGTATTGGAGACAATGCTTTCTTGTAGTCTTGTTTGATTGACTGGAGGCGTGACATCCGAGTTTCCAGCGACACAACAGCATTACGAAGAAGATCAAGGTCACTCTGTAGATCTGCGAGTGATGTCGTCAGATCGGCCAGAGATGTCTTCAGCCGAGCAGATAGTATGGGTGATGGCGCCTCGTTTATGCGTAGAAGAGATGCGACATCAGGTGGATGAGTGAAAGTGAGTATCCAGTTATATTTGGCTAATATTTCCTCCAGAGGAACGTGGAAAGTTTGCATGAGAGCCCGATATGACTGGAAAACACCAATCAATCTCTCATTGGCACGAAAAGAAAGCCCAAGAAACGCACGAACACTTGGTTCTATACCTAAGTTGATTACCAGTAGGTTTAGGACTCGATGATGAGCAATTCAAGCCCTCACTAGGACGAACTGAACTATGGCGAGCCAGAACGAAGAGTGCAGGACAAGAGACAAGGAAGAAAACAAGTTTGTTCGAGTCCCGGATGCGGAGTCGAAGTCAAAGACGTAATAAATAGTGTTGGAAAACGGGGTATCGGTTCATTCACACCAAAAAAAATGAAATTTCAGCCGAATTTCTAATTGTCCAAAACTAAATAAGAAACTGGTGAGATACCATATATAGGTATGCGCCCTCTCCCGCCCTAAGGCGGGATGAAGCGGGATACCTATATATGGGTGTTTCTTAGTTTTGGAATTAGTTTCTGACAAACAAAAACTTTGGCTGAAATTTTACTTTTTTTGGTGTGATTCCCAGTATCACATGCGCGGTAGCAAGCCAATAGTATTGCGCTTGGCTGAGCTCTGCAAACGCATGAGGATCTACGCTAAAGTACCTACTTTTATACTAAATGTACTTTTACTAGAACTTTCCACGCTTTTCCTCAGACTTCTTCCCTAATAAGCAGACTCGGCATGATGCCGGATTGCCAAATCCCAACAAATAGGAGCCTTATTTTCACGGAAGTGGACCATGACAAAGCTTGTGAGGCCCCTAAGCTCCCTTCAAACATTGTCCGGCAAATCCTAGGCTAAGGAAATCCGGCCTCTCATACAGATTCGCTTACGTCCCATTCCTGTTTACGGGGAGATACATAACATTTTTGCTAATTAGATGAGTCTTTAGATGCATTACTTGAAAGTTGATATTCGAACCAGTTCTCCGCTGAAATCGAGAATACACTTCGTTCGGGCACACATATTAATCTCGATTCTATCATATCTAGTTCGGGACCACGGATAAAGAAAAAGAAAGACGCGAAGCTAAAAGAGGCATTACGTTCGAAGAAGAGCGATACACCGAGCCAATCACCGAAGGTTCCTGTCTCATGCATAATCCTCCACTGCCAGAGAATAGCTGGGAATCGCCATCGAGATACCATCCTCTGAAGCGGTAGACACAGGAACAAGTGCAGCGTCACTGGTTTTCGTGTTTGCGGTGCGATTCTGATACTCAGCTCGTTGGGAAGATACGGTCGGGAGGACGTCGTTGTGAGAGTGCATTCCAAAGACCTTCTGGTAGACTCTAGTCACTGTCATACTTGAGAGCCGAGGAATACGTGGAAGGATGCTTCGGGTGTGAGTCGACGGTACCCGGTAAACGATATAGTGGGTGGGGAGCAAATTGTTATCACGAGAGGAGGCAACGTGGCGGTCGGTCCAATGATGTGCGTTGAAATTTTTGTCAGTCCAGCTAGGTAACTGTTGTAGCCACGAGCGGAGATCTGATAACTCTTGACGTCCTCCCAGAAACTTGACAAGGTAGTCACTCGAATGAACGACAGAAAGAAATGAGAGGAACATAGCATACCGACGTCTGGAAAGCCTTTAGGAACCGCTCTGCGTGCAACACATCGGACAACGGTGAACTTTCGGATTCGGATATGAGGGTCAGCAATCCTGCCACGTCTCTCACAGCCCAAATCAGCTGGAATGTCTTGGTATTCAAGTCGTCGATCCTGTAGGCAATATCGAGTGCTGGCGAATATGCACGTGATGCTGAGCGAATGAGTATTCGGTCACCGTTGGTATTACAAAAGAACATACCGGTTGGAATCATGTGCAAGCCGATTAGTCCAATGTAGGGTAACCAGGTATCGATTGGAGACTCGGAGGAAACCCAGGGCAAAAGTGGAACAAGGACCAAGGCAAATATGGCAAGCGCTCCGCAGATTAGATACGCGATAGTTTTAAGGAGGTTCTTAGGGTTAAAATCCTGTCAGAATAGTGATAAAGAATGAGTTTCACCGCGTGACCGTAGGAACAGAATTCGACTGACTCTGTGTTGCCTGTTAACTATCGCTTGCAACATCCGCATCTTGTGATCTAATTCCAGCCCAGCAGTTTGGCATCGATGGCGAAGGTCGACACTGAATGTCATTGTATCCGAAGCGTTGACTTTGATTTCTTGAAGAATGTCGTCGATAAGCCCAGGACAAGCACTTTCAAGGTATCCCCAGTGTTCGAGGATGTCGTAGATGGCATGAAGTGTTTTTGTTCGGATCGAATTGGTCAAGCTTCAATGCTTCGTATCAGAAAGGCAAAAAAACGAAACTGAATACTGGGCTTACAACCAGATGAGGGACAATTTGGATATATGAAAATCGGTGACATGCTCGCCTAATCTCCTAAACGTGAAAGCAAAGGACTTGGAAGCACGATACGTGGGAGGAGTTGCGCGGTGTAGGACTTCCCATAAGAAATCGATCCAGTCCGTGCCATCTATGATATCGTTCTCGATAGGTATCTGATAGAAGTCTGACCAGCGGGGAGGTGGACAAGCAGGTAGAGAAAAGGCGGGAGCTTTCTGAGTATCCTGGTGAAGAGAAGAGTCTCCCAGTTTAGCGCTATCGAGAGACATGATAGAAAATATCGAATCAGCAGATAAAGGAATGCAGGCGAAGAAGGCGAGCGCATATATTGAGCTATTTCGCCCTTTTTTGAACCGTGACAGCGATGGAGGTGAAGTCTGATTTTTTGGTGTCGACCGTACTTATGCGTTATGCAGCCATATTATATCGCCTATAGTCGCAGTGCCTCGAATAGAGAAAAAGTTGCTACTGAACGCGACCCTGGGGCGTAAGGTGGTGGTTTGGATTCACGAGAATCACGTGTCAACGAGCGATGGCCTCGACGTCAGACGGCGCCTCGTTTCTGACAGTAGACTGAGGCCTCAACCTCAACGCCGATAGCACCAAGGCTAACGCTCTCACCCTTTCCTTCGATACTCAACAAAATTTGGGAGCCAGACGCTGTCCAGGATGGCTGCTACTTGGGATGTTCAACGCCAACCACGGAACTAGGGCACGCCCGTCAATTCGTACCTTGCATTCTAATTGCGGTCGATGCCCATTTTACGGATGATGAAGACCAGAACAACTTTGCTTTTGAGGACCCATCTCGATGGCCACAGGGATTTCCTGCCATTTGGCGGCAACGAAACTACTGCATGCTCGTCCCTTTGGTGTCAATGCAATACTGAAAAACGCGTTGGTCAGCGTGAAGGCGCCCAGATTTTTGCATTCAAAGAGGTGGACATCTAGGTGTATCTCGTTCTCCTTTTTTTATCGCGTCGTTGATCATGTATCCTCAGTTGTTAATACGAGTGTTCCCTCAGTACATGGACGACAACCGGAACATATGCCTCTACAATACAGCAAGGTCTCTCGGCACCAAAGGAATGACTGATATTCCTAGCCACTACGCCGACTCTGCAAGAAATCTTCCGTATCACATGAGGGAAGGGCAGGGTGGCGAGTTTCACGACAGCTTCGCCTGCTCTGCGACAACTATCTCCATTTTCGTATACTGCTTTCTTTGTCGCACAATTCGAACAGAAGGATGGAAGGATTGGCAACAAGCTGAACGTCAGACAGCCTCCATCCTACATCACCAACTCACCCTGGGATATTTGAAAATCACGTCTTTGGCGCGGACGAGGGTACTTAGTCCCTCCATGTGGCAACTGGGTGCGTAGATCGCTGTCGGTCACTGTCCTTTAAGCGCTTGAAGCTAAATCTGTCACGTCAGATTCAACAGTGGTATCCAAATAATCAGCCTTATCAACAGACATCACCAGCGTCCATGTCTTTTTCATTGAACGCCTCGTTATTTCTCGGATAACATACACCAGTTCACACCAACATGCCAGAAAGACACTTCCAATCGCGACTCTAGCTTATACTGTCCGATCCCTGGCACTGGGCTGCGACGAGAACAGGATATTACTAGCGATCGACTACGTCCTTCCATATCACCCTGTCAACGTCCGGAAACGAAACAAGCTTTCTTCATTGGAATATGGAGTGAAGGTCAGACACGATACGCCCTGCTTGTGTCCCTTAAACTAACCTAATATCGGCGGAATCGAAGAATTGGAGCTGAGGGTCGCGAAAGAATCCTTCGATATTGTGCTTGAAGTCACTCGTACCTTGATGTGCGCCTATCAAGGTTTATAAGTAATGCTTTGACACCTGCACCGCGAGACTGACCTCAGATCAGACTAGCGCGATAACGTCTGATCCACGTACACTTAAACCGACGGAGGAAGCAGTCGAGGTGCTCAATTTGGTCAGATCCATGCGCGTGTCTTACTTGCAGGATGAAGCAAATTCCCTACACTGCTGCGCGGCGGCGCACTGTTTTTTATCTACCCTTTGAATCACGCTGACTTTTCTCGTTCCCTTGTGACGCTTTGACGTGTCTGTGGCGTGGGAACGTATCAATACTATCGCTTTCGTCCATCGGCTACCTTGATACCTACATACCAAGAAAACCCTCAGGACCCGCTACGTGCGGCGTACGAATGTTTCATTGATCGCGTGGCAGAGGTTCGTAATTAGCAGAGTTGGATCTCAGTACAGCTTGTGCCGTCTCTCTGCCGACCATCTGCCACGTAACATCCATAATGACTGGGTACTTGCCTTCACTGAAGCACCATCAGATCTTGCCTCAGGATCCAATCGATACCAGAACGTGTCAAGGGTTCTCTATTGGACAAAGTTTATAAATCTAGCTCTGTACCCACTTCCTTTCTGCAATAAGAAGCGAAGAAATGGTATCACCAATGGTACTCTCCCATCCGATATATTCTTCCATGTGTAAAATGTCCCGAGCTCGAGTCACGTCGATCGATGATAACTTTCCGGGAAGCTCGGATGAACTGCCAGTGACGGAAGGTAGCCGCGACTTCAAGTCAGGCCGGCTCTTCTCAAGATACTCCACAGCCTCCTTCCATGTAAAGTGACCTCCTGACACGAGAAATCTCTTCTTCTCCGGGGGTTCAAAACGATTAAGGGTAAGCGCCTTGACATGGGCTCGTGCCACGTCACGAACATCACAGTAGAAAGGGGGAAGTTGGACAGGTAGAGGGCGTCCAGATTCGCCGGATATCAAACTATAAATCATTCTGTTTGCACCTAGCCTGTCAGGTGCTACAGGGGGGAACTGTGCGTTGACTGGACCATCTATGAATGGAGGATTGACTTTTTTGAAAAAAATAAGAAACAGGAATTATAAATGCAAGACATTCGTATAATCAACACTTACTAGTCGCTAGATCCAATGTCGGGTTCTCCTGGGCAAATTTCCACGCCATTTTCTCAGCTAGAGTCTTGATAGCGAGATATCCCCAGAGCAGATTATGATCTCTGCTAAGAAATTCTTCCTCCGTCACACTACCCCAATCTACCAAGAGAATGATCTTAGCGATCTCGCGCAGTAGAAATGGATGGCACCAACCTTTTTCGCTAAAAATGACTCCTTGATATGTCTTCTCGAGAGACGCTGTCCGGTGCCGGATTTAGAGCAAGATCATATTGAAAATGGCCAGGTAAAACTTACGATCTAAAGTAGTTGCCCAGCTGCTCGTCAGGACAACGTTTGATACTCCGGCCTTTAGAGCAGAAGCGAGCACGTTCAACGTCCCATTCCTTGCCATCTTCAGGGATTCAACGAAATGTCAACAAGGAAAGAGCAGAACCTTACCTGAAGAGATTCTTGTGGAGATTCCTTTCCCGCTAAGGGTGAAGCAGCATGGATGATATAGTCAACGTCTGAAACCATACATTGTTAGAACATATTGGGGGAAGTAAGCCCGGACATGGAGGAAGTTTAGTTACCTTTCAAAGCTCCAGAAAGATCTGACGTCGCAATGTCATCTATCTGCACTAGCGAGAAGTCCGGGTTGCCAGCGACAGGCGCAGCTCGGAGGGATTCTATCTTGGCTGGGCGTGCAGTCCTGGAGCAGGTAAGCTATCCGAATATACCGCGTACGGTTATAAACAAACCCGCGAACAGTATATCCCTCAGCCAGGAGCAAAGATATAATATGAGAGGCCAAAAATCCAGAAGCACCGGTCACCTTAAGAAAAGCACCGTTAACGGGGAGAGCCAACAGTGAACACGCTTGCTCACCAGAACGAGAGGTTTCGCCATATCTGCACTGGAAGAAACCCTGATGTTCCATCTTTTTAAATGTTGCTGAGCGCCAAATCAAGGACTGAGTGATGCAAGAAATCCCATCAGCGGATGGAGTCGCCGGGGTTGCCGGGGGTTGGGGGACCACGTCGGCCACATCCCGCTTCCGTAGGAGAGAAATCTCGGACGTAAGGAAAAGTAAGGAGAAGCAAAACGGAGTGTATTGCATGTACAATTAGTGGTTCAATATTAATTCCGGTTGATTCTGAGCCGGAGGACATCTCGCGATCACTAGATCCATACAGTAGCTGTCGGATCGGTTGAAGCCTTTGTCCGTTCACAGCTAGTGTCACTATGAGAAGATGATCCATCATCATACGACGCCTATGAGTCATATTCTCCTTACGATTCGTCATTCGAGTGTTCCACCGTAATGATAGACAGCTGCGCCGAAACTTCATCGTCTACGGTCGGCCTTGGCGAGTGAATATCCTCAACGATATGAGATATCAATAATGAAGCATGTCCGTTCTCTAAAAAACCTTCGTGTGTACGATAACTGTGGTCGAACGAAAGGCGCCTCTTGCCTGCCCAGTTTTGTTAGCGATTGAACTCGCATCATTGCGTTCGCACTCACATTGTACACGACTTGTCATAACAGACAGACGCCAGAGAGCGTATCAGCAGAGACCAGAGGAAGAGATGTATCGTTGACTACTTGGCGCCATCCTTTAACGCGTCGGAGAGAGCCTTGAGCGTGCCAACAGTTGAAAACGGCAAATTCAAGACATCCAATACTTCCGAACTTGATTCTGTGAGTTTTTCTTCTTCCAGAAGGTAATTTCTGAGCTCCTCGAGCAAAGGGAAGGCCCGAGAAGAGACGGTTGGGCATGACAAGCTGCCTCAAGCTGCGAGGGAATCGGAGAGTCAAGTAAACCTGCCAGGTGGGGCCATTCTGAGGAGAAGGGGACCGAAAAGCGGAAAGGCAGCATAACAATGTTTCTTTTATATTTTATTGCTATTCATAGAGCTGTCGAGAGGAAGACGGCCGTCGTAGTGGCAATGGAGCAAGTTCAAAACTGTATCGCTATGCGGGCCGGTAACCGAACCAGAATTCACGTGATCGCACATTCCGTGAGAAAGCCCCTTTTGCCTCGAGTCGGTCAGCCTCAAAGTTACCTTGATTGAAGCTAGTATCGCGCCTGAGCTGTTCGTGTTCACTTTGGTATCTTATCGTTGCTCATTTCCAATACGAGTATACCCTTCCCAGTACGCCAACCACAGCCAATACACCTGAGGTTGATGCCGACTTGAAGGGAATGGCCGACATTCTCACTCACAACATTGGCAGGGTAGCTCTGCTTACTCTACGACAGATACACCTATCTCACCTGCCGCCTTCTCTATCGCTGAGAAATATCAACAGTGGGAAAAACCTTGTATGGAATTGGCCTTAGTCTCCACCTTGCGTCACCGAAGGAGCTTGGGGCGACCTGGAGACCTAGTGTTGGGGAGATATCTTGGCACAAGTCAGAGTTTTGTTTGCCTTCCTCTGCACAGTTGGGTGCGTCGTAGATTTTACCTCTTAGTGCCTAGCTTACTGACAGGACTATATCAGATTCATTCGGGGTCTTCAAATAGTCAATCTTTGTCTACCTTGTCCTTCACCGACCTATGGACATCACTAGCGCTCGCATCCTTTTTCGCCCTTCTTTCCTCGCTATCATATGGAAGCTTGTGTCAACGTGCCATGAAGACACTTTCAATACCAACCGTACCTTATATTAGCAAGGTCCATAGTACTGGGCTGCGCACAGCGGCGGTTACACGACATTGATTGAAGACCGATCAGATCCTCAATTATCTTGTCAATGCTGGGAATCGGAAACTTCTGAAAACTGCATTACGTATGCCTTTGATGAGGAGTCGGATGGACACGCGGACCCGATTCCAGATGCACGCAGCTTCCGTCAAGTAGAGCCGATTTTTCGCTGGTTTTCTTCTGCGTTTTATAATCAGGGCATGCATAGGATCATCTGGTATGCTTGCTTCCACGCGTTATCTCTATAAACTGATCATTATTCAGGAGGAACTTCTCTATCTCTCGAAGGTTGAATAAAGTCTCTTCAATGGAACTCGGAAGGATGATCCGATATGGTATGCCTTGCACAGTTCATACTTCGTCGGACTGACCTAATACCAAGATACCAATCAGAATCCGAGGATCAAGACTGAAAGTCGCAGAAGAACCTTCGACACGTCACACCAGTAGCAGCCAGGACTCACGCTTTTGATACGTGCTTAGCGTAGTCTTGTAAGTGATTCTTTGATAGCTGTACCGCGAGACTGACCTCAGATCAGACCCACTTGATGAAGTTTGGTCCACGTACACTTAAATGGAAGGTGTCAACTGAAGGCAGCAACCAATGGATGCACTTCTGGATGCATATGCCAGAATCCACGTAGAACTTGTGACGAGACGCGTTCTCTTAGGATCATGCTGGCTTGATGCTTTTGCGTCTGACGCGTTTGTGGCGTGGGAACATAGGAATCCGAATGTTTGATCTCTGCCCTACTCTACGACTATCGCAAAGATTACGCTCGATTTAACGATCGAGGCGTCCCAACTGGAAGCTAGCTATCGCCGGACAATGGAAGCGTTTAGTTCGTGGTCTAACGAAGCCATTACACGTTTAGATTCGAGATGTCGTACTGTCCATATGCTTCACCACGGTGACAGCTATCGCTACTCGCAAATGGATATCGTTTAGCTTGTATCAAGTCAGTCTTATATACTGGGAATGAGGTCATAAAGTCTCATTTGTAACAGCCGCGCTCATAGCTTAATCGGAATCTAACAGTCTTCAACCCGAGTATGCTCCATGAATTTAGTGCGCCAATCCCATATGCGTTTCACCCTGCCTGTATTAACGTCCATCTGTAGGCCTTTACATCAACCACAACGAAAGGGCGACACGACCTGCGGTTTGACTGGATCCGAGTCTACAGACTCGACTGCAGCGTCGAAGATTTTGACTAGCCGGCATTTCCTGCAGTTGGTATGTGAATGATAGACCGGCCCTCTAATGCCTACTGACAACGACCAGGACCAGGATCCTCTGATTACCGGCGGAGTCTACTTCAATAGCCCTTCAGACACTGACCGTATCATGTTCGCTTCTGATGGCGATTACTGCGCGTATGTGTTTCGCTCTTTCCAGGCTCTTGGATCACAGACAGTTCTCTTTCAGTCTCATAACTTACAGCGAATGTCCTGGAATTCATTTTGTCATTCGCGATGGATAGTAGGCAAATCACGGAAGTTACGTGTATTAATACTGCCAAAGAGAACAATCCACTCCGCGGTGATTACTTAGATACAACGAAGGCTTTATTTAATGGATAATCTGGGAAAATGCAGAGTCCTCGCGAAGATGACGCCGAGCCTTGTACTCCAATCTGACTAACACCTTTGAGCCCTTCAATCCGAGCGAAGACGGGTGGGAAGGAGCATACAGCATACTTTCGGTTGCAAATCGGCACAGATCGTACAGTTTCCGGCATATTTCCTCGCGCCCAGTCAATGCTCTCACGGAGCCCTCGTCACTGAAAAAATCATGCAGACCCACAATAAAGTGCTCGATGATGTCGAGACATCGCGTAGTGCGCCAACAGTAGGTGCGAAATTCGAGAAATAGCTGAGGTAAGTTGTCCAATATATCCACTCGTGTCGACGATGTCCCAAGCCATTTCAATGTGCGAAGCAGCGGTTCAAGTCCACATGATCCTCTAAGATGATCAACCAGAGCAGCCTGGACGCTAACAATGGTTGCTTCGAGGAGGGCGAGATGACCTCTAGCAGATTGCGCGTTTAGTCGCATGGAGTGGTAATTTTGGACAATCCAGGACGCCGGTGGGGCTGGTTCTTCTAGAAGGCTCGCAAAGTAACTGATGACGGGCAGTATATCTAACCAAGCTTCGATAACCGGAATGAGGAAATCGACAACGGCATCACGGAGAGGCTCGAATATTGTCAGTGTTGCTTTCTCCTGAAAGGGAGTACAGATCGCAACTTGGGTTATTAGATAATTGGTGGAATGAAAGACTGAGTCCTCCATATCGCGGAGACCGTCAAGAGCATCGTGCATGGTAGGCAAACACTCTTCAGATGCTGCCTGCAAAGATCATCACTAAGCTGGAGCCATAGACGAGTATAAGACAAATGACCATACCCCAGCATCCTGCCAGTGCGAAGACATGAAATCCTCCGTGAATGCATTTTCTGGCTACCAGGGATGAGTTTGTAATTTGGTTAGGTGTCATTCAAGCGGTTACCTGGACCATGCTGGTGGCGGTAAATAAGTCAAGAGCAAGAGGCTCAGAAAAGGAGGCGCACTTGCTTACGTTATTCCCTACTTTCGTCTGATCAGTGATCATCCCACCAGAACAACATGCCATCTCTCCGTTGCATATCAAGTCTCCATATGGTAGGGAATCATCGAAAATGAATGCCTAGTTCCAAGGTGATTTCCGTGAACATTATCAAGCTCATGGAAAAACAAACAAGATAAAAAGTGGCAAGCGCGCCGCCGACTGAAAAACGCCGAGTTGGATCAGGTTCGACCGTGGTCGCCGTAACCCCGACCTTTTTTTCTTCTCGATCTTCTGATGGAATTAATTCTTCTATCTCTCGCAGTCCTTGATTTGGCGCTCAGCAGCACTTAAAAAGATGGAATATCAGGGTCGCTTCCAGTGCAGATATGGCAAAACCTCTTGTTCTGGTGAGCAACTGTGTCCACTGTTGGCTCTCCCCATTAACGGTGCTTTTCTCAAGGTGACTGGTGCTTCTGGATTTTTGGCCTCTCACATCATACCTTTGCTCCTGGCTGAGGGATACGCTGTTCGCAGGTCTGTTGATAGTTCGTGTGCTGTATATTCGGAAGGCTTATATGCTCCAGGACTGCACGCCCAGGCAAGATAGAATCCCTCCGGGCTGCGCCTGTCGCCGACAACCCGGACTTCTCGCTAGTGCAGATAGATGACATCGCGATGTCGGACCTTTCCGGCGCTCTGAAAGGTTTTTGAACTTTCTTCACATACGCGATTACTTGACCTAATTTTTCTAACAATGTACGGTTTCAGATGTCGACTACATCATCCATACTGCTTCACCCTTGGCGGGAAAGGCTTCTCCCCAAGAATCTCTTCAGGTAAGGTTCTGCTCTTCCATTGATGGCGTTTCGTTGAATTCCCTGAAGACGGCAAGGAATGGGACGTTGAATGTGCTCGCTTCTGCTCTAAAGGCCGGAATATCAAAGATGTCCTGACGAGCAGCTGGGGGACTACCCTAGATCGTAGGTTTTATTTGACCATTTTCAATGGTATCTTGTTCTGAATCCAGCGTCGGGCAGCATCTCTGGAGAAGACATATCAAGGAGTTGTTTTTAGTGAGAAAGGTTGGTGCCATCCATTTCTACTGCGCGAGATCTCTAAGATCATTCCCTTGGTAGATTGGGGTAGTGTGACGGAGGAAGAATTTCTTAGCGGCGGTCACAATCCGCTGTGGATTTATCTCGCTGCCAAGACTCTAGCTGAGAAAATGGCGTGGAAATTTGCCCAGGAGAACCCGACATTGGATCTAGCGACTAGTAAGTGTTGATTATACGAATGTCTTGCATTTATAATTCCTGTTTCTTATTTTTTTCAAAAAAGTCAATCCTCCATTCATAGATGGTCCAGTCAACGCACAGTTCCCCCCTGTAGCACCTGACAGGCTAGGTGCAAACAGAATGATTTATAGTTTGATATCCGGCGAATCTGGACGCCCTCTACCTGTCCAACTTCCCCCTTTCTACTGTGATGTTCGTGACGTGGCACGAGCCCATGTCAAGGCGCTTACCCTTAATCGTTTTGAACCCCCGGAGAAGAAGAGATTTCTCGTGTCAGGAGGTCACTTTACATGGAAGGAGGCTGTGGAGTATCTTGAGAAGAGCCGGCCTGACTTGAAGTCGCGGCTACCTTCCGTCACTGGCAGTTCATCCGAGCTTCCCGGAAAGTTATCATCGATCGACGTGACTCGAGCTCGGGACATTTTACACATGGAAGAATATATCGGATGGGAGAGTACCATTGGTGACACCATCTCTTCACTTCTTATCGCAGAAGAGATGTGGGCGCAGAACTAGAGGCTTTATATTAGCGGAACCAAATTACTTATACACAAAGCAGCCCAGGGCAGTGTAAACAAGACAGTCCCAACACCGTTCTTTGTTCAATCCAAGAGTTTCCTGCTTGTACGAATACGAACTACTATCGAACTATGACTCGGAGAGGACGAATACACTGATCCTGCCATATCAAAGTTAACGTTCATCAGACCCGGGATCTCTCATCACCCGGTCCAAGACAAGCTCAAGTCCCTCGCCTTTCAAACTATTCAGGGCATCCTTAGCCGCCTTATCAAGATCATAACTCCACTTCTGCCCCGACACAAGTAAAACTACCTTCGTGAGATGTGGCGCATCGGACGGGTGACGCAGTCGCGAAGCAACCATGTCCACAAATGCGGAATTGATGAAAGATATGTGAGTGCACCGGAGCTCATGCAGGTAAACACCAAGTTCTTGCAGAGATGGGACCATGGAGTGCTGAAGTGACCCGCCTACCAGACTGACCTCGCTCAATTGTGTCACAAGAGACTGCAGAATGGGGTCATAATCATCTACCCATTCGTTGTACTCAACGGTGAACTTCCGCAAGCCAGGCATGATCCGTATGATGTTCGCAAGGTTGTCGTCCAAGACCACATCAACAAGGTGTAATTGTGTTAGAGAACATCGCGATTGCAGAAGCATTTCGCGTAGTGCACCCAGCGCATCGTCAGGGCACCTTATTGTATCTTCAACGTCTCCCATACCTAGGTCCCACTCGGTGGCCAGCATGAATTTCTCCAGCGACGGTAGTATCAGGCTGCGCATAAAGTTTGGGGAAGCTGTCGAAAGTTGTTTAACCGATCTGGACATGACGCGGGGGAAGGATATTGGGGTGGAGATCTGGCAATACTCGTAATCGTTGTATGAGAATGAACGGAGTTTTGGAGCTGATTTGACCAGGTCGAGATATTGGAGGGTCAGCCGGTCTCCGCCAAATGGTCTTGCATCCAAGAAAGAGATGAGGTTGGTGGTTGGGAAACGGATGTCTGCGTCTGGGTGCATGCCTCTCAGATCAAGTCTCTCGAGTTTTGGAGCAACCTCGAAAGCACTTATATTTCTGGACTCCGGGTCCTCACCAGGACAATAGATGTACGCATTAATAAGTCCATTAATCTTTCCATGGATGAGAGAGTTGTGGAAGCAAGTATGGGTGGAGCACCATTTCGACCGCTCTCCATCGTTTTGAATGGGCAACCATCATATAAAAACATCGCTCCATTGCTTGGGCTATGTCATCCTTCTCCATCGAGTAGGGATGGTTGTACTCAAGATGGAAATCAAGGGGATGATTACGAGAACGTTCGAGGACGATCCTGAGTACTTCCAGTGCCGCGTCCGCTTTCAGAGACACTTTAGGCTTGCAGTAGTACGGGTTTTCTATCATCACCAAAACCTGGGCCATACGTTCTGGTCCAGGTCAGCCTTATCCGAGCGACAATACCAGCCAATGAAGATCTGAAGTGCTCTCTCAGATGCATTCCGATCTGTGCTTGTCTGGTTAGATCAATACAGACCTCTGTGGGATCTGCATTGTCTACTTGAGCAGGTAGAGAGCTGTGCAGAAGGGGTTGGAACGAGCAGAGATCCGAGCAGGCAATTTATAACTCTCCAATGCAGTCGATAATTATGGTCTCTGTACAGTTACAGAACTAAAGAGCAGAATATCCAAACAACCCATCTTCAAATGAGTCATCGTCTTCTTCAAGTTCATCTAGGTTGATCTCATCTTCGTCTTGCCATGAATCATCGTCGAGAGCATCTTCCCATAATATCCTAAAAAGGATTCAGTTAAGTTTCCGTGAATAAAAACTGGTGTCTTACCCAGTGCAAATTAGAAAGAGAGGAGAGATATGCAGAACGAGAGAAAGTCGGGAGGTAACTGGACTTCGAGGTTGAGAGTCGACAATGCGATGGTCTTGAATAGAGAGCAAGATCACGTGTATGGAATCGCGTCCCAAGTCGCGACACGTTACATGTAACGTATTGTCACGCTCGTCCTTCTTGCCTTTTACTCCATTCTCCTTCAAGTCGACCATGAAGCCTGCATCTCTCCCGGCACCTGTGAAGGGCAAAAAGGTCAAGATGACGACTCAACCTACCCCTACATCATCTTTCAACAAGACAAGATCGAAAAAGCCCAACAAAAAGCCAAGGAATCCGGTGAGGATAGCAACACCACCACCGTAGCAGCCTGTACATAGGCCCAACCATCCTCGCAAGCTCGTATCCTCTGACGATGAGGACGCCATCGCTATCCACCACCAACAGCAAGTATCCGAGGACGGGGAAGAGAATGACAGCGAGGCTGAAGAGACTGCAGAGAATCAAAACATGGATTAGAGTGAGTACCTGGCGCATATATCGATCTTTTTTACTGACTTGCGTGTAGAAATTTCCGATTTATGCACTCCTATACATACATCACCACGTTTCTCTTTCCGCGTTTCGAGTCGCATGTCAGCCAGCTTGAGGATATGACTTCTGATGATCCATTGAAGGCTGTCTTTGAGATTCTCACAGCGGTATTCACTTCTTTTTCTCACAAAAAAACCCACTGACCCTTGATAGATCAATGCAGGATCACGTAGTGGACGCTCGGATGATACAACCAAGATCAGCGATAACATCATACGCCTTTCAACGAAGGACCTTACTGAGGCGACGTTGCTCCTGACTCTCAAGAAGTATCAGCGTGGGTTCAACCACATCCACACGGGTCGCCTACTATGCCCTCAGCGGTGGCTGGATGACTTTGATGAAGATCCTGCGTATGTACAAGCTTTTCCCTCCTAGTTGCTCATTGATCTGGTACCTCTGGTTTAAAGAGCAATGATGGTGAAACTCCAGACCAAGCTAACAACACGATACCTACCATCATATCTGTACGATCCGGAGCTCATCGAGTCCACCGATCCTCGTAAGGGTTTCTTTTGGGGCCATACTTGCATCCGGGTTTGATCTCCTTGCTTAATTTGTGACTCATACTAAGCCTTTTCTCAGTCATTCCGTGCGATATTTCTGGGAAATGCGGAACACGATGCATCAGAACTGCATAACACTGTCAAAGGAAAGCTCAATCTCACAGTCGCATCGGAGGAGATGATTGTGTACGCAGCGGTACAGGTATGTGATGAATACTTTTTAGATTCATTCTCATCGTCTAATGCTAGGCACGGTTTGCATTATCGTCCTGTACCATGTGGGGAAATCAAAGTGACGGCTTCGACCTCGAGCAATACAATCACAAGCTAACAACAATTTTCATCGATTCCATCAATGAGGACGGCGATACATGGGCAAGAGATACTACAGTTGAATTCTACACTAGGTATGTCTCCACCGCTTCGTAAATCTGCTTACAAATTGTTGTCTCTCTTCAGCGTGATCTTGAAGCCAGAGACGGACGAAGACCAAGAACAGATCGACGACAACGACGACGAATCAATAATGAATCGAAACCGTGAAGCACGTATCAAAGAACGAGAACGAGCTGCTGCTGCCGCCGCTGATCAACAACTCGACGACGAAGACAGAACTTCTTGATGGCTTAGAAGGGTAAGGGTTTTCAAGTCGACTATAATTTCTTGCTAATAGATGGTGCTACTTAGCTTCGACTGGGCTGTGTTTCCGCTTGACCTGGTTTCTTTTGCTCGGGATGGACTATTGTACGACTCATTTGCTTCTTCTCGCTCTCTCGCTCTGGGTCACTGCGTAGTTGTATTCTTATATCTCTGCTCTCGTGGTACTGCTATGTAATGGTTTATAACGAATTGTAATATGCTTTATCAAATACGGCGCATCAACTGTAAGGGAATGGCTGGGAACAGGTTGCATTGCTTTGTATCTACCCAGTGCGCTCTCAGAACAGGTCTACCTAACTCGATCGAAGACTTGTAATAGCGGAAGAGATCATGAGAGAACACCGGGAACTCTATAGAGTATCCTTGATCTTGTGCTGATCACCCTCAGAACTGCGGACATGGAGGTCAAAGGTCTGCATCACCTGTCGTCGACTAGCAAGATCTGCTCAGATGGCCCAGATCGGATCAGAGGGACTCCATCGTGGATGATTGTATTGGTCTGACTGGGATCGCATGGCCCAGGTTTTGGCGATGATTGTTATGTTCGCCCATAGCTCCGGACAAAGTGTTTCAATAACATTTCTCCACGAGCTGCACACTTGGCCAAGATGCCATGGCCCTCCTCGGATTGCGAAGACGTTGAATCCATAAAGACGTCTTCCCAAGGTCATGGGGAGTCCGGATCCGTTATATTTCCACGCACGGCGTAGAATCTCCATCGTGATCTCTGAAGAAATACGACGAATTGGAGACAGGACTGTCTCGTAATCGTGTTTGAATGACAGGAGACGCGACATTCGAGACTCTACCGACGCGACGACACTGCGAAGCTGATCAAGGTCGCTCTGCAGCTCGGAGAGAGGCGTTTTCAGGCTCTCCAAAGACGCATTCAGCCGAGCAGACTGTAGAAGTGATGGCGCGTCGTTGGTGCGCAGAAGGGAGGCGACGTCAGGTGGATGGGTGAAGGTTGGTATCCAGTCATGTCTGGCTAGAATCTCCCCCAGAGCGACGGGATTAGATATCATTACAGCCTGAAATTGAAATTTCATTCAACTATTAGCATCACCGCAATAAAAGCACGTACAAGCTAAAATTGTCGAATTTTGTGGTACCTGGGGCTTTGTTTTGTAGATGGGATATAGTTCGAAGCGCGGAACAGATAAAGACAAGTCGCTCGCAGTAAGTAGTAGAGAGCAGAAATTTAAGTTGACGTGTGTTCGGAAACGTAATCGAATCCTTCGGTAGCGAACCGAGACTGACAACAGTAACCGCCTCGTTCTCACTACATCCAGTACATATGAGTACTTGGGTCGCATCAATCCAAGATCTGTCTCTGAAAATCTCTGGGACAGTGAAAAAAAAAATCTATAGAAGACTAGTGCATAGAATTAGAACTCGCGAACGTAGCAAAGGACTTGAAGGAGGGCAGAAAAAGGATACCGGCAAGTCCCGGGCCGATTCCCCTGATCGAACGTGGGCGAGATGTTTTTTCCGACCTTTAAACTCTATCCCTTACACCAGGCATCACGTCGTCGTCTTTCTGCAGCATGGACATATTCACTGGATTATTATATGGTGAGCGAAGGTCTAATAGTCAACGGTTAAGATAACTTTTGCCAGGAGGAAAACGGCGCTGCCAACAATGCCATGTCTTTACTAGCCTCGCGGGACGATGCCGGGGTGAGGGATGTCCTCCCTCCGCCTCACTTGATGTTGATCGTTTTATGTATGCCAAAGAAACCGCTAAGGGAAACTTGCCTTCTATGCAGAACTCACTAAGGCCCTCACCGACATGGAAACGTCGTTCTTTCATTCTGTGCACTACTTGATAACCCAGACTGTTGTTTGCGCTCCTTCGCTTGAGGACTCTCTCGATTCTCAAGTTCTTCCGTGACGTTGCTATCAACTGCCTTTCTCCGGTCCTCACAGTTTGTTCAGATATAGCGGTCTTGGATTACCTCGATTTACATATCGTACTCCCGTATCCCTCTTAGTATTTCACTGAGAAATACGACTCGATGCCATTGAGTACTTAATTCGTAAGGAACTTTTTTCCTCTTCTCGACGTGACCATTATGAGCATCGAGGATCCACTTATCGCCGAGCTACAAGGGTCATATGGGGTTGAATCTATCCTCCGTACCCTGAAATGGTTTCCTTGGTCGTCATCCACGCGGGTTGATTTCCTGGATGACCTGCCTCAGTTGATACGTGTATCCTACAGATACTGCCGAGACACTATGAAATGCACCAACACCATTGAAATATATCTCGTCTGTCTGCATCATCTTGTCCGGGAAAAATTTCATGTGGGAACTCTAAACAACTGCGAGGAAACCAGTGATGGCTTGCTCAAGCTCAGTAAGCATGCGAGAATATTTATCTATGCCACTCATTTCTGCAAATGCCAAGTTTGCGAATCCCACTTAATGTTACAGTTTACCGAACAAAATACTCGGCTGTACGTCGGCCTGTTATTTCCTCAATACAACTGACTACTTAGTAAGAAGTACAGGAGCTTCGCGTGCGTATGATAGACAGAGAGAATGAATATAATCCCGCCGTATCATTCATCAGATTCTGATAGCGGATCTTCGTCATTCAGATCGAAATCAAGCTCCAGTCCCTCGCTTTTCAAATTAATCAAGGCATTCTCAGACTCCTCATCAAGACCATAACTCCACCCCACTCCATTCACCAAAAGATTGAGCTTCGTGAGACGTGGCGCGTCGGACGGGCGACGCAGTCGCGAAGCAACCATATTTACAAACGTGGAATTGATGAATGAGACGTGGGTATACTCGATGGTATTCAAGTAAACGCCAAGTGTTTGTAGAAACGGGACCATGGAATGTTGACGTGACCCATCTACCAGGCTCAACTCGCTCATCTGTGCCACAAGAGATAGCATAACAGGATCATAAACATCTGGCACCCACTCGAAGAATTCGACGACAAATTCCTGCAAGCCAGGCATGAGTCGCATGATGCTCGCGAGGTTATTGTCCAAGACCACATCAACGAGGCATAATCGTGTTAGGGAACATTGCGATTGCGCAAGCATCTCGTGGAGTGCGCCCAGCGCACCTACAGGGCATTTTATCAACTCACCTCCCATGTCTAGGTCGTACATGGTTGTTAGTGTGACTTCCTTCAACGACGGTAGTACCAGGCTGCGCATAAAGCTTGGCGAAGATGTCGAAAGTTCTTCGATCGATTCGGACACGATTTTGTCGGGGATGGTAAACGGTATGGATATCAGACTACCACCATAGTCGTTATACGAAAATGAATGAAGCTTTGGAGACGATTTGACGATGTCGAGATATTCGAGGGTTCGCCGGTCTCCAGCAAATGGTCTTTCGTCAGAGAAAGACACAAGGTTGTTGGTCGGGAAAGAAATTCTGGCTCCTGGGTGCATGCCTTTGAGGTGCAATATTTCGAGTCTAGGGGCGATTTCAAAGGCATGGATGTCTCCGGACGGCGAGCCGCGAAAACAATCGAGGTACATGTCTCTGAGCCAATCAATATTTCCATGGATGAGGGAGAGTTGTGGAAGAAGGGATGGCGGAATCGCTATTTCGACTGCTCTCCATCGATTAGAATGGGAGACCATGATATGAAAACATCGTTCCATCGCCCGGGCTTCTCTTTCTCCCACCTTGGTACCGGAGTATCGAAAGTAAAAATGGAGAGGATGATTACGAGAGCGTTCCAGGACGATGCGTAGCATTTCCACCATGTCGACTTTCATAGGAACTTCACGCTCGTGGGAAAGTGGAATCGCCACTGTCATCGTAGCCCATAACTCCGGACAAAGCCTTTCAGTAACATTTCGCCATGAACTGCACACTTGGCCGAGATGCCACGGCCCCTCCCGGATAGTGAAGACGTTGAATCCAGAAAGGTGTCTTCCTCGTAGACAGTTGCTGAAAGTGTTGGTTTTCCATGCACGGCGTACGATCTCCATTGTGATCTCTGGGGGAACACGACGTATCGGAGACAAGGCTGTTTTATAGTCATTCTCGAATGATTGAAGACGCAACATGCGATCCTGCAGCGACGCGATAGCATTATGGAGCAAATAAAGGTCGCTCTGTATCTTAGCCAGAGGTGTCCTTAGACTCTCCAGAGATGCCTTCAGCCGAGCTGATTGTAGAGGCGATGGCCCTTCGTTGGTGCGGAAAAGTGCAAGGACGTCAGGTGGATGGGTAAAGGTGGATATCCAGTCATGTCTGGCCAAGATATCCTCCAGAGTGGGAGCAAATTGCATCACAACCTGAAATAGAAATACCAGTCACTACAGACGACTAGCCACGCAATAAAATCACGTACAAGCGTTTTATGGTACCTTTCGGACGCAAGGTATGGATAGTTCTACTACGAGTGGAACAGAAAACAATAAGTCGGTCGTGGTAGCAGAGGACAATAGTCAATAAAGAAGAACGGGGAAACTATTTTCAGGTCACGTTGCCACAGGTGGGCGCTTGAAACCTCTTGAAACGTAATGGAATCCTTCGGCGGCGACATGTATCGCGGTAAAAGGAGTCTGAGTTGTTTGCTGCTTATAGCCGACAGGCAGCAACGGAAGCAACAGTTGCGCGCAACGAGAATAAGAAACCGAGTCAATGGTCATGGAAACGAAGTGCTTTGAGAAGAATAGCTGCCAATTCTCGTCATTTACTTATTACCATCAAGCCCAAGCACGCCATACACAAACGACACAACTTTGAACGCATTTCTCCTCCTCCTACCAAAACCACGTCACTGATCGTCACCATTCGAACCACTTCTTGGTGTCATATGTTAGCGAAGCAGATATTTGTGTCTGCAGGCGCTGTAATTCTTCCTCTTTCCCTAAAAACTGAAGGAAGACCATATTAGTGATGGCGTGGGCTAAATATATAGGATACCATACCGATGATTGGAAAGACCATACGAAGTTCCTCATATCCTGCAGGTCAGATACCGGAACATCTTTTTCGGCTATATGAGTAAGGCACGCCTTCAAGTCGTTCCAGCCCCAAATGAATAGAAAGTGATGCATGTACAAGTTTTGGACGGCAAGAACGTATCTCTGCATGCGTTTAGACACGTCAAAACCTGAGACGAGATGAACGAGAGTCGGTTTCGAATGAGGACAAGAACGTACCCAAATACGCTATTGCTCCGATGGCTAAGGCGAGCCCAGCCTTAGAGATGATAAACCTCCAATGCCAAGGTAAAACCATAGCCAATAGGGTTGTACAGGCAAATAAAGCGATGGATACTTCTGCAAGGATCTTGGATACACAGGTAATGAATATAAGAAGTCTTCTGTTATCGAAATTCTGGTGGAGAGACGTTACTCAGTATAGGCTCAAGAATTATCGATTCATGACTAACCTTGTACTGTTGTTCGAGCCCCGTCCGATCTCTTAGTAAAGAAATCTCAGGTTTCAATTTTCGAGCTCATAATTTTACTTTGATTGCGGAACTTGGAGAAGTCCACGGTAGCCTGATCATAGAACCAGATACTACGAATGTCGTTCAACAATTTTCTGTAATCCAGAGGTGAGTCTTCTTGGTACCACTTGCTGAAGCGAACATAATTTTCGGCGGTGGACAATATCTGCTTGAGGTCCGAGCGGTAATGGCTACAAAGTATACGATCAGGCAAAGAAACATTTTGAGTAGAGCGATTTACTCACAATCCCACGAGACTACCATTCGACGTTTCGAGCATATGTAAAAGCTCTGCGTACGCAGATACTATCTCCTTGGAAGCGGAGTACGGTATAGGAGATTTTGAATGAAGGATTTCGGATAGATTCTTGTCCCAGCCCGTCCCTGCTGTGACCGTATTGTGGAAGGGAGACTCGTAGAAAGGTCGAGAAGTAGGGTCAAGAGGGAGTTTACTAGAAGTGGAGGAAGTCATCTAGGAAAGGTGAGATGGGTACAAGCAGAGTAAACAGTAATATATATTCCCAGACCCTGGTCTGAAGTCAGTAGGGCATGCGAAAAGCGCGCTGGAGACATGCTTACCTTTACACACTATCATCATACCAACATCAAGGTATCCATCATGTGCCCTTCTCTTTGCGACGGCGAGTTGCGATTGGCCACGAGTCAACCTCGATGGTAGCACAACTCAGGGCAAACCGCTGAGAATGCTTCTGAGGCCGAGCAAGCCGGCAATGATTGGGAGTTTTGGTGCCCAGCTCGATTTGGTCGGGGTCCATAGCAAAGACGTGTGGAGTCCGAGACAGGAGGTCCGTAGCGAACTTGATAAAGGCAGAAAGGGATAGAGGCGAGTATGAAATCGAATATGTCGAGGATCCAATAAGGTGTCGGGTACGGTCTTGCTCACTCTTACTCAGGCTTTCTGAGTTCTTAAATCGGATAAGAATGACATGCTGCAAACAGGTTTTCACGCACCCACTGCCTCGCCTTTCTCATTGTTGAGTTCTTTTGGGGTGGCAATCATTGTGATGTTCACCGTATACTGTCAGCTGAAATCGAACACCGTTTGAGTCTCTTGTCGCTTATGGAGCGCCATGAGCTTGCTGTCTTTCTCGCTCAGAAAATCCATGCGAAAAGGCGGGAACAGCGCAATTGAGTACGAGCAATGGTGGTGGGACCGAAGAAGGATGTCACGGTATCAGGGACGTGCTATGTAGACGTTCTTCTTCACCAGTGTCCCTCTGCTTCACTTGCAGACGTCGAAGATCCTTGCCCTTTGCGATCCGAAGCGACATATTAGGGACTTTCAGTCCCGAGCTCGAGGGCTGATTGTGCTGATGTTCCAAAAAGCTGATTGTTGATTATTCAAAAACCAGCTCTCGGAGTTGGTTTTCGAATAATCAGCCCGCTTGATTATTTCTGATTGTTTCTAAACAACATGTGATCACGTTGACAGATTCCGGAATTGTTGCCGAAGATCTTCGAGGATCCGAACCATCCGACTACCCGATTTGGGTGCATTATTTGGCTAAGGTGTTGCGGTCAAACTCAAATGACATCTGTAACGAAATAATCGGACGGTTGATTATTTCTTTCCTGTTTCTCGCTGATTTTTTGTCGTGGGGCTTTCAAAACAGAGGGCCTGATTATTCAAAGATCAGTTCAAAAAATAATCAGCACAATCAACCATAATCAACCCTCGAGCTCGGGACTGAAAGTCCCTATTGTATGTATCACGGTAAAAGGGGTCTGAGCCAGAATTTCAAATCCTAATCAGGCTCTCCCGGTTGTTTCCGAGTCCTTCTGCCGTACGAACACTTTGTTTCGGCAACAACGGCAACTGCGATTATCGTCTTGGGCTCCTTTTGTGATGTTATAGGACAGAGATATAAGCTACAGTCTTTCGAAATCCTTCTCAGCTATGCTCTTTCTCCATCCGAAGGGTAGGATATTATCACAAAGCATGGCATCAACACAACATAGTTCTCCTTCCACCTGGGTCGTTGGAATACTCTTATACCCTGGATGCGATGACTCTGATATTCCTTCCGAGCTTCAGTGAACATCTACAGTGGCCTTTAAATATTCACTACTTCGATGGAGCGACTCTAGCAGAACTTGATGATCTAGGATGATCCGATGGGAGGAATACCGACCGGCAGTGAAAACAAAGGTCTTCGGAGCCTTGTACGCACAACCAAAGTTTTCCTATTTGTTATAAGTGTCTGTTTGGATACTTCTAGCACCGACTTGTAAGTGCTGGTATCTACTTCACAGATGTACCATTTACGTAAAACGTCCATCAAACGGAACCATGTTTTTCAACTTCACGACAGGTGTACAAGTCACGGTTTCTCTGATCCTTGTTTTCCGTGGCCCAGGTCCTGGCGGCTCACTGCGCTAATCGCTTGCCTTCCCCCTCAATGGACCAGGACATTTGGACGGCACTAATATTTGAACACATGCTTCGCATATCGACACTCCTACAATTGTCTGTTCGGTTGACGTACTTTGAACGGCTGATCGTTGAGGGTCTTACTGATCGCGAGATCTCTTGTGTGGTCACACGAATGTGTGTCCAGGGCATATGTGACGGACTAGAAAAGGGAAGCTCCCCTGCTAGTCTGTTTGGCTCACTACTAGACGAATGGAAGTGCGATGTTAATGATCTGATGGACTGTTAACCTGGAATGCCTGGATGGCGTGTCGGTGTATGTAAGTTTAAGGTGTGTCGCTGTTTTTTTCTGATAGGTTTCTATTGGCTGATGGTCTGCTTCGTGCACCAGGAACATTGATATCTCCCACAATAGCCTTCCTTTTTGCGCCGCCTGAGAATTATGAAAGGCCTCAGGCAAGGCGTATTGAGAGGATTGAGCCTCTGATACACATTAGTGTCTCGTTTCTGTGTATTACCGCCACTATAGAATTATTTGTCGTTTACGCGCATTCTGTGGGGCGGACAGCGTGTTTTCCCAATGTGCGTTCATTGTGCCTTCGCGTATCTCCTTTGATTCAACGATTTAATTATGTTGCGCTTCTAATCTTCTGGTTTGTTGTATACCTATGTGTGGGAACATGGAAGACAATAACATCGTATATGCCCATGTTTTTACATGTTGATTTCTACAGACCTTCACATCGTTCACTTGTAACCAGTACTCATCCCGGCACTGCGTACTGATATGGGTAGGACCCGACTTTTACCTGTGCGACACCACCTTATGGCCTCCATCTTCTAGGAAGCTCCAATCCAGTCACTGTATACGACAAAAAAGAGCTAAAGATTAAGCTGGTAACACCCGGAGATTTCCTATATCAGCGTCCTCAAAAAGAGGGCCGAAGACAATTTCGCGGCAACAGCAAAAAACCTACGGTTGATGTTGAGAGAACAGTGGATGGGGAGCTGAATACTCAGGGACAGGCATTCAACCAACCTGTGAGTTCCCGCATTTTTTGATGTGCTCTATGGTTAAAATTGCAACCAGTGTCACAAATGCGAAGAGGCTGGTGTCCGAGGTGAAGCCCAAGCCTTAGACTCACCTCTGCATGACCTAGAGGCAGGGGGGCGCAGAGAGATTCTATGTCCTCGGTGCAAACACTGTGTTGCATCAGAAACATTCCCTTGCAATGCTTCGATGCATTGCTGGAATGAAGCAGGACCTGCTCATGGAAAGGATGGCACACGACAGCATGGCAATGAAGAAATTGACATGAACACCCTGGAGGTTTTACATGTCGGTGATGTGGCTAGCAGTCTGGGAAAGCGCAAGCGCACAGACCCTGCCAGTGATCCAGAACAGGAGGATGAAGACATTCAACCCATCACCACAGCACTGCAAAGTCTCCAGTATAGCATTCTAGACTTTGTCCAACAACTGCAGTCTCCTATCACTTCCCTGGAGCAGCCTGAGACAGTTGAGTCCCGTAACACTCTCCTGAAGCAGGAGAATTTCCTGCTGAAACAGGAAAATGCATGTCTCGTGCAAGCTGTTGTTGACCTGCGGGCAGGCAGGTCCGCATTGCAGGCTTATAGGGAGCCAGCAGCGCAGGAAGCCAACTTGGAGAATAGCAGTAGGAAGGAGGAGGTTGCGAAGAACAAAGACAATGATACACACCACAAGAAGAAAAGGCGACGCGTAGATGCTGTTTCAAACACGCTACATGGAAAAGGACTAGGGCATCTCAAACAAAATGATAAGTGACAAGAGTTCAAGAAAAAGAAGGGTAGATTGGTAAACAAGCTAACTTCATTCAACAACAGTACTGATCATACAACAGATAGAAACAATATCAGTCTCATACTTTATTGAGAAGGGTCGGCGCTGTTATTTAGTTCAGAAAATAATTAACATGAAGTCAACACCATTCTGTATTCCCTAGATACAACTGAATGACAGCGCTTCAATAATAGTAGTAAGAGTTTAAAGCTCGGCAAAGAGTCAGACACCGAAAGTTCTTCGATCGATGCGGGTGCGACGCGGCTGTAGGTAATGGTAAACGGTGTGGATACCAGGCCAACACCGTGGTCGTTATAAAATTGATGAAGCTTTGGAGCCAACTTGATGATGTCGAGATATTCGGGGGTCCGCCGGTCTCCAGGCTCCAGCAAATGGTCTTTCTTCGGAGAAAGAGACAACGTCGTTGGTCGGGAAAGGGATGTTGGCTTTTGGGTGTGCGCTCTTTTGAGGTACAGGGGCAATTTCAAAGCCGTGGATGCCTTCGGACTGAGGATCTGCACGGGAACAATAAACGTATATGTCTTTAAGCTAGTCAATCTTTCCACTGATGAGAGAGAGTTGTGGAAGAAGAGATGGTGGAATCGTTATTTCGAACCGCTGTCCATCGCTTGGAGTGGGCGACCATGATATGGGAAACGTCGTTCCATTGCTTGGGCTTCCCTTTCTCGTACCTCGGTGCCGTGGTACCCTAAGTAAAATGACAACCACCGGCATTTAATTATTACCAAGTTGATACCATCAAGACCAAGCACGCCATACGCAAGCAATACGACTTTGAACGTACTTCTCTTCCTACCAAAGCCACGTCACCCACCGTCACCATTCAAACCACTTCTTGGTGTCAGATGTTAGCGAAGCAGATATTTGCATCTGTAGGCGCTGTAACTCTTCCTCTTTCCCAAAAAACTGGAGGGAAACCATATTAATGATGACGTTGGCTAAATATAGGAATGTCATACCGATGATTGGAAAGACCATACGAAGTTCCTCATATCCTGCAGGTCAGATACCGGAACATCTTTTTCGGCTATATGAGTAAGGCATGCCTTCAAGTCGTTCCAGCCCCAAATGAATAGAAAGTGATGCATGTACAAGTTTTGGACGGCAAGAACGTATCTCTGCATGCGTTTAGACACGTCAAAGCCTGAGACGAGATGAACGAGAGTCGGTTTCGAATGAAGACGAGAACGTACCCAAATAAGCTATTGCTCCGATGGCTAAGGCGAGCCCAGCCTTAGAGATGATAAACCTCCAATGCCAGGGTAAAACCACAGCCAATAGGGTCGTAAAGGCGAATAAAGCGAGGGATACTTCTGCAAGGATCTTGGATACGCAGATAATGAATGCGAGAAGCCTTCTTTTATCGAAATCCTGGCAGAGAGACATTATTAAGTATAGACTCAAGAATTATCGATTCATAGCTGACCTTGTACCTTTGTTCGAGCTCCGCCCCATCTCTTAGTAGAGAAATCTCAGTTTCAATTTTCCAGCTCATGGTTTTACTTTGATTGCGGAACTTGGAGAAGTCCACGATATCCTGATTGGGACGGGACGGGACCCTACGAATTTCGTTCACCAATTCTCTGTAATCCACCGGCGAGTCTTCTCGGTACCACTTGCTGAAGCGAACATAGTTTTCGGCAGTGGACAATATCTGCTTGAGATCCGAGCGGTAATAGCTCCCAAGTGTACAGTCAGGCGAAGAAAGAGTTCGAATAGAGCGATTTACTCACAATCCCACGAAACTACCATCCGACGTCTCGAGTATATGTAAAAGCTCGGCGTATGCAGATGCTATCTCCTTAGACGCGGAGTACGGCATACGGAATTTCGAATGAAGGATTTCGGATAGATTCTTGTCCCAGCCCGTCCCTGCGGTGATCGTATTCTGGAAGGAGGCCTCATAGAAAGGTCCAGGAGTGGGGGCAAGAGGGGGTTTACTAGAAGTAGTCGAGGTAGTCATCTGGGAAAGGCGCGATGGGTAGCAGGCAGAGTAAACAGCAATATATATCCAAGACCTGGGTCTGAAGTCAGTAGGGCATGCGAAAGCGCGCTGGATACATGCTTACCTTTACACACTATCATCATACCAACATCAAGGTGTCCATCCTGTGCCCTTTCCCTTGCGACAGGCGAAATATGGATCCTGTTTAGTGTTCGAAGCGGCTCAGAACAACCTTGGTAGAAAGGAACGATATTTCAGAAAGGCTGAGCACGTGAGGGGTTGGTGACGTACAAAGTCCGGCTTGGCCAAAGTCTCAGAGAAAGGGCTTTTGAAGTCCAGATATGAACGACAGGCAGCACACGCTTTTGGCACTCACCCAACCACCGCCTAATCTAGTGTGGTTCTGGGAGATCACCGGTTGTAATTTCGTCCTTGTGGCAGCCTAGTAGATTGAGTGTCGTCCGAGCCGCTTGCCCGATTTGATAGAGCTCTTGTTTTTTGCTTTCTCCAGCGTTCCTTGTTCAAAAACATCCGATTTGACGATGAAAGAGACGGGAATAGGCATTTGAGTAGAGTTGAGCACGGGCCGTAGTGGTGGAGCAAGAGGACATAGTGGGCACGTGCTGGACTTTCTTTGCTCCCTCAGTCAGGGTCCCTCTCTGTCCCTTTGAACATCACTTACAGACATCAAGCATGCCTTGTTCTTTCGTGATTGCAGTTTTCGTGACACGTACAACAGTGACAACGCCGTGAGGTCGGGACTGCAAGTTTACAACGACTGCAGCCCTTTCCCTGTCGCATTACTACGATTTCTCGAGTCAGCAACCGGCACACGCCCGACAGCCAAACGACGCGAGCACCGGTCTCTGGCTGCTCAGTAAACTGCTCTATTATCATGGCTACGCATTCGAGCTTCGAGATACGACCTTGCTGCATCATCTGTTAACAACAACTGACTCTATTGTTCACTAGCCCAATGCTACCGTAACACTCTAGCCTCTTCATCTGCACCAAGGCTCTACATTTTCTTCAAATATTTGACCTATCTCGTTCTTGAGCTTGGGCGTCAATGACTGCTCTGTTGGATGCATCAGATTACAGCCACTTTAGCGCTCCCGGACGAAGATTCTCCATTCGCATGCGCCTTCGAGGATTACGTTGTTCTATGGGGCAAACATGTGGGTTTATAATCATCCATATATAACGACTGTCTGACGTCCACTATAGGCCGATACTGTGCGCTAGTTCACCAGAACTGGCCTGATGAAGACGACACATGGTTGATTTTCCAGCGTCGCCTTGTATTCCTTCAGGCTGTCGTTTTCGAATTCTACATGCATACATGTCGAGCTCCCAATAAAACTTGGAATGAAACATGTTTTAGGATTTTGCTGCTCAGGCTGACGCGTCTGTGGCGTGGGAACATATCCTGATTCTGCTCATCGCTCCAATTATATGCGCCGATACCTCCAATACTCAGTCACGAGCGCGACAAAATACAGTGAAATATTTTAAATCGGGACCGGCACATGCTAGCGGTACTTTCTGCGAGGTGTCTCAAACTTTCAACGCCAACCCTGATACTTACACTCGAAGGTGAGCTTTCTTCTCCTTCTCTTCTTCCCAACAAACGTATTCAACTTTGGTCTCGACGTAAGCATCTCGACCATCTGTGTCGACCAGACCCTTAACATCGGCGTCGGTGTCCCTGAAATCGCTGGTGTCTGCTTACACGCCCTCGGCTTCGGTAAGTGACGGAGCCCATCCATGTTTAGCTTGCTCGTGCAATCTCCAAACTCACTAGCATCTGTAAGCTTTAAGTTTTTTTATTTCGTACAACAATGTCAGCGCTGTCACCGTTAGACGAATGCTCGAGAAGGCAAATACACATCGGGAAATTGTCAAACGTATTTCCGCAACGACATGCCTCTCAGACCAAAGACACAGCATGCGAGAATTATACTACAGGTAGCATCCAGTGCCTCTGTTCTGTCTGGATACTTATGATCCAGTTACGAGGATAGGGATTGTAGCATGGTATACACTTCTCCTGGTCAAGGTCTGGACTTACAGGGATCGTCAACGTCGACTGGGTCGTAGCTACTCAGACTCTCGTCAGCAAACCATTCGCTTTAGCATTTTTCTATCCGTCTGTATCATTCACCCACGCTCGAAACGCTTACTTCTCCGCCTTCCCCTAGACTTGGAGGCTGGTGTACCAATTATTTTTGTTATTATCAATATCTCAAATATCGTTGCTACCCTTCTTTCGGTATCGCATAGAACCAAGTACATGGTACAATCTCTGGTATCTCTCGGCTCTCTTACTATTCGTTCCAGTGCCTTGGAAACGGCCTTCCTGTGGGTCTCCGCGGTGATACAAAACTCGGACGGAGCGCTCGGGAGAGGTGAAACATTGCTTGACGACGCCGTTATTCACGCGTAGTGCTCCCGACTCATCGTGCGTCAGTGAGAAGTATCGATAGCCTCCCAAGCTCTATACCCTCAGTCTGCTTCACTGGTCTCTCGCCAAGCTGGTTCTAAAGATCGCAGGAGCATCTGGAACCTACTTGCTATTTTTATCTGCAACTAATTAATCCTGGTTAGCTGAATTGCCGACTTGTATTGGCCACGACTGGTGCTTAAGGTCTTGGGACCTCCCACGCCAGTAGGGTCTATGGACTTTGTACCTGTTCGATTGCTAAGAGTCGGTCGTCTGATATGCCTTTCTCTGGTTTACTTTCTATTGCAACGGTGTAAGATGCCTCAAACCCGAGTTTCATCCCGCAATTGATAATGCCGAGTACGGTTTATCTGATATTCGTGCGATATGATGGCAGGCAGTTTGTAAACTAATTCTCTCGAGGAGCTCGCGTGACAGGAATCCACAGAAAGGTACGTTTGCTTCGGCTCCGCACTGTGGAGTCTCTTTTAACCTTGATATACAGGCCCGTTTCGCGGATAGATAGTAGTAGTTTAAACTAGACTCCTTGTACCAAGGTCGGTACCTTTCTGCTGGATAAACACCGTCGAGAAATAATGCCCCTCCAAAAGGTGAATGTATTCAGCCTCCAGGATTTTTTTGTTTTCAAATAGTGTACGACTTGAAGCCTGAAGACTGAGCTCGAAGCAGCATCTTAAATATCAGAGTCCGAGAGAATGGATTAAACCCGACCATCCGCGCGTTTGAGAATTATATCGGAATTCCAGGCTGGTCTATAAGCTAGGAATAAGGAATATGGTTGGTCGCAAATCGTCAGGGGTAGAAATAACTAGAACTACAATGGTTAGGACTGAGGGAAGGGTAAGAGACCTCCTCTAGATTATTTCAACATTCGGAAAGTTAACGGAAGATCAAAGTTTTTTCCTTCGCTAAGAACGGTCAAGGATCGTGTTCCCATTGCCCAGCGGAGCGGAAACTGGTTCTGAGAAACCTTTTCGAGAATTACGAGAGATCAGCATTTGTTTGTAGATGATGAGGCTAACCGTAAATGTTTACAGGCTACGGCTCATTGCCGTAGGCATTTGCGGGGGTTCAATACCTAGCAACAACTGTTACGCAAACTTGAACAGCGGGCCCACTGACATTTGCGATACGGGCGTGGTGTTCCTAAATCACTGGGCAATAACTAGTTCCAATGAACCGTTTTGAGGATGCCAAGATGTCAAGTGTCTGCCGATGGCAGTGTGTGCGTTGTGTTCTATGTGTGTTCAGTTGATGTGCTAGTCTCTAACTGGAGCGTGTTCTGAGCAAGCGGTCGAGTCTGACTAGTCATAAAATCAGGAAGGTCGTAGGAATTTTGAAGCTACTTGTCCATTTTTTGAAGTTGACATATATTGCGTTACTTCTCGTCTTTCAATGATATATCTACAAGTTCTTGCTCAATTTTGGCGACTTTAACTTTTCGACAGAAGACTATATGTGTTGAAAACCGATATTTAAATATTCTCATCCCTGCCATATCTGTATACAGGGCCACTCTTATTGATACCTGGTTGATATACGGCCCGCCGAGTCGGACGTTGCGTTTGGTCTCTGGAATTTCCCGTGTCCGTATTCTAAGCTAGCAAAAAAGATGGTCTCATGTTACATGGCCGATTCAATGGTAGGATGATGGAATAGGCCTGCGGAGGTTAGATTGGTGCAAACGATGTAAAATAAGTACTGAATGCTTATCTGATAATGAACCTGACAGCCGACAGCCAAAACAGGGAATCCCGACGGCTTTGGTCGTTTGAAGCCCCTAGAAATGTCGGAAACGGACCGAAAATTTACGGCACGTGAATACCTTGGCGGTTTACCACTAACTCGTTTTCGAGGGCGGAGGGCATGTATTCCACTTTTCTGGGTCCCCTCTGTCTGGTTCGCCCCGTTCTGGACATGTATATAACATCGGCCATTCCTCACCTTTACCCCAATATCAATGGTTATCACAGCTAGATCCCTCTTGAAGACCCTTTGGATTCACGGGAAAAAGCATACTGGCGTCGGGCTGGTATGTGCAGTAGCATATTTTGATCCGTGAGTACCCTCTTGTGAGATTATTCCCAGCACTGAACTGATGGCTCTGCAGGGGAAACTGGGGTGTCGACCTGCAAGCAGGCTCATCGTACGGCTATCGACTACTGTTTGTGGTCCTCCTCTCTGGACTGTTCGCCGTGTTCTTCCAGGTAGATGAATCCCTGTTGGACCGGAAATATGTGTTCTGATTTCCTTGACTAGGTGCTTTGTAGTCGACTTGGATGCGTTACTGGCCTTGACCTGGCTTCACACTGCCGGGTTATGTTATATCCTCGCCCAGTAACCCGGTACGCACTCCTGTACCCGCTTTATATCCTATCGGAGACTGCGATCATAGCGACGGACCTGGCGGAGCTGCTCGGGTCTGCCATTGCGCTATGCTTGCTCTTTCCTGCCCTCGAGATTTGGCACGGCGTACTCATCACCGCGTTCGACGTTCTCCTCATCCTTGCCCTGGGTGATCCGCTTCGCGGACGGCCTGTACGTATCTTTGAGGTGATCATCGCTGTCTTGGTGATTGCTGTGCTGATTTGCATGTGCATCATCATCGGCCGCGTGAACGTTCACTGGGGCAATGCTTTTCTTGGATATGTCCCGTCAAAGTACATCCTCAAGGACGGGGCACTGTATACGTCGGTGGGCATCATAGGAGCGACAGTCATGCCGCACAGTCTCTTTCTTGGCTCGGCATTGGCCTACACAGGACCGTGTATCAGATGCTCCGTTGTCTCTCGACGTGGAGAAGCCAGAGAGGCAGACATTCAAGCAACGACTCTGGTCCGTATTCCGCATCCCGCCCATGTCACCACCACAAACACCGGAGAACAATCCGCTTTCGTTTGTCAAGACGCATCTGTACCATGGCATTGCGGACGTCGTCATCTCCCTTCTTTGCTTCGCGGTTGTGATCAATTCCCTCATCCTCATTCTAGCAGGTGCTACCCTCCCTTCTGCTACTAATTCTGCTTCTCTATTCGACGCGTATGATCTCATTCGTGGTGCTGTCTCCCCCGCAGCTGCCACCCTTTTTGCCGTCGCACTCTTATTCTCCGGCCAATCTTCTTCCCTCATCGCTACGGTAGCAGGCCAGGCTGTGTCCGAGGGATTCCTTAACATTCGCCTGTCGCCAGTCTTTAGACGTCTCCTCACGAGGTTGATGTCCCTCATTCCGGCACTCACTGTCGCCGTGGCCGTAGGCAGAGACGGGATCGACACCCTCCTCGTTGCGTCCCAAGTCGTTCTGTCCATCGTCCTACCCTTCATCGTCTTTCCCCTCCTGTGGTTGACCAGCAATAAACGTGTCATGTCTGTGCAGGGTGAAGATGGGACCTCTGTTTGTTTTGGGAACCACATCATCGCTACCTTGTTTGGTGCGGCGGTCTGGCTTCTCGTTGTTGCAGCGAATGTTTATGTTCTTGTCAGTCTTGGTATGGGAACGTCATAAGAATCTTCTTGTAACTATAGTGTACTGATACGAACCGTTTCCTTCCGTCATTCGCGTTAGTCCAGAATAAGAAAACTGCACTTCCGGATCCTTGGCATGACGTTCAGTGGTTACCTTATTTTTATCTCCCTCGGCTTGGCGACAGTAGAAATTTCAGGAGTTCTGCGTTAGCATGTACCGTAATCGAATTCCCAAGGGGCATCGCGAGTCCGAAATTCGGCCTTAATTTCTGTTGACGCGTCTGTGGCGTGGGAACTCCACTCTCGGATCTTACGCTCATCCTTCTCGCCAACTTCCTTACACTACCAAGCCTCACGCTGGATGGGCCACTGTATTTTATTATTGTCCGACCGCTAATCCTGCTCCGCTGCTGAAGGCTCCCAATTACGTTCCAAACATACACCTGCGTCAACGCGACCTGAAAAGTTTCCTTTTTTTTTTTTTTACTTTCTTACATTCTTGTTCCTTGCTACTGCGACCGATTCATAGTTTTCCATTTTCCGCTCGTCGAAAAATTTGCTGTAACTCCTCGGACACTACAAAACACTTGTACGTACTGTTATTGCATTAATAATTGTCTGAGATTTCCATTTCAGGTTGTGATGCAATCTACTTCCATCACTCTGGAGGAAGTCTTGGCCAGACATGACTGGATATCAACCTGCGCCCATCCACATGACGTTGCTTCCCTTCTGCGCACCAACGATGCGCCATCACCTCTGCAATCAGCTCAGCTGAGGGCGTGTTTGAAGGGGATAAATACAGCTCTCACTGAGCTGCAGAGCGACCTTGCTTTGCTCCATAGTGTCGTCGCGTAGCTGCAGGCTCAAATGTCGCGTCTCCAATCACTCAAACACGATTATGAGACAGCACTGTCTCCACTACGTCGCATTCCCTCGAAGATCACGATGGAGATTCTACGCCGCTCGTGGAAGTATAATGAATTCGGGGGTATACCCAGGGGAAGGCGGCTTCCTGGGTTCAACGTCTTCACAATCCGAGAAGGGCCTTGGCACCTTGGCCAAGTGTGCAGCTCGTGGCGAAATGTTATTGAGACACTTTGTCCGGAGCTATGGGCGACCATGACAGTAGAGATTCCGTTCTCGATGTTTCTGAAAACGGATGCGGTGGAAATACTCAATGTCGTCCTTGATCGCTCCCGTAATTACCCCCTCGATTTTCATTTCGAGTACTACGGCACTAGGGTGGAAAGAAGAGCAGCCCAAGCGACGGAGAGATGTTTTCATATCATGGTCGCTCATTCAAAACGATGGCGAGCCGTTGAAATGACGATCCCTCCAGGGACATGTACCTCGATTGTTTTCGCGGCTCACCGTCCGGAGACATCCGTGCCTTTGAGATTGCCCCCGAACTCGAAAAACTGTACCTCAAAGGTATGCACCCAGAAGCCAGCGTCCCTTTCCCGACCAACAATCTTGTGTCTTTCTCCGATGAAAGGCCATTTGCTGGAGATCGGCAGACCCCCAAATATCTTGACATCATTAAATCGGCTCCAAAGCTTCATTCATTTTCGTATAACGACTACGGTGTTAGCCTGATATCCACACCGCTCAATATCCCTGGCAGCATCATGTCCGTATCGATCGAAGAGCTTTCGGCATCTTCGCCAAGCTTTATGAGCAGCCTTGTACTACCGTCGTTGAAGGACGTCACGCTAACCACCAAGTGAGATCTAGGCATGGGATAAAATGTGGTAAAATGTCCTGTAGGTGCGCTGGGCGCACTCCACGAGACTACGAGATGCTTGTGCAATCGCAATGTTCGCTAACGCACTTGTGCCTCGTTGATGTGGTCTTGGACAATAACCTCGCGAACATTATACCGCTCATGCCTAGCTTGCAGGAATTCGTCCTCGAATTCTACGAGTGGATACCAGATTTTTATGACCCCGTTATGCAGTCCGATCTTGTGACACAGATGAGTGCGGTGAGCCTGGTAGATGGGTCACATCAACATTCCATGGTACCGTTTCTGCCAGCACTTGGCATTTACCTACCTACCATCCAGTATACTCACGTCTCTGTCATCAATTCCTCGTTCGTGGGTATGGTAGCTTCGCGATTGCGCCGACCACATGACGTGTCACATCTCGTAAAGCTGGATCTATGGGTGATGGGGCGAGGATGGAGCTATGGGCTTGACAAGTGGGATGAGAATGCCATGAATCGTTTGAAAGACGAAGGTCTTGAACTTGATTTCTGTCTGTTTGATGGGGATCCGGTACCAGACTCTGATGAGCTTTGATATGGTGGTGGGATTGTATTTGGTCCTCTTGCGTTCTTACTAGTGTCGTTCAGCTATATCTGAAGAATGAAGAATGATGTTAGCTACCGTGCCGACTCGAGTCGCGTTCGACAAGTAGCTTTGAATTTATTGGCGCGACAACTTAGGTCAATAAAAAAAGCTCAGCAGCGCATAGGCTACGGCCCAGTGAAAGTTTGATTAATGCATATGTTGATCGTGTCGAAGATACTGAGGACTCTGGAATGCCCGCTGAGGGATCCCCACCCCCCTTGAACTGAAAGTAAAATATCCAGGCTGAAATGTTGGCGGCGACGCCACTGATGAGATCAGGGTATACAAAGTTAGGCTGCCTATTCTCACTTTCTTTCTTGAAGCTTTAAGAGACACAGCACAGCCTATGAACGAGGCAAAGGGATAGAAGTTTGCGTACATGGAGACACGAATCCTTCATGCATTAGTTAAGGGACTGGCAGGGACGAGGGAGATGCAAAGAATGACCAGCGTGATAATTCAAACATGAAATAGAAATACTACATAGTAAAGTGCTCACCAAACGTTCGGAACGAGTAGGAGATACAGATACATACTACAAAGATACCTTTGTCTGAGATTCAATATCGGGATGCCGTCGTAGACGTTGCCAAAAGCCCCGTAGCGACCCCACCAGTCGGCTGATCTTCATCCAGAGCTTGAGCTTCAATTGTAAGTGGCGAGACTTGCCACAGCACAGTTGGCCCGGGCTCAGGACTAAGTCCATAGTCTCCCACACAACCTCCATCAACAAATCCCCTAGACTCCTCGATGGTACTCGCATGGTCCTTTGTGAAATTCGGCTGTTCAAAGTCCTCGGGAACAGAATCCACATCCTTCAAATACTCAGACCAAACAGGGTCCAGGTCGTCTCTATGAAGTAGCGCGAGACGGCGAAGGTAGTAGGGTTCATCACATAGAATGTAAATCACTCAAACGGCGAGGAGGTTCGGAGGCTGGAAGAGGTATGTCCTGGCCCAATGAAAGATCCCATGGTCCAATGCGTCAGATTTGAGAACAGTGATGAAGGCATCCAAGACTGTTTGCAGTGATACACGGGACCGTTCCCATCTTCGTAGTATGAGTCTCAACGCTGCACCGTGTAAACTGGTTATCCTGTAAGAAGACGCTCTGAAACAACATAAACAAAGACTTCATTTACGACGGGAGCGAACTGGAAGAAATAGAGAATGAGTTGAAGTTCGGCTGAAGCATCATGGGCAAGGGAGTCTTCATGTTGAGATGTCGATGGATGATCCTGGAAAGCAACCTAGACAAATTTGGAAGCCATGACTGGTGTACACCAGTCTTCCAGAAGAAACTGAGGGAGGCGGGACGTGGATCCGAGCGTTTGAAGAAAGAGCAGCAATGCGATATACTGATCTTTGCTTCGCATCCAGGCGTCACCAAATTCGTCGGAGGAAACTAACGAATACAGGACCTTCAATACCGCGTGCCGATTGCGATCCAGTTCGAAAGAAGGGATATTGCCACCCAATACAGGGTCGTTATACAACCGTAATGAACCGACGCCCATGTACATTCCGATGTGTCGAATAACCATGATGAAAAGGCTATCCGAAGGATAAGTGATGGCTACCCTTTGGACAGAACGCGAGGCGGCCATCGTCAACAGCATGTATAATCGTGGATCTGGAGGTGGGGGGAATTCATCGGTGGGATCAACAACGTCGGTAGCACCTCTGAAACGCTGGTAAATGGCATTGGCGACATAGGGATACAGATAAGAATCAATAGCCGACAGAAGAGATACTGCACCATCTCTTAAATGAGAGGGCAAACAAATCTTCAATCCGTTTTTTGCCGAGAAGAGAGGTGGGGGGACATAGTCGGCTTGCCAATAGCACGAGGGAATGGCATGAAATAAAGGCTGTATCAGGCTATCTTCGGGATCAGAGGATACGAGTCTCCGGAGCAGGTGTCCCCATACAATGGGCTGCAGAGCAAGCCGCTCTGGTGATATTCTGACCTCGGCTTTCACTAGATGTCGGATTGTGGGGATACATTTGGGATAGCCTGGGATAGGCCACGACAGCTAGAAACCTCTGCATAGACATCCTGGGGCCAGTGTTCGTGTCCCGCTTCTGCGTCTAGGAGAGTCCAGGCCAGCCCGCGTCGTTCACCATCCAAGACAAGACGAAGGCTTGCACGAGCAAAGCGATCAGCGATGCCTTCCGGCCAAGGATGACGGCCCATCTGCCAGATGAGGGTCTCGCACATGTCCGAAATACCTTTTGCGCGTTGCTTTAGAGGCTCTATGGACGGGAGTGGTAGGGCACTGGCTGATTGTACGACGATGCTCTGTACGCTGGGGTTGGTGGACATGTTGAAGAGCCAGGCCAATGCGTGTACGTCCATTTCATCCGCACTGACCTCCACAGCCGCACGTTCAGCGTCTCGGAGTGTTCTGATGGAAGACGACTCCGGCAGCTCATCCTGAGACTCGTCCGTCTGAACAGGAGACGGTGGTACCCAAAGCCTGGAGATCGCAGATACGAAGAAGGGATGACGGGTGAGGTACGTATAGAGGAGGAAGGCATATTGCGACAGTGGTGTCTTGTACGAACACGAAGGGTACCAAATCGGAAGGAGGTTGGTGACAAAGTACGCGGCGAATGACATAAAACTGATGGCTCCGACGACGGATGCGATCGACAGTTGTAGCGGGACAAGGAAGATAACCAAACCGACTAGAAACACACCAAGCGATACGCTCAGGAGCACGGATAACAACCCAATGATGAAACCCACACCCCACTTCTGCAGCCCCATATACCAGAATTGACGTATGTGGCATCGTTCCCGGGGTGTCCCTGATGAAGCCGCCATGTACTGGTGTATCCACTGTTTTGTCAGGACGGCGAATAAGGCGGTAGCGAGACTGAATGAGAGAGAGGTAAACCACAGGCCGTTTACCCAGATATCAGATGTCATGGGGCGAAAGCTGGAGAAGGGAGTGAGGTCTGAGCGAGGAACGTTGTTCACGCTGAGGGAACCGTTGGCTGCTGCACGCGTGACGTCGATGAGTTCGAACAGAAGGGATGCAGTGACTTGACTGTAGTTGGCTTGAAGGCTCTGGGATGTCTGTGCGACGAAGGTAGTGACTACAGCAGAGAAAAGACCAGCCTGTATAAGTATGAGTAAGCAAAATGATGGACTCGTGAATAAGTATCGCACTCACAAAAACCAGCAAAACATCTAATCCATCCCTCCATCCTTCTGCCATCTCGGCGTCAAATCCAGCACATTCTTCGAGATATGTTTGCCATATCCTGGCCAGTGGACTCAGCTCCTCGTGCTGTTTATCTTCTGGGAATTTCTTTTCGTAGTCAAATGGGACATTACCTTCACTCTGAATGAGATATGCAGCAGGGGCAACGATAGATACACGCACCTCCGGCCTGGATTTCGTGTTGCGGTATGCCAAAGACATTGTGGATCGACTTCCTCTGTCGTCTCGGGGAATAATCTGTTGAGGTCTCTGCTGGCTGCTGTACATCGAGCTCAGAATCAACTGCCAGATTATCGATATCATTCGGCGGTGTTTGTGGCTCGTCATCTCCATCTTGTGCAGCCTTGATGGAAGGCATGGTTATCGAGTATTGTGGGGGACAAAGACGTTGACAGACAGCGCAGCCTCAGGGCCGTTATCGTTATGTTGAGGGAGTGTTGGGATGTAGCACTCGCGACGTTGATTCTGCAAGGAGGTTGTGGCTTGCTTGACACGTCGTCGCTTTGAGGGAGCCCTGCTTGTAGATAGACACGATCCTGCTGAGATGAGCAATGGCACCGTGGCTCGAAGACCTGGCAATTCACATTAGCTAGGCGTTGATGACCAAGATAGACTATTTGGTCCACAAACAAAGCAAAGTTGTTCCTCTCACCTTAGGTTCGGAGCAAGCCCGCTCCGTGCCGTGCCGGCAACCTCGCATGAGGCTCGCCCGAAAATATCCACAACAAACATAAACAGAGCCAAAGCGAAAGGGGCTTGGAACGAACCTACTCTCACCTTACCTCCGCGCTCCCTCTTTTTTATCTCGTCGTGTTTCGCCCCTCGACCAATTCCAACACAATATGGAACCTCAGTGACGGTGGGCTTGGCTCGGGAATGGGAGAAGGCGTGAAAGATTCCCAGCAAAGGTCACTCATGTACCGAGTGATTACTTTTAACATGAACTTTCGTCTTCGTATTCCATCCAGTCATGGTGACGTCTCTCCTGGAAGGACGGCTGCTGCCTGCCCAGCCAACAAGCAAGCGTCTTTTGCCACGAGACGATGTATACGAACGGGCGCACAACACCTGGCCTCGACGTCAATTACCGGGTACTAACCACTTACAAGCACAAGGACAGCATCACTGGCGGGAATCTCATCTAACAGGGCATTGACCACCTCCTGACACGAGGACAATTTAACGAACTGAGACCGACTACCAGAAAATGGAGAACATACCTTGAATTGATGCCGAGATGATGAAGGATTGGATATTTTTGCTGGTCGTCGTGAGTACCCAAGGTGGATTCTCTCGCATGCTGAAATTCTCACCTTTCTCGCATAGTATTACGAACAACTCAAGTCTTCTACGACACGGCATGACACATTTGGGTTCTTAAGCTCAGAAATAGGGTGCATCTCCACCCGCTGGCATGTGTTGTGAGTCAAATGAGACTTGCACCGTAACTCTGCTAATGGATTCCAGACTTCTTCACACCGGGGAGCTCGCACGTAGTACAGACGATATTGGATGTACGTGCACCACAGGTCTCTTGCTCTCTATGAATGACCTCGTTTATTTAGATGCTCACGTTTACGGGGCTTTCAATCTGGTGTATGCGAAGGGCATGACAGGTGTGTTGGCTTTCAATCTGTTCCTTCCTGGCTTATCCCGCCTCTAAGTTGGACCCGTTGTTGGTGGTGAGACGAGGTAATCGAATCCACCGCCATCCCAGATGTATGACCACATCACTAGCAGATGGCTGGCAATATGTTTGTTAGTGGTCGGATTACTCGGGCTGTCCGACCAAGAGATGTTCCCACGCCACAGACGCGTCAGGCGCCGGGAAGGCCAAGCAGTGTAATCCTGGAGAAAACAAATTTTATCTCAAGTTTCATTGGAAGTTCGACTTATACAGAGAGTTTGAGCTCGACAGGGAGGAATACATGGCGACGCTGCAAAATCAGATACATGTATCCATCATCCTCATCGGCCAGCTCGCCTGGTGAACTGTGAGTATAGTGCACAGTATCGGCCTATGCAACGTTAGCAGTCGCTAGGTATAGACGTGAAAGCAGGGCTTAGATGGAACGTAACCTTCGAAGTCGCATGCGGATGGTGAATCTCGGTCTGGGAGTGTTACGTCGGATGGTGTTTGAGTTATCCAACAGAGCAGTCACTGATGCTCAAAAGCGAGACAGAACGAATATTCGAGGGAAAGTGTAGATGAGAAGCCGAGAGTGTTACAGTAATATCGGGCTGGTCAGCAACGAAAGAGTCAGCTGTCAGTAACAGATGATGCAGCGAGGACATACCTCAGAGCTCCGATGTTTGGACTGGTCACAGAACATTCTACTAAGCAGCGGCAAGTACACTTGTTAATAGGCTGTCGTGACTCGTTATGCAAGTCGCCGCAGAAAAGGGAAAAGGGCCGTAAGGAAACCGTAGCAGTCGATTCGTAGTCTTCAAGACCTGGCCCCGTGGGCCCATCGTATTGTGTTGACACAAAAAGGCTGTAACTATCGCAAAGGGGTGAGAATCCTCAACGTCAGCAAGTGAATCGGAAGGATGCAGAGGGACACTGGTGAAGAAGCAGAAGAAAGTCTAACACGTGCCCGATAAATCCTCTTGCTTCAGTACCACCACCACTGCCCGTACTCCATGGCGTTATTCCCGCCTTTTCTCATGGATTTTCTGAACAACAGAGACAACAAGCGAAAGGTGGTCCATCAGCGACAAGAGACTCAAATGGTGTTCGATTTTAGCTAGCAGTATACGGTGAACATCGCAATGATTGCCACCCCAAAAGAACTCAGCACTGAGAAAGGCGAGGCAGTGGGTACGTGAAAACATGTTTGCAGCATGGCATGTCGTTCTTATCTGATTTCAAAACTCAGAAAGCCTGAGTAAGAGCGAGCAAGATGATACCTGACATCTTATCCTCGACATATGATTTCGTTCTCTTCGTCGCCTCTACCCTTTTCTGCCTTTACAGGTTCACCACACTCCGACTCATCACACCTTTGCCGGCCAAGTCGAGCTGGGTGCCAAGTATTTTCCCACATTCTGAGCCCCAGAAGCATCATTCTCTGAGTCAGCCGTTTGCTCTGAGTCTGAATTGTGCTGCTATTGAGGTTGACTTTTGGCCAATCACAATTTACCGTCTCAAAGAGAAGGGCACACGATGGGCACTTCGATGCCGGAACTGTGCTGGCATGGTAATAGTGTGAACAGGTAAGCGTGTTTCCAGTGCGCCATTCGCATGCCCTACTAACTTCAGATCAGGGTCCGGGAATATATATTGCCGTCTACAGTACTTCCGATGTACCCGTCACGCCTCTCCCCAGATGACTTCCTTGCCTACCTCTAGTAAACCCACTCTTGACCCTACCTCTGAACCTTTCTACGAGGCTCCCTTCCAGACTACGATCACGGCAGGAACGGGCTGGGACAAGAATCTATACAAAATTCTTCATTCGAAATCTCCCATGCCATATTCCGCGTACAAGGAAATAGTATCCGCGTATGCAGAGCTTCTACGCATGCTCGAAACATCGAATGGCAGTCTTGTGGGACTGTGAGTGAAATGCTTCATTCAAATCCTTTGTTCATCCGACCATACAATTTGGAGTCATTATCGCTCGGATCTCAAGCAGATACTATCCACTGCCGAAAATTATGTTCGCTACAGCGAGTGGGACGCAGAAAACACGATCGGAGCATTGTCCAGTTACGTTCATTATTCAATCCCCCGCGGTCAAGATACCGTGGACTTCTCGAAGTTCCGCCATCAATGTAAAATCCTGGGTTCGAAAATTGAGACCGAGATTCTCCTGCTAAGAGATGGAACTGGGCTCGAACAACAGTATGAAGTAAGCTATGAATCAACAATCCTTGAGCCTATAATAATGTTCCTCCAACCTACAGAACTTCGATAACAGGAGACTTCTTGGGTTCATTACCCGTGTATCCAAGATCCTTGCTCAAGTATCCATCGTTGTATTTACTTGTATGATCCTATTGGCCGTTGTTTTACCCTGGCATTGGAATTTCATTATGTATAAGGCTGGGTTTGCCTTGGCCATTGGAGCACTAGCGTATTTGGGTACGTTCTCGTTTTTATTCGAAACCAACACTTAGTCATATCATCTCAGGATTTGATGTGTCCAAACGCATGCAGAGATATGTTCTCGCTGTCCAAACACTGTACATGCATTATTTTCTACTCATCTGGGGCTGGAACGACATCAAGGCGATGTTAAACCGTATAGCCGAATCAGAGGGTCCGTTATCTGGCATGCAGGGTGTGCATTCTTCCTTACAGGCTTTCCAACAATCGGTATGACATCCTACATTTAGCCCACGTCATTATTGATGCGGTTTTCCATTAGTTTTTAGGGCAAGACGGAGAATTACAGCGCCTGCAGATGCAAATCTCTGCTTCGCTAACATATGACACCGAGAAGTAGTCTGAATGGTGTTGTGATTATGATAGGAGTATGTATGATCAAAGTTGTGTCGTCTGCGCATGGTCTTCTTGGTCTTGATAATATCGACTTGGTAAGAAGCAAACGACGGTGGCTGGCAGTTGCTGTTCTCAAGACACTTCATATCGATGACTCGATTCCCTTTTTTCCGTTGTGATATCTAAGTACAGATGAGTTGAACGTTAAAAACCGGGATGTTTCTGTCCGAAATGTTGCTTCCATCGCTGCGCGCGAGCTATGAACAACAAACAGCTCAGACCTCTTTTACCGGGATACACGTCGCAGCCAGAGGATTCCGTTACGTTTCCGATTCAAATGTACACTTTGACCCAGTGCGGCATCCAATAGAAAGCCGTTATTGATGTTACAAAGTTCATTGTTCAGCAAGATGGAAATAATCCAAGGAAAGATATAGTCTTGCAAATGAAAGATGAGAGCAATGATATTAGCTGCAAATTTAGCTGCAAATAGCCAATGAGTCAAGTTGGGGTCGCCCTGACGCGTCTGTGGCGTGGGAAGTCCACTCGGTTTGTCCTCTGCTAATGTGACCGACTCATCGTTTTCCGTTCCGCTATCTATATATCCCATCAAAGAACAAATCTTGTTGACTCCTCAGATGCGACAAAAAATTATGTATGTGCTATGTCCTTTCACGACAGTAATGCTAAGAGTTGACTGAGATTTCCACTTCTTGAAGTTTAGGTTGTGATGCAATCTACTCTCGTATTAAAAGCTGTTATTGACGTTCACCAGACTCGGTAGGAAGATCGGAGTTGTACAGTGAACAATTCAGCGAAAACCTAAGAAAATAGCAAGTCCGGGGCTATTAGAAGATGACAACGCCAATGATGCGAATATGATTCAAAGAGGGTCCACTCGACTTGTCATCATCGTTGCCGAACAGGGAGACAGCAGGAGGATCCACGGTGAGAGCCTGACCGGATTTGGAACTTACTAGCAGGGACGAGGGAGATGCAAAGAATGACCAGCGTGATAATTCAAACATGAAATAGAAATACTACATAGTAAAGTGCTCACCAAACGTTCGGAACGAGTAGGAGATACAGATACATACTACAAAGATACCTTTATCTGAGATTCAATATCGGGATGCCGTCGTAGACGTTGCCAAAAGCCCCGTAGCGACCCCACCGTCGGCTGATCTTCATCCAGAGCTTGAGTTTCAAGTGGCGAGATTTGCAGCGGCACAGTTGGCCCGGCCTCAGGACTAAGTCCATAGTCTCCCACACAACTTCCATCAACAAATGCCCTAAAGTCCTCGGCGACAGTATCCAGATCCTTCAAATACTCGGACCAAGCAGCGTTCAAGTCGTCTCTATGAAGTAGCGCGAGACGGCGAAGATAGTAGGGTTCATCACATAGAACGTAAATCACCCAAACGGCGAGGAGGTTCGCAAGCTGGAAGAGGTATACCCCGGCCCAATGGAAGATCCCACGGTCCAATGCATCAGATTTGAGACCAGTGATAAAGGCACCTAAGACTGTTTGCAGCGATACCCGGGATCGGTCCCATCTTTGTAAGATGAGTCTCAACACTGCACCTCGTAAACTGGTTATGCTTTCAAGAAGACGCTCCGAAACAACATAAGCAAAAGCTTCATTTATGACGGGAGCGAACTGGAAGAAATAGAGAATGAGTTGAAGTTCAGCTGAAGCATCATGGGCAAGGGAGTCTTCATGTTGAGATGTCAATGGATGATCCTGGAAAGCAATCCAGACAAAGTTGGAAGCCATGACTGGTGTACACCAGTCCTCCGGAAGAAACTGAGGGGGGCGGGACGTGGATTCGAGCGTTTGAAGGAAGAGCAGCAATGCGATACACTGATCTTTGCTTCGCATCCAGGTGTCACCAAATTCGTAGGAGGAAACCAACGGATACAGGACTTTCAATACCGCGTGCCGATTGGGATCCAATTCGAAAGAAGGCATATTGCCCCCCAATACAGGGTCGTTATACAACCGTAATGAACTGACGCCCATGTACATTCCGATGTGTCGAATAACCATGATGAAAAGGCTATCAATCGAAGGATCAGCGACGGCTACCCTGTGGACAGAACGTGAGGCGGCCATCGTCAACAGCATGTGTAATCGCGGATCCGGAGGTGCAGGGAATTCATCGGTGGGATCAGCAATGTCCGTGGTACCTCTGAAACGCTGATAGATAGCATCGGCGACATAGGGATACAGGTAAGAATCAATAGCCGACAGAAGAGATACTGCACCATCTCTTAAATGAGAGGGCAAACAGATCTTCAATCCGTTTCTTGCCGAGAAGATAGGTGGGGGGACGTAGTCGGCTCGCCAGTAGCGCGATGGAATGGCATGAAATAAAGGTTGGATCAGGGCATCTTCCGGATCAGAGGATATGAGTCTCCGGAGCAGGTGTCCCCATACAATGGGCTGCAGAGCAAGCGGCCCTGGTGATATTCTGAGCTCGGCTTTCGCTAGATATCGGATTGTGGGGATACATTTGGGATAGCCTGGGTAGGCCACAACAGCTAAAACCTCTGCATAGACATCCTGGGGCCAGTGTTCGTGTCCCGCTTCTGCGTCTAGGAGAGTCCAGGCCAGCCCGCGTCGTTCACCATCCAAGACAAGACGAAGGCTTGCACGAGCAAAGCGATCAGTGATGCCTTCCGGCCAAGGATGACGGCCCATCTACCAGATGAGGGTCTTGCACATGTCCGAAATTCCTTTTGCGCGTTGCTTTAGAGGCTCTATGGACGGAAGTGGTAGGGCACTGGTTGATTGTACGACGATGCTCTGCACGCTGGGGCTGGTCGACATGTTGAAGAGCCAGGCCAATGCGTGTACGTCCATCTCATCCGCACTGACCTCCACAGCTGCAAGTTCAGCGTCTCGGAGTGTTCTGATGGAAGACGACACCGGCAGCTCATCTTGAGACTCGTCCGTTTGAACAGAAGGCGGAGGTACCCAAAGTCTGGAGATCGCAGATACGAAGAAGGGATGACGGGTGAGGTACGTATAGAGGAGGAAGGCATATTGCGACAGTGGTGTCTTGTACGAACACGAAGGGTACCAAATCGGAAGGAGGTTGGTGACAAAGTACGCCGTGAATGACATAAAACTGATGGCTCCGACAACGGATGCGATCGACACTTGTAACGGGACAAGGAAGATAACCAAACCGACTAGAAACACACAAAGCGATACGCTCAGGAGCACGGGTAACAACCCAATGATGAAACCCACACCCCACTTCTGCAGCCCCATATACCAGAATTGACGTACATGGCATTGTTCCCGGGGTGTCCCTGATGAAGCAGCCATGTACTGATGTATCCACTGTTTTGTCAGGACGGCGAATAATGCGGTAGCGAGGCTGAATGAGAGAGAGGTGAACCACAGGCCGTTTACCCAGATATCAGATGTCGTGGGGCGAAAGCTGGAGAAGGGAGTGAGGTCTGAGCGAGGAACGTTGTTCACACTGAGGGAGCCATTGGCCGCTGCACGCGTGACGTCGATGAGTTCGAACAGAAGGGATGCAGTCACTTGGCTGTAGTTGGCTTGAAGGCTCTGGGACGTCCGTACGACGAAGGTAGTGACTACAGCAGAGAAAAGACCAGCCTGTATAAGTATGAGTAAGCAAAATGATGGACTCGTGAATAAGATCGCACTCACGAAAACCAGCAAAACATCTAATCCATCCCTCCATCCTTCTGCCATCTCGGCGTCAAATCCAGCACATTCTTCGAGGTATGTTCGCCATATCCCGGCCAGTGGACCCAGCTCATCGTACTGCTTATCTTCTGGGAATTTCTTTTCGTAGTCAAATGGGTCATTACCTTCACTCTGAATGAGAAATGCAGCAAGCACAACGATAGATACACGCACCTCCAGCCTGGATTTCATGTTGCGGTATGCCAAAGACATTGTGAATCGACTTTCTCTGTCGTTTCGGAGAATAGTCTGTTGATATCTCCGCTAGCTGCTGAGCCTCGAGCTCTGGCTGGGAATCGACTGCAAGATTATCCATATCATTTGGCGGTATTTGTGGCTCTTCACCTCCATCTTGTGCAGTCTTGATGGAAGGCATGGCTATCGAGTATTGTGGGGGATAAAGACGTAGACAGACAGCGCAGCCTCAGGGCCGTTATCGTTATGCCTCCGGTCAGATCCGTAACAGTAGACCCCCTAAGACTACAAATGTTATGCATACCTGTCATCAGATAGTCGTGCGAAACACAGCTTGTGTAGTCTAACTTTTTGCCGACTAGCATTAAATGTTGAGGGAGTGTTAGAAATGTAGGCACTAGCGACGTTGATTCTGCAGGAAGGTTGTGGCTTGCTTGACACGTCCGAGTCGTCGCTTTGAAGGAGCTCTGCCGAGATGAGCATTGGCATCGTGGCTCGGAGTCGAAGGCCTGGCAATGCATGCGCATTGAAACGCGGAGATTAGTTGGGCGTTGATGACCAAGATAGACTATTTGATTCGCAAACAAAGCAAGACTGCTTTGCTCCTTTCTTCTTACCTCCACGCTCCCTCTTTTTTTATCTCGTCGTGTTTCGCCCTTCGACCAATTCTAGCACAATATTGAGCCTCAGTGACGGTGGGATTGGCTTGGGAATGAGAGAAAACATGAAAGATTCCCAGCAAAGGTGAGTTCACTCATGTGCTGAGTGATAACTTTTATCTTGAGCTTTCTCTCAGTCCGTTGTCTTCGTATTCCGTCCAGTCACGGTGACATCTCTCCGGGAAGGACATCTGCTACCTGCCCAGCCCATAAGCAAGCGTCTTTTGCCCCGAGACGGTGTATATGAACAAGCGCACAACACCTGGCCTCGATGTCAATTACCGGGTACCGACCACTTACAAGCACAAGGACAGAATCACTGGCAGGAATCTCATCTAACGGAGTATTACCACCTGGCACGAGAACAATACGAGGAAACGAGACCGATTGCCAGAAAATGGAGAACATACTTGGAATTGGCACCGAGATGGTGGAGGATTGGATGTTTTGCTGGTCGTCGTGAGTACCCAAGGTGGATTCTCTCGCACGCTGAAATCCTCACCTTTCTTGCATAGTATTCCGAACAACTCAAGTCTACTACGACACGGCATGACACACTTGGTTTCTTAAGCTCAGGAATGGGGTGCGTTTCCACCCGCTGGCATGTGTTGCAAGTCAAACGAGACTTTTACCGTAATTCTGCTAATGGATTTCAGACTTCTTTGCTTCTGGGCTCCTACAATCCTAACCATTGAGCTTGCACGCAGTATAGACGGTATTGAATGTACGTGCACCACAATGACAGGTCTCCTACTCTCTATGATTAACCTCGTTTATTTAGATGCTCACCTCTATGGAGCCCACAATCTGGCACAGCGATAGGCACGACAGGTGTGTTTTGCTTTCAGTCTGTTCCTTCCTACCTTATCCCGGCTTTAAGCTGGATCCGTTGTCGGTGGTGAGGTGGATTAATCGAATCCGCCGTCATTCTTAGATGTACGACTACATCACTGACGGATGGCTGGCGATTTGTTGGTGGTCCGGTTACTCGGGCTGTCCGACCAAGAGATGTTCCCACGCCACAGACGCGTCAGGCTCGGAGAAAGTCGAGCAGCGTAATCCTGGAGAAAGCGTATTTCATTGAAAGTTCGACTTATACATTGACAGTTTGAGTACGATAAGGAGGAATATATGGCAACGCTGCAAAATCAAATATCCTTCGTCCTCACCAGCCAGCTCGTCTGGTGAACTGTGAGTATAGTGCACAGTATCGGCCTATGCAACATTAGCGGTCACTAGATACGGATATAAAAGAGGCTTAGATGGAACGTAACCTTCGAAGTCGCGTGCGGATGGCGAATCTCGGTCTGGGAGTGCTACGTCGGATGGTGTTTGAGTTATCCAACAGAGCAGTCACTGATGCTCAAAAGCGAGACACAACGAATATTCGAGAGAAAGTGTAGAAGAGAAGCCGAGAGAATCACAGTAATACCGGGCTGGCGAGCAATGAAAGAGTCAGCTGTCAATAACAGATGATGCAGCGAGGGTATGCCTCAGAGCTCCGATGCTTGGACTGGTTACAGAACATTCTACTGAGCAGTGGCAAGTACATTTGTTAATAGACTGTCGTGAATCGTTGTGCAGGTCGCCGCAGAAAAGGGAAAAAAAGCCCGTAAGGAAAGCGTAGCAATCGACGTTGTCGTCGTAGTTACCAAGACCTGGCCCCGTGGCTCCATGGTATTGTTTTGGCACGGAGAGGCTGTAATCGTCACAAAGGAATCGGAATTCTCGGCCTGTAAATGAATCGGAAGGATGCAATGGGACGTTGGCGAAGAAGCAGAAGAAAGTCCAACACGTGACCAATGCATCCCCTTGCTTCAGCACCACCACTGCCCGTACTCAATGGCGGTATTCCCGCCTTTTCTTACAGATTTTCTGGGCTACAAATACATCAAGCGAACGGCACTCCGTCAGCGACAAGAGACTCAAACGGTTAGCTGGCAGCACACGGCGAACATTACAATGATCGCCACCCAGGAGAACTCAACACTGTGAGAAAGGCGAGGCAGTGGGTGCGTGAAAACACGTTTGCAGCATGTCGTTCTTATCTGATTTCAAAACCCAGAAAGCCAGAGTAAGAGCGAGCAAGACCCTACCGGACATCTTATCCTCGACATATGTTTTCGTTTTCTTCGTCGCCTTAATCCTTTTCTGCCTGTAGTATCTGGTTCACTACGGACCTCCTGTCTCCGACTCAATACGCCTTTGCCGGCCAAGTTGAGCAGACTCCGAAGCATCATTCTCAGCCATATGCTTCTTTGTCTGAATCGTGCTACTATTGAGGGTTGACTCTTGGCCAATCACAACTCACTGTCTCAAAGAGAAGGGTACACGATGGACGCCTTGATGCTGGAACTGTGCTGGTATGGTGATAGTGTGAAAAGGTAAGCGTGTTTCCAGCGCGCCTTTCGCATGCCCTACTAACTTCGGATCAGGGTCCGGGAATATATATTGCCGTCTACAGTGCTTCCGATGAATCCATCACACCTCTCCCCAGATGACTTCCTTGCCTACCTCTAGTAAACCCCCTCTTGACCCTACCTCTCGACCTTTCTACGAGGCTCCCTTCCAGACTGTGATCACGGCAGGAACTGGCTGGGACAAGAATCTACGGGAAATTCTTCATTCGAGATCTCCCACACCGTACTCCGCGTACAAGGAGATAGCATCTGCGTATGCAGAGCTTCTACGCATGCTCGAAACATCGAATGGCAGTCTTGTGGGATTGTGAGTGAAACGCTTCATTCGAAGGCTTTCTTCGTCTGACCATACTGTTTGGAGTCATTATCGCTCGGATCTCAAGCAGATACTTTCCACCGCCGAACATCTTGTTCGCTACAGCAAGTGGTACCCAGAAGATATGCCTTTAAATATCGGACAATTGTCCAACGATGTTTGTAATGGAGTGGACATCTCCAAGTTCCGCCATCAAAGTAGAACTATGAGTTCGAAAATTGAAACCGAGATTTCTCTACTAAGAGATCGGACGGGGCTCGAACAGCATTATAAGGTTAGATATGAATTGATCATTCCTGAGCCTATAATAATATTTCCGCGACATACAGAAATGCGATAACAGGAGACTCCTTGGGTTCATTACTCGCGCATCCAAGATCCTTGCTGGAGTATCCTTCGTGTTATTTGCTTGCATAACCCTACTGGCCTTGGTTTTACCCTGGTATTGGAAGTTTATCATATATAAGGCTGGGTTTGCCTTGGTCATCGGAGCAGTAGCGTATCTGGGTACGTTCTCGTTTTTATTCGAAACCGACTCTCAGTCATATCGTCCCAGGATTTGACGTGTCCAAACGCATGCAGAGATATGTTCTCGCTGTCCAGACACTGTACATGCATTATTTTCTACTCATTTGGGGCTGGAACGACATCAAGGCGCTGCTAAGCCGTATAGCAGAATCAGAGGGACCATTATCTGACCAGCAAGATGTGTACTTCTTCTTACAGGCTTTCCGAGGATCGGTATGGCATCCTACATTTAGCCCACGTCGTTATTAATGCGGTGTTCCATTAGTTTTTAGTGCAAGAGGGTGAATTACAGCACCTGCAGATACAAATATCTGCTTCGCTAACATATAACACCGAGTAGTCTGAATGGTGACGTGGTAGGAGCGGGGGTATGTTCAAAGTTGTGTCGTCTGTGTATGGCCTTCTTGGTCTTGATAATATCGACTTGGTAAGTAAATGACGGTGGTCGGCAGTTGCTGTCCTCAAAATACTTCGTATCCATGACTCGATTCCTTGTTTCCGTTGTGGCACTTAAGTACAAATGAGTTCAACGTTGAAAACTAGGATACTTCTGTGTGCGTGTGAGCTATGAACAACAAACAGCTCAGATCCCTTTTACTGGGATACGTGTTGCAGCCAGAGGATTTCGTTACGTTCAAAATTCAAACGCACACTTTGACTCAGTGCGATATCCAATAAAGCCGTTATTGATGTTACATTCGCTGCTCAGCAAGAAGGAAATGTGAGCTGAGCAGTGAGATTAGCTGCAAATAGCCGATGAGTCAGGGTTTAAGTCGGAGCTCTCAGAGCTCTGACGCGTCTGTGGCGTGGGAAGTTCACTCGGTTTATTCTCTGCTGCAACCGACTCATCATTTTCCGTTCCGCTATCTATATAACCCATCAAAGAACAATTTTTGTTGACTCCTCAGATACGACAAAAAATATGTATGTGCTTTCACAACAGTAATGCTAAGAGCTTGGCTGAAATTTTCATTTCAAGTTTAGGCTGTAATGCAATCTACTTTGGAGGAAATCTTAGCCAGACATGGCTGGATATCGACCTTCACCCATCCTGCTGATGATGCCTCCCTTCTGCGCACCAATGACGTGCCATCACCTCTACAATCGGCTCGTATGAAGGCGTCTTTGGACAGGATAAAGACGGCTCTGATTGAGCTACAGAGCGACCTTGATTTACTCCATAGCGTCGCCGCGTCGCTGCAGACTCAAATGTCGCGTCTTCAGTCATTTGAGAATGACTATAAGACAGCATTGTCTGCGACACGTCGCATTCCCCCAGAGATCACGATGAAGATCCTATGCTGTTCGTCAAAAGATTTCAGATTTGACGTCTTCAGAATCCGAGAAGGGCCATGGTATCTTGGTCAAGTTTGCAGCTCGTGGCGACAAGTTATCGAAACACTTTGTCCGGAGCTATGGGCCTCCATAATAGTGAGGGTTTCGTTCTCCTATATGCCTCCGAAAGGCAAATTGGTGGAGAGGCTCCGCGTCGTCCTTGAACGCTCTTGTAATCATCCTCTGGATTTTCATTTTAGGTTCTGCGGCACTGAGGTGGAAGAAAGTGACTTTGAAGAAATGGAGCGGTGTTTTGATGTCATGATCGCTCATTCAAACCGATGGAGAGTCGCCGATATGATGATTACCCCTTCCCTTATCGAACGCTTACCTCGCATTCGCGGAAAGATTGATTGGCTGAGAGTCATGTATCTCAGCTGTGGTTATGAACCTGGGCCTGGAGACATCCATGCCTTCGAAATTGCCCCCAAACTCGAAGACCTGTATCTGAGAGGCATGCACGGAGAGACCAACATTCATTTCCCAGCGTCCAATCTTGTATCTCTCTCTGACGCAAGATCATTTGGCGGGGATCGGCTGACTCCCGAGTATCTTCACATCGTTAAATCATCTCCAAAGCTTCGTTCAATTTCGTACAATGACCATGGTTTTCAAAGCCCGAATATCAATTCTGTTTTCCATCCTCCCGTCATGTCTCCATCGGTCGAAGAGCTTTCGGCGTCTTCGCCGAGTTTTATGCGCAGCCTCGTACTACCTTCGCTGAAAAACGTCAGGCTAACAACCGCTGCGTATGACGGAGATCTGACAGAAGAAACGATGAGTTGCCCTGTGGATGCGCTTGGTGCACTCCATGAGCTGCTTTTGCGGTCGCGATGTTCCCTATCACGGTTGTCCCTCGTCGATGTAGTCTTAGACAACAATCTCGTGAACATCATACGGCTCATGCCCGCCTTGCAGGATTTCATCGTCCAATTCACCGAGTGGGTAGATGATTATGATCCCATTATGCAGTCTCTAGTGACACAATTAAGTGAGACTAGTATGGTAGATGGGTCACTTCAGCACTCCATGGTCCCTTCTCTGAAATCAATCGATGTTTACATGCTCCGTGTCCGGTACAATCACCTCTCTTTCATCGATTCCACGTTTGTCGATATGGTTGCTTCGCGACTGCGTCTACCATCCGGCGCACCACGCCTCATGAAGCTCAATCTACATATAAGTGGGCGGGGAGGGAGCAGTGATTTTGATGAGGAGGCTAAGAATGCCTTGATGAGTTTGAAAGACGAGGGACTTCAGCTTAATTACTTTGTGTGTGGATGAAGGAGATTGAGAACGAGGTCCAATCCTGATGACTGATATGACAGATATATTGTCATTATCCTCTCTGATAGTATTTTGTATCGTACAAGTATAGGAGAGTGGTTGGTGAAATAGCAGGAGGCAGCGGTCTCCGAGTGTCCAAGTATATCATGCCGTTCACTCGTCACGGCCTATGTGTACATTCCCATTGCAGAGGCGTTAGAGCTTGTTTCATTGAGAATTTGGATACAACATGGGGGAATACACGGCGAAATAAGAGCTTTAGACGCCCACCTCTGCTGATGACCACTAGTGCACAGCATCAATCTAAACGACGCCATATTGTCAATGGCGGCTGCATGAGGACGATAGACTTACCCCAACAAAGATAGACTTCGAAATCGCCTCGGCTAGCGAAGCATAGTCTTAGAACGCGAAAGTGGCTACTTCTTGGGGTATTCAACAGAGCTGTCATTGATGCGATGAATATTCGATGAAAAGTGTAAAGTAGAAGCCAAAAATCATGTAGGGTCGGACTAGCAAGCAAAGGAGTCAGTACTTAATGGCAGCAAGGACATACCTCAGAGCTTCGATGCTTTGCCGTGGTAAGTGAATATCTTATTGAGCAAACAGAGACGGAGTGTAGTTGTTGTTGGGCTGTCGCGAATCGTCATTTGGGTTGTGTTGGCTATTGAGCTCGAGAAACAGAACGCTCGAATAAATAGAAGCAGCCAAGGTATTGCGGGATATGTGGTTTCAAGTCCTGACGTTAAAAAGCATCAACGTCAAGAGGCAGAGAATTTTCAACACCAGTAAATGATTCGATGGGATGCCGATGAAGCAGTGGTGGAGCAGAAACAAGTTTAACACGTGGCCGAGACATCCTCTTGCTTCAGTACCACGACGACGATCGCCACCACCCATACTCTGTTGCATCACTCCTGCCTCTCCTCGTGAATTTTCTTGAATGATGGCAGCCGCAAGTGGAGAAGAAGGTGTAAAGGGTTATTCCATTGACGACAAATGACTCGAGCGGCGCTTTTACCAGGCAGCGCAGGACAAATGCTGTGAGGAAGACGAGGCAGCTCCGGTGGGTGAACATACATTCTTAGCATGTCTTCACGGTCTGACTGAATTCAAACATTGACAAAAGCCAACACTTAATCTTCTGCCTTCCTCGCTTTTACTCGACCCGCCTGTGTTATTGACTCTAGCCAAATTTGATACTGCTCAGCCTCAAGCAACATCATTCCGGGTCGTGCTATGATTTATTTTTACTCTTGGACTCTTGGGGACACAGCCAACACTCAATTGCTGTAAGCTGTAACTGATGTGGTGCGAAAATCCAAGGGCGTTTCCAGTAAGACTTCCGCGTGTTCTGGTTATCTACTAAGATCTGTGACCTTACATTGCTGTGGCTTCAGGAACCCATCACGCCTCTCCTCAAATGGGCGCCTCGCCTACCGCCCGGAACGTCATAGCATCCCTAAGATCACAGTAGGTCGGTGTTGGGACAACTATCTACTCGAAAGCCCGTCCAATGAAAACGTGTTACTAGCATTTCTTTCTCCAACTTCGGATCTTATCAGCGCCATCAAGCTGTTCAGCGCTAAGAAGGCATCAAATGAGATCTCTATCATATCCTCGTTGCTTTCGCGTGCTATGAGAATTCCCACCTGGACCAGCCGCCTTGATATATAAAGATTTATGAGCCTCTCCGTTATCTTTCTTCCCAAGGATGTCTACAACTTCATCACTTTCTGATTACAAGCCTTACCACGCTTCGACAATGGACATTGACCGAGCCGAGTCTGGCTCCTCTCAGCTCCTACTCAAAAACTCCATTTCCGATGACCTCACGGCAGATGATATTTCCTCCTGTCGTGTGCCCGCGCCGAATGATACCCCGCTCGAGACGCCCTTGGATCTCCTGCACCGATGTCCCCAGGAAGAACCATCCCTGAAGTATTTCGCTAGCAAGGAACTAGTTTCTGCATACGGCGAGCTCTTCGATGTCTACAAGCATGTCCGGGTCGACATGTTAGGCCTCATCTGATGGTGAGCAGACTTTATTCTATTCACCTTCCCTCCTAACCGTGGCGCAGGTACACACATCCCAATCTCTTGAGAATCTTGCTCAGTTACAGGAACTTCTGTGAATATAACCGCTGTCTCGACAGCTCTTGCCAAGGTCTTGTTGCCGATATTCTTCAAGAGATTCACGATAGCCGCTCGGATACTGTTCATTTCACTACTGATGTTCGCGAGCGATGCAAAGCGCTTAGCCGAGAAAATCGAAGGCGAGATCTTTGTACTGCAGACCCTGACTGAAAAGACGACACAGGGTTCGTATTTGCCATCATGCCGTTCTATTACGGAGACTCACATCTTCTCCAGCTTTTCAATCTGGAGAAAGTGTTCAGAGTCATCGAACCTCTCATTACGTACTCGGCGGCACTTTTCTTTGCAAGCGGTATTCTCCTACCGTTCACCTTGCTCGTTGATAAATCTGGGACATCCCAAATAGTGGGAGATTTTGCTTATGCTGTTCAGCGCCGTCCTGGGATTTGCTAGTAAGAACCCGTTTTACCTGTTAATCCCACCATGCTCATCACTTCGTAGGCTTTAGCGCCCGCAAGTACACGTATAAAGTCTACGATGCTATCAACAAAGTGTACAAGCATAGCTATCTAAGCTCATTGGCCTGTCTTGACTTGGCGGCATTTTTCTCACGTGTGGGTGCAGTCGGAAGGTTCGCTGCCTGGCATGTCGCGTGTAGCGGTATCCTTGAAGTCTTTCCAAGCTCACGTATGATATCTATTTATCCTTGTTTTTCCCTTGCTGAGACGAGCTCTAGTTCTTGGGAGGAGGAGGAGGAGATTTATTCAACAGTCCACTTGAAGATATTCAATCTCCCAGAGTACAACAAGGAGGAACATGAATTCTGGCTGGAGGAACGACTCTGGGCTGCTACTGAGTACAACAGCATGTCTGCAGCACGCAGGTCCCGATACATCATCGACGTTATCTACTGCGGCTTCCTGCTCCAGCCAATTCGCAGGCGTCCACGACCACGCTTACTTCAGAGGTTCCCGGTAATTCGTCAAGTTCACACAGCTCTCCTACTACTATTGGTCAAACAAGTAGCGGCATTCACGTTCAACTCGCGTCAACATTTTTCCGTCGGAGGCATTCCCCTGTTCATTCTTACTAGATTACTCTTACTGTCTAAACCTTTTGAAGTCTGGTACCTTGGTGATATTTCGTACTAATTTGGGTTCTCAAACTGGCCGTTTCGATTATCTTGAAATTAATGACTGTTCACTGTTTCTTTGATATATACCTATGCTTGTCGGTTTGATACATAATGGCACTACATTCTACGTCTTCTTCCAGCTAGCGTCGACCCCGCCTAGTACCGGCGAACCGGATTGTTTTAAACGAGAGCCGAAAGTGAAGAGGTGCACCATCAACAACAAGAGACTCGGATCATGCTTGATTTTACGTGGCAACATACGACGAACATCACAACTGCCTCCAAGAAGAACCCAACACTGCGAAGAAGGCGAGAAGGTGGGTAAGTAGAAACATGTTTGCGGCATGCTGTTCCTGTCTGACATCTCCCTTTCCTGGGTTTATATGGGTTCCTGCGTCAAACCTCGATACGCCTCAGCTATCGACCTCGACTAAGGCAATTTAGGCGTCAAAGCTCCCAGAAATTCCCTCCTTTCTCAGCCTTAGAAACATCATTCTCAGCCGTTTGCTCTGAATCACGAATCACGCTGCCATTGATGTTGACTAGATCACAACCCGCCGTCGCAATGAGCAGGGCACACAGCAGATACCCTGATCCTAGAACTCTGCTGGTATAACGACGGTGTGAAATGGTGAGCGTGTTTCCAGCATGCCTTCCGCATGTCCTACTAAATCAGACCAGGGTCTGGGACTATATATTACAGTCTACAGCGCTTCTGATGTACTCATTTTCCCCCATGACTTCTTCGCCTACCTCCAGTGACACCCATCTTGACGGTATTGATAGGCCCTTCTATGAGGCTCCCTTCCAGAATACAATCACGTCAGGAACGGGCTGGGACAAGACTCTACGCAAAATCCTTCATTCGAAATATGCCATGCAGTACTCCTCATATAAGGAGATAGTATCTGCCTATGCTGAGATCTTAGAGCTGTTTGAGGCATCGAATAGTAATCTCGTGGGATCGTGAGCGGATTATTCTATTCAAACCTTTTCTTCTCTGACATACATTTTAAAGTCATTACCGCTCATATCTTAAGCAAATACTGTCCACCGCTGAAATCTTCGTTCAATATAGCAAATGGTACCAAGAAGCCTTGCCTCTAGGACAACTGTCCAACGACATTCAGCAGCCGGTATGGAACGGTCGGGATATCTCAGAGTTCGATGCCAATATGCGCCGTCAAAGTAAGAATATGAGCTCGAAAATTGAAACCGAGATTTCTCTATTCAGAGATCTGACGGGACTCGAACAACGATATAAGGTTAGCCGTGATTCAATAATTCTACCTTCTTGACACCATCGTAATGCTTCTCTGCTACATAGGAATTCGATAATAGGAGACTTCTTGGGTTCATTACCAGAGTATCCAAGATTATGGCAGAAATATCCATCGCAATATTTGTCTGTATGACTGTATTGGCCGTGGCTCTACCTTGGCATTGGAAGTTTATCATATCTGAGGCAGTGTTTGCCTTGGCTATCGGAGCAGTACCGTATCTTGGTATGTTCTCCTTTTAACATTCGAAATTGATTCTCACTCATTCCGTCCCAGGATTTGACGTGTCCAAACGCATGCAGAGATTTGGTTTCGCCGTCCAAAACTTGTACATGCATTACTTTCTATTCATTTGGGGCTGGAACGACTTGAGGGCGTTCCTGACCTATATAGCTGAATCAGATGGCCCGGTATCTGGCCTGAAAGTTGTAAGCGAGTTTTTAAGGGCTTTCCAAAATTCGGTACGCCCGTCTACATTTAGCCCACGTCATCATTGACACGGTTTCTTACTAGTTTTGTGGGGGAGAAGATGAATTACAACTCCTGCAGGTGCGAATATCTGCTTCATTAGCATATGGCACCAAGGAAGACCCCTAGTTTTGGCGGCTGATTGGTTGCGGGAGCCTTCCGGGAGGAAGATCTCATGAGCGCTTGTGTCGAATTACCTTGTCTGCTTATCAACTGCCATTATCCTTAATAACTACTAGTACTTGGGCTGGGACGAGCTACTTTCGTTACACATTGGTTCGATGCGCAATGTCAGTACTACCTACATTTCACATCTTCCCCTAGGTACAGTTCGCGGAAAGTTTACCATCGTGTCCACTGAGAGATCCCGAAGTTAGAAGAGATTTGGCATGTATTCTAGGCTCACAATCCATGACTGTGCGAAGCCAAAGATTGAATGAGAAGCGAATTAAGAGCATTTCTATGGACAAAGTATGAGACTAAATTTGTTTCCATTTGTTATGCGAACCTTACATACTAGTCTACTGACTTATGTACCCTTACAGATCTTTATTTCAACACTTCATTGGCCGTTTTCACTTCAGCCGCCGCGGCCCCCCCTCCACGTCGCGGCATTCAAAACACCATCTCCTTGTGGCCTCCTCTTCTGGTATCGTGTGTTATTGTCTGTGGTCTTCTTCGAAATAACCCCCTCTGGCATGTTATAGGGCTCCTCTTGCGGTGTGGCCTGCACAGCCGCATCCATCCGAACCTGCAATACAGGTGTGACCATGCGCAGTTCGACAACAGATTGCACGAGATGAGCATTTTCCTGTTTCAACAGGTCTTTCTCCTGCTCCAGGGCAGTGATGCGGCATTGCAACTGTCGAACAAAGTCCACGACGCCAGATCGGAGGCTTTGCACCGGTTCATCACCATTCTCGGCGACTGACCGCTCAGGCAGAGCCTCGTCATCCTCGTACTCTGAGGCAAAGTCCGTACGCTTGCGTTTTCGGGTCGTTAAAATACTGGTATTCACGTCGGTCTTGTCGTTGTCATTCTGTCGCATGATGGCCCGTGGACGTCCACGAACAGGTCTTGTACCATTCCAGCAATGCATCCAAGCATCGCAAGAACAGTCTTTGGACATGATACACTGCTTGCATCTAAGTCCTCGAATCTCCTGTCTCCCTCCTGGCTCATGTACCGGGCAATCAATAGATTTAGCTTCGCAGTGAACACCAGCCCGTTCGCATTTTCGGCACTGACTACGGCTTTAATCACAGAGGACCACCGTAGAAGCGGGGGAACTTACCGGTTCGTCGAATGCTGGCCCTTTTAGGGACCAAGTGTGCATACCCGGAGCACCCTGAGGACTCGACTCTGCTGTTTTCTCTACTTCCTTGAGCCAGGGATAGGCTAGGTAGAGAAGATGCTTGTACTCGTCATATGGCATCGATAAAGCACTTAGAACGACGTCGTCGCTTTCTTTCCGAAGGTTCTCCAGCAATAGCCTAAGAACCGCGTCCGTGTAGCTTGTCCAGGACTCCGATTCTTCCTTCTTTCTATACCCCAATCTTCCCTTATAGCAAAACCAAATTTGCTGACAATTGTATTAGGATACAACGATGCCAGTCATCAGAGAAACTCACCTTGCGCTGTGACATGTCAGGGCCAGAGGTCTGCGACCAGTATCTCCTTCGTTGAGGGTTTTGATCTCCAGCGAGCTTCTCGGCGTACACCTTAACCACTTTACGGTTATCGTGAACTTGGTTTTGATCTGCCGTCTGATGGTGCTTGCGGGGATAATCTTTCGTCAAGTGCTGACTTTTAGGCTTGCTGTAATAGTCAGGTCGGGGAGTAGGAGTATCCACTACCGATGACCTGTCGACAGTACCAGGCATATCGGAAGCCATATCAGTCGTCAAAGGCCTACTGTCACTGACAGTGACTGAAGGGGTATTGCCTAGAAGGATGCTGGCATGAGTCGTTATCCCACAGACAAGGGCTGGGTCTACCCATCGTAATACACGCTGTTCTTACGAGTCTCAGTTACAGGTGAGTGTTATGGAGTTCTGTAGAAACCGACATGGAAAAGTAAGGGCCCTATCCAATAGAATCTTCTTCCCACGCAGGTGTATTTTAGGATATGACATATCCATAATAAACCAGAACTTCAGAAACGCAACGATATTAAATCATTGTATCAAAGAAGACATGCAAAGGCACAGTTCACGTACATTGGGAAAAGTGACCATCCCCACACAGAATGAGCATAGATGGCAAGATATCCCTATAGTGGCGATATGCAAAGAAACGAAACACTAATGAAAATCAAAGGATGATCCTCCGAATAGCTTGGCTACAGCCTCTCACAATCCTCAGGTGATCCAAAGAGAATGGCCATTGTGAGAGATATCAAGGTTCCTGGCACGCGAAGCAGATCATTAGCCCATAGGAACCTGATCAAAGAAGGACGGCAACACCTTACACCCCATATGCTGGGCACGCCACCCAGACATTCGAAGTTAGCCAGTCCGTCATTCCTTTAATCTGGCAGTGAGCTAAACAGACTAGAAGTGGAGCTTTCCTTTTCTAGTCCTACCGAAATGCCCTAAGCCCACACTCGTGGGACTACACGACATATCTTGCAGGTGGTAAGAGCCTCCAGGATCAGCCTACCGAAGTACGCGGTTAAATATCAACGCTGTCCAAACATTCCAGCCCATTGAGAGCGAAGGAACGTTCGTCTCCCAGACCAATAAGGTAGTGAGCCGCCAGAACCCTAGACATGAGAAAGACGGCTAAGAGAAATGGTAAATTGTACGCCCGCGACCACTGGGTCTCGGTTTCGGGGTTCGTGTTTGACAAGCGGCGGGTTGCGGGTTGATGTGGCGCATTATAGCATGAAGAGCGACAAGTACAGCAACAAGTTCCTCCTCTAACCGGAGCGAGTCGTGAACACGGCTTTTATCAATCGTCTTCAGTCCATCATTTTGAAGCTTTGCCCTGATTACCTCGACAATGTATGCTATAGCACTACGGCTGGTAGTTGATGCGATGAAGGATACTGGCACGAAAGAGTTATCACCTAAGCCAATGATGTCGAGTGCCATGACCAGGTCAACGCTTTCCGGATCAGCACGCATGGCTTCTCAAGTACTCGATGCACTGACTTAACCAAGTTCCATGTTCCATCCTTAATCGATTGATGTTGACGGATCGTGCCTTACGAATCACGATACAGCATGAAGATGAGCATCCAATTCAAACTGACTGCGTAAGGAGCAGGTAGGCAGTTTCCCAACATGAGCAGCATTCCAGGTCATGCGATAGAAGGAAGTGGATTGTTTCGGGCATGACATCCAAACGATTGTCCGTAATGAATACTTTCAGCGACTCGAGCATCCTTTGTGGGAATTAAGAACAGGATAGAGGAGCCAAGAACAACACAGACGTATGAAAGAACAGGGCCAGCCTGTTCAATGTGTTCCCTGAAAGAAATCACCTTTCGGAGACACTGAGGACGTGAATCTGAGCAACACCAGACGCAGCAAGCTGTGTATAATGACACCGGACCACGAGAAGACAGTGTCATCGATGCGAAGACCATCGTAGTAAAGGATGAAGGGCTCGGGAACAGCCGGGAGAGCTCAATTAGGATTTGAAATTCTGACTCTCCTCATTTGCGGTCACGACGTGAATTTTTGAACAGAATCCCATCCCAACGTAGGCCACTAGCTGATATCGTCTGCCATGATATGCTCCAGGGGTGAGAATGAATGCTATTTCTTTTACTTGCTCATTGGAAAATAACTGATTTATCTGAGATAAATAGTTTTACGCTTTGTACCTCACTAAGCCTCAAGACTCGGAAGGATCTCGCCTCTGTGAATATGTTTTGGAGATATTTCCGTCGCGGACATATATCGTCTAATAAAAACCCCTCCTCCTCAGCCGTTCGCCACACGAGTCAGGCACTAAATATTTTATTTGAGCTTGTTCGTATGTCATCCGGTCGATCCGGTCCGATAGTATTGTGTCGCCACTGAAGCTCAGAACAAATTCTTTCTTTGCTCTTCCTCCTCTCGTTTCGTCCTACATCCTCCTCGTTCTGACTTCCCGTCTCTTTTGCCATCTTTACGAGCTTGAATTTCTTTACGTCGCGCCTTATACCTGCCAGCAACTCGATTGGGTACTAGACATACCTGTACGTCTTCTTTGTGGCCCGTCGGATTGTTGTTTTTCATTGTCATATCAGTCCATGACGAATCCTCCCGCCCGCATCCCTCTTGAAGAAATACTGGCCAAACATGACTGGATATTGACCTTCGCTCATCCCCCTGACGTCGCCTCACTTCTGCGATCCAATGACGTGCCATCACCTCTGCAATCTACTCAGCTGAAGGCATCCCTGGACGGCTTAAAGGAACCTCTTGCTGAACTGCAGAGTGACCTTGGCTTGCTACGTAACGCCGTTGTCTCTCTGGAAACACGGATGTTGCGTCTCCAGTTGCTTAAACTTGACTACGAGACAGCTTTGTCCCCGATACGGCGCCTTCCTATGGAGGTTGTGGCCGAAAATTTACGCCGTTCATGGCCAACTCGTTCCCCGGGTCTAAGCGCACATTTCTTGGGTGCTTCTAATCCGCGACATGGACCTTGGATTCTTGGACATGTGTGCAGCTTGTGGCGGAGTGTTATCGAAACACTCTGCCCAGAGTTATGGGCCACGTTGTCGTTTGAAAACACATACCGATATAGCGGCCCTGCAGACAACTCCCTACAAAGACTCTGTTGTGTCCTTGAGCGTAGTCGAAATCATCCTCTCGATTTTATATATGCTAACTATTTGGACCGGGATCAACTGATGGATCAGTGTTTTGAGATCATGGCCGCCCTCTCAAAACGATGGAGAGTGGTAGAAATTAGACTTATTCCATTCCATATCCCACGACTGTCAGTGCACGGAAAAATCGATTGGCTTAGGGAGGTATACCTCTCCTGCCATCATTGTCCCCCGCCGCCCGGAGACATTCGTGCTTTTGAGATTGCACCAAAACTGGAGATTCTACATCTTAAAGGCATACACCCAGATGCCAACATCTGTTTCCCGACCACAAATCTCATTTCCTTCTCTGACGAGAGAGAATCCGTGGACAGATTACTCCCCGAATATCTGGACATTGTCAAATCAGCTTCAAAACTTCGTTCCTTTTCGTATGTCGGCAAGAGCATCCAAACAGAGGCCCCGTTTTCCCGCATTACCAGCTCAACCCTCGAGGAGCTTTCCACATCTTCGTTAGACTTTATCTGCAGCATGAAGCTCCCGGCGCTGAAAGAATTCAAGCTAATCTTGCCCCGGGCTCCTGGCATAGATTCGCTCCAAGCGGTCCATGAGATGGTTCTTTGTTCGCAGTGTTCGTTAACGCGATTATCGATCCAAAATGCGCGTCTGGATGAGAGCCTTGTACCAATCTTGCGACTCACCCCTCACCTAGAAGAATTTGAAATTACTATTGGATGAGTGGATGACACAGCACAATCCTAGGAATGCTATCCCCTGATAGCTGAAATGAGGGCGCTAACTATAGTGGAAGGATCACTGCGGCACACCTTGGTCCCTTCTCTCCAACGACTCTCTATTGACATAGAAGACGTCTGGGAGTCCACCTACAGTCTCTTTCCTCAACTGGGATTTCATCGAGATGATTGCAGCAAGGATGCCGAAGGAGGATGGTGCGCCAGGTTTAACAGAACTTCATTTATATGCTGTGGGTGAGGGATGGGTCTGTGGTATGGACCACGAAAACCTGAAGGGTGCTTTCCGGATGTTGGAGGAAAAAGGTCTTCGACTCAAACTTATTGTGGACCACGGTGGGGATGATTCTGATGAAACCTCTGAGGAGTCTGAATGAATACTCCACGACTGCATCATTACGCATGCTCCAAACGCATAAAAGGAGCGTCGCCTGAATGCGCTAGTCACCTATTCATCCGATAAGGTCATTTTTAGGGCACAGAAAGACGGTTCAAGTTACGACTCTACGAGTCTAGATTGCAAAGTGTTTTGCTATCATTTCCAATATCTTGACAAACTTTCGAGCCGTCCTTTATCATCAAGCTCCACTGTTCTAGATCCATAGAAGTACTGAATATTAAAAGTTGTTATTGACATCCACCAGACTCGGTAGGAAGATCGGAGTTGTAGGGTGAACAACTCAGCGAAAGCCTAAGAAAATAGCAAGTTCAGGACTGTTAGAAGATGGCGCTGCTAATGAGGCGAATACGATTCAAAGAGGGTCCACTCGACCTGTCATCATCGTTGCCGAACAGGAGAACATCCACGGTGGTGGTGGTGGTGTTACCGGTGTGAGCCTAACCGGATTTGGCTCTGGCATACACGTGACAAAAATTCTGGCAATCTTCAGAAACAGAAATTTATTTTGACGACAGCGACTATATGACTCTAGGATAAATAACCTAAGTTTCAAGGTCAAATCCTTTGTCATTCTAGGCAGTATACTGCGCTATCGTCAGGATAAGGTGCTCGTTCGGATTCCTCATTCTGGCCCCTGGGAATCGAATAACATCTCTCAGGCTCTCCCTACCATTCGTGCTTTTTCTCCTGCCGACTCCGTGTCCTGCTCTCCATCTTGTTAATTTATCGACTTCTTGTTGAACCTGCCGGTAATCGAGTTACCTTAGAACCAGGTGCCTGTGTGTTTCTTTGGCACCTAATACAGTTGGGGACTCACTGATTTTCCCTCAGTCATATCAGGCCCCGATGCAACCGTTTCACCTTCATCTGGAGGATATATTGGCAAAATATGACTGGATATCCACTGTCACTCATTCACCTGATATCGCCTCCCTTCTTCGTACCAACGACGCGCCATCACCTCTACAGTCTACTCAGCTGAAGGCGTCCCTAGAGGGCCTTGAAAGGGCCTCTTGCTGACCTAGAGAGCGACCTTGAGTTGCTCCGTAATGCTGTTATGTTACTAGAGACTCGAATGTCGCGTCTCCAGTCACTCAAGCATGACTACGAGACTGCATTATCCCCGATACGTCGCATTCCCTTGGAGATCACGATGGAAATCGTACGCCGCTCGTGGGGAGATGATTTTGCATTTCCCGTCTTCAGAATCCGGGACGGGCCGTGGCATCTTGGTCAGGTGTGCAGCTTATGGCGAAATGTCGTCGAGAAATATTGCCCGGAGCTATGGGCCTACCATAGAGGTGTCATTGTTGTGCTACAGAGGTGCCGTGCCTATAAAAGCCGACATGGCGGAAACTCTCCGCGTCGTCCTTGAACGCTCCCGCAACCATCCTCTCAATGTTCAGTTTGGCTTCGTTGGCCTGGATGACGTAGAAGGAAGAGGAGTTGCAGGAATGGAACGGTGTTTCGATATCATGATCGCCCATTCAAAGCGATGGAGGGTCGTAGACATGATGATCCCTCCATACCTTTTGTCGCGACTCTCTCTCATCCGTGGAAGGATTGATTGGCTTGAGAACATACGACTCTCTAGTTACGGAGACCCGCAGTCCGGAGATATCAGGGCCTTCGAGGTTGCCCCGAAACTCAAAAAACTGCATTTGAACGACATGCACCCTGAAGCTAGCATCCGTTTTCCTGTTGCCAATCTTGTATCTTTCTTCGACAAAAGAGCATTTGGCGGAGACAAGCTGACACGCGAATATCTGGACGTCGTCCGACTAGCACCAAACCTTCGCTCGTTTTCGTACAATGACTATGGTATTAGCCATATATCCATGCCGCTTTCCTTTCCCTGCGTCACGTCTAGATCGCTCACAGAACTTTCAGCATCTTCTCCAAAATTTTTGCGCAATATGGAACTGCCATCGCTGAGGGAATTCACACTAACAACTATGTGTAATGCAGACACGGGAGGTGTGGTGATAAAATGCCCTGAGGATGCACTGGGCGCACTCCACGAGATGCTTCTGCGATCACAGTGTTCCCTAACAAAATTACATCTTATCGATGCAGTCTTGGACAATAACCTGGCGAACATCATTCGACTCGTGCCTAGTTTGCAAGAATTCGACATCGACTTCTACGAGTGGATGGATGATTATGACCCCATAATGCAGTCCCTTGTGACACAAATGAGCGAGGTCCGCCTGGTAGACGGGTCACCTCAGCACTCCATGGTCCCATCTCTACAGGGACTTTGTGTTAACCTGTTCGATGTTTCTAACAGGCACATCTCTTTCATTAATTCCGCCTTTGTCGATATGGTAGCTTCGCGACTGCATCAACCGACCGACACGCCACGCCTCAGGTGGCTTGACCTACGCGCGCTGGGGCACAGACAGAGCTATGATATTGATGAGTCGGGCGAGAATATACTAGAGAGTTTGATGGATGATGGACTTGAGCTTTATCTCAGCTTGCACGACAACGATCGCAGGTTTGGATAAATAATATGGCGGGATTGTGTGATCAGTTGATTGTATAGTACAAGCGTGATACTGGCGTACCCTACACTACTGAGAAGCAATTATTGGAAAGTAGTCGTGTTGAGGTCAGATACACTTTGCTTGATGACAGGCTGGGAATGAAACTCTTTGGATAAACATTCATGTCTATCACATCATCACGTCCATCGAGATTAATCGACCAAATCCTCCGAGCCTGAACGAGATGGACGACAGCAACGACCAGAATGTAAGATAAAGAAAAATTAAGCCATTGTATACACCAAAACAGGGATTACTGAATATTACATTCTAATATACCTTAGATCTTTCTCCAATTCATTTACAAAAGCGCCATCTCCTCCGGAGCCTCCCTGAAAGTGTACATCGAATCCACGAAATCATCCCAGCCCTTCTCAGTCAGAATCGGCGCTTTCACCCACTTCGCAACACCCATCCCGTCGACCCACTCTTCCATGTTTCCCACAGCACTCGTCATCGCCGCGTTCTGCATATCTGCGATCCTAGCACGAGTAAGGAGACCTGACTCGAGGTACCAACCGACATCCTTCTGGATAGCGAAGACCTCATAGATATCCGCGAGAACAGCAGGGGATACCTTCGACCAATGCACTTTCATGTGCCATCCGGTAACCAATGGCTTCGACAAGGTCTTTGGAGCGAGGGAGTATGTAGTCGGCGTATTGCTTCGACCGGGGCCCGTATTTCTTGGCGAGAGCCCGGGCTTCTTCGAAGACACCTTTTTCATCTGTTGGTAAAATGAGTTAAACATTGTTGGTAGTAATTGCCCGGGCTGGAATGCACTTACGCTGGGCGAGGAGACTGTTGGGGTAGAGAGGAGCAGGAACAGAGTATTTGCCTTGAAGGAGCTCCGAGGCGAGACCTGTCGAAAGGTAAGAACCGAGGTAAAACGAAAAAAAAAAAAAACACTGACGGATAGCTAGGACAAGAACATCGCCCTCAGCAATGACAATACCCCTCATCTCAGCCTAAGGATGCATTATATAGACGCTGCAATAATGCGGAGAGTTAGAACTTACAAACTGAGTCACAATCTGGTTATAGTCAAACAATCCTTGAGCACCCAACCTCTCCGAAAGGTTGAAGTGTGCCGTCTGCGCATGCTCCATAACCACCGCTTTGTAGATGGTCGTAATCGCATGCCTTGCGTGACGGTCGGCAGCGGGATCCATAAAGTGTCTAATCGCATGCTTCGTCCACGCCTCAATGACATATGTCTGCGCGACTGCAGTGAAGATGGGAATCTGTTGGGTCCGGAAGCCGATAATAGGCTGGGCAGGGATACCGACTTTGCGACGGAGAGAATACTTGTATGCGATGTGGGCTGCAATCTGCGTAGCCGGGAGGGCGAGCGAAGCCAGAGCGAGAGTGCCAACAGAGATACGCCAGATAGCAACGAGGAAATCATCGTGAGTCGAAGGCTTGTCCCCAACGGGTCCGAGGAGAGACCACTCCGGGAGGCGGACCTGGGTGAAGTGGGTGATAGCATGGTTGACCGGGGTTGCACCATGTCGGGTAGGGATCAGTCTGTGATTAATCGGACATTAGCTTCGGGTACCCTTATGCTTGAGATCGACATACTTGGCAGTGATACCCTTGCACATATGAACACCGTCGTTAAGCTGGACGACAAATGGCCTGATACCGCGCTTCTCACCACCGACGACGAGCTGGGACCAGACGACGGCATAGCAGGGTTTACCAAGAACCGGGACAGTCGGGGGCATATACTTCGAGGCAGCCCGGTTGGGCGAATTGAGGATGAAAGTACCGTCGGATTGAAGAGTAGCAGTCGTCTCGAGGTTCGTCGCGTCCAAACCATGACCGGCTTCAGTGAGAAGGAATTGACCACTGATAGAAGCGTCATTAGCAAGTGTAACAAGTAAACAGAGAAATGAGACGAACATAGCCTTGCAATCCATCATATCCTTGCATAGAGCCTGCAACTCGGGACGATCCGCAGCATAGGTACCAATGGTACCCACGGCAAGATTGAGATGGATTGTCATGATGGTGATGGAGGAACCATCGTGCCAGGCGATGGGATCATTGTGGATCTTCCAGAACTTGGGGCTGAGGTTGACGATGTCCTCAAAAGTGAGACCCCAAGTCTTCCAGATAAGCTCCGCACGCTGGTACGCATTGTCGGAGAGCGCGAGGGCGTTGGATCGGGTGTTGGCGTTTGCACCGGCCGCTTTGAACACGTCGACGTTAAGAAGGGGCTGCGAGGGCCAGTTGTGTGACGAAGACATTATCGTTTAGAAGGTCGCTGGAAGACTTGGAGGAACTCGGTCGGTTGAAGGAGCTTGATTCTTTACCGCTCATCGTAGACAGGTTATATATCGTCAACCTCGGGGCGCAGAGTTGCAACGCAAGATCCAGAACATGTTACGATGAGGGTTTTTTTCCGTAATGAGCCTCCTTGACGGCGACTCGGAGGCAAGGGTAATACCCCACGTACCGCAGACCTTTCCCCCAACCGAGCCGCCGTGGTATCCCAGCGGTTTGCGGAAGTTGAGGTTGCCAGTCAAACACGACAGCGACAGTTGAGTCGTTCGCGACTTCCGGTGAAAGAGGACACCTGAACGAGAGGATATCGCAGATAAAAGTCGACAATTAGACTGTTGTATCCGCGGCTTCAAGGATAGATATGTTTGGCCTTGGCAGATGGTACTGCTTCTTTACGACGCGTACAGACTAGACCACAAGAAGAAAATCAAGTGGGATTTGCACAAGAATCCAGACCACAGCGTTAATCCAATACAAGAGCGGGTAAGTATAGTTGATCAATATCAATCCCAACCGACGAAACTACCGCCATGTGCAAATTGGTAATTTCTCCGCTGCACGGACGCCAGTGGGGTTTCCGTAATTGCGCCGGAGGGTATGGGATACGGAGAGAGGGCTGTGCAAGAACATCCGCTGACGCCCTCGCTTAGGCGCAATCAGATTTCTGACGGTCTAATTCATAAAAGAGAGTTAGCGAGGTCAATTAACATGGACTTCCAACGTACCGACCTATCGTGCACATTAAAATCCTAATAGAGACCAAGCGTACGAGATATCTCGGTGCCGACTAGCTGGACCTATTTCCTCAAGGCTTCCCAAACCCTTCCCTTCGCACGGCGAAAGGCTACGAAGAGACTCAGCGCACGAACGAGGACGACCGATGACGAAGCCAAGACTGTTCCTGGAAATGCTTTCAAACATCGGATATTTCTTGCCGGCTGAAAACACGAGACAGTTGCAACTGACAACCGCCATGGAGTTAGGCCAGCTTTCACATCTCCACCACTCGGGACTTCCCTACCAGAACAGTCGTACGATAAGAAAAGGCATCGCTCATGGATGAATGAATGAAAAAAAAAATGAGGGTGTATACGTGGTCCCGGGGCCCGAAGACGCGGAAGATGGGTACCCTTCAATTTCATTGAGCACCATATACTAAGCCTTAACGTAGCGACCATACGAAGCAGAATCCTATCGGCATGGGCATTTTAGCAAAAAAAACTGGTTTTCGGTTGGATGAACGGACCCGTCGTTGGCAGTTTTAAGTTCATCAACATCCTGGCGGGCACGGTGGTAGTTAGTGGTAAGGAGCGTGCTGGCGAGGGCGATGAATAATCGCCTCCGATCCACGACGCTTTCCTAAATTCCCTGTCAATCAGATATCTTGCGAATAAAGAAAATCCTGCAGACAGTATCAGTCTCATGGGCTCGTAACGGTTGGGCGTACTAACCTCATACTGGTTCCGATGTTCAAGGCAGACACGGCTTCTTGATTCCATAACGAGCTGGCCATTGAATCGCACAGAACTGGATGGGAAAAGCGGGTCATACAAATTTCAGTGCTGTCCTGGGCTGTCAGTGAGCAGTCTCACGAGGAGCTCCTGTCGAGAAGCGGGGATCTAATTATTTGATGGCCGGGGGCCGGCAAGCACCCCAGTGACTTCGGCCATTCGGCCCGGGCCTTTCGTCGCTGTTACAGAAGGAAAGGCGAAGCAAAACCGGGCTAAATGTCAGTAAAGCTTTTATACAAGCCAAAGGGTCAAAATTATTGATTCATGGGAGTAAGGAAAACTGCTGTTAGTGAATCCTGGTACTGCTAACAGGTTATATCATCCAATCAATCAGACTCAGGCTCGTCCGTCTCTGATCTCAGGGATCTCCATCATCCAGACTAAGATCAAGATCAAGTCCCTCGCCTTTCACATTCTTCAAGACATAGAGGATGAACATTAACAATGAACACAATCCTGTTATATCAAAGTTCAATCAAAGTCTGACTGCGGATCTCCATCATCCAGACTAAAATCAAGTTCGAGCCCCTCGTCTCTCAGACTGTTCAAGGCTTTCTCCCCCTGCTTATCAAGATCATAGCTCCATCCCCGCCCCATCACCCATAGATTGAGCTCTGTGAGATGTGGCACGTCGTGCGGTCGACGCAATCGCGAAGCTACCATGTCCACAAATGAGGAATTGATGAAAGAAACGTGAGCATACCGGATGGTATGCAGGTAAACGGTAAGCGTTTGCAGAAACGGGACCATGGAGTGCTGGGGTAACCCATCTACCAGGCTTACCTCGTTCATCTGTGTCACAAGAGATTGCATAACGGGGCTATTAATATCTGACACCCACTCGCAGAATTCGATGACGAGTTCCTGCAAGTCAGGCATGAGCCGTATGACATTCACAAGGTTGTTGTTCAAGACCACATCAACGAGGCGTAGACTCGTTAAGGAACATCGTGACTGCACAAGCATCTCGTGGAGGGCATCGAGCGCACCCACAGGGCATTTTACCACATCTTCTCCCATCTCTAGATCCCACTCGGTGGTTAGCGTGACTTCCTTCAGCGACGGAAGTACCAGGCTGCGCATAAAACTCGGCGAAGACGCCGAAAGTTCTTCGATCGATGTGGCCATGATGCTGCCGGGGGTGGAAAGCGGGACGGGTATCAGGCTAACGCCATAATCGTTGTACGAAAATGAGCGAAGATTTGGAGCCGATTCAATGACGCGAAGATACTCAGGGGTCAGCCAATCTCCGGAAAATGGTCTTATGTCGAAGAAAGATATGAGATTGGTGGCTGGGAAAGGTATGTTGGCCTGTCCATGCATGCCTTTCAGATGCAATTTTTCGAGTTTGGGGGCAACCTCAAAGGCATGGATGTCCCTGGACGGCGGGTCGCCAAGACAATCGAGGTACAGTTCCCGAAGTAAATCAATCTTTCCGCGTATGAGTGAGAGTCGTGGAAGACAGGATGGAGGGATCGTCATTTCCACCGCTCTCCATCGTTTCGAATGAGCGATCATCATATCGAAACATTGATCCATGATTTGGGCTTCTGCTTCCTCTGCCTCCGAGTGGGAGCCATAGTACTCAAAATGAAAATCGAGGGGATGGTTCCGGGAGCGTTCAAGGACAACTCGGAGCATTTCCACCGCGTCGGCTTTCAGAAGCACCTTGGGCTTGTAGGAGAACGGAACCTCTACTGTTATAGACGCCCATAGTTGCGGGCAAAGTGTTTCAATGACATTTCGCCACGAGCTGCACACTTGACCAAGATGCCATGGTCCCTCCCGGATTGTGAAGACGTTGAATCCCGCAAGACGCCTTCCCATGGATATACCTCTGTATTCATTATCTTTCCACGAGCGGCGTAGAATCTCCGTCGTAATCTCCAAGGGAAGGCGACGTATTGGAGACAGTGCCATTTCGTAGTCATTTTCGAATGACTGGAGACGCGACATGTGAGCCTCCAGCAACTCAACAGCATTGCGAAGCAAATCAAGGTCACTCTTTATTTCAACAAGAGGGTTTTTCAGGCCCTCCAGAGACGCCTTCAGCTGAGTAGTTTGCAGAGGTGATGGTGCGACGTTGTCGTGCAGAAGGGAGGCGACGTCAGGTGGATGAGTGAGGGCTGATATCCAGTCATGTGTGGCCAATATTTCATCCAGGAGAAGGCGGGAACGTTGCATGTGAGCCCGGTATAACTAGGGGGGAAATCGGTTAATTCTTAGGTACTATTAGGCGACAAAGGAACACACGAGCACTCGGGTCTACGAAAATTTCAATTGTTGACCGATCTAAGGCTCGGCAGCGAGCGACTAAGCACCAAGGTCGTTAGGAGTAGCACAAGACGAAGAGGTTGGGAAGAAAGAAAATTTTGTTCGGGTCGTCGGACTTATCGAAGTTAAAGACGTAATAGTAATTCGGACTACGTACCTTATTCCCACGGGAATGTACACTGTCCAGAACCATAACATCCGTGCAGCCTGTGCGTGAAACTCGGAGAAAATAGATTATTTGTCTTGGCGATGCGAGGATGGAATTGAAGGAAGAAATTCAATTCGGCGGCTCAGCAGGCTCATTCCGGCCCGGTAGATCACGCATACCAATCAATACGCGCTAGCTTGAAAACGAAATATAAAGACATCTCTGTCAAAAGACGGTGGAGAAACACTCGTCTAAAAGAATCTCTGCAGTAATTCTCCAGAAATTGCAAAGCACAATTTCGGTATGGAACAGAAACTAGCCGATATGAGGAGCAGATGCGCAGACAGAGGACTGGCCATTGGAGGTGGACCAACATGTTCCTGCATGCAATTAAGGTGCAGTGTGAACGTTACCCGTAGTCTGGCAACTCGGAGTTAAAACCAAGCCTTGAATTTGGAATGGAACGAGTACCAACACGTTTCTTCTTCTTCTTTGCGCAAGACTAAGCTGAAGGCATTGAATTTGGGCACGAAATTGATTGGGACTAGCTCTGAGATACGTACGATGATGGCGTAGCGAAGAAAAGAAGAGATAATCTCGGCATGTACATGTTGTTCTGCGGTCGGGGGATCCAGGATTCGGAATCAGCGAATGAACATGACCATTTTAAACTCGTCGAGAGACATCCAAATAACAACGGTAAGGTCGATCCGACAAAGTAGCAAAAGCAGATAACTAGATGGCTTTGCTGGTACTGGATGCATAGAAATGATATCTGCTGTTGCCTTGAGATGATGATGAAGACTTAGCAGACGGGGTTGGAGAGTCGTTCTCCTCTAGGAACGGGAACAGTCATGGAATCTGTGAAGAAACGGCCGAGATCAAGCCGGGATTCCGGACGGCAACGTTGGCGAAGCCTGAAATTACGGCTTGTGCGAAGTCCGTGAAGTCCATGACCGTACTGTCGCGCTTTCCTCTGGCAGTGAATGCCCCTCCAAAATCAATAGCCGTGTCGTAGGCCACCTCGACTCGACCTGTTACCCTCTAGGAAATCAATATTCAGTCGTCGAACACAGCATTTGGGTTCGAGAGATAGCCATGCTCTGACGTTATCGCCTTTGTTGCCATCGTCCACAGGCTTGAGCTTGAGCCTGCTTGAAGCAGCGTCGAATAACTGCTGTCGTCGATGCAGCGGCCTGGCCAAGGATTCAGATGCTTGCGTTAACACTGTATTCGTCGTGAAGGAAGGTGGTGGTGTTGGTGTTACCGGCGCCAGGTCCCAATAAGGAACGGCCGGGTCGGTCCCACAGCCTTGACATGGCGAACCATGTGCTGTGGCTACGAAGGCTCATACTGTTGTAATCACACTGGAGTGTGAGGGAGAGCCGGAGTTCAAAAAGCGGGTCCAGCCTCTGACTACCAAGATTCTCCAGTCCTCCTGCCTTGTTTCAGTAACAACGACGACAAAACGGGCTCTTTGACTGGTCACTGCATCTCAGACAGTGCCTGCTAGCAATCCTGGAACAGGACACTCAATCTGGCTTCGTCGACGCGTCAACGTACTTGGCTCAGGTGCAGGTTGTCATCGCATCAATACCTGCAAGAGGTGACTGTATTCATGGGGTATCTGTCGTGTGTTCCTACCGAGCTGGCTTGTCCCGATCAGTACTGTAAACCGATGCAAGGTGCACACATCCACCTGCAACGAGCACAAAACAAGCTAGACGCTCGTCGTTCCGGCAGGGGTGATTGATGTGGCAGACGCAGTATGGAGGAGCGAGCCTAGAGGCAATGCGGCCTTTGATAGTACATCATCTTCACTCATGGCCCGCCTGACTTTCCGGTTACTATCCCTTCTTGCTCTTACTACTACAGGTTTAATTGTGCGTCTGGAGGATCCATTGAATCGTGTCTACAGCACCAGAGTTCTTGGACTCCATTAGTGCTGCTACTCTATTGGCCCAACTCTCCTTATCGTTCCTACCAACGGGAATCCATGCACAACTTCAGCCAGCTTATACCAACCGAGAACGTACCTGTCAATGTTACGGACTGCATGAGCCTTCTAAAAACTTAGTGCACGAGCGGTTCTGATGGGGATGTGTGACAGCCAAGAAGGTCGACATTGAATGTCTTTTCAACGCTTTCTAAACTATTCTAAGGACAAGGCTATGACTTGGAGGGAGCTCCGACGAAAGACAGATTGATACGACTTTCACTTTTTTGGGACTTGCGCGATAGCCGAATGGCATTAACGCACGACCTCGACCCCTTTCTGAAACGTTCTGATGTTGTGCTTTTGACGTCTATATCGAGATTTGGGTGGCGTACAGGCTCCTAAGTCCTATCATTCCGCGCGCCATTAAAAATTGAAGGGAAGTTCGTGGATTCACACTCTAGGACGGATGATATATACTGTCTCCACAATTGACGGTAAACAATCCAGTCTCTCAACCGACTGAGTTCCACCAAGTCTTTCAACGACTTCCCAACAATAATGTCTTCCTCACACAACTGGCCCTCACAGCCCCTCCTCAACGTGGACGTGTTCAAAGCGGCCGGTGCAAATGCCAACACCCGATCCAATGCCCTCGCGCTCTCCAACAATGCATACCAGCGTGCGGAGCTTATCTGGAAGACTTGGGGTCTCACTTTTGAGGACATCGTCAACCTCAGCCCCAAGTTCTGGAAGATCCACAATGATCCCATTGCCTGGCACGATGGTTCCTCCATCACCATCATGACGATCCATCTCAATCTTGCTGTGGGTACCATTGGCACATACGCTGCGGATCGTCCCGAGTTGCAAGCTCTATGCAAGGATATGATGGATTGCAAAGCAATGTTCGTCCATTCTTTGTTTGCTCGTTTTTCACGCTAACGACGCTTCTATCAGTGGTCAATTCCTTCTCACTGAAGCCGGTCATGGTTTAGACGCGACGAACCTCGAGACCACTGCTACTCTTCAGCCCGACGGCGCTTTCATCCTCAATTCTCCTAACCGAGCTGCTTCGAAGTATATACCCCCGACTGTCCCGGTTCTCGGTAAACCCTGCTACGCCGTCGTCTGGTCGCAGCTCGTCGTTGGTGGTGAGAAGCGCGGTATCAGACCTTTTGTCGTCCAGCTTAACGACGGTGTTCATATGTGCAAGGGTATCACTGCCAAGTATGTCGATCTCAAGCATAAAGGTATCCAAAGCTAATGTCCGATTAATCACAGACTGATCCCTACCCGACATGGTGCAACCCCGGTCAACCATGCTATCACCCACTTCACCCAGGTCCGCCTCCCGGAGTGGTCTCTCCTCGGACCCGTTGGGGACAAGCCTTCGACTCACGATGATTTCCTCGTTGCTATCTGGCGTATCTCTGTTGGCACTTTCACTTTAGCTTCGCTCGCCCTCCCGGCTACACAAATTGCGGCCCACATCGCGTATAAATACTCCCTTCGTCGTAAAGTCGGCATTCCTGCCCAGCCTATCATCAGCTTCCGGACCCAGCAAATTCCCATTTTCACTACAGTCGCGCAGACGTATGTCATTGAGGCGTGGACGAAGCATGCGATTAGACACTTTATGGATCCTGCTGCGGACCGTCAAGCAAGGCATGCGATTACAACCATCTACAAGGCGGTGGTTATGGAGCATGCACAGACTGCTCACTTCAACCTTTCGGAAAGGCTGGGTGCTCAGGGATTGTTCGACTATAACCAGATCGTGACTCAGTTTGTCAGATATAATTTTCGACTTCATTATGGGATTTATCTGATTCGTTCTTAGGCTGAGATAAGGGGTTTTGTAATTGCCGAGGGCGATGCCCTTGTTCTTGCCATTCGTTAGTGTTCTTCTCTTCACTTCCCCTCGATTCTGACATTCAATAGGTCTTGCTTCGGAGCTCCTGCAGGGTAAATATTCTGTTCCGGCACCTCTCTTCCCCAACAGTCTCCTTGCCCAGCGTAAGTTTATTAGAACCTTGCAAACTACTACCAAGAGTCGCCTGACCCGGTTTTGTGAATAGACGAAAAGGGCATCTTCGAAGAAGCCCGGGCCCTTGTCAAGAAGTATGGACACCGGTCGAAACAGTATGCGGATTACATCCTTCCTCGTTCCAAAGACCTCGTCGAAGCCATTGGCCACCGGATGGCACATGAAAGTGCTCTGGTTGAATGTATCCCTGCTGTCCTGGCGGATATCTATGAGGTTGTTGCTATCCAGAAGGACGTCGGTTGGTACCTCGAGTCAGGTCTCCTCACCCGAGCTAGGATTGCAGATATGCAGAACGCAGCGATGACGAGTGCTGTGGGAGACATGGATGAATGGGTTGACAGGATGGGCGTTGCGAAGTGGGTGAAAGCGCCGATTCTGACTGAGAAGGGCTGGGATGATTTCGTGGATTCGATGTATACTTTCAGAGAGGCTCCGGAGGCAATGGCGCTTTTGTAAATGTGGGAGGGGAAAGGTCTGGGTGTAATATTAAGTAATCCTTTTGTTGTTTTTATGTACACAATGACTTGATTTTCTGTATCTTACATTTTATCCGTTGCTGTCGTCCATCAGACTCAGAGGACTCAAATAAATAATCAGAGTCATGCACGATGTGATAAACCCGATAGTACACGAACCTCATCCTCCAACTGTGTCACTGGTTTCGCTGCTATGGTTGTAAACTGAGCTAAGTACGACAGTGCCTCCGAAACCTGCCATCTACGTCAACGCTACGTTTGAAACAGTCACTGTTCACTATGAAACTAATATCAGAGAGATCGCACAACCCTGCCATATCAGTCAGACATAGCTGCATCGTAGAGGTCGTACGTAAGCTCAAGTCCCTCATGCTTCAGATTCTTCAAGGCATCCTCGTCCACCTCATCAAGATCGTGGGCCCATCTGCACCCCGACATCGATAATCTTAAGCTCGTGAGACGTAGCGCGTCGGACGGTCCATGCAGTCGCGAAGCTACCATGTCGACAAATGCGGAATCGAGGAAAGAGACGTAAGTGTCATCAATGTCGGAGAGGGAAACCTCAAGTTCCTGTAGAGATGGGACCACGCAGTGCTGAAGTGACCCATCTAACAGGCGTATCTCGCTCATTTTTGTCACGAGAGATCGCATAATGGGGTCATATTCATCCTCCCATTCATTTACTTCGATGACGAATTGCTGCAAGCTAGGCATGAGCTGGATAATGTTTACAAGGTTATCGTCCAAGATTGCATCGATAAGGTGTAATCGAGATAGGGAACATTGCGACTGCAGTAGCATTTGGTGGAGTGCACCCAGTGCGTCCACGGGGCATTTTATCAATTCCTCTCCGAAGGGTAGCCCGTCTAGGTCGTACGTAGTTGTTAGCGTGATCCTCCTTCAGTGACGGCAGTTTCAGGCTGCGCATACAGCTTGGAGAGGAGACTGAAAGTTCTTCAATCGACGGGGACATGACACAAGGAAAGGAAAGTGACGTGGACATCAAGTTAGCACCATAATCGTTGTACGAAAATGAATAAAGCCTTGGGGCGGCTTTGACGATGTCAACGTATTTGGGAGTCAGTCTGTCTCCGCCGAATGGCCTTGCATCGGAGAAGGACACAAGATTGATGACTGGGAAACGGATGCTAACGTCGGGGTGTATGCCGTACATATACAGTGTTTCCAGTTTGGGGGCAATCTCAAAGGCCCGGATATCTAAGTCTTCGGGCTTCGAGCCAGTATAACAAGCAAGGACCATGTCCGTAAGCAAATCAATCTTTCCACGGATAGGAGAGAGTCGCGGAAGAAGGTGTGGAGGGATATTCATTGAAACGTCTCTCCATCTTTTCGAATGGGTAATCATGAGATCGAAACACTGATCCATTGCCTTGACATCCACCTCAAGGTCATAGAAGTAAAGGCGAAAATCGAGAGGATGGTTACGGGAACGTTCAAGGACGACGCGGAGTATTTCTACAGCTGCGTCTTTTATGGGCCTTCTGCCCCTGGAACACTGGCTTCCCAGGTCCATGGTAGCCCATAGCTCCGGGCAAAGTGTTTCAATAACATGCCGCCACGAGCTACACACTTGACCAAGAGGCCATGGTCCCTCCTGGATTGTGAAGACGTCCAACGTTCCCAAAGAATGATATCTTCCGAGAGGCAGTTCTATCGACCCATAAGCTTTCCACGAACGACGAAGAATCTCTGCCAGAATCTCCGAGGGGATGTGACGTATCGGAGACAATGCTGTCTCGTAGTCTTTTTTGAGTGTCTGGAGGCGTGTCATCCGACTTTCCAGTGATACAACAGCATTACGGAGCAGATCAAGGTCGCTCTGTAGCTCGGAAATTGGCGTCCGAGTCGTCATATCGGCGAGTGATGCCTTTAGCCGGGCAGATTGTGAGGGCGATGGTGCCTCGTTGGTGCGTAGAAGTGAGGCGATATCAGGTGGATGAGTGAAGGTAGGTATCCAGTCGTATTTGGCCAATATTTCCTCCAGAGGAACGTGGAAAGATTGCATGAGAGCCCTTGAATATGGCTGGAAAAAATATCAGTCAGTTCCAAACCGGTGCCGTCAAGTTGAAAGAAACACACAAGCACTCAGTTCTATGGCCAAATTCAATTACCAGTAGGCTTAAGGTACAATGACAAGCAATTCAAGCTCCCAGACAGACAACTCTGTCGATTACCAGATGGTAGGAGAAGTACAAAACAAAAGGTTGGGATGAGAGAAATTTTCTTCCGTCTGGTCGCGTCAAAGTTGTTGAACGTAATTGGAATTCGGACCAACGCGTTTTATTCCCACGAGGCCCGGGGAAACTCCTGCTAAAGTTTGTCCGGCAAAAACCATGATTTTTGGCTTCAACTATGCAAAGATGGGGCCTAGTAAAATATGCTAAAATCCGGACAAACCTTGGCGCGAGCTTCCCGGGGACTTTACCACGGGAATGCACACTGTCCGGAAACATATCAGAGGACCTGTGCTTTGAAGCTTGAAAAATGGAGGATTATTTATCCCGATGAGAAGCAAAGTAATTCAACCTAGAGGCTAAGGCTTCAGCGAGCCTTGGCCCGGCTTGGTAGATAGCACTGTAAGCACGCCGTGGCACGGATCCGTCACTATGTAGACATACGCTTAAAACAACTTAAGAAAAATAGCATGTCACACTAACGTTTCTTACTAGGATCAACTGGTTTCGAGAACACATGCGACAGACTCTAAACTCAACTATATATCTCAGCTGAACTGTCGCCTTGGTTTCACTCGCTCTCCCGGCTACGCGCCGGATTGTAGCTTACCGCGTGTGAGCACTCCTTCCGAGTCTGTCGCAAATCCAACGATATAGTAATTCAACTCACATCCATTGGGACACCCCCTTCTCACTTCTCACTTGGTAGGTGACCCATGGCGCCACTTCTCCACGAATTCACGTTTATCTGACGTGAATTCCTTGCGAATGATTGTCTGAGGATCCTCCGCTTCATCCTTTTCCATGGACACGCCGTTGGCTCTCCATAGCCAGCTCACAAGAAATGCCGAGGCATCGATTGACTCTTGATCGGGAGACGGTGCAACTGGTTCAAGTCTCCGCTGTTTCGATGGGATACAGCTGTCAGATGGATTGCGTTCATCATCCTCAGAGAATTCTTCTCGTTTCACATTGATGTTCGGAGGATAGTAGCGCTGAAGATTATACCGGTTGAGAGTGGACAAACTGTCTTTATCCAGCCATAGGTGAAGGGCGATGCAACCATAATAGAAATGGCAGATGAAGAAAGGGGGGAAGCTAGAACAGTCGTCGGGCATTCGGATGAATTTGTTGTTCCACAATCGCCCTACCACCATGTAATCTGCTAATCGGACGTATGCTCCCTCCACCAGCATCTGAAACTGGAGGTAGATGTGCTCCGTTGTGTGCTGCAAGGACTCAGGAAGAGGTGGAGGTGGGTGCTCCTCTGGATACAAAACATCGTCCATTGTCATGCACGAGTTTGGAACCTCAAAAACTGAGGATAAGCGAAAGAAGGACAGTAAAAAGTAAGGCCGCTCACATAAAGGAAGGCACTGGTTTGATCTATCAGTCCAGCTGCATGAATTCGTGAATCCATGAACAAAGCATTTTTTTGGCATCGTCTATACCACCGTTAAAACGGACCTTCTCGTTCAGTCCTCGGGCCTGGACTACCGCATCAATGTACTAAAAAACATAAATTCGCCGTTTATCAAAGCAATAAGCGCGCGTACCTGCACCCCCTTTCGCATGGGGGAGGATATGTGCCGCTTGGCAGTCTTTGCTGGTAATTTCAAGCCAGCCAGGGTGACCATACATATTATCCAATACTCCAGGCTCTAGGATGACACATCTCCTGCCATCTCGCATATGAACCGTTTCCCTGTTGTGCAGTCGACTCTCTCCAGCATAGTCAGATGTTCTTGAATCCCCGCACTGAGCATCAGCGATATAAAGCGCGGCTGAGGATTGTATCAGTAGAACCATGACAGAAAATCAGTCATGCTCAAACCCTCGGTCACAAAATCATAGATTTCGTTATCAGCAACCGGTCTTAGCATGTCCTCCGACTGGAGATCACGCCCGTCTTGGCGCAAGTACCCATAGGTACCTGTAATGGCAGTGGCAACGTATAATAACCATTTGCGCCCTCTGCGGGCAGAGGCGTTGATGATGGCAACTGGGATTTGAAGCCGTAGAAAACGCTCATTGGGCGGTTTGTCGACGGCCATTCCGAGGGGCATTGGAATACGAAGAAAGGCATACGTCGGGACCTCCAATTCTAACAGCACGGTTCGCTCTAGCTCGGGAAGTGATAGGTTGCTCAAACTTGTCATGACGGTAAACTTGCAAGACGCAGTTATGATGTCATTGTGAAGAGTGCCAAATCGGGAAGCGAAAAAGTCACCGAAAGTTACCAGCTCTGCTTCGGCTGCCCTGCCCTGCCCTGCCTGCCCCTGCTTCAGACTGAACGTCGTCTATCTGGATCCTCTCGTGCCACTCTTTCCTCTGAGTCTGTTAGGATCAATGCCAGCAAAAACAAGACATCTTTCGAAGGATTTGGACCGCGATGATACCATGGGTAAATGATGAATGCGTCAGTTCTTGGAGTATTGCTGGTATATAGGTGCGCTATGCCCCCACCTCTGTTTCCTTGAACATTTCTGTATCCCACCAGGTACAAAGCGTCACCGCGACTAACCGAACCTACGGCTCAACCGAACAGCAGTTCCTCGTCATAGCATTTTGTTTTCTAGAGACAACTGTGCACGATATCTTGCTGATGTCTTTTGCCGTTGCTGCGAATATCTCTGGACATCCCTTCGACAAGTCGGTCCTACTAGACTCAAGAATGCACCTATGAATTGGTCGACACATCTCCTGGTTCTTCGAACTGAAGGTCGACCAAGTATCAAGGTCTACATCCTGTGTCCTCACACCGCAACAGAAGTCGAAACTAGACCTGAGGCCTGAAGGCCTAGACATTCATACCTCCATACGTCTGTTTTATTTTTGGTGTAGAAACCACCGCAATCTCCGGTTTTGTCCCTGGGATCATGTCGCAACGTTCAGGTACGTGCTCAATCAATTTACTGAATGGCCGGTCTATATGTGTGACTGATGGCCGGACTCCTTAGCGCTCAGTTCAGAAAGGCGCCAGGCGAAAATAGCGACGATGCTACGCTTGTTCCAGACCGAAGATCAAGCTACGAACAAATTTTTTCGGAACAATGCTCTACCAGCTAAAGGCAGAGCGGGGTCCGTTTCATCCGATGCGTCAAAGTGTCAGATGACTACGTGCATCCTTCTGCAGCCTATGCTTGCTAAAACACATTGAGCCAGGCTTTCTGTCTGGCGCTCTTCGTCATGCAACTCGCAGATAGTTCCGAAGCTCTTACTTGTTTTCTCTATCTCTGCAAGGGCTTTGGCTTAGTGTGCGTGTACGAGTAAGAAGAACCTCCTTGCCGCCATCTCTCCCACATCCACAATGCTGCAACTTGATCAATGCCGGGGATCATTGGCACCCCCCTTAATAATGACACACAGATGGAGGCATGCTGTGGTTAGTACCAGGTCAGTTACATCAGCCGCTATGCATGCTTGATTCTTAAGACACTTTTAGGTCACCCGTATCTCCATCCGCTGCGGTGGAGGGGCAATGGTCAAAAGCCTATGCATGACCGGCGAGTACAATTAGACAGTGCTGCCCCTGCAATAATCTTTATATCTTAAACATCACAAATTTGATCCCTCCCCAAGGACTGAGCCTTACGACTCCGCTAATGTTATGCAACGATGCAAGCCTGTCATGTCAGGAGATGATCCCGACGTCTCAACTCAGAATGCTCGCTGTCCCCGGTTTTATGAGACAACGGAACAAAAAAAATGATGCTTCTGACAATATCCTTTTCATTTGTCGTGCCGTTTTTGTGTCGATGCTATCTCATATGCAACGCAAGAATGGTGGCCTATATTAAGATTGGATCGAAAGTATGTCGCCGTCACGAATAAGTCTTTGCCTCAAAACCCAGAACAACCGTCATCTTGACGTATAAACCTAGGCACACTAAATGGAGGAACAACCGGCGTTCGACTTCGCTCTACTTCCGACTCGAAGATCAGGTTTGGCTCACCGAAAAAGGGCAAGATCATCGCCTTCGTCTTGGCCAAGGGCTTCAGTTACGGCATCGAATGATAAAGACGGGCTGACTCATCGCCGTGGATTGGTCAAGCGTCGAGACTGACATCAGAATTTTTCGCTGCATTTAACCTCAATCATGCACCGGTAGAGCCGTTCAAACCCCCCTCCGACACCTACAACGCTCTGGAATATTCCGAGAGATCGATAATGTGTTGTCCTCCGACTTGTAAGTGGTTGTTCCATTCCCAGCACTCAGAAACTGCCATAGGGAGCTGATTCATTATTTTTCTTCTCTTTCGTATCATCTCTCAGTTAGGCACGGGTACCATCAGCCGGAAGCTTCTCACCGGAAATAGAACCCATATATAAAGGCTACTCCACCTCCTTGAAGGATTAATCTCTCTTTTCGCGCCAGCCCATGGCGTCCCTTGCTCTAGGGAAAACACTCGGAGCGGTGTATATCGGAGCTATGATGGCTGCTATGTGAGTTTCTCAATTAAACCTGTGATCCGAAAGGGTCTAATGATGATCCTCGCCAGTCTTTTTGGGATCACCATCCTGCAAACCGCGATATACTACCAAAGATTCAGGAAGGACTGGTGGGTGTACAGGTACTCCGTAAGTCGCTCTCTGCGTAGTCGCCATTGGTCAGATGCTCACGTATACAGGTGGCGTTACTCTGGTACCGCGTTTCGGACTCGGATGCAGATACAAAATTTGACGATGCATATTTAGGATCCTTGATGCGCTACACGTCGCGCTGAGTACGCATGCGCTGTATTTCTACCTGGTGGAGAATTTTGGTAATTTGGAGGTTCTGAATGAAGTCGTTTGGTACGCGTGCACTTTGCTTTGTCTGACGGAAAACTCAATGCGAAGTTCCATCCTGACAGGAGCTTTAAGGTGAGTCTTCTTGGCTTTCCGAGCTTGAGACTGGTAATTCGGTTCCTGACCAGCCACTGTAGCTGCAACTATTATTCGATGTAAGCAATTTATTGCTTAATGTTTTCCGCTAACAATCAAAGTCCAGACTTTGACTGTTGTAGGCGTCCAAACGTGCGTATCTACCCCACAAGTTGGCCTCGAGACCTGACTCTGCTCATAGCATATATGCCATACGGCTATGCAAATGTGCGTAAACGTTCCATACTAATTTCTTTGGCTCATCATAGTTTAGTGGGACGCCACTTTCATCGGACCGTACCTTTGTTTGTGGTATGTCCGCTCGCTGTCAACTTATACTTGTCGCATTTGACGGGGTTCTCACCTTCTCAGGTGCTTGTCGTTTGTGGGGGATATGGTAACTTCTTCCTCCGTTCTCCTGTCGCTTACAGTTAACGTCCGAATTTGAAGTCGCAGGAATATGTGCGTGTGCTCGCCTTTTCTCGTTACCGGTGATCGTGGTTGCTCATATGGTTTGCTAGGTGTCTGTTACGACGTGTAAGGATCAACCTATTCTCCTACAGACTTCTAATCTAGACGCGACTAGACAGATTCGTGATAACAGGGTTTTCGGATATCTCGTCCATCTCGGTACGTGTACTCAACGTCGGACGCATCCAAGGCCGATTATTGAATACGAACAGAGAACTATCATCGCGGCCTTCTCTGCAACAACCGCAGTTGATTTTATAATATCCGCCGTGATGTGCTACTATCTTCAAGTGAGCAAGACCGCTGTGCCTAACTATTCCAGGTAAGCTTCGCCCGGTGTTATGGAATCATGTTGCTCTTATTCTTCAGCATGACCACGACGCTCTTGGTCTTGATGCGACTCGTCTTAATTTCGGGACTTGCTACAAGGTGCTTTTTTCCGGTCTCAAGTATCCGAACGCACAAGCTGATGGGTGGATAACTAGCACATGCTCGTTAATTACCCTCATTACGGTATGAGCGTTCCTCGTTCCTTGCTATCGGCTTCGAGTAAACCCTATGCCAAGTTTCTTACATTACCGAATTCCCTTGTCTTTCTTGGGTTCAACTTCATTCTGCCGAAACGTAAGTCCCCCTTGCCTTTTCCCTATGAGAAGCTCTAACTGAATTCAAACTAGTGTACATAAACTCGCTCTTAGCTATGTAAGTGCCGTTCATGACTGAAGTGCGGCGGTCAGACCTCACCTACATATCTGATTAGGCTCAATGCGCGCAAAGAGCTTCGAGAGTTACCTACTGAGAATTCATCGGACGGCGAGACGCTCTTGACTGCCCTCAGGTTCAACAAGAATTTCGGCGATAGCACGGGAGACCAGGTTCGGGTCACTTTTTCCTTTTTTTCCTTTGATGAAAGAGTAACTGACCAGTCCGGATAGAGCAGACGTCTGGTCGAATCGGGAGATGTAGAGCTTGGCACGGCAACCGTGTCGTGATAATATTTTGGACTGTAGGTTTATATCAAGGTATATCGAGAGGACGTTTTGGTTATAATGAAGTACTACGTGAACGATTGGCCCCGCGTTTTCCTGGAGCTTAGCAGCTTGAGCTCAAGCGAGGTTCACAAAAGCATCGGACTTGAAGCTTGAAACCGTTACAGCAATTGAATCAGATAAATTTTGTCTTGATTCGGAGTCAAGCTAAAGATGGGTCCCTGCAATCGAGACGTCAAATACATCAGTCTGAGCTCTCGCTGTACTTCCTATCTCGATCTCAGTGCTCTCTGTGGCTCTTACTACAATATTCGCTAGTCTCTAGGCGGGAATTTTTTGTGTACAGTTACTACGACGTATAGATAATACATGTGGTTACAAATTCTGGTTCTTTTCTTCTCACAGATGTTGACCAGAATAGCAACACCTCTCATCTACCTCATCGCTAACAGGCCGTCGTGTTGTATGTCTCAGGGTGCTATTAAATCATTCGTGGGATTCTCAAAACGGCATCCACCGTGTCGTAGTCTCGTGATGATTGGATCAACTGAGGGCTTCTTGGCCAGCGCTTTCTCAAGCTCTTCCACGTACTCTGCGCACACCTTGCAACCTGTGGCTTAACGATGTCAGGATGAGCATATGGTAGTGAATTCTCTATCATCTTTGCTATGTAGCTGATTCGTAACAGGAGGAAACTCGTACGTACGAGCACCGACAACTCAAGTTACGCTAAGTAGCCTGGCGACCCTCGTAACATCCTTAAAGCAACAACAAGATGTACAGTCAACTGAAATCGAACGCGTCAAGCGTCGTGTTCAGCGCCTGGAGAAAGAGAATGAAGACCTACGTGTCGAGAATAATGATCTGTGGAATGAAATCAACAAGGTGAGTTCGTTGTCGCTTTCTCAGCGTGCTGACACTGACATACGAACAGATAAAGGAACCACGATGTCCTCCTGAATTGTGCGATAGAATCATCGACTTCTTGCACCGTGACCATAAAGCTCTCGAAGCGTGTAGTCTAGTCTGCAGAGCCTGGATTCCCGCGAGTAGATTCCATCTTTTTGAGTGCATCCATTACGGAGTACTAGCATGGTCGTCGTCTCGAGCCATGGTCGACCTCCTCGACAGCTCTTTTTGCACGTTATTCAAATATGTACGTGAAATCACTATCAGTGGCAACACGGATGATTGGTATTCTGAGCCCGTGGGGATTCCGGAGTCGTGGCTGCAGCCACTCGCTCAATACCTCAACCGCTTCACGAGCATAACAACTCTTCATCTTCAGTCTATGACCACCACCTCGATACGCTACATCATCGACTCACCTAACTTCACTTCTCGTATCACAAACCTGATGCTCTATAAAATTGTCTGCTTTACCTTCAACGACCTCCCTTATATCTTATCATATTTCTCCAAGCTCGAAAGTCTTGACTGTAGCGTCCATTGCTGTGACATGTCCGGTGATGATTGCACTTGCTTGATGTACACAGTGGATATGTGTATGGAGGCATTGGCTATTGATGATTCACCATCTCCGCCCCCCGCGACACTACGGGTCCTCTTGACTATTGACAACAATAGCAGTTGTTACTCAACAGTGAGGACTGCCCTGTACAATTGGCTCCATGTTGGTGGTCACCCAAATCTGCAGACCTTGTGGCTTGGATTCCTCTCGCACGAGTTCCGTGATGAGATAATGGCATTGTCGTCATATCTCCACGGTTCTGGTGCGACACTCAAGCATATCAGTTTGGGATTTAAGACCGAAGAGGCGATAGGTGCGAACTCTTTCACTAAAATGATCTAAATCCTTGTAGTACTCATGTTAAATTTTGCAAGATCTTTTCTCTACTGAGTTTGAGGCTCTTAGCGGATGCACTTGTCTGGAAACTCTCCACATTACGGATGGAATTTGGTCCTATGACATGGCCCAAAAGAAATTTCACCGTTCGCTGGTCAAGCTACCAAAGTTCCTTCTATCGCTCCCGATAGCATCTATGAAAAAGCTGACCTTCGATATCTCATCCCCGTGGCCACCGTTTCCAAAACCAGAGCAATTGCCAAACTCGTATAGTTTTGTCGCCATTGACCAGCTCTTACATCGGTTCTCGGTCTTGGAAGAGATAACGTTCAAGATGGATAAGGTACAGGGAGAGCTACCACATGTCCTCAGGAGCGATCTGCCAAAGTGCGAAAAAAAAGGTGTTTTGAGGATGTGCGATATACGATATTAATAAATGTATCGAAAATGAAGATGAAGGATGAGGGAAAGTGGCAGCCGCCCTGGCGGCGTGGGAAATATTTTGCGGATTTCGGGCTGATTTACCGATGCTATCTTCACCAACACCTGCCTTCTTTTCCTGTCGTCGTCGGCCTTTCTTGATTGACTTTTTATCTTTCACTAATTGACAATATATTTCCACCCTTTCCATCCTTATGGTCTCTAATCCTTTTACATTAATTTGTCTCCGGTGCCCATGCACGAACCTAACACTTCGGCTCCCATTCTTCGTGCTCTCAACTTGTGGACAGCTGTACTAGACATTAATGATGCCTCATACTTGCCCCGGAATCGATGTTCGAGTGAAACATTTTTCACGTGGAAAACTCGTTTTCAGTATATCTAACAAGCACTTAGGTAATACCAGTCAGTTTCTCTCGTCTCTCATGTCTGATTCTTCTTCAGATCAATCCCAAGTTTCAACATCATTACTCGAAAGGTATCCGCCATGCCGACCGGGCTCAGTCCTATGGTCAGCCCCGTCTTTATCTACCTTTCGTCTGTTACGGGTTGACTTACACCTATGTAGGCTCTTTTACAGAGGGGAGAGTATGAATCCCAATCCTCTCAAATTGCCTTGTGGGACCCACGCCGAACCGTCTCTAATCCAGGGGCCGAGAAAGGCCGTCAAGCCCTCCATGAATGACATGTTCACTATTCCGGTTCTAAAGTGGCTTGAAGACGTGGTATACAACACCCCCTTTTGGTCCATGGATCCTAGAATCTGACCTTTCATTCGTAGGAAGAGACGGGGGAGCAGGTTTTCCCTTTCGTCCCAGACGCTCGTCTACACAATATGACACTACAGGCTTCTGCATTATTCAATAGCTACCGGAGAAAATCTGTATGCCGCTTCAGATGGCGTGATTACGATACTACCGATGCTTTCCCCTACGAGCTTCATGTTGCCCGTGCGGTCAATTTTGCACATGATCTTTATTTAACCGCCGCAAATTCGACGATGGGGACGGACCAGAAATTTCCCATGCTCAGTTGGGCGGCGACGTACGATGCCTTCTTTCACTCCATCTGGGAGGACATCCTTCGAGAGCGTGGTTTCCAGCTCGAGTCAGTGGCTGATCTTCTCATTCGCAAACCTAGTAAACCTAATTGGAACCTAGGTTCAGACCGGTGTGGCCCGTGCTATACCTACAAGAAACCTCCCCAACTACATATACCACTGCTCCAGACGTGGTCATAGCATACCGGGGTGTCCCTCTCTTCATCATCGAATACGTGAAAACTCATCCCTCCCTCTTGGACGAAGGTATCCTTCCTCACTTGAGACACCTGCGGGTTTCTATGCAATCAGCCCTGGTCGGACGCAACGAGCTCCAGCCTGTCTTCGGCTTGCTAATCTATGAAACATCCGTAATAATGATGGGGATTGGCTACATTCGTGGAGATCAGGTACGATCTTTTTTTAACCTCTTCCACGCGTTCTTCTGACACTGTCGACATAGTTTTACTCGAAGATGTTTGGTGACCGAACTTCACCAATGTTCCGCATGAACAGACCTTTTGAGACCTTGGCTCTTCGCATGACCATTCTCAACTTGCGCTCTTACGCGCAGCAGATATCTAAAACCGAGGCTGCGAATACCAAAATTCAACCTATACCGTATGGATCTCCGGGATATAATCAGGCGTATCTTGGTCTATTCCCTGTCCTTATAGACGACCAGTCAAATAGGTCAGTTTTTGGCTAGATCACTCGCTGTTGACAGTGTTCTTATGAAAGATAGATTAAATGATATAGAAGCACTTCAATGGATGCTCTCTCGACGGATACGACTCAATGGCTCTGTCAACCCGAATCATGGGCTTCGAGATACGTCCAGCTCATGGATATCGCTATTCGTCTGCTGTGATATCCCGGCTGATTTAGATGTGGGCTTACATTCAAATCCTCCATGATTTGTTTTGATTTTAGTTTCATAGGACGCCTTGATTGATCGCTGTACGCAATATCTCACCCCACGACAAAGGATGGCCCTCGACGACCTCAGTCATGAGCATCTGCAAGCATATGAGTCGCTCCGTACCGACGGGTTGGTCACATCCTCCGCCGAACCAGACCAGGTGTCGTTGATAGTAGACATACAGCGGACCGCCTGTTTCTTCGCTAGCGTTCAAGATACCTTTGGAGTCAACTTTAAGGATGAAAAGCCGTGCCCGATACGGTGGTCGATTCTGTTCAACTCGTTTCTGACGGTAGCGTGGACAGATATAAGGTTCCAAGGTCCCAATATCGTTGAGTTTCAGTCAGTCTAATTCTCCGTCACCCTCGTATCATTATCTCATACCATGATCATTGTAAGGTGCTACCCGTCCTGGTCAATGCATCGCAGGGTCAAGAGCAATACCATTCTAGACGAGGATCCCAACCAAATAGTTCCAGACGCAGCATTCATCGTCAAACCTGACTTTGTCTTTGGTGATGCAGCGTTCTCTGAGTATTCATATGAGGAGCAGTCTGAGTTTTCCGATGAACTCTCGGTAGTGGTAAACCCTTCAATCTACGCGGGGGAGTCAGAACATTCCGAAGTTCCTGTCCTTATAGTGGAATACGTGAAAAACTATAGCCCGCAAGGACGGAAATCGCACCTGGTCCACTTGTCTATGGCGATGAAATCTGCGATGGGTTTACTCCGCGCTCTGGCATTGCCTCCTATCGTTCTGGGACTTCTTGTGGATAGCTTTCGTATCACTGTCGTCTGCTGTTCGGAGTCAGGGGCTGAAGTTCGTTCATTCCCATCCATGGCCATCCTTAAATTAATCTCCTTCTTCTCTGCTAGGATCTGGTCACGGAACTCCCCGAAAAGTACGATTTTGACCTGATTAAACCGGTAGACGTTTTTCGACTACGGCGGTGCATGCGCAATGTTTGGAAGCTTGCACACGAGATTGAAAGATTGGATCGGGCTGCGCACGTTCAAGTAGAAAAGTCGATATCCTCAGGCACGTTTCCTTGGTGGAAGGCGAGTTCAGATCGACAACTGGGTAGTACCCAAACGAAGGATACCATCCGTGGCTGGTGTGAGGATGTTGCATTCAAGACATCCCCTTCTCTTCACTCTGATATTTCGTTACGACGTATCACCAATACTTGATTCAGAAATTCTCGATTTTTGTTTATTTATTAGATTATACATACGTTCTTCGCACCGAAGAAGTTCACACGAGTGCGGGACTCGATAGGTTCGATTCAACTCTTCGTTTAGCATCTTCAGCTCAGATTTTTACTATATAAACTAATTCAAGCGATACTATAAGCACCTTCAAGCAAAGCCTACGCCCACCTATATGGCAGCTTAAATTTGCAAGACTCTACCGTCAAGTATTTTTGGAGGCTTCAATTTGAAATTATGTAATATGAGCTTGAATCACAACCATCATCATCAGCTCAAGCACCACTGCAGGCAGTCTCTTCCTCGAATTGCTTACCTGCCTAGTTGTGCTTGATCATGGCTTGTGTTTCGAAGTTCTCATAGTCCAAGCGTGGCTACACAGTCCCTTTCCGGGACTGACTGTCTGGTCAACTGTGCTTGACCATGCCCTGCGTTCTGCTGGTTCAACTTGTTCCGTCGCTCCATTGCTTGCTTCCCGTTTGCTTGTACGTGAAGGAGTGTGGCCATGATTCGGTGTTGTGTATTTGAGCATTCCAAGAACGTTCTTGCAGCGTTCTTGTCTACATATCCTGTACCGCTCCTTCCTAGTCGTCGAGCTTGTCTATCACTTCAAATGAGTACTACGAGGAGCGTCTCTTATTCAACAGTGCGATCGCTATAGTGTGGGATGACTAGTGGCCATTGTACATGGCCCTCAAATATGTCGGGGCTGTAGGTCTGGCTGTTCCTTATTGTAACCTTGTGCCGGTACGAATGTCACTGCCGATACCATCTCGTCGACTTCTCTTATGCCTTTGCGTCTCTCTCGGCGGCTTTCTATGTACCGCTTCGAGCTAGAACTCGGTTTTTGGAGGCCTTCGCAGACTTTGATAACGTCGTTCCACACTAAATACATTAAGCTTACAGAGCACGCTAAGGAGACAAATCCGCTATGAATCAAATAGATTCCTTAAGTATGCCGTGGTTTTCTGACAATGTGCCACTACATTGAACTACCGAGCAGACATTTTAACATCAAGTCCTCCATTTAACGGTATGACCACAGCCAGCTCATGTCGGTCTAATCGGTTTAAACCGACTCATGACGGGAATGTACGTGACCATTTACACTTGTGAAATTTTCTTCTTCAGAAGTATTTATATTTATTTTCGTTCGTGGGGCACCACTCTCACCTTATTCATGGGTTTCCCCCCTCCAAGCGGGCTACAGCCCTTCTCAAACCTTGATGGCCAATTCTGCAGCTAGCAATAATTCGTCTTCTGGATCCGCTTCTGGGAGCACGACGTATTATTATTCAAGACCCAGGCGTCGGAAACTCAGTCGTCGTAGGTTGGGTCTCAAGGCTCAAGTGCAGACAAGAGGTAGGTACAGTCCTTCGATGATAGTCCTTCTGGCTAACGCTGCTTTACAAGGTTATGATCCCTCAGACTATGAGCAAAAATATTCCGAAGACGCCAAAGGAGAAGAGATGGGACTTTTTGCGAGGATATGGAGAACTTATTTGGACGAATGCGCGATCTTTGATGCGGAGATGGTAGAAGACTGGAGGGACGGATTGGACGTACTTCTCATTTTTGTGCGTCGCTTTCTTCTCTGTATGTCACTTTCTGACATGATGATCTGTAGGCTGGGCTCTTCTCAGCTGTCGTCTCAACATTTGTGGTTCAAACGTCTCAAAATCTCCAGATTGATTATGGTGAAGTTTCGGCAGCTCTTCTATTCGAGATTGTCAGTGTTCAACGCGCCATGGCCAGTGGAGCATCTGTCGATCTTGTTCCTCGCTCTAACCTCACACCCTACACACCCTTCCATCCCAAGACACTCGATTCGTGGGTCAACGGGCTGTGGTTCGCGAGTTTATCACTCAGCCTTTCTACAGCTTTAGTCGCCGCCCTGGCAAAGCAGTGGATTCACCAATACGTATCAGTGCCATCGGGAACGCCTCGTGACAGGGTGCGTGTTCGCCACGTTCGCTACATGAACCTCGAAGTCTGGTACATACCCATGATCATTGGCTTGCTCCCTGTGCTTATGCATATCGCCTTGGGTCTCTTCCTCCTCGGCTTGGTTATTTTCCTCATCCCTCAGAGTGGTGAAATTGGGGGCACGATGGCCGCTATCGTACTCGTCGGTTTCTCCGCATATGTTAGCACCAACTTCCTCCCTCTCGTCTATCCTCAGTGTCCATTCAGAACACCGCTTTCTGAATTCTTGTACTTCGGCTTCGGCAAGGTGTCTTCGGCATACCATCATGTTATCCTTCATACCTTCTCCACATACTTTTCTTGTACCGACCCGCCTCAGCCCAGAACTCGTGCAAAATCATTGAAGGACGCTGAGCGTGAGGCGGTCTATAAGATGGACGATTCCCCCGATATCCAAGCAGTTGCTTGGCTCCATTCGATTTCTTCCAACCCCACTGTTCAGAGCATCGCCGTGCAGTCTACCAGCTGCCTTCCTCTGAAATCGACGGGCCTGATCAAACAAAAGGAGAGTATGATTGAGTCTCTGCGCCAAGGAATTGAAGACTGTATCGACATCCGTACCGGCGTTCGCTCAGGCATGGACGGGGATTTAGAGCGATGTTTACGGGCCTGCCTGCATCTTCAACTTCCTGCGAATTCAGGAGTGTTGAATCCTTTGTTCACGATCGTCATGGACGGTCTCGCCAAAGAGAATCCTCGTTCATCACGTACCACCCTTCTCGCTGCATTGAGATATCAAGAGGGCGACGATGCTAATGTTATAGCATACCTTCTCAAGTCAATATCATCAGAGCTGGATGAGCAGCCGGTGATATGGGCCAACATTCTCTGCAATGTTCTTACACAAGGCGACCCATTCCATGGAGACTCTGCCGGTATTCTCTACAAAGCTCTTTTGAATGCATTCCCAAAGACATACTGGTCGTTTAATTGGGTAGAGCCTGCTATAGGCTTCCGTGCTCCCGCAATGTATTCAAAAGCTGGATGCCCAGATATAGAGATCTGCGACACGGAATGCGATGCCCAGGTTAGCCTTACTTCCGCTATTTCGTCCTGTCTGTATCCGCTTCTCGGCAAGTTGTTGTTCTACCACTTTTCTCAAAGTGCAGAAACGGAGGCAGGAGGAGAGAATTCTTCAGCACGTTGGTCTGACGTACCTATACCCCTACAACTCTTGCTATCTGTGCTTCGTTCGCCACATGTCGAAGATGCAGAACTATTACATGACGTCTTGGTTCATCTTGAACTCTGTGTCACGACCCTGACAGAACTGGAAGCACAGGTCTGGAAGCCAGACAAAAGACATACATGCCGCATGATCGTTCAGCACCTGTATACCGTAACGCAGTACGCGTTTGATGCCGGTTCTCATATCGCTTGGTCCCAGGCAAATCAGCGATTCCTATGGGAGATTTTTGAGGACGTCCTCAGCACTTCACCCAGCCTAGGCGATCCAGATTTCGTCGAACAGAGCCTCAGATGGTGGACGTCTGCGAACGAGCAGCTCATACATTTTGTGGTCACTGGAGATCCTTCCGAACCGATACACATCTACTCTCTGCTGGCAAAAACATTCCAGCTGCCTGTCCTCCCCTCGTCCATTTTCATAAATGCCTGTCGACGAACACCTGTTTGACCGAGTCTGCAGTGACGTTACTAAATGGCCTCACTATATAGACCAGTTCGTACTGCTCTTTCAAGGATATCTCGATCACTTGACCACCTCGACGTCTGGGGACTCGTACTCCTCCGGTATTCTCCAGCGAGCCACAGACGATCTATTCAGACCTAGAAACCTCATTAATACATTCAAAGTCTTGGTCAAGACTAATGATATTCAACGCATGAAAGGCATAGGGTGTCTGCGGCCTAATGCTTCAGCATGGGAGGTTTTATTTACCACGTTTGACGACCGGGTGTCAGATGTCGCATTCTGGGAGCCGTTTGTACAACCCAATGATGATCTGGCGGTGTACAATGCCATAGTTTTGGAGTTTAGGCAGAACTGGGAATCCGAACGGCAGGTTTCGGATTGAACAGCCTCAGCCTGCTGTAATCTTGTTCTAGGTGAACACGTCGCCAGCCTTGCGGGAGGCTCGTTTTTAGGCGACAATGTAGCATGAGACGGTGACAGAAATTCCGGGGAGCGTAGAGTGCCTAACTTTATTCAGTAAATCATATTCTACGATCCACTTACGTTCCAGGCGGGTAGCACTCAAGTAATCGATGTATTCTGGATTTATGCCACATTAGCCGATATAACAGACCACGATATCAGAGAGTGGACGCTTGTAGGTTGGTCGTGAAGAATTTGACAAAGCCTTAGAGGGTCCGGTCTAGAGCGGCCCGACCTCAGTGATGACAAATCTCGGCGAGACCACTTCATTCTTCCTTCGCACCGCCATGTCGCGTCTCGTTTGAATTGGTTGCTGTCGTGACGCGTAAACGGTTTACCATTTGCATATACCTATTACTTGGAGCATATACTCTACTTTACCCCTGCTACCGGAGCGCCGACCAAGGTTGGAACCAAGTAGGACAGTTGGAGCGACGAAAATGCATGTTTACCGGAACGAGAGAACTTTTAGTGAGTATTGACGATGTTTTCATCATTCTGTATTGAATATCACGTAAATAAGGATACTTCCATGCTCTAAAAGCTGTCTTTGTTCGCTTCCACAAAACTCTTCAACGTTCTCTTTCCGGTAACCTTCTTCTCCGCAGCGAATATCTTTTCCTCAACACCGTTGGCGTTCAGGTCATCCATAGACGAGAGCATGGTAGCGTAATCTTCAGGGAGACCGAAAGCAAGATATCTCTTCTTCAACTCTTCGATGGTGATGCGTGTGTGAGTAATCTTCCGGTCAAGTACCTCTGTGAAGATAGCAGCAACCTGGTTCGACAGTCAGCTGTGATGGACTAGATATAACTTGGACGAGGCGTACATCATCATAAGAAAGCAGTTCGGGGCCCGTGAGGATATGGTCCGTGTTATGGCTCTTCTCATCCGTCAATGTACTAACAGCCAAATCCGCAATATCATCTGCAGATATGAACCCAATCTTCCCATCTGCCGACGCGCTCACAATTGTGTTTTGTTCCTTGATGCTTTGAAGATGCAGTGTCAAGAAATTCTCTGCAAAGCCCAACAGTCAATCATCGAGTTTTTGCTACGGTTTGCAACATACCAAAGAACCACGAAGGACGAATGACCGCGTAATTGACTTTGAGTGATAGCAGATACTCGTGCACTTTCCCCATCGCTGGGTATCCGGGCTCCAATGTAGATGCACTGAGGAGGACAAAACGCTTGACACCCTTTTGCACCGCCAGATCGATGAAAGGCTTCATTGGAGGGAAGACGTCCGAGGTACCTGCAGGTGCGACGAGGTAGATTCGGTCGATGTTCGGGTCGGCGGTGAAGGCGTTTTCGAACGTCGACGGGTCATACCAGTCAAATTTGACGCCCTTGAAGGGCTCAGGGACGACGCCTTTGCGAGAAGTGAGGAGTACAGGTTGATGAGCATCTTTGAGAAGGCGGGCGATGCGCGTGCCTGTCTTGCCAGTTCCGCCGGTGAGAAGAATTGTCATGATGAGGCTACTCTGTGGTATGTGCTTGATATGGTTCGTAAATACTATGTAGACAGCTCACGATGGTCCTTTCTATTAGGTTTTTTAGGTTACCAACCTAAGTCTGAGAATAGCCAGCATAGGGGCCCGCCTGATTCAGCCGCGTAAGCATCGGTATGTCAATGGAAGCCCCATTTGTCAGACGCTGACATACCCATCACCAAGTCTTTGAAGCCATTGGATATTGCTTTGGTACAATGACAGAGATTGCTACCGTTACTACCACCACCACTTTACCAAGAGCGCCAGTCGGAGATGAGCTTTGGGTTCGAAATGGCCTGAAATAGCCTTCATGTTGGTCACTATGAGGTAAGTGTTCTTTCTACGTTGTCCAATTCCTTTCTAATGCTTTCCTTTACTTCCTTAGTTGCCCAAGAAATATATACGCCCGTCCGCTGTAGGCGAACCATATCCTTGCTGCTGAATCCGCAATGGTGCATCACAAGCTCCAAGTTTTCCTGCACCCACCGCTGATGCATGTATGTTGGATCATCGCTCGCAATCGTAATCCTAACGCCCTCGTCCCAGAGTCGTTTGATATTCCCAAATACATACTCTGTTGAGAGCCGCCGATGGTAGGCGTGGGGGCATAGTGTGAGTCCTAGACCGCGCTGCTTGATTATCTGGATCAGCTCTGGTCGTTCGATGGCGTTCAAGCCATGGTCTATGCGATCGGCGCCTTCAAGGCCGCCAACACAGTTGGTAGCGACCTCGCGAATGTGTTCGTGCGTGTCCTTCTGCCCAACATCGCAATGCACCGTGATCCAATACCCGTCCTTCCGGGCTTGGGCGAAAACGTCTTGGAAAAGACTTGGCGGTCGGTCATACTCATTACTATCCAGACCTACAGCATGAAAGACATGCTTAAATCCTCCCTCGAGCGCCTCCTTATATGTCTCCATCGCAGATGATGGGTCTACGTCCCGTAGAAAACACATTGTCCAGTCCGCCTCTACGCCATATATCTTCTTTGCATCCCCCTTTGCTCGTTCAAGTCCATTCATCACAGTCGCGAGGGCGACACCCCGTCGAGTATGCGCCTGAGGGTCGAAGAATGGATCTGCGTATCGTACTTTCATCTCCGCTGCCTTGGCAAAATACTCCATCGCGAGGTCGTAGAAGTCTTCTTCGGTTCGCAGTACCTCCATCCCGCCATAGTAGGCTTCGAGAAAGGTCGGGAGGCTGTTATCGCCTTGCAATTCTCTTCTGTGGTTGTACATTGTTGCGTACGATGCGACAAGAGACTCGTACGTTGGATACGGCAGAGGGATTTGGTTCTTCTGCGCGAGGCGCCATCGCAGAGACGGCGACAGCGTGCCCTCGATATGGACATGTAGCTCAACTTTGGGTAATTGGGAGATAAATGTTGAAATGGAGGTGTCGATGCCAGCCATATCGCGGTGGGCCGTCGTAGTGGTATCTAGGCAGGAGAGTTGTGAAGTACATGTGGTGCAAACGGCAAACCCACGGCAATTAAACTGCGGACCGGGTCGTCCGATCCGCGGTATGTCCCGCCTCTTCGCTTTTTTATTTTGTTTTGAAGCTTACATATCCTTTAGCTCATCGACTATCAGACATGGCTCGTGGACTATGATCATCTATCCATAGTCCACCGACTCAAATTTGACCACTTCGAATAGCCCTATCAGATTCTACAAGCGCCGCATGACACGCTTCTGAATTCGGTAATCAATCAACGGAGGAGTACTTGTGATAACGATAACGACTGCATACAGTACTTAACACCGCTACTTCTAACTCTGGAGTGCCCGCTCAGTTGGTCTTTGCCTCCTCTCCGTTCTCCATGGCTGATGCCACGTCAGTCAAGTCTAAATCCGCTGACGTCGAGTCCAATGTCTCTATCGATGCTGACCTGGCGCGAAAAGTGCTGCGGAAAATCGATTGGCGACTCCTCCCAATCATGTTCATCACGTACAACTTCAACTTCATTGACAAGACTATTCTTTCCAGTGCATCAGTGTTCGGCCTCAAAGCTGATACGGTGTGTTGTTTGTCGTCTTTTCCGAGGGGCTATTACTAAAGAGAAGGACAGGATCTAGTGGGACAGCAATACAACTGGGTATCCAGCGTCTTTTACTTTGGCTACCTCGGCTGGGCTTATCCTACGACGCATCTAATCCAGCGACTTCCCGTCGGCAAGTACGTTTCGATCAACACAATAATATGGGGCACCCTAGTCGCGCTCACCGCTGCATGTAAGAACTTTGGTGGTCTCGTTACTGTTCGATTTCTCTTGGGTGTGGCGGAGGCGACGATCACACCTGCATTTGTATACGTCACATCGATGTGGTACACGCGAGACGAGATCCCGATCAAAACTGGGGCATGGTTCGCGGGGAACTCGTTTGGGGGTTTGGTGGCTTCGTTGGCGGCTTATGGCATTGGCAGGATCGAGGAACCGTTATCTCCATGGCAGTGGCTGTTTATCGTAAGTTGTCATTTTTCCTATATCATATTCCTGGTGCTCATTAAGTGTAAGATTTTTGGTCTCGCTACAGGCTTGTGGGGAGCCATTATATTATTCATTCTTCCAGATTCAATAGAGTCGTGCGGATTTTTGAACGAAGAGGAGACGAAATGCGCACAGGATAGAGTTATTTTGGCTGGTATGGGAAAGGCTTCAAAGGAAACGAGCGAGTGGAAGCGCGAGCAGGTCTTTGAATGCTTTTTGGATCCAAAAACTTGGTTCTTCTTCGCCATATCTATATGCACTCAGGTACACTCTTTTCTTTTCTTTGCTCTGGCGGCGTCGCTAATAATGTCTTGATACTAGATACCAAACTCCGGTACTCAGAACTTTGGTAATCTGGTGCTGACGGTGCGTGAATTTCCCTGTATTCTTAGCTCACAATTGATATTGTTTCCTCAGGGCTTCGGGTTTACCAACCTTGAGACAACTCTTGTCGGGTTACCTTCATCGGTAATAGCGTTCCTGACAATTCTTTTAAGGTACGCCTTCCGTAACTGATTTTTACGTTTCTGAGTTTGGTGTACTTGCAGTGGCTGGATCGCAGGCCGCGTTCGTAATATATCCACCTTCTTAATAATTCCCATTGTTGCTTGCCCCGTTGTTGGTAGCGCTCTGATATATTCAGATGTCAGCAACGGCGTCAAGCTTTTTGGCTACTACCTCCTTTCTACAGGTAATGCCATTCTCTTTGTTCACTTCCACCGCTAATCTCTTTCACGGTGTAGGTCCTGGAGCCCTTCCGCTCTCCATGTCACTGATGTCTGCCAACTACAAAGGCGTAACGAAGAAGATGACGATGACGGCTCTCTTGTTCACTGCGTATTGCACTGGAAACATGTACGTCCATCTTTGAACTTCTCTAGTACCTTCTTCTCATCCCTCTCAGTGCCGGACCTCAGTTCTTCAAATCCTCGGAGTCACCTCACTACCAGACAGCGTTTCGGACGATCATGATATGTTACGCGTTGGTTGTCGTGGAAGCGCTGGGACTGAGGTTTTATCTGATTTGGGTGAATAAAAGGAGAGATATTCTGGAGGGAGATGTGATGGATGAGGAACTCGATGAAGATGTGACGGATTTGAAGACAGTGGGGATGAGGTATCGACTGTAAAGTTCACTGATTTTACGACTGCCATAAACCAACGACTCGCCTTTCTCGCCAATGGTGATTTGCAACAAATATTTCCTCGGCAACCAGGTGGTACGACAAGTCAGTCTGCGCGGTCAAACAAGAAAGTCGTTAGGTCGGTCAGCAATAAAAGCGTGAAGAAGAGGAAGAAGACATAACAAGCATCAGGTTCTTGTTTCATGATAATAAAGTTCCATTGAAGTGAATTTACTACTCTTATTGTAATTCACCGCTAAGAACCTGAGGCCTGAGTACCAACGTGTCATCGACATGAGCCCAGCGCCTCCCGTCTAAGTCTCATGGATCACATTGCGAATTACAAGCAATTTACTTCTACGTGGACCTGCCCTCCGGGCTGGCATGCCAAGAGGATTGTTTTCGTTGCAAGTTCAAGAGGAACTCGTTAAGACCTCTTTGTCTTCAATCGTAGACAACAACCAATCTCACATTGTGGATGCAGCATCCTGACACCAGCCACGGATGGTATCCTTCGTTTGGGTACTACCCAGATGTCGGTCTGAGCTCGCTTTCCACCAAGGAAATGCACCTGAAGATATCGACTTTTCTACTTGAACGTGAGCAGCTCGATCTAATCTTTCAATCTCGTGTGCAAGCTTCCAAACATTGCGCATACACCGCCGTAGCCGAAAAACGTCTATCGGTTTGAGCAGGTCGAAATCATACTTTTCAGGGAGTTCGGTGACCAGATCCTGACAGAGAATAAGGGATTAGTATTATCATGGCCATGGATGGGAATAAACGGACCTCAGCCTCTGACCCCGAACAACAGACAACAGTAATACGAAAGCCATCCACAAGAAGTCCCAGAACAATAGGAGGCAACACCAGAGCGTGGAGTAACCCCATCGCAGATTTCATCGCCATCGACAAGTGAACCAGGTGCGATTTCCGTGCCTGTGGACTATAATCCCTCACGTATTCCACTATCAGGATAGGAACCTGGGAATGCGATGTCGTCCCTGTATAGATCGAAGGATCCGCTCCTACCGAGAGCTCATCGGAAAACTCAAACTGCTCTTCATATGTGTACTTGGAGAATGCAGCATCACCAAAGACAAAATCCGGTTTGATGATGAATGCCGCATCAGGAGTTATTTCTTGGTGAGGCGTCGGGTCCGCGTCTTCGATGGTATTTATCTGGACCTTACGATGCATTGACCAAGACGGGTAGCACCTTGCGACGGCGAGAATGTTACGATGATACAAGAAAGAAGAGGTAACAGTACACACTGAAACTCGACGATATTGGGGCCTTTGGCCCTTATATCCGCCCATGCTGCGGTCAGAAATGAGTTCAACAAGATAGACCACCTGGTTGGACACGGCTTTTCTTTGATGTACTCGGTTCCGAACGTGTCTTGAATGCTAGCGAAGAAAGAAGCAGCTCGTTGCGTGTCTAGTATCAAGGCTGTACGGTCCGTGTCGGGTGGAGAGGACGAGACGAGCCCGTGTGTATAAAGCGCGTTGTCTAATTGCAAAAGGTCATGTTTGAGCTGGTCAAGAGCACGATTTTGCCGTTGGGTGAGGCAACGAGCACAGTCGAGAATCAGGTCGTCCTATGTAGTAAAAGTCAGTTTTGAATCACTGAAAGATTGAACGTATGCCCACATCTAATGCAGTAGGGATATCGCAGCAGACGAACAGCGATACCCAAGAAATGGACGAGTCGGAAAGTCCGTGATTCGATGAGTCGATAGACTCAGTGAGTCGTACTCGTCGAGAAAGCATCCATTGAAGCGCGTCAGCCTCGTGCAATCTATCCTTCGTAAGAGCACGGTTGACAGGGAGTCACCTAGCTGAAAACTGACCTATTTGCTTGGTCATCTATAAGGACAGCAAATGGTCCAAGATACGCCCGATTATATCCCGGAGATCCACACGGTATAGGTCGAATTTTTGTACTCACGATCTCAGCTTCGGACATCTTTTGTGCGTAGGAGTGCGAGTTGGAAATCATCATACGAAGAGCCAACACATCAAAGGGTTTTCTCAAATCAAATACCGGACTATCTATTTTACCGGTCGTCTTTGAATAGAACTGCGTTGCTTGTTAAGAAAACTGCATGCAAGAAGACAAGAGTAGGTCTACCTTGTTGTCGCGAATATAACCATATACAGTTATTACATCTGCTTCATAGATCAGCAAGCCAAATACAGGCCGGAGTTCTTTGCGCCCAGCTAGAGATGATTGCATAGACACCATGAGGTGTTGCAAGTGAGGATAGATAGCTTTGTCAAGGAGCGAGGGATCAGCTTTCACGTATTCGACGATGAAGAGAGGGACACCCCGATATGATATGATGACATCTGGAGCAGTAGTGTGTGTACTTGGAGAGGTTTCCTGTAGATATAACACGGGCCACACTGGTCTGAACCTGATGGTTTTCAAATTAGCATTGTTAAGTTTGCAAAAAAAAAAAAGAGAATCTGCAACTGACTCGAGATGGAATCCACTCTCTCGAAGGACGTCTTCCCAGACGGATTGAAAGAAGGAATCGTGCGTTGTTGCCCAGCTGAGCATGGGAAACCGTTGCATTGTCCCCATACAGGGACTCGTAGCGATTAACAATACACTGTGAGCAGTATATACTGCCCGAGCAACATGAATTTCGTAAGGAAATGTATCTGCCGTATCGCAGGACCGCCATCCGAAGTGACACTCAGAGTTATTTTGATAGCGCCGACACATTGCAGAAGCCTGCCGCGTGAGAGCATGTAGATGAGAGTCTGGGATGAGGGGAAGTACATGCTCTTCCGTGTCTTTCTGGAGAGAACGAGGGTCAGATGTCTGGATACATAAGTCAAAGAGGAGCATCCACATACCATATCTTTAAGCCAGTTTGGAATCGGAATAATGAGCATACTACGCATTGAGGGGTCAGGAGCCTTCATCAGCACCTTTTTTCGAGGTGGTTGTGCGAATGTGCCGCAATTGGGCCTGAGAGGATCCGGTTTCAGGCTCTTCCCTCTGTAAAAGAGCCTGAGAAAGTCAACGCGAAGATATAAAGTAGATGGATTATGGCTGACCATAGAACAGAATCTTGTCCGCATGGCGGATACTTGGAGACTGATGACAATGGACACTCAGATTGATCCGACGAAAAGCCAGAGTCTGAAGAAGAAGAAATAGACATGAGGGTGTGAAGACAGGGGCCAATCATGACGGACCGTGTTGCCGGTATTTGTCCACATTTGGAGTCGTCCAACTCCTTCCTGCCTCTCCTGTCCTCCCTTTCAGATACTCTCGCTAAGAAACGCGTCGACTTACCTCTGTAGTTTTGCATAACGTACTTGGCGACAGAAGATAAATGGTCTCGATGTCCTCCATGGTATCTGAAGGGAAGCCGCGAGGGACACACCCAGGGAAAGGAGAAGCTGCCAAGGTTCGTCACTTTAGCGTTTCAAAAATTTCAACATTTCAACTTCCGCAGTGAATTTGGAATACCAAACTATCACCAGGACCACCAGCCTGTCCTTCGTCGATGTCGCGCAACCAGCGCCGCCGCCGCCTTGTTATTCCCTCAAGCGTTTTTACTGAAATCGCTCGGTATCTGCATCCTGATGTCACTGAAGGAGGGCAAGCGGCTCTCGCATCCATGACTCTGGTTTCACGAAAAGTTCATAAAGCCATGGATAGAGAACTCTACGTGGCACCTCGTTTGACCAGCATCATGCAGTGGGTCCTGTTTTTGGAGACGCTCAGGCGCACAGGAGATCCGTACATTATGCGTAGGGTGCGCCGTCTATATCTAACAAGCCCAACATCTGGCTTTCGATATCGGTACGCGACACGGGATGCGGCATTTGTTCCCATCGCTACAGATGTCCTGAGCGGCTGCACCAATGTCAAGCACCTTACTGTCACATACCATCCTCGACTTATGCCCATTATTGACGCGTCCAGGGAGCTTAACAACATCAGTAGTCTGTGCGTCATCGGGTCGACACTTTTTGACGAAGCGTTTTTCGGCCAGAATGCTCTTGCAGACATATTCCTCAACCCTGCCCATCCGTCCTCCTTTCCTTCAGTCACCTCGCTGACTATTGTCAAATGTTCGTACGTTCCAGGATCCTACGATCCCCTGGTCACCAATGGTCACCACAATCACCACCTCCAGAGCCTTCGTATCATCGATGCGGAACTGTGCCAGTCAACCTTCACTTTTCTTCTGCAGCCGTGCCTAGCCACGCTGACGACACTGGTTCTAAGATTCGCTGGACAACCAGGTCATCATATCAACGGGAGGACATTTAAAGAGCAGCTACAGTCACTCACACTACTGCGACATCTCACCATCATCGGATGGAATGAAGGTCGTCATCCCTATGAGTGGGCCAAAGGCTTGATGGATGATGTCGTCGGCCATCTCCCACACCTTGACACACTCTCTTTTGGTGGTCATCTTGCTACACCCCATCTTTTCACTGTCATGGCACAACCCGCCAGATTGTGGAAACGGCTCAGTGTTCACGAACCCGCCCTCATTACCCCCCTCCAACTGTTACCTCTTGGGTCCCTGCAGATTGAGACAGTCGAGGTTAAGTGGTGCACCAGGCAGATTCCAGAGTGGGACGAAACCAAAGCAGCGATCAAAACTTTGTTGTATCCCACCATCGTACGCGACAGGGACCTCATCAATGACGCCGATTATTAATTAAAGTGTAGAAAAGTAAGATCCGGTCCATTATCCTTGCATCTTCTTGGGTTCTGATGCATTTTCAGATTCTGGGCATGCGCTCGCGGTGTTCGGTCTGAGTCATAACTTGACCGCTTCGAGCAGTCTCACACCACTTGCTGTCAGTGTTAATGGACTGTAAAATGAAAATTCTGTCTTTGTCATCTTCGATGAGTCTCGATCAACGGCTCTTTCGTATAAAGGTTGTAACTTGAGGTTTTCATTCTTCTTCACAAACTATCATATATCTTTCATCATGAGCTTACCTGCTAGGAAAATTGGTGACGCCCTCGTCAACCCTATCGGCTTTGGCACTATGGTTCTCGCCGCTGCGTATGGTGTCGTAGGATCTGACGAGGAGCGCTTCAAGGTACGGTAACCTCATCGTACTTACTTTGTATTGACCGTCCTACAGGTCCTCGACGCTGCATATAATAGCGGATGCACCCACTGGGACTCTGCAGACATCTATGCGGATTGCGAAGATCTCCTAGGAAAATGGTAAGCCTCCCGTATCCCTGCTCCCATTCAAGAGAGACAACTCTTCCTCACCCAGGTTCAAACGCACCGGCAAACGAAACGAGATCTTCCTGGCCACCAAATTCGGTTACACACTCAGTGGTGGACGCGGAGATCCCGCTTATGTGAAAGAGCAGTGTGCAAAATCCCTTGAACGCCTGGGGGTGGACTACATCGATCTTTACTACCAGCACAGGTGGGGTGGGGTCTAGCCTTCCGCCGTCCTTCGGTGCGCTGACAGTTCCAATATTATTAGGCCGGACCGCAATGTGCCCATTGAAGTCAGTGACTGCGCTTCTATGGTTTCCACTTCGAAAATTCATAAGCGTACTCACACATGATCTACTTATGTAGGAAACCGTCGGCGCGATGGCCGAACTCGTCAAGTAAGCGTCACCATCCCTGTTCCGTTCCCAATGTGCTGACTAACTGCGGGTCTTAGGGAAGGCAAGGTTAAGTACCTCGGTCTTTCGGAATGTACGGCTAAAGACCTTCGTCGGGCCCATGCTGTCCATCCCATCGCTGCTATTCAAATCGAGTACTCTCCTCTGGTTCTCGATATCGAAGATCCGAAACTCGCTATCTTGGCGACGGCTAGAGAGCTCGGCGTTACGGTCGTCGCTTACTCTCCACTTGCTAGGGGCCTCGTCGCAGGCCTGTACAAGTCTCCTGACCAATTTGAAGCGAATGATTCTCGTAGGGCTATCCCAAAGCACGTTGTGGTTCTGTCGGATTTCGTTTCTTCCTTGAGGGCTAATGGTTGTTTAGGTTTTCCAAGGAGAACTTCCCCAAGATCCTGGATGTCGTGGATCATCTCAAAGTCATTGGTAATAAACACGATGCTACGTCTAGCCAGGTTACGCTAGCTTGGATCCTTGCCCAAGGAGATGACTTTGTTGTCATTCCGGGGACGAAGAAGGCAAAGGTAGCTAAGCTCTATGATCTAGTACTTCATCTCTAGGCTAACAACGCGCTTAGTATGTAGAAGAGAACGCAGGAGCGGCGAAGGTACGGCTCAGTTCGGAGGATGTTGCCGCTGTTCGCAAGATCGCAGAGGAGAGTGACATTCCAGGGACAAGATACGACGAGGCTGGAATGAATATGGTATTAGTATCGACACCCGAGTTGCCAAAGTAATAGTGGGTGTAGGGGCGGAAACCGAGGCAAGTTGACTGGAATTCCTGTATGTTTCGAATAGTATTCAAGGTGGTTGCGTTGGCACTGTATGTACGTTCGCCCCCGTTTTTGAGACTGCGGGATGTGAGTACTTTTCGGGCCGGTCTCCCGACTCGATTCTTGACTTTAACTTGGTGTTAACCCAAGCATGAAGTACGTTCCCGCAACATCGAGGACATGGAGATGAGTACTCTCATGACCTTGATAAATCAGTTATCTTGAATCTTTCTTTCTCAATCCCGGTAGGTGGTGTTCTTCTTAAGACTGCAGTTTTATTCTGGCAAATGGCAAATGGCGTAGTCCATCGGTCCCCTGTGCACTGAGCAATGCGTATGACACGTAATAACATTCATGAGAAACAATGACGAACACAGATATCGAATACTAGTACAACTCGGACAACGTTACAAATGTGTCAGTCTGCTAGTGTATGTCTGGCTACTCGATACTAATATAGCTTCAACTCGTCATGCGGGTAACGCACCGGCCCAAGGTTTTGCGGAGGCGACAGACTCTGACCCATAGGCACAGGGAACGGACCCAAAAACGGTGCCCTATCAGCATCAATATACCACCCATTATACACCAACTGAGGATCCTGGTAGCCCTCCGTTGGCCCTCCCGTCTGCCAGGCAATCGGTTTGCGGAGGTCCGGGCTTGGACCCTTGTACGACCTCCCCAGTCCACCGTCCTGGAGCATAAAGTTGATGCGTAACCGCGCATCATTGACGAGCTGTGTATACGAGGGCATGCGCTTCTTCTGCCTCCACGTCTTCTCGATCTCGCGCAGAATCGCGAAGGTCCATGGATCCTTAGCACCACCTTTCTCCAATACGGCCTTGATGTTGATCTGGGTCTCGTGAACCGCAGCGAGAAGCACGCCCGGTGGGTTTCCATAAAACCCAATGGGGTAGGAGGAGCACAAGATGGTCAAGTTTGCTCCGGCGTTCAGATACTGCAGTTATTATCGGATTTCAGTATCTGTTGTTTTACTTCAATTTCGTTTAGTTACCTGTCTGAGTGTATCGGCGATCCAGTCACCTCGCACAGGCTCTACTTGCTTTCCATCATCTGCTTTGGCCAGTTTCCACGCTGGGCCCTTTTCGCTGTCTTCGAAACTCCTTTCGACAGACATTACATGAGCATCGACGTACACAAAGCGAATGTCTCCAGGTTTGGTATCTTTAACAAGGGAAATGAAGCGTTGTTGGAACCGCTCAGCCGTTGGCGCGGCCTGCCCACTCAGGGTTTTGCATGGCCTACCAGATGGCTCGACATCGTAATAGAGCATTTCCACATTGCCGGGGATAAAGCCAAGGGTTTCAACGAGTATGTCACGGACATCGTTGATACCTCCATCGATATCGACGTTGTAGCGAGCAATGAGTGCCTGAAATTGGATAGTAAGTGCTATACTAGAGTTGAGATAGGTTATGACTGTTCACCTTCTTGCGGGTCATCAAGTCGTTAGCCAAGCGCAAAGTGACGGGATTCGATTTTCCCGTGCTAGGAGTGCTAGGGGTGCTCATAGTGAGCGTAATCGCGTCCCTGTTACTATTCACCCATCCGTCAAACCTATAATAATTCATCGGGATACCCAGCTGCTTTTTGCCGTCCCCACTCTCCGATAGGATCTCCATAGACGTAACAAATTCGTTCCGCTCCCAGTAGACACAAACAGGGTCTCCCTCGTTGAAAGTCGATGGCACAATGACGGTGAGCATTTCGTTCTTTGCATACGCGAGCCAATCTAGCTTCCCCACGTACACGAGGCACCTGGGCGTGAAAGGAGGTTCCGAGTAGCTGAGCTGTAGGGTGCCAGTGAACGTAGCAGATGTATTATTGGAGGGACTGCACATCATGAGGGTCAATGATTTGAAATCGGCGGCGAGTGTAACATCGAATCTGTAGTAGTGGTCATAGGAGCAGCCAATCTTCTTTGCCAATGTGACGCTGTCGATAATGCCATTGTAGGACACGTTTACTTTCTCATTCCCTTCAGCGTCCTTTGTCCATTGCCAGAAGGCAGACACGAGCTCGCCGAGACAGAAATCGGTGGGGAAGACGATAGTGATGGCTTCGTTGACTGCGTACGACGAGTCGAATAGGCTTCCTCTATAGACGTACATCTAGCAAAGGTGTCAATTCGGAAATCCTTCTTTTTGAGACTATGGAGACGCGCCTTTGGATCAAAGCAATATCAGAGAAATCGTGTTGTATCGAGGACCGGATAATGCATTGCTTAGAATCCAACTTGAAATATATATATGCGTTGGATTCGGACCTTTCCGAACCATTTATCGGTCAATCGTCAAGCAGTCACAAGTCTGGCCAAATGAACACGCAGTGTGTGCCGTCTGAGCTTCATTCTGCGTGTCAAAATTTCACAGAATCAGTGATTCTGCCGGGTCTCACCAAAATAGCCTATCACTGCGGTGATGAGAACACATTGAATACGCAGTCTTCTGGAGAATACTCTGTGTATATCGTGATCGACCAATCACTTTTGAGATTCACTATCAAACCATCGCCCTGTATCGATCCAGTCGGATTGCGATAGAATCCTCCTATGGTTAGCCTCGAACTAGGGAAGCACTATCAGTTCGACATGAGAAAAAATAGGACAGATCGTACAATACATTGTATCACGGAGCTTGAGTTTCTCTCCAAGTGTATCACCGATGGTTTCCGTCCCTGCATTAACTTTCCAGGGTAAATGATATGATTTCTGCCTACCAGACGGGAGTGGCGTCAACGGGTCTATGGCCTACAATTATGGATAGGTTCGTGGGGATGAATCATTGAATTCCTCGGCTTGACATCTTATTTGAGACAGTACACGCAACAGATCCTTGACCTTGGGCCGCAAAGATGAAGTATAGATCGTTTCTATTATGATTGTTCATATATTCTAAAACAGCTTCATTGCAATAAGAACTTTGAGCTACACCCTACAGAAATAGAGCCACCCACAGATCGTATCTAATCGCGTATTCTGATAATCCATAGAAACGCCAATAATGAATTCCAAAGTATTCTGAATGAACCGACATCAGTTTGAAGAAACTAACACAGCATCACGGACGCACCTAGTAATACCTGAATCTCCGGCAAAGAAAACGCAGAAACGGAGATACAATGAGCTGCAGGAAAGGAAATCTTCTGGGCCCAGCCTTCATATTGAACACGACGCATCACCCGAGCGACACACCCTGATGTTAGCATCACCCGCGAATGTCGAGCCCACCCGTCCCGATGATGAAAATATGAAGCTCGTCTCTAAGATTAAGGACACAATGCTTCGAAGCACGTTCTTGGAGTTCGTGGTTGGTACCCGCGTCCTAGCGTGCCTACCCCAATAACCTTGTTATTGCAAGGGTCTCGTGTGTCTAGATCCTTTTGTTCTCTCGCGTGCTCGTCTTCGAAGTCTTGTGTTGTGGACATGCCTGAGACATGCTTGATATGGGAAAATAATGCGTCCGGCTCTAACCAGGTTTCCAGTGAACCAGTCCTACAAAAGTCAAAAGGTGTACCTCTAGTGTTCTCAACAGACAAAGTGTCCCTGCGTTGTATTCTTTGCGAGCGACATGGTATTGGGATGAAATCTTCCCCAGTGACGCTATCTTTGTGCAGGGAGGTGGTAGGCTTATTCGATACGTCGTCGCGATGAAGTAGCCTCGCTCGTGGATTGACGCGGCCCTGCCGAGATGAGCACTGACGTCGTAGCTAGAGGGAAAATGGCCCACATGGATAGGAGGGAGTGATATTCGGCTAACGAAGAGGTGAGCAACCAGCGACGTAGACTGAATGGGAGAGACTTACAGCCTCCTTCTTTCTGCAGCTACTTTTGCCACTTCCATCACACTCCAGGGCTTGCTCTATACATCGTTAGGCGGCAAAAAAGTCGTCTTCGCGTTGCAGAAATTTTTATCGTGAGCAGAGACGTGTCAACAAGATGAGCAGGCAGTGGGTGCTCCCCGAAGTCGTGCATGACATCGTCCTTCAATGGAGACATTGCCGTGACCGAAAGGATCAAGACGACACTACAGAAAGAGTATCGTGAAGGTGGGCACGGAATGGCCACTTACCATCCCGAATCTCCGCCTTTAAGGAACTTCGCTAGTCCTGTCGCCACCCGTACTCCTTTTCTGTTGTTAAGAATGGCGACAAATGTATCTTCATCTTCGTGATGCCAAGGTGCTACTCCCCGGACAAAAACACGTCGTCTCGGAGCAAAGTTGGGTCGTCCGAATTCATGTGCCGTTGGAAGTAGGTGGAGATAAACTTTGTTGACAGCGTCGCTCGCTGGAGAAATTCTTTCGGTCTGTATCTTAAATGGAAACATTACTCAGTGTGAGAAAGTGCTGAGGTCATCTCGAAAGGCTGAAATTTGGGCAAGGACTGAAAACAGGGAGTTAAAATAAAGGAACATGATGGAGAGAGACAAAAGGACAGTGGCGTGAGCCTCCAGCATCAATGCTCGTTGATCCCAACGTCCCGACTTCCTTACATCCAGATGAAGTCAACAACTACCCTTATCTCCCACCGCTGGAGGCCTGGAGAACTTGAATATATCTTCTGTTGGTGAAAGCTCTTGGCAACATATGACCTCCGAAGGCCTATAGACATCCCCATTGTTCATCTCTCCTATCTGATGGACCCAGAGCTTAACCTTTACGTCGAATACAGGTCGCTTCGTCTTCTCCGTCTCTGGGAACAGTGACTTTGGGTGTCTCGTTCATATCGACGATGCCAAGGACTCGAACGAGGAGGGAATGGGAGCTGAGGAACTGCTTCTTGAGCATCCCGACTATTTCGTTGGTGGGAAAGTACCACCGTTCGTACCTCGAGATGAAACTGCACATTGGCCTTACAAGCAGCCTGCGGCAATGCACAAACTCCTTGATGAGACTTTATCATCTTCCGTTGCCTAGGCTGCTGTTGTTACTGATCGCAGCGCCCTTGTTAAATCTTAACATCGGCATCTAACACCTCTAACAAGGTACAATCAATGTTTTCATTTCCTTCTCTTGTCGTTACTAGTCAGTGAATTGTACTGTTGACTCGATGCTCCGAGCGGTGCGATACAACTTACAGAAGAATCAGTATCATATCTATCCCTGATGCTCGTAGGCGTAAGAGTACTTGACGATAGGACGATCAAGGCTAAGACAGACTCCGCCCTCGGTGCCGTCATGAAGCGCGAGTCGAGGTAAGCTGGCTCCCGCGCTCTCACACAGAGGTAGCAGAACGAAGAAGAAAAGTAACATCAACATGACTTCTTGTCGTACTTCAATATGTACGGGAGGGTTCCCTCTTCTTCGGAACAGAGCCACAGTGTCTTTGACAGAATAGGGGGCCTTGGCTGAAGCTTCAAACAAGTTCGACGTCCTGCCCGAAAATCGTTCGCTTTGAACGCAGACGCACTCGTAAGACTTGCTGGACGTCGATACGTCGTGTGTCACAGTGGAGAGCTGTTTGTGTCGAATTTGAGTCTGCATTGGGGTGATAAGCAACGAAAATAGTTATTTAGGTGGCTGGAAATACGTACCATAGACTTCTCCTTGGCACATTGGACAATGTCTGTGCTCCTAGTCCATACGTCGCAGCCAGCCAAAGTCGTCATCCAAGGACACGGTCACTGCAGTTTAAGAGTCTGCATTCAAATGTTAGCGACAAACACAATTATAGACATGGCAGGTACATACCTTGTGCCTGCGCAACCCTCCACCTCACCCGTGCTCTGCACTTCATGAGCTTGAAGAACTGTCGCCATCTCGCCGGACGTTAATACATGATGTCGGAGTAAAAGTCTGCTTTCAAATATTAGCAGTCAACAATTGTTGACTGGATGGGTACATATACCTTGCGCTGCACGCCCGTTGCTATCTCGACGACGCCATACGCCTGCTTGCCGGATGTCAATACATGGCGTCGAAGCAAAAATCTGCATTCAAATGTTAGCGGTGAACAATTATCAACAGAGCAGGTACATACCAGACTCGTTGCCATCCCAAAAATGCCATATCCTTGCTCGCCGGATGTCGATACATGGTCTCGAGGTAAAAATCTTCCTTCCTCGCAACATACAGCTTGCTATAGAATGGCGTAGTTTGAACCTTCGTCTCGGGCATGCGATGGTGGATGAGAGGGGTGAACGGGAGCCCGTGACGATGGAAGGAAGGGAGAGATCGGTAACCGGCGTGCGTGGGGGAGTGCGTGCATGCTCGACACCTCATTCCTCCCCGGTGTTGACGCCTTGCTCGCCGGAAGACGATACATCGTCTCCAGCCAAAATCAGACACCCACACGCTCGGACCCCCTCCGCAGACAACACCATTCTTTGCAGTGGCTGGCTTCTCTCATCACAATCTCGAGAGATGTCTGCTTTCAAATGTTAGTGTTGTCTGCACACGCATTGCCATCTCAATGATGCCGTACCCCTGCTCGCCGGACGTCAATACATAGCGTTGAGGCAGAAAGCTTCCTTCCCTCACGGCGTACAGCTTGTTTCCCCATACAAGACGTCACGCACGGGATGGTGGATGAGAGGAGTGGTTGCGCACGTGCGAGGGAAAGAGGGTTCGGCGATCGGTAAGTGTATGGGAGTGCATGCATGCTCAGTCTTCCTCGGCGTCGACATCACGCTCGCCGGAAGACGATACATCGTCTTGGGCCAAAATTCGGCATCCTACACGCTGGCATCTCCTTCCCAGGACGACCCCTCGGCAGATAACTTTGTTCCTTGCCCAGTGAGAGCTTCTCAGATATCGATAACGAGACCGGAGAAGGGAGCAATGGCCGTCGTGCGGGGGTGTAAGGGATATGAAGATGGAAGCAGGGAAAGGACACGATCAGAGATCTGCGCACATCCTCTCCTGCAAAACCATCCCCGTGAGGTCGACGGGGGCCGAGAGGATCGGCGGGGGAGTCAATGATCTGGATGCGGGTGCGCGAAAAATGAACAATAAAACTAGCATACACATAAGATACAAGACGATAATGGTGTATGAGAATATAAACTCACTGGAGTCAAGTTGACATGTTACACGCATCTCCCGTTCATCCACCATTCACAGCTTGCAAACGATATACTCTTCCTACGGAGGATGGATGCCACTCGCCGTGGGGGCGTCAGTCTCGGACAAAACGGGCTTGCATGCTATCGGTATCGACATAAGCTGAAAATATACTGAAATCAATAAAAAATACACGGAAGAAAGGAGGACGGAGCATACCAGGCAGGGGAAGGCCATCCTCAGTGATTTGACATTGACCTAAATCTTCGGAATCGTGTTTGAACGAGGCAGCTGTCGGAGGCGAGTGAGATGGAAGAAGCGCGAAGAGAGCTACCTGCACAGCCATGCCTTCGGCAAACACTCTAGTCCCAATTCGGAACTCAACGCCCTTCCTCGACTTGCACCGTGTAACAAGCCCTACTACCTCTCACATTCATAGTGAGAGGCAGCGGATATGATAAAGATATGTGTCGTCTAACAGGGGATGGAATATTGGAGGAGCATAATGACAGCGGAATGTGACGGTAAGTGGGAACCAAGTATTATGCATTCCGAAGCTTTATAGTCTCGTGACCGCCATTTCCGGACAAGGGCCCGCGGCGGCGCCGGCGACAAAGTCCTTGCTGGAGGGACACTCAGCCATGTACACAATACCTAGTTTCAATGTTCAATCATTTCCGAACTCGGTTCATTTCTTTACTAAGGCAACACTACAAAACTGTATAAATGACCTGGTTGGGAGAGCGAGTGGGGTAGGTACAGTAAGATACAGTTTCACGAGACAAGCACCTCTTTGTTCCGAGATTCCAACGTCTAGCAGACCAGAAGTTAGGAGGGTCGCAACAACAATACTATGCAAGGTATTAGCCGGAAAAAAAAGAGCAACGGACTTCGATGAGCACGGTAACTGGAAGGAGCTAGTTGAACCTGTTTAATGATCTCCGCCAAAGGATGTTGACAATAACATTTAGCTGGATCCATGCCATCTACACTTGCTACATTTGAACACTTCGACAGAGACTGGATGGTTCAACATCGACCTGCATGTTGTATGGATGGAAGGTACCAAAGCTCCATGCGTCGAGGATGTCATAGCAAAACATGCTGACTGGCAATGGACTAGTTCCGTTTTATCTCCAGGTAGATCAGAGATGAAGAGTGCTTTGTCTAGCAGGAGCCTTTAGATAAAGTGATAATTGAACATGGTTGGGGACACACTACTGAGCTGTTGAATGAACTTCAAAGTTATTCTCTGTATCCCAGCTCATTAGGATTCACCATGCTGGGCAACTCCTGGTATTGCTACAGAATCTGAAAAGTTTGGTGTCGCTGGTCTTGTCACCTCCATGTCTTGAAGCTGCTTGATGAAATCTTCGGGTTTCATTGATTAGCCGAGAATCTGCTGCCAGAAGCTCATGGTTTGTTAGAGAGGTGAGTACTGGCAAGAAAGATGAATTTGATATTGGCAGGTTTTGAATACCGAGAGGGAGGCTGGCAGTTGACGAGGTGAGCAAATAGAGACACATGTATATTACCTTGCTTGCCAAGGTCTCTCCAGGTCTATTACCTGTGCTTATTAATCAGGAGATATCACGTGCTATGGAATCACCCGATACTAGCTGATAACACAGGTCTTCATGAGCCAGTGGGCACTGGTGTACTACTTTCTCAGCAATTGTAATACCTCACTATAAGATGCTCAGGGAGAAATGTGACCATGTCTATAGCACTGTTAGCAAAGACATTGTCAAACAACTAAGGATGTGGGTGTTCCCAGTTCCAAGGGCCAAAGATAATTTGTCGATATCTTTCTGTCAGATGTTTGCCCTGGATAGTTCCTACAAAGCTATGAAGAAAGCATTGATGATGGAGTAGCACTCATGAATCATACCTTGTTTGTTTTCAATGAGGAAAATTAGGATGACCCCCAGTAGTTGTCTGACAATGTCTTTGCTAACAGTGCTATAGACATGGTCACATTTCTCCCTGAGCATCTTGTAGTGAGGTATCACAATTGCTGAGGAAGTAGTACACCAATGCCTGCTGGCTCACAAAGACCTGTGTTGTCGGCTAGTATCTGGAAACCTGTCAAGGACAGGAAACACTAAACTCATGAAAGGCAACGAATACGGTGAATGACATGTATTGGAGAGAACAGTAGACATCTATGTGAGGGAGAGGAAGAAAGAAAGAAAAAGTTAGTCCTCTAACTATGGGAGTGAGTATTTATACGAGTGGAAGCAGAATCCAGGAAAAAGATGGAAGCAAAAGTGGTCTGAAAGTGTGTGTCATTGCAGTGTAAGTACATCATAGCTGGGGATGAGCTTACACCCTCCCCTGTTTTAAGAAAAAAAACTTACTCCTTGAGCAAGAGCCATTTGTCAAGGGCCTCGCAATCCTCTAATTCCTTTCATGGCAGCCAGCAATCCTCTTCTTCACCCTCACCAACCCAATGAACAAGGTATTGATAACCACACCCACATTTCCATTCGTCGATGATTTTGTCTATGAAGAACTCCTCAATACCATCAGCAGTGATGATCAGATGCGGAGCAGGGTGTTCATGGTAGGGGAAGAGGGACAGATCATTATGGATGAAGGGTTTCAATACACTAGAATGGAAGGTAGGGAAGGTGTTTGGTAAATTAGGGATGTCAAGCGTATAAGAGGACATTTCTGGATGGGCATCAATGACTGTGTAAGGGCCATCAAAATGGGGCATGAACTTCACTACCCTGTCTTTCTTGCCAGCCTTGTATTCTTGACAGTGATGCAAGGTAGACAGCATCACCTTATCACCTACATGGAATTCAGTCTCAGGTGCATGTTTCTTGTTTGCATGAAAGGATTGTGTGATTTTTGCAAGCATGAGGTTGTCTTTGGCATCCTGAGTCTGGGACTTGATACGTTGGAGTAGCTCGGTTGTCAAGGTGATGGGTTCTGAGGGAGGTAGCATTGAGGGCACCAGTGGAGGGATAATGCATAGGGAGTGACCTATTCTGAGCTGGAAACCAGAGTAGCCCATGAACGCATTAATGGTGTTCATCATATTGAATTGGATGATTGGGAGAGCCTTTACCCAACCCTTCTGTTTTTGGAAAATGTGGAAACAGATACATTGGTTCACAGTTTTATTTGAACGCTCACTCAAACCATTGGTCTATGGGTGGTATGCAGAGGATAGCTTCAAGGAGATGCCAGTGAGCTTGTGTAGTGCAACCCAGAATTTGGAAGTGAATAATTTGTCTCTATCAGAGACGATATTAGCAGGTAGACTATTCTCACAGTACCATTCATGAAAGAATACTTCTGCAAGCTGAGGCGCTGTGATGTCTGTTTGAATGAGAATGATTCAGATGTCAGAACCTAGTTGATCTGTCATCGTCAGAATACAATTGAAGCCATCATCTTCAGGCAATGGGCTGATGAAATCCATAGCCACACTGTCACCACGATCATCAGGAATGGGGAGAGGATGTAGGAGGCCATGTGGTTTTGATGTAGCTGATTTGTTTCACTGGCAATCAACACAGGCCAGGATATAACCAAGCTTGAGATCGTGGCGCATGTTGGGCCAGTAGTAACAGTCATGCAATGTCACATAGGCCTTATCAGTGCCAAAGTGTTCCAAGGAATTGTGTGCGAGTTGAAACAAGTCTTCTTGCAAGGATCCTGTGTGAGGGATAATGAGTCGATCCCCAATGTACCAGAGATCATTGTGGAGTTTGATCGAGGTGAGAGAGGTATTGTCATGGACTTCATTTATTTTCTACTACCAAGTACCTTACTGACTCATACATGCTTAGTACTGTGATACATGGACGTCACACTAGCACTTCTATTCGGACTAAACTGCCAGCTCATCATACCATTCACGGACTTATTAGCCACTATTATTAGGATACCCTTCCTGTATTTAAGCAAGCCAGCTGTGGCCTTGAGCCCCAGCTTTGGCTAAGGTCTATATACCTAGTCGTCGACTCCATCTCTTTCCTGCCTAGGCTGTCTAAGTCCACCTCTATAAGACCACTTGCGCCTGCTCGTTGTATGCTTGACCAAAGTGCGAGTCACGTCATGAGTTTGACCTTGTTTGTTGGACTAGTGGGTTACATTTAGCCAAAGCTTCTATCTAGGACCTTCATTGTCAACCATGACAGTGAACGTCACTTATGAGCAGCACATCATCTAACACCTTTAACGTCTTCGCTGGTTTCCTCACCACCATCATCATACTGGTATTCTGCTTCCTGTATGGATACCTCAGATATAAGCGATGACACCGTGCCAGAGTCCCACAGACCCCTGTTCCTGGGAGAGTATACTACAGGCTCGACGGGCAACCCAGATGCACCCCATTCCACTACCGAAATGCCAGTACCTTCAGATTCCGACACAGTGCTTCAGCGTCAAGGAATGAGGACGTCCATGCCAACATCCCAGTCCAGTGAGATGAAGAAGATGTGGAAGGAGAGGTTCAGGTTGGTGGAGTCGAAGAGCAAGATGATGCAGAAAGAAGAGAGCAGTGAGTCCTCGCAGATGGGATTCTTCAGGCATCTGCTGACCCCTCGGATGAAGAATATGGGATTGCCAAAACCAGGATTGACCCAAGCACAGGAGGGACCATCGTCAGGCCAGGAACTTGCCCCCATGCCACCTGCCTCTACCTCAGCACAGAGCGAGGGGAAGAAACTTTTATGGCCTACCACGGATTCCCTCCCTGTGCCCCAGATCCAGATGAAGTCCCCCAGCTGGAAGAGTTTGACACCTACCAGCATGACTGGGCACTCATGGATGCATGGCACCAAGCCAACTGGCTCCCTCCACTCGAGGACAGGGAGATACCAGAGTTTGATCTTGTTAAGCACTAACTCGAACCTTCGCCAAAGCTGGTCTCTATCCTGTCACTCGCGTTCGGTGATTCAGTGTTAGAGAGGCATTGGTAGATTGTGAGAAGTTAGGTGTCACTTTATAGCAAAAGCAAGGAGCTTGTAAGAGTTAGGAGTATATAACCTTAGCCGAAGCTGGGGTCTGAGGCCACAGTGTAGGCTAGCTTAAATACATGTTAGACTTGTACTAAGAATAGTATCTACAAGGGCACGTGCAATGAGAAGTGCGTCTTTCAACGAATGAGGAGGGAAAACACTAAAAGAAGTATGCTCCCGACAAATGAGAGTAAAGAGCGCATATCACCTGCATCTGCGCGGGACTCCGTCTGAATAGGCTGCATCCCGTAGACTGCCCTCGACTAGCGGTCGACTCTCGTCCAACTACTAAGAAGCATGATGCCATCAAGAGAAGCGTGATGGCACATGCGGGTCACTGGTCATCTGAAAGGTGGCAGCATGAACTGGGGTGACAGCAGCCGGGTAACTGGGTAAAGAGTGTGCCGGCAGAATATCATGGGTCCGGGAGATAAGATAGGTAGGTCCGGGGTTCCGAGAGATAAGGATAAGATAAGATAAGGAAAATAGGGGTAAAACTGTAATAATACCCCCTGACTAAGACTGTCATCCTGACAGTCCTTTAGACATACTTACTCCCTGAGTCAAGGGAGTTAGTAGATTCCATATCCCATTTGTAGTCCTTGGTTTGTTCCCAAGCAGACATGCCCCATTCTTCTTGAGGGAAGCTGGGGTCGGTCTGAGTCGTTAGAGGAGACTCGGAACGCTCATCTTCGAAGACGTCTTCATCCGTGTCCGATGAATAATAGCCCTGCTCATCGAAGGATAATGGATCGGTATGATTCCTGCTCGAGACTGGAAAGAAAGTTGAGCTCTCGGTCACTGAAGAGCCAGGAGATGATATGGTTATGCATCCTCCTTCGTTTTCCAAGTGTCACAAATTGTGATCCTGTACGCAGTCTTCCTTGTTCTCGTATTCCTTGACGAGTTCTTCGGCATTGGCGAGGTTGCTCCTCTTGACCCAAGTAGCTTCCTCCACTGGGTATCCCTTCCATTTGACCAAATATTCCGTTATGGTCCTCTGGCTGTGTCCTCGACTGACGATGCGGTCGCGGTCCTGAAGTAGTTCCTCTACTTCGTATTCTTCCTCGCCTTCTATGAGTTCTGGCTTGGGTGGCGGAGGTTTTTCCTGGTTGAAAAACTCCGGGGGGACGTATGGAGTTAGGTATTGTTCATTGAACTTGTTGTGGATCTTCCATCCTGGTGGCAGCTTTAGTTCGTATGCAGAGGGCCCCTTTTTGGAAACTATTTCAAAGGGGCTGACGCATTTGTCACCTAGCTTTTTTGCTGGTCAGGGGAGGTGAAGGTTGGTTGAGTCCAACCAGACTTTGTCTCCTGGTTGGTACTCTTGTGCAGGGCGAGTGTGTTTGTCGTAAGCCTTTCTCATAACTTCGACGGCTTTATTCAGAGAGTCTTCCGCTTGTTTGCATACTCTCTGGAGGCTTTCGACGAAGTCAGTTACTGATGGTGTTTCCGACTGCCTCACCGCGGTTGGGCAAATTTCCCCATCTCATCTGTAGACTACTTTGATGGGAGAAAAGCCTGTTGCAGAGTGTTGGCAGTTGTTGTGAGCGAACGCTGCCCACTGTAGCCATTTGCTCCAGTCATCCTGCTTGTGGTTAACGAAGACTCGAAGGTATTTTTTGAGTTCTTGGTTAACCCGCTCCGTTTGTCCATCCGTCTGAGGGTGATAGGCCGTTGACAGGTTTCCTTGAATATTCATCATTGCATACAGTTCAGTGATGAATTTTGATACGAACTGGGGCCCCCGGTCAGAGATGACTTTGGAGGGGGTTACCCTGAATTGACAAATGATCTCGTTGCATAGGATTTTAGCCCATCCGCTTGACGAAAGTTCCTTCGTGCATGGAATCAGCACGATATATTTCGAGAATCGGTCTATGATGACTAGCACTGCATCGTAGCCTTTGGATTCTGGAAATCTGGTAATCATGTTGACTGAGATGTGTTCCCAAGGTTGGGATGGTACAGCATTGGGATGTAGCGGAGCTGCTTTCTGCTGCATATCAGTTTTCATCCTTTGACATGCCTTGCATCCTTGGATGTAAGTTTCCACGTCTCTTCGCATTTTGGGCTACCAGTAGTCTCTTAGGACTAATTCTTTGGTTTTTTCGATGCCCGGGTGTCCTGCAGAGACATGATCGTGGTGATGGGAGATGAGTTCTCCCTGTAGGGTGTGGTCACGGGGGATGTAGATTCGTCCATCGTAAAATAGAAGGTGGTCTTTCTCAATGACCCCCTTCTTGTGGTTGAGGCTTGAAGTGATCCCTCAGTCCCACCGTTGGTGATCGCTTGTTGCTCTCCAAATTTTACCATGAATTTCTTCCTCTGTTGGCATTATTAGGGCACAGAAGAATTCTGGCTTCAAGAGGACAATATCGTCATTGTCGTTCTTGCCTTGGTCGTGATTGGCCCGCCAACTTAGAAGGTCGGCTTTCCTATTGGACGCTCCTGGTTTATGGTTGAGCGTGAAATGGTATTCCGCCAATTCAGTAACCCACCGCGCCTGTCTGCAGTTGAGTTTCTGAGGTTTGCAGAAGTATTGCAGATTTGAGTGATCTGTCCAGATTTCAAAATCTTGATGGGCACCCATCAGATAATGTCGCCATTCTTCCAAGGCGATCATTATCACTAGCAATTCCTTATCGTAAATCTCGTAGTTCTGTTCCGTCGTGGAAAGAGATTTCGATAGGAATGCAATTGGGCGCCATTTTCCTTTCTGTTCCTGTGACAGGACAGCCCCGATTGCCCCTTCACTGGAGTCCGCCTCCAAGCGAAACTTGTTATAGTTGTTTGGCATCGCCAAAACAACTCCCATTGTGAATTGATGTTTGAGTTCCTCAAATGCTTCTTGCTGCTCCTCCCCCCATGTCCAAGGGTTCTTCCCTGTGAGTTTCGTCATTGGTTTGACGATTGCACTATAGTGCCAGATAAACTGCCGGTAAAAGTTGGTGAATCCTAGGAATGATTGTAGTTCCTGCTTTTTGGAGGGTGCTGGCCAATCCATGATACCAGCGATTTTTACTGGATCCATTTTGATGGATCCTTCACTGATAATGACCCCGAGGTACTCTGTCTTGAGTACCTCGAACTCGCACTTTTCTGCTTTCAACAACAGCTTGTTCTTGCACAGAATCCTCAGGACTTCCTGCACAATCCTTTGGTGTTCCGCCTTGTCCTTGGTGAAGATGAGGATGTCATCCAAATAAATGGTGACCTTTCCCTGAGCAATGAGATCTTTAAAGATATCATTCATCATCCACTGGAATGTGGCTGGAGAATTGGTTAATCCAAAGAACATAACCATGGGCTCGTAGAGCCCTCGGTTAGTGCGGAATGCGGCTTTGAATTTGTCTCCTTTCTTGATTCGAACATTATTGTATCCCCAACAGACGTCTAACTTAGTGAAATACCTCACATCCTTCAGCTTATCCATAAGATTGGAGATAAGCAGCAAAGGATAACGGTTTTTGATGGTTATTTCATTAAGTTTGCGGTAGTCTTGTACTGGCCACAGTTTTCCATCCTTTTTCTTGACAAAGAAAAAGGGGGATGCCATCAGGGATTTGGAGGGTCGAATTCGGCTGGTAGCCAGGTTTTCATCAAGGAATTTATCCAATTCCTCCTGTTCCTTTGGATTCAACGGATATATTGTTATGGTTTATTCATTTTTCTTCGTTTTACTCAGCTTGATTACTCATATGCGATCCCTATGGATCATTTCTCATGGTACTATTATTAGCATACCCACTTGTATTTAAGTAGAGCCTCAGCTGGCCTAAACCCCAGCTTCGGCTAAGGTTTAATCTATCTAACTCAAAGCTCTGCTCTTCGTGACTATCTGTCTCGTCACTGCTCATTCCCCAGGACTTTGACCTCTATCGTATCGTCCACCGAAGTGCGAGTGGCGATCCCTAGTTGATCTAAGTTTTGAGAGTTAGTGGCTAACATTTAGCCGAAGCTCATCCTATCGCTGCCCAGCACTACGTTCTAGACGCTGCCCAGCATTTTCCCACTCCTCATACTCCTTGCAGGCGCCCTTTGGGTACTGCCCTTCCTACTACGAGACCCGTTAACCTCAGCGTTAATCAGGGTAGCAATCACCATCATCCTGTGTCGATACTACATTCCGGCTCCCTTGTTGGCAGCCTACCTTGTAGGACTCTACGTCGGGATCCTCCGAATCTAAACAACCACTGAATTCTCAAACTGACGCCGTTCCCCGTCATCGTACAAGCCGTCGTAATCTCAGCCGTCATCATGCTGATAACGACGAGCAAGCTCTACCCCGTTTTAACAGTTGCATGGTTAATTGTAACCGTCGGACTCTACGAAGGATAGACTCACGAACGGATGCCCTGGTCCGACGCCATTCCCGCCGTCTTCGCAACTTTTATACTCTTTTTCTTGTCCATTATTTTGTATCGACTACACCGCTGTTTTCGAGAACAGAGGAGAGTCCGTGCCCAACTCCCGTTTCATTACGTTCCCAGCACTCCCGCCTACCCCCCGCCAGTAATACACATTCCCACGGCATCTCAGCAGACGATACGAAATGTCGAGTCCAACGCCTCCGGGGGACCTGGAGAATCCCTCTACGGATCGTCGCGGTCCAGCTCGCGATACTCAGAGTCGAGCACCGACTCCTACAGAAGCGCCACCGCCGAGTCAGTCGACTCCGTCGACATCACAGATACCCGGGGCGTATTCCTCGACCGAGGAGACTCGCCCCTACCAGGTCTCTTCGACCAGTCTCCAGTCCAAGACGAGTCAAGCGCCGACGGAAGGAGAAGACAAGGCACCAGGCATCTGGTCGAGGGCGAAGAAAGCCCTGACACCGAGTATGAAGGGGACGAGCTCACCGATCTTGAGAGGATCCGACTCGA